TGCTTAGATTGATCACTGAGGTAATGACTGTCTATGTAGCTAGGAAATGCCCTTCCAATATATATCCATTCATTCCCTCACTGATGTTGGTTTGGGTCACCATGATCACAAAGGATCACTTGGTGATCGAGGTGATCAAGAGTGATCTCCTTTGTCTTCTCACTTGGATCACTTCTTGGCGTTGGTGATCCAAGTGATCCGTCACGTGACTCCTGCTGACTCGTCCTGCCAGCCGTATTGGTCTTGTCAGGTGACCGGCTCCCCTGGTCCATACGTTTATCCGGTGCCCCGCCTTTCTGCGTCGGCCACCTTCTGAGGCCATGTTCGTAACATTTAAATAACGCCGATCCCTTTTTAAAAATTCGAGATCCTTACGTTATTCGTCCCCGTAACTATTACGAATATAGCCTCACGAACCCCGACCCCGGAAAGGAACAACTAGAACCCACCAGGCGGCTGGCGCGCAGCCGCCAGGACAAAAAGACCACGGGACCAATAAAGTAGAGAAGGTCACGTAACATAGATCACGGTCTTGGCAGGTGAGTCAGGATAAAAGATCACGACGAGCCACGAGTAAGCCTAAAGGAAGGATCACCCTTAGATCAGAGTGATCCGGGATAAAGGATTACTATAATTATAATAATCTAACCAATATTAATAAGGAAATGAATAGATATATAATAAAAGGGATTTCCTAGTTATATAAATAGTCATTATTTTAATAATTAATTTAAATATCTATCTTACTTATAAGTGAGGCCTATCAAACCTGGACGACTATATTTATAACTTCGTTTATAGACCTTTATTTTATCTTATTCAGTATACAGGCTATAGACTATAGCCGCCCTCGAGACTAACGTCCCCTGTTAATATAAACCCACGTACCTATATCTCTTTACGGTTTATCCTAAAAAGTATATTCGTCATATTTTAATCACTTTTATTTAGGTACGTTATTCTCGAACTAACTGAGTAATATCTCTATCAGGCAAAATGGCACCATCCACCCCCAGCGGAAGCTCCGTGGACAACCCCACGGGAGGACCCGACGTCTTTAAGATGATACGGCAACTACAGAAAGCCCTCGACACCGTCAAGAGTGATAACGAGCAACTCACTGCGTAACTCGTTACTGTCAATAGCACGTAACGAGGAGGCGGCAGCGGAGGTTACAAACTCGCACCCCCCCAGTCATATAGTGGGAAGGACGGAGGCATTTAAGGATTCCTCACCCAAACACGAGCCTATCTACGCTTCTATAACGGGACCATCATCACCGAACCCGACAAGATCCTATACGTCGCCGGATTCCTCAAAGAAGACGCCCTCGACTGGTTTGAACCAACCATAAAGGATTATCTTAATAACAGCGAGGACCGACAAAAAGACGACACATAGAAGGTGTTCAGCGACTACGGCGAATTTGAGAGACGCCTACGAGCAACCTTTAGTAACCCGGACGAAGTCCGCATTGCCGAACGAAGGCTCATACAACTCAAACAACGCGGATCGGCCGCTAAATACGCATCCGAATTTAAACAAATCGCATCCAAAACCGAATGGAGCGACGACGATACACTCATGACGCTCTTTTACGCAGGACTGCGAGAAGACGTAAAAGACGAAGTCTCAAAGGAAGACAGACCCGACGAATTCGACAGCTACGTCGAAAGAATCGTCAAAATCGACAACCGCCTGTATGAGAGAAGACTCGAGAAACGAGGATCCAAGAGCGAGCCACACACCCCGCGTATTAAAGCAAACACCGGGAAGCCGCGACAAAACCATCACCGGGGCAGCGATAACCGACACCCCCCACGCAACCAAAAATGGCAGAATAGAACCTCCCATGGACATCACAGCGGACCAATAGACCTCGACGCGACCAGACACGACAAAGGTCGCAGGGACAAGGACACGGCAAGTGTTACATGTTACAACTGCGGCAAGAAGGGGCACTACGCCAACAAATACCGACAGAAACGCAAATTCCAGCCCGTACCGGAAGGCAACCGGCAAGCCAACGCCCTTTACCGAGGAGAGAATAACCATGACACTCTCCCAAACGCCAACAAAACCATCGCGATAATGCGACGAGAACCACTCGGACCTTATATAGCCGACACCAATAACGATAACGAAAGAAACTACCTCATCGCACAAACCGAGGAAGAGGTACGACAGGACGCCATTAACAACATGGACCCAGTTAAGAAACTCGAGTACAGACTCCGGAACGCGAACATCGAAGACATCCCTTAGCGACTCGAGTAAAGAATCAACTTCCAATAAAAAAAGGCCATAATAATAGCCGGATCGTACCCGTTATCCGCTAACGAGTTACGCAACCTGTTTAACAAACTCCACCACGACATTATAAGGAACCAAGGAAACGACCCTACCGAATTCCGGTTCGGAGACGACGAACGACTGCGACCAAACCATAGGTAGCACGAAGAACTATCGTGGATATCTTGCATTAACGGACTATGCGACTTGCACCTCGCAGAGAAACTGGAACACGAGCTGTTCCCCAGCCGCAACGGGTAGAGAGCCATTACGGAACCCTACGAAGTAGACGAGATCCGTGAGGTAGTGGTGACCTACCGTGACGCCCGAGGTTACGCCGTCCTGACCACGCACCCTCACCGACCGTTTGAATGCCTATCCAAGCAAAGGGCCTGGAAGGACTGTATGAACGATAAATGCCTAGAACACGCAGAACAAAAAGCGACAGCTTGGAGAAAGCTTGTCGAACACCACAAGAAAGGACACATCAAAATCCTAACCCAGCCAAACCAGCTGAGGAACACAGACATGGCGCAACTATACCAGGAAGACCCTGAAGACACAACAATGAGCGAAGGATCCGATTTGGAAGACCTAGTCAGCCCCTATTTTAAAGAAACAACATAACAATAATAATGGAGAGAACGCAAGAAGAAGTTAGAAGTCGAACTCTTAACTAAGGAAGTAAACCTACAATACGACACACAACGCGAGCGATCGGGACAACACGCCGACTACGCGCGACTTTACGACCACGTTTACGAAGAATGGCACGGGAAAGGGAAATTCCAAGGCACCATAGGACTCCGAACTATCCGACTCGAATCATACAAAAAGGTATACGAGGCATTCGGCGCCCCGCGCCTAGATAACGCACAACACTAACACGTCAGACTGACGGAAGGATACAAACTATGGAAGTAATGGATGGACGAACAAGTACACCCTATACCAGCTCTTAACCGGGACCAAAAGAACATGGGCAAAGGCGAAAGTTCCGTCACCTTACAGAGACAAGACGCCAGAGACTACAGACTAGAGGCCCGAAGAGCCCTAAATACAACCAGTATCACAATAACACCGTAGGACGAGGTAGTATATAAAAAAGCCAGCGAACGCCGCGAAAAGCGCAAGAACACGCGTAAAAATAGGAAGTCAAAAAACGACTCGGACCGTCTGTAACGGGATAGTAACGGTCAGGAATAAAGTCCCTATACGCCACTGTAGGAGTAAGCGACGAAACGCATAAACACATAACAATACCAGTCAAAATTATGGGACGAACAGTGCGCGCGCTACTCGACAGCGGCGCCCAAAGAAACTATATCTCGCCAAAAGTCGTCAACAAGTATAGAATACTATAGAAAGAAAAGGACGCCCTTTACCAACTCAGGACCGTGGATGGAGAATTCGTCACGTACGGCAACGGAACCGTCGATATGGAGACTAATCATCTACCAATCACGATTAGCGACCACGCGGAGAAACTTACGTACGACATCACAGACATATCGGAATACGATATAATATTGGGGATACCCTGGTTACGAGCGAGTAATCCTAGAGTTAACTGGAGAACCGGCCAACTTCAATGGGACACGCCAGGAAGGAATTACGCCTTTACGCAGCCGCGAGAAAGCGCCGTAAGCGAATTCAGAAAGATACTTCGGATCAACGTCATAATCAAGGAATCTAAAGCAAAAGTTAACATCGCAATACCCGAAGAATACCAGGACTACGCCGACCTGTTTAATGGAGAACTGAAAATAGGACTACCGTAACACACGCAATTCGACCACGAAATACCCTTTAAAGAAGGAGGAAAGACACACTTCATACCGACATATCGATTGCGACTAGAACACGAGGAAGCACTCAAAAAATACCTCGACGAGAACCTAAGAAAAGGTTACATCCGCCTATTAACGTCAGAGGCAGGATACCCAATCCTTTTTATACCAAAGAAAAGCAAAGACGGGAAAACGAAATGGAGACTTTGCATCGACTTTCGCAAGCTCAACGAAAACACAATCAAAAACCGATACCCGTTACCATTAATTAACGACTTACGAGACAAACTACACGGAGCCCAATGGTTCACTGTATTCGACCTACTAAACGCCTACGGACTCATACGCATCAAGAAAGGCGAAGAATGGAAAACCGCCTTCAGAACCAAATACGGACACTACGAGTACTTGGTTATGCCCTTTAGATTAACCAACGCACCAGCAAGCTTTCAGAGTATGATTAATCACGTATTACGCGAATACCTCGACAAATTCGTAATCGTCTACCTCGACGACATACTCATCTTCTCGAAGACACTCGAAGAACACAAGTAACACGTCCGTATAATACTCAGTAAGCTGTAAAAAGCAAACTTACTAGTCAACGGCGAGAAAAGCGAATTTCACTAACAAAAAGTCACCTTCGTAGGATACGTTATATCCCCAGGAGAAATCCGAATAGAAGATTCCAAAATCGTAGCAGTTAAAGCCTGGCCAACCCCAACGAACGTTTCGGAAGTACGATCCTTCTTGGGACTCGCGAACTACTACCGAATGTTCATCCACCAATTCGGAAAGATTGGCACGCCACTAACGAACCTGACGAAAAAGGACCTACCATTCCGATAGACAGAAGTCGAGCAGACAGCTTTCGACACCCTAAAGAAACGAATCACCGACGAACCAGTATTTAAGATGGCAGACCTAGATAAGCCATTTAAAGTCGAGACCGACGCGTCCGACTACGCAATCGGAGGACAACTCAGTTAACGAGATAACAACAACAAGCTACACCCAGTAGCGTTCTTCTCGAAGAAGCTTAATGGACCCGAGCTTAACTACCAGATCCATGACAAGGAACTTATAGCAGTCATCGAAGCATTCCGAGAATGGAGACACTATCTTAGTGGAACCACCCACAAAGTCAAAGTTTACACCGACCATAAGAACCTCACATCTTTCCTTATAAACAAAGAACTTAACAAACGACAAATCAGATGGTCAAAATTCTTGTCAGAATTTAACTGCGAAATCATATACAGAAAAGGAAACGAGAACGGTAGAGCCGACGCTCTTAGCCGACGACCAGACCACTTCCAAGAAGCACCAAAAGAAACACACACCCTGTTACGAACCAACGAACACGGGAACCTTGAACCCATAACACAAGACATTTTCCTTACACATCGAGTCACATCAGTAGACAGCTGGACGGAAAAATTTGGGGACACCCCAAAAACCTACAATAACCGGATATAGATACCACCATAACACCTCGACGAACTCATTAAACAATACCACGAAACACCCTTCCATGGACACCAAGGAACCTACAAAACATGGAACCGAATCCGAACTAGATTCGATTACGAAAACCTCAAAAAGCACGTCGCCGACTACATTAAGACATGCGACCTATGTAATAAAGCAAAAGCTTCACGGTACAAACTATACGGAGAAATACAACCAATACCACCACCCGACAGAGTATGGAAATCCATCGTATAGGATTGGATCGTTAAGCTACCGCTATCTAAGGAACCCTTAACTGGGGTTATATACGACAGCATCCTTGTAACCACTGAACGACTCACAAAGTACGCCTACTTCCTACCGTATAAAGAAAGTAGCAACACAGACGACCTGGTTTACACGTTTCTACGAACCATCGTTAGCCAGTACGGACTACCCGACGAAATCATCTCCGACAGAGACAAACTCTTTACGTCGAAATTCTGGAAATCACTTATGGCACGGTTTGGAACCAACCATAAACTCTTAACAGTATACCACCCGCAAACGGACGGACAAACCGAGCGAATAAACCAGACACTGGAATAATACCTACGCTGTTACATCAATTACGAATAAGACAATTGGGTCGAACTGTTACCAATCGCCCAATTCGCCTACAACAGCTCCGAAACAGAGTCAATCGGAACAACACCGTTTTACGCGAACTACGGATTCAACCCAGACATGACGAAGGAACCACTCCTAAGAGTACTGGCGGAAAAGGCTATCACGCACGCCGATAAACTGTAAGACTTGTAAAGAAACTTACAACAAGAACTACTTTTCCTTTAATAGCGGATGAAGGAATGGAATAACAAGAAGAGAGTTAGAGGACCAACTCTTAAAGAGGGAGACCCTGTCTACCTACTCCGCAAAAACATCAAAATAAAGAGACCAAACGACAAACTCGATTTCAAAAAGATTGGACCATTCAAAATCGACAGAGTTGTTTCACCTGTCAACTACCGACTATCATTACCTCGGAAAATGAGGGTACACCCAACATTTCATATCTCATTACTGGAACCAGTACCACCTAATGTAAAAATCGAAACACGGCTCGAGACCGAACCAAACCAAGAATACGAAGTCGAAGAAATCCTGGACCTGTAAAAAATTAATAGTTAATAGAAATACCTTGTTAAGTGGAAGGACTACCCACCGTCGGAGAACATTTAGGAACCTAAGAAGAACCTGAAGGGTTGCCCTAAACTCCTCGCGGATTTCCATCGATAACGGATACTAGCGGCCTAACATCCACAAAATCATCACCCAAACCCAGGGAAGCCCAATCCACGTCGTTAGAAACGCCTATAAACCGAAGATCCCCCACCACAAAGCGTTCCTAAACAGAGACCGAAGGCACTACGCCATCCTCCTCATCCAGCTCCCGCATCCCCCGTTAAAACGCTTCAGAACTCTTCTCCTTCACGACCTTCTTCATTCGACGCAAACGCGCAAGACGACCAACAGCAGCAGACAGTTAAGTCTGTAACGCGAAGAGGGCCTCCTCGGCATCGGCCTCCTCCGCCTCCAATTTCCGCTGCTGCGACAACAGACGAGAGAGCGACGACGCCACGAACGTCCCATCGCAAATGCGCCCAGCACGCACGCACTCTGAACAGCGCGACGACTTCTCGCCCATACGACAGGCAAGGTTCTGCCTGAAACACCTGGTACACGGCATCTCGGTGATTGCCCCAGAAACTTCGATACTCTCAGCCAGAGACAGACGGTTGAGCGTTTTACGAGATCGCGATTTTTCAACACGACCTGACATAATGAGCATACATCACAAAGAAAACATGAGGAGGAAGGAAAACCTACCAAACCAAGAAATGGGCGACAAAACGACCTACTTATGCGACCTTCAGTCTTAAGGGGTTAAGACAAAGAAGGAGGGGCCTAATGTTACGAACATAGCCTCACGAACCCCGACCCCGGAAAGGAATAACTAGAACCCACCAGGCGGCTAACGCGCAACCGCCAGGACAAAAAGACCACGGGACCAATAGGGTAGAGAAGGTCACGTGACATAGATCACGGTCTTGGTAGGTGAGCCAGGACAAAGGATTACGACGAGCCACGAGTAAACCCAGGGGAAGGATCACCCTTAAATCAGAGTGATCCGGGACAAAGGATTACTATAACCATAATAATCCAACCAACATTAGTAAGGAAATAAATAGATATATAATAAAAGGGATTTCCTAGTTATATAAACAGTTATTACCTTAATAATTAATTTAAACATCTATCTTACTTATAAGTGAGGCCTATTAAACCTGGACGATTATATTTGTGACTTCGTTTACAAACCTTTATTCTATTTTATTTAGTATATAGGCTATAGATTATAGCCGCCCTCGAGACTAACGTCCCTTGTTAGTATAAACCCACGTACTTGTATCTCTTTACGGTTTATCTTAAAAAGTATATTCGTTATAATAACCGTTTTTATAACGGTTTATAAACGCTTTTTAAAGCCCTCCGAATCGACGGCCGAACCGGTAATTAAAGACGTGGTAATCCTCGACTTCCTCTTTCGATTCGCCGTAATAAATTATATTAAAAACAAAATCCTCGAGCTTTACGAAGTAATATTTAAACGAATTAAAGCACGAGAGGTGGTAATATATAAAGTAATTTATAAGTAAAAAGTGGTAGTAAAAAATAAGCGAGAATTGTTAATAAATAAATTATAACTTTTATTATTAATCTTCGTACGTAAATATTAATAATAAGTTTAACGTAACAATTACTTTAACGTTAATAAACATTATAATAATCCGTAATCGGGTTAATAAATCAGTTTTTACGAGATTAACGAATCGTAACGATTATTATAATTAATCGTGATAGTAAATAGTTAAAAAACGGTATCGAGGTTAAAGACCCTTTAAACTTAACGACGATAAAGGACGACGATTAAGAGATAATTATATAATATTATAATACTATTCTACGTAATTGACGTACGGACCACTTTATATATAATCGTGCCACTTTTACTATATTAAAATTTTATTGCGTTTTTCGCGTTTTCAGGCTGATCTCACGGTCTTCTTATTAGGTGCGTAGGTTGGGTGGTGGTGGTGGTGGATTGAGGGGGTTTATAGGGGACTCCCACTAATTTTTTAGTGGGTGGGGTCACGTAATACAGCACATACAGCAGATTTGATACAGCACCATTAGCAAGGCCCTTTTCTTATGCGACACACCCCACATCCCACTATCGATAAGCCGATAGCGCACCTCCGTCACCCCCATGCAGCCCATGCAGCCCATCGACCTTGGCCCAGGCCATGCGACACCGATGACGACGGCTCCGTTCCCCGGATGTCCATCTCCTCGGGCTGCATACAACAGCAGTTGCAGTTCGTTGACTCCCCAACCCGCGGCTGACCGATTACGATCATCGATCCAGTACGTACGCTATAGAGAGAGAGAGAGAGCTCAAGGCAGGCAGACCGTCGGCGCCTGCTAGGACCCCCGTCCCATCTTCGACTCATGCCGCCGAGATAGCCAACGACACGATCCACAAGGGCGCAAGGGACCATGGGCAACAATAATAGCCGGGTGACGGCCCAAGACAAGTAAAGCCCCCTCTACTCTTCCCATACGCCATCTCCGTAGCCCTTCGAATCCCCGTCCGGCATCATCGCAGTGCAGACAGGCTAACCCGGAGCGCCTGCGCGCCGCGCCCCCAACCAGAGCCATCCTCGACCTCAAGCTGCAGCGCGACAAGCTGCACCAGTACCAGCGGCGGATCACGGCGCTGACGGCGGCCGAGACGGCGGCGGCGCGGCAGATGTTGGCGGCGGGCAACAAGCCGCGGGCGCTGCTGGCGCTGCGGCGCAAGAAGTACCAGGAGTCGCTGCTGGCCAAGACGGACGCGCAGCTCGAGCAGCTCGAGCAGCTGGTGCGCAGCGTCGAGTTCGCCCAGATCCAGAAGGACATCGTCTTCGGCCTGGCGCAGGGCACCAAGGTGCTCAAGGAGATCCACGCTGAGATGGGCGGCATCGAGAAGGTCGAGATGCTCATGGGCGAGAACGCCGAGGCCATCGCGTACCAGGAGGTTTGTCTTGCTTGCTTTCTTTCTCTCTCCCCTCACCCCTCTATGTGTCCCCCTTTCTCTGTATATATATACCTACATGAACTCCCCCATCGGCATCCAACGACAAAATGTAGTTGGCCCAGATTGCTAACGGGCGTGTGTGCTTGTGCGCGGAACAGGAGATCAGCGAGATGCTCGGCGGACGTATATCGAACCAGGACGAGGAAGAGGTCGAGGACGAACTCGCGGCGCTGGAACTCGAGGTCAACGGACCGCTGAACTCGGAGATGAGCGGCACGCCTGTGCTGCCCAATGTTCCCGATACCCGGCTGCCCGAGACGCCAGACGCCGAACCCGAGACGGCGGCGGCGAAGAAGAGGCAACAACAGCAGGAAGAGAGGCGACAGGCGGTACCGGCCTAGACATTGGGGGAGACCACATGGTTGAACATTCATTCCCGGTTTTCCTCGGGGTTCCGAGGAGAGCACGATATAGACGGAGAGGCTGGGCTGTAGCAGCCAGCAACAACGAGGGCGATGGATATACCAGCATTGATCTTTAGTCACAGTCATCTTAGGGAGCATCTCAGTAACGCATCTACGCGTGGAACGAATCGAAGTAGTCTCTATGTTGAGCAAATGTCCTCATTGAACGGACTTTCGGAACGAGAACGGGCTTTGCAGTTCAACCTTGAACCAATGACCCTCGGGATTGAACGCCCAACTTGACCGACGACTTGATGCGAATACTAGAACTCCAGCTGTCTAGACTGAGCCGTACAAAATGGGTATCATGAAATGTGCCGTATGCCGTCTAATGCAACCCCTTTCCTCTATAACCTTCGCTCCGTCTCATGCGTCGTAGTGCCGTAAACGGCTAAAACAAATCCTCCACTCCTCCAGGTATATACGTTTCGGTTTAAGTACATTCGTTCCCTTGCGGGCAACAGTCCATGTGCCTGCATTAGCGAGGTGGATGGGCAATAGTGTAGCTAGCCGGAGCTTCACCTGCTGCGTTCCACCCGCGTTGAGGAGAATCCCGTACGTAATGGGCCTCGTAAGTCCCTTGCCGCGGGGACATTGGTCGCGGCATACGATCATCCATTACTCCACGTCCCATGCTACCATGCGATGGCGCTATAAGTCGTGGATTTGCTTCCGTGTAGTGGCGCGCTTGGTCAAACGCGTCTCGGGCCGGCGGTGCTTGGTACGAGTGTGGATCGGCATGGTATGCGAATGTCCTATCCTGCGAATATAGCGGGCCGCTGTAACCACGACTAGTCTCCTGAGCCCGGAATGCTCTAGGATCCGGTTCATTTACGTAGATAACGGGACGACCGTCGACGAAATGGCGGATCTCACGGACCGGAACATCACGGATCGCCTCTGGTCTAGCAGGAGGCAGTCTGTACTGGTCCAACTTGTCTGAAGGTTGGTGCGGCTCAATGTACCTTCCCACTGTACGAGGCGAGTCCAGAACAATAGGGTTGTTGCTGGACCTAACAGCAGCATTTTCCCGGGTTGGATGTGTTGGTTCACCGACATAAATGGGATGGGCTCTTGACCTATAAGCGACCTCATCCTGGCCAGACCAGTCCGACCTGTTGAGAACAACCGGGTTGGCCCTGTGCTCTTCGCGACCGACCTCTAACGGTCGGTGCACGTAGCGGACAGGCGATCGAGGTCTTGGTTGGGCCTCTCTGGATACCGGGATGGGATAGCTGATAGGGCGGCCCGCTGTGTGTTCCACCACCTGCTCCGGCCGACGATTCACTTGGATGAAGCCGTTGGAGAAAAGTCCGGATGATTCGGCCTGCGACACGACACGGCGTCGCTTTATAGAGAGGTCTTCCAGACCAGAAAGGTACTCCGGAGAGGCTGGACGAGCGGCGCCTGAGGGCTGATGGACAATCGACCGGGTTACGATCCGAGGAGGTTCTGCATGAGGCTCAAACCTATGAGAAAAGTAGGAGGGGGGTTGATCGCGATTCTGCACCACACCAGGCGACCGCGGCTCAATAAATGGAACTAGCATATCGTGCAATTGGTGTTTGGCAGGCGACAGCGGAACATGGTCGTGTCTCTGACGATCACTTACAAATCCGACTTGAGGCGGAATGCCATTCCCATGCCCTACAAGAGGCGACTGGCGCCGCATTGCCTCTCTGGTGACATCCTCTCGATATCTAGGGGATCCAGCATACGGGTCGTAATGCAGTCGTGCACCTTGTGGTATGCCCTCACCGGACACTGGGATGTGGCTGCTACTCGTTGCCTGCAAAGAGCGTGAGTCACCAAACCTATGTATGGTTTCCCCGGCAGGAAAGTCATCCCCAGCAGCAACTTCTGATGGCGGTTCCGGGGGAGCATGTGGTTCCTGTCGAAAGGTCTCCGCGACCTGGTAATACCTTTTGAAGCGCTGGTTTGCCTTCTTGGCGGCTTTACGCTCTTTCCTGTTTGTCTTCTTTGGCTGGCCAGGTGAAAGCAGTATGACAGACGGCTCACGGGGCTGTCCTTGGGTGGGTGCTTCTGTGATCCGCACTGGTTCCTGTACGGCGTGAGACGTCCTAGCAGCAACCGGGGACATTCGAGCCCGTAAGCCCACAGGGTTCGGAACGATTGCTTCTTCGCTGGAGTACTCATCCTCAGAATCGCCCTCACTGTCTGAGATTTCTATGACTTCTTGCAGAATCTCATCCAGCTGGTCCCGGCCTGTTTCTTCGTCACCACGCCACTTGACAATGATGTCGAGGCACGGCTTTTCTACAGCTTTTCTGGCATTCTCCCACTTCTGGCCCTCTCTGAGGAGCTCATCGTATCTGGTCTTGGTATGCCTGATGTGTGAGATGGCGGCGAGCTGAACACGCCGAGCCAACGGCATGCTCTGGTTCATGCCAACCTTGAGGCTGCCGTTGAAGTATTTATTCGCCTATTACGTTCCCAAGGTTCAACATCAAGAGCACGGGATTGGTTGGGAAGCAAACGCACCTGGTTAAAGGACTGTAAGAGTATCTCGGCACGATCGGTGTGAGGGATCCGGGGGAACAAGTCCCGCAAGACAGCATCTGCTTCGCGCATCATTTTCTCCTTGTCCTCTGGAATGACCTCAGGCCGCCCAGGTATCGTGAACCTGGCACGGTCGGTATGGCCGTGTTCAAGGAGCATCTCCCTAGCTTGGTCGACGATGCGCTGGCGAAAATGGTAGCCCAAGCGCTGCAATTCATCCGACAGGGTTTTGCCATTGGATTCCTAGTTGAAGATAGCCATTAGTGCTGTCAAGGCCGCAACGCGGGGTGATATACCGAGACAATGAAGATCATAGCATCCTGCTCTCTTGACAGCTCCTTACAGAGCTTGCTGAGCTGGGGATTGCCTGCGGCGATGAATTCGAACCCAGGCGGAGGGTTGCGATCGACGGTCACCTGGAAGTAAGTGAGCACTGCACATGGGCTCCTGGCTCGTTCCAACTACCTTGGTCTCCAGCTTCTTCTCTTTCCTATCTGTGTTGTCTGCGATCACGAAGTAGGATTTGTGTTTCATCTGTGGCGGCGGCTGCTTGTAGGCATTCAATCCATTGTAGATTGTCGGATCTGCATTGCGCATGCGAGATGCCTTGTTATGCCGATCCTTGGCCGCATCACCGCGCGCTGGAAGCGGTGGTTTTTTCTTCTCCCGGGTCATGATGGTATGATGATAGCTGCTCTTACCATAGCAGCGTCACTGCGGAGCACCGAGTGTGGCAGAGTAAGAAGCCTCAAAAGTCTACGCTCTAGACAATGGTGTCTACCGCTTCTAGCCAGCTGGGAGGGGTGAGAGGGATGAAATGAACGGCACTACCTTGTGATAGTGGTCCTACAAGCCTGAACAAGCTCCGGCAGGGTCAGACAGCAACCGGTCTCGCCTGGCGATAGGAGATGGACAAGAAAGGAAACAGTCACTGAAGCCAGGCGCAACAGAATACGATGCAGCGTAGAAAGGACGTGATCCAGGAGGCAGCGCAAGCTCGGGATGGCGGCAGAGAAGGGCGCCGACACCAGGTCGATGCAGAACCAAATCGAGGGTAGAAGCTGCGTGCCTGACAGGCCTGACGCTCTTCGCCCTGTGCGAATGGCAGTACGTGCGTGACCAGTGGGCGGGAAGATACTCCTCCGAGCCCGAGTTGGCGACGCAGTAGAGCGTGTGAGTCGGCACGCGATGAAGAGCAGGAGCAGGGAGGAGAAAAGGAAGCCGTTCGAGGGGTTGTCCAGCAGGTGTAGCCAGAAAAGGGTCTTTTGAGTCTCACGGATGGGCTCGTGGTCCAGAGCCTGAAATGTGGTGAGGTAGACCAAAAAAGTGGGCATCGAGACTTGCGCGGCGCCCGGCACTGGGCAGCAGGGGGGCCTGGGGGGGTCTTGTGGTATGGGAAGGAAGACTGAAGTTGGCAGACTTGCGCTAAGGATCCGGCACCGCCACAGATGCCACAGTACGGAGCAAACTTGCGCGCGCGCGGGCGGACGCCACAAGTTGCTGCCTGACAGCCACGCCCAGGAGCAATTCAGGCCGCCAAATTTCCCGAACGGACCCGGCTCTCAATTCTTGCAGCAACCTCCCGAGAAAGCGAGCGTGGAAACGACGACGACATCCCCATCCCTTCAATCCACACCATCCCCCGCCGCTTCGCCATGCTGTCCCGACAAGCCTTCCGCGCCGTCCGAGCTGCAGCTCCCCAGCGGACGTTTGCCCGGTCCGCCGTGCGCAGCTACGCCGCCGCCGCCCAGCAGGACGTCAAGCCCCCGATCGCTGTCTACGGCCTCGATGGCACCTATGCCACTGCTCTGGTACGCCGCCCTCTACCTCGACCACGTCGGCAGGCCCTCGTGGCCGCTGCCCGAGCCGGCCCAATTGGGCCAGAGTCCAATGGCCGCCGCCAATGGCCCGTCACGTCGATGGCTTTGCAGGACTAACCCGTGAGCCATTTAGTACACTGCCGCTGTCAAGTCGTCCTCCCTCGACCCGACCGCCAAGGCCCTCAGCGCTTTGAACGACGTTGTCACCAAGGACCCCAAGCTGTCCACCATTCTGAGCACACCCACCTTGACCGATGCCGACAAGAGCGCCATCGTCTCCGAGCTGCAGAAGTCCCTGGGCGCCTCGGGCTCTAGCGAGACCATCAAGAACTTCCTGACCACCCTCGCCGAGTACAACCGATTGAGCATCCTCAAGGGTGTCTGCGACAAGTTTGGCGAGCTGATGAGCGCCTCCCGCGGCGAGGTCGAGATGATTGTCACCAGCGCCACGGTATGTACCACCACACAAGGGCACCAGCAAGGGGAAGGCTCGATGGGCTAACTTACCTTCTCACCACAGCAATTGGACAACAGGACTCTGGGCCGCCTCGAGACTGCCGTTACCAAGTCCGCCTACGTTGGCCAGGGCAAGAAGCTCAAGGTCACCAACACTGTGAACCCGGACATCGTTGGTGGACTCGTCGTTGAGATCGGCGACCGAACCATCGATCTCTCTGTCTCGTCCAAGATCGCCAAGATGAACAAGCTCCTGACCGACACTCTGTAAATTATATCTTCTTTGTCAAGTGAGGAAGGATCGGGGAGCAGGTTGGCTGCCGGGGGTCCGGTGTTCTCGTATCGAGACCCGTTGTGTATAGGTGTCTGAAATAGAGAAGCATTTGTTCCCTTTACTACCCACATGCGAGCGAGATTGCAAACCCCCAGAAAGTTTAGTCGTTTACAATGACATGCTGTAAAGGCACAAGAAGACTTGACGACTAGTTAATCTAGAATTGTCTCATCCCAATCCGCTGGCTAATCCCTGCAAAATACGTGCCTTAGCTACGACTGTTTCATGAGCCCGGACTGTAGAAACAGCACACCACACCACGGTGGTCTGGCCTATCGTATCAAGAAGGAGAGATAACTCTTCGCAAAGATCTTGAGATTACCGCTGCCATCCAGCTTTTACTGCACCAATGTAATGAGTTCTAGGACACGTGCCGTGTGCGGCGTCATTTCAACCCGCCCGCAGTTGATTCTTATGAATGGAATCTACGCAGTCCCAATGCTGGATTTAGGGACATCCGTGTAGTTTGTTGCATGTCCCTAAATGTGGCCACCTCAGATGAGGGAAAGGACTCTTATGCTGAACATTACCCGTATACTGCTGCAGGCCATGAAAGGAGAATAGCCCTTAGTGGCCACGCCAACTTTTCTATTATCAATCGTGGAGAAAACTTACATCGTATGGGTCATCAGAATGTATCTCAAGTTCGAAGGACGCTTTCCGGATACCTTGTGCCTTCTAGGTTCGGGATATACCCATCTACAGTTGGGTGTCTTGATTGGTAAGACTTGATCAAGCTCACCAGCCATGTGCAGTCTTTTTCTTTTCTCCTCTCTCCTTTCCCTTCCTTTTCCCTACGAAAAGCAGTCCCACGACGCTCACCCAGCAAGGGCTATAATTTCCTTGGCACATTTGAAGCTGTAGCGAAAGCCTCTCATCTCGAAGCCCGACTAGCTTCCGGCAATGGATGGCATGGATGGCAATCCTAAGTACGTAGAATGCCGGGCTTGAAAGCAAGTTCCGGGGGTTCTTGAACCCTCGATGCCGGCATATCGACACGAAGCAATCATAATCCACTCCGCAGTTGAGGGTACGTAGTTCTGGAGTATAACAAGCGAGCAAATAGCAGAGATAGTGCTGTGTTGCGCTTTGACCAAGGTCAAATTTGTCACCCAGTAAACCGAAGCGGGAGCATCTCGCTTGCCCCATGTGATAGTTGTACGGAATTGTGTCTAGGTCGATGAATCGGACATCATACACACAACCGCGGGAGACTGTTTTGAAAATGCGGTGCACGCGAACCGCTACGTACGAAAACGACAACCAAACTACGTCGGAACTGCGTTTCTTCGTCTGGCAGTTCCTAGATTCTACGACAGCGGAAGGATGATCAGTAGAACGCGCTCGTCGGGATAGACACGATATATCACGCTCAGCTGGTATCTCTTCATTTGTCGATGATCAGCAGGGTGTGAGCAAAAACAGCAAAAGCACGTTGATCAAGTTGCGGGATCGTTGTCTTCTATACTCGCGTCCCCGTACGCGCGGTTGCATATCTCAGCCGGGATAAAGAGGATAAAGACAGTACTATGTAATACCGTACTCGGAAGTTCTCGCGTGATACAGCCCAATAGGGCCATCCAATGTATCAGAGTTCGGGAGGACCGTGGACGCATCTCCCAGGGTCGGTAGTGAAGGGAAACCCCGGAAATCGCCAGTGAGCCGGCAGAGTGGTCGCGGTGGGGCAGTTGATTGGTCTGGTGCCGCCCACGTGTGTACCGAACTAGACCAATGCAAAGAGGGAACACGGCTCAGGGATATTGTCGAGCACCAGGAAGGGATAACGTACGTAGATATTCAAAATGTATGTAGATACTTAAGTTGTCGAGCCTGCCTCACCGAAGTACCGATATTTGCCTCACCTCACCTCACCGGGGGGCCAGGGTTGGTGTTGCGAGCTTGATATTATTGGTATTAGTAGACGGGCCGGACAGAAACGCGCTTTGCTAACTAGCAGGTACTCCGTGTCCCTGCAACATACATTCCTAGGCACACAGTTTGCGCATGCCTTGATAACGCTCTGCACGCTCAAGGTGGTGAGTCCGTTGAATGGTTTCATAAGAAGCCATGAGCATGCTGGGGTGTTTCTCTCGACGACGAAAGTCGGCGTAGGAGGAGTATTGGCCGGTGAGCTGTAGCCCAGCCCAGATGGGTTAATTCACTGCTTGCACTAGTGCTAAATGCACTCAAGTAGGCGTGCTAGGGGGGACTAAGCCAGGGTCTCTCGGGTGTTTTGGGGGTGAGAGAGGGGTCAAAGTAGCATCCCGAATCGACAAGCCCGTGGACGGTGTTGGTCCCGACTCCGTGCCCATCTGCAGTCAGTCCCCTCCACCTGCTGGAACGGCTGAATGGCCAGCGGTAACACGACACCATCAGATCTGACCTGGTGGAACTCCCTCTGCTCTGCTCTGCTCTGCTCTGCTCTGCTCTGCTCTGTTTTCTGTCCAACAGCAGAGGCTGCCTGCCTGCCCAGCGCCGTCCTGACACATCGCACCCGACGACCTCGACAGCCCCAGCTGCTCTGGGCGGAAAGTCGGGGCAGACGCTTCCGTCCAGTGAATCGACCCCACGGCTCACGGCCGCCAGACGGGCTCGACCTCGACTAAACGTTGACGGCGCCTCCTTCGAGCAGCCCGTCCAATCGAGACACAGTCGCCACGACCTAACCAGAGGGGCCGTCGCTGGCAGGCTGCATTTCGGCGCTTCGTCAGAGCTCCCAGGGGAGCAGAATACTAGTTCGCCTTGTTGAAATACAGCATACAGCACCGCCGAGTTCTCTACTGAGGCTTTGCTGGCTTGCTTGCCGAAGGGTATTGTGCCAGACATCAACATGGGCTCCGGTGATCAGAAAGCTCAGCATTCTCACAGGCACTCAGCAGGCGGCTCGCACCGTCGCCGATCCGAATCTCTGAAGCAAGGCCGAAGCCGACAGACTTCCGTCGTCTCCAAGCCCTCCGTCCCCTCCTTGCGTTCGGCCTACTCGAGCACGACCGTTTCGACGTCATCCGCCCATCGCAACAGCGCCTCGACACGCAACGACCCCGACTCCCCAGAGTCGCAGGCCTCGATCGACTCCATCGTAGACGACCCCTTCTTCCAGCAGTACCACGCTGCTGACAAGTCGGTCGCCGCCGGCGAAACGGCCACCGAGTCCCAGTCCACCTTCCTCCGCCATGAGAGCCCGCCCCCTGAACGACAACCAAAGTCAGTACCACGGAAAGAGTCGCTGACCGTATCCGATCTGGGTCCTCTCGTACGCTTGCCTGCCCGGGAGACTTGCGGCTGGTTTCGAGCTGCTAACGTGCAACTATCTAGCCCCGTATGCGCGACACCATGGAGAGCATCAACATTGCAGTGATAGGGGCCAATGGCGTGGGCAAGTCCCATTTCGTACAGAGAGCCATGTCGCTCTCTCGGACGCCAGGGATCCAGCCGTCCACAGCACGTATTCATTTCGACAGTGTGCCTTATGCCGTCACGCTGTTCGAGTTGGACCTGGAGTATTTCGACGTGGATCCCGAACGCCAAATACAATGGCCGAGGCAGATTGGCGGCGCTCTGATGCCCGCTATACATGGAGTTCTGCTTCTCTACGATGTGATGAACCGGGATAGTATCATTGAACTACCGCAGACACTGAGTAAGTCGTGCATCCTCTGCGCCTGTCGTGAAACGATGTCCTTTGCAGGGCGAGTGAGCAGAAGCTAAAGTGATCAGCCGCCCTGGTGAATTCGTCACTCCCGACCGTTCTTGTTGCGACCAAATGCGATAATCCAGAAAGCGCGAGGCAGATCGATACCGAAGGGTTGGCCGCCGCCTGCAAATCATGCATTGCGAGCTTCCAGACGTCGGCTAGCAAGCCCGAAACTGCAAGGAATTCTTTATCGACCCTTTTGAAAGCATTGATATCCGGTCGTCAAGGTATGCAAACCTGTACTCCATCACCCCGATTTGGTCTTGTTGCTCTGGCTGCGCGTCAGACGTCCCAGTTCTACTGGCAACCTCCAGATCTTGCATGTCCGGCCTGTCTCACCTGGTACTAACGCGACGTAGACGAAGCTGGAGAAACAACTGGCATGAGGCGCCGGGCAGCATCAGCAGCGCACCTGGACAAACCCTTTGATCCCACAGGCGGACGACCCTTGAGCCAACACAGCAAGCATAGCCGCGCCAGTTCAGACATGTCACTTATTCGGGGTATGATGACCCAACCAGGCAAGGCCCATGGATCTCCATCTAGATCACCGCGTATTAACTATCTAGGAGGGTTGGGAAGCATTGCGCATAATGCAGGTGACGAGATGAGTGTTTCCAGCATGCTACGCACCCCCGGCATTCGCCTTGATCAGTCCAACACAGCGTCCTTCCTGGACATCGATGAGTCTGATGGAGAGTCCCGTCGGTATTCGGATGACATACCCATCCTGCAGAGGAACGATGACATGAGCTTTGACCGACCAGCAAAGAAGGCGGGCGTGACGTTTGACGAGCTCGTCGACCGCTTGCTGGCTGCAAAATTCAGCAAAGCAGATGCCAACTTTTCAGACGTGTTCCTCTGTCTGTACCGCAAATTCGCAGCACCTGCCGAACTTTTCTCGGCCATCTTGGCGCGGCTGGACCGCATCAAGGACGACAAAACAGTACACTACCTGACGAAGACGTCGACACAACTGCGTGTTATCGAGGCTGTGGCGAAGTGGGTGTCATCTTATCCCACCGACTTCGCAAGGCCAGCGACACGGCGACACCTCGAAGAATTCATCCGGCACTTGGCAACGGAACCAATATTCGCCGCCGCAGCGCAAGAAATGAGGCGCATGATGGATCTCTGCGTGTTCGAAGATGATGATGCAGGATGGGCCAAGGCCGATGAGATGGAGGCACCTAGCCATCCTGCCTCACTCAAAGCTGCGGCAAGTAATAACGACCTCCACGAAAGCATGAGTTCTCTTAGCGTGGGTGAGCCGGTTGATAGGCGTCCGTCAGCCAGCTCGTCTCTGAACACGTCCCTGAACACGGAATCGACCACCTCCCAGAGGTTTCACCAATTCCAGTTCCACTCATATGACGACTATGAACGAGAGGCTGTGACAATGGTACCTTCGTACACCATGCCGCTTACAAAGTTTCGATACCATATCTTCATGGATACCTCAGATGACGATATCGCGGATGAGTTGACGAGGATTGACTGGGTCATGTTCTCTTCCATTCGAATCAGAGATCTCGTCAGGGCTGTCAGCCTTAATGCCCAGCAGAAGGAGAACTCTCAGAGTATGAAGAATGTCAACCGAATGGTCAATCACTTCAACCACATCGCCAAGTGGGTAGCAAATATGGTGCTGATGAGAGACAAGGCGAAACACCGCGCCCAGATGCTTGAGAAGTTTATGAACATCGCCTTGAAGCTTCGTCAGCTGAATAACTACAACGGCCTGGCAGCTATTCTTGCTGGAATCAACGGAACTGCCATTCACCGCCTCAATCAGACGCGATGTCTCGTGTCAGCTGACGTACAGAAAAGGTTTGCCAGGCTCGTTCTCCTCATGGGCACTCAGAAGAGCCATTTTGCCTACCGCCTGGCGTGGGAGAACTCACCGCTTCCTCGCATCCCCTTCATGCCGTTGCACCGCAGAGATCTTGTGTCTGCAGAGGAAGGCAGCATGACTTTCGTTGGACCCGAAGGTGACCGGATCAATTGGAAAAAATTCGAGGTCCTCGGGGAGATCATCCTGCCCATTATCAAGAGCCAGGGCACTCCATATCCGAACCTGACAAAGCACGACACGGCACGAGAACTTATTCTGGACTGTCTCATGCCAACAGATGAAGAGGTAGGCAAGCCCTTTGGTGCTCCCACTGCACTGTCGCTTAGGCTCAGTTCTAACTTCGCTTGCAGGATATATACCAGCGCAGTATTCAGGTTGAAACACCCACTGGCGGCTACGCCGGCGATGGAAAGAAGAAGTTCCCCTGGTTCGCAAAGCAATGACGGACACATATAGAGCCCGCTGGATGATTGGGCCCGGATGAATCTACGATTGAGGATGGCGTCAAGGTATGGATTTGTCGCAGGCGGGGCCATAGATTTGGTGAACTGGATAACAGTGCCATACACTCAGATACCAAACAGTCTAGACAGGCTGTGCATGTAATTGATTTGCATTCGAGCGTCACAATAGCTAATAATCTTGCCCCTTCGCGTATGTCCGAAAAGATGCGTCTGCTCGACTATTTGTGTGTGAACATGAGTCTGTGAGCAATCCCACTTGGAGACTAGATTCTTGCAGCGGATTCTAATTGACAAAGACCTAGCAAGCAATATTCCGCGGTCGCCATCGATAATACCCTTGTCCCGTCATTCCACGTGGGTTGGCCTAGGACCCAGTCCCCGAGGTTACATAGCACGTCAACGATGCCTGTTCTGGTCACAGCGGTCTTTGGCGAGCTATGATAATGGAACTTGCAGGCCCGTGGGCAGACCAGGCAGTTTTCTGGCAGGCACAGTATCGTCTGAAAAGCTGGGCAAGACCCATTGCCCATCAAATGATACATATCCACTCGGAGTGGGATGAAATTCGACCTAAAAAGCTACTGTTACCTGCTGAGACAGCACCCCATTTAGTCCAGACCGTACGACGTGGCCACGTGGGGAAACCCCGCTACCGAGTTTTGAAGTTGTAGATCTTGTGCACACTCTGGTCGATTTCATAATCCGACTTGGCGCGCTACTTCTCCGACGAAGGAAGCAATCTTGACTTCATATACCACATCCACGTAGACGACCATAACGGCTGGTAAAGTTAATAGTGGTTATACTTTCACCAAGGAAAACTCTATCGGGCCCTAGCCGACCCGGGTCCTCGGTTCCTACCGAATAGCGCCTTTAGTCTGGATCTCGGTCAAGGACCTCGGGAACCTCTCTCTTTCTTTTGGCTCGTATCTGCCGAGCCCACAGGCCAAGTCCTGGCGATAAAAGGCAACAATTCACGAGTGACAAATAAGACCGAAGGTTTCGCAACTCATCGTCTGCAATACTGCAACGTGACATTAGTCTAGGTTACTTGAAAAACATAAGGCGGGCGGTGACTAAAGCCGACACAATGCCTTCAAGCTTGGAAGAGATCTTGCTCGAGCTACTGGGCAACGGCTTATAACCGTCTCGGTCATACGTTTCGAACCATTGTATCTTAGCAGATCCAGGGAAGTGTGGGTATCCAGCGCAGACGTTACGGTTTCTCCCCGACCAGAACTCTGGCCTTGACCTAAGATTGCCCCGGGCTATTGTATCCGCCATATCCCCGGACCACAGTCGTCTCGCCCCGAACGATACAGAAATCTAGGGTGATCAAAAAAGATAGCGTCTTCTGTAACACCAACCGTGTCTGGGCTGCGCTGAAGCACTGGATCTGGCATTTTGTTTGGTACTAGCATGCCGATCTTTGCTTTGTAATTGCAATGTCATCTTATGACACTTCAACGGCTTTTATATCCGTTGGGTTCCTGCATCTACTCTCGGAAGATAAGCCTGTTCGAAAAAACACGAACTTGCCCTAGACCTGTCAGACCTGAGGCTCTAGGCTGTCCAAAATAGTCCGAAAGGAGTTAGAGATCACCCGTGCACACGTTCTGATGGGTCCCCAGGTGGCTACCGACAGCCCTGGGAGATCTAATGCCCCTGTATCGAATATCGCTTGTGTCCCTGCAACCGAAGAGATTCGACAACTTTTAACTGGCAACTGGGCCTGTCAACCCACAATATTTACTCCGTAGTTGCTAATGACAATAACTTAGCGGCTTAGACACACGACCTCGGCAAGCTGTACCCTCTAAGTCCACCTGGGATGCGACATACTAACCCTTCCCAGCCTGAAGCCCGCGCTGTGTCGGACTGTCAGAGAGCCGCTACCCTGTATTTTATATGTTGAATGTCATGCAGATCAAGAGCCGTTGCCGTTGCCGTCAAGGCATGCCCCGGTACGTGGACAAGGACGGGATTTTAGGGGGGGCCAAGCCGCACGCATACCAGGCAAATGGGATGACCGATCATGCGAATGACAGGCAGGGTCACCCTCCGCTGTCAAAATGTCATATAACCCCCAGAAACCCCCGGCTGCACTCTCGCAGGATGGACCCTGGGTTTTTCGCTTCCAAACGACCGGTTTGCAGAACTCCAAGCGGAGGATTATAGAGTTTGCAGGCCGTCAAGATGGCTGCCGAAATCGAGAACAGGGGACCGCCGCTCTTTGCCATCGATGTCTTCTTTATGACACTGGCTATTATTACCAGTCTCCTCAGGTTCTATACTCGTATCTTCATGGTCAAGGCTTTTGGAATCGATGACTGGTTCATGCTGATTGCCACGGTACGAAAACAGACATCCCAACTCCCGAAGAGTATACAGCAGTCGCTAATCACAACTATATGACAGATCGCTTTTACTTTGTTTGCTTCGTTTTCGATAGCTGGTGTCCACTATGGAACTGGCAGGCATTTTGCCGACCTTGAACTTCACAATGCAATAACCGCTATGAATGTATGTGAACATCTATCATCAGGAATTCACCTTGAGAATCATGCCAGCTAACAAGGCTTCCAGTGTTGGTTCTTCTGTTACCTCTTCTACGCCATGAGCATGATCGCTTCGAAACTCTCCATCGGCTGCTTCCTCCTCCGAATAACCGTGAAGAAGATACATATCTGGATTGTCTACGCCGCCATGTCATTCTCCGTCCTCGCCGGGTTTGCGTTCTTCCTCGTCACGCTCCTGCAATGCCAGCCCGTCTCGTACTTCTGGTATCGAGTGGACCCGACGGCGCCCGGCACCTGTGTCAGCGCCGACGTTATCATCGCCCTGGCTGCTCTGTATAGCGCATTCAGTGTGATTTCGGACTTCACATTCGCTATACTCCCCGCATTCCTCCTGTGGGATCTCCAGATGAACAGGAGGACCAAGTTCACCATCATTCCCATTCTTGCGATGGGCTGTATGTAAGTCAAATCCGCGGCCTCTCATTCATCCCAACCCGAACTAACGACTCTGTTTAGTGCGAGCTCGGCGGTCGTCGCTCGATTCCCGTACCTTCACCAGCTCCGTGACACCGACTTCCTCTTCGCGACCGTGGACATCGCGATCTGGTCCTGCGTCGAGCAGGGCCTCGCCATCACGGCCGGGTGCTGCGCCACGCTGCGGCCTCTCCTCAAGGACATCGGCACCAGGCTGGGCTGGACCAGGCCGAGCGGCGTGTCGGGGGCCACGAGCGGCATCGGGCAGCACTCGTCGGCCATGGCCATCAGCGGCCGCAGCCGCAACCGCGAGCTGTACGACCTCAGCGACTTCTCGCAGATCGACGACGACCCCGAGGCGAACCGTGCCGGTGGCGACGGTAGCGGCAAGGCCAAGAGGGATGTGCGGTTCAGCGTCACGGGTTTCGGCAAGGGCGGCAGGGACAGCATGAAGCTCAAGACCGTGTGTGAGAAGGACGAGAGCCAGGAGGAGCTCCGTGACCAGACGAGCAAGGAGATTGTTGTCAGCAAGGACTTCTTGGTCTCCAGCGAGTGGAAATAAGAGGAACATTGGGGTTAAAAAATTAAAAGTTCTGGCACTGCCGGGGAAGGGAGGTTTACGGCGACTCCCCCATATTATGTACAATATAATTACGATCGATTACGATGACGAGTATGAGCTTGGAGTTTTTTTTATTTTTTATTGGTTCCTACATGCGGTTCCCACTCTAGTATAGCCCTGGCGCTGTCAACACGGCATCAGAAGCGGCGTGATTCCTGTACCTCGTCGGGCTTCCTCACCACGTTGCGCTGGGTGCCAGTCTTGACAACTTCCTCGACGATCATTGTCAACGTCTCAACCCGAGATATCGTACGGACACGAAATGACCCAGGCAATATACAAGTCAAATCGATCAAGACCTTGTTCCAGTCTTAGCAAGTCTTGATGATAGTAACTGTGCTGAACGATCCAAGGCAGAAATCATTCGGGACTGGAAGACTGCACCAAACATAGCTAGGCCCCACGGAGAAGGGCGGCCTAGAGAACATTATGGCAAATGCAATCATAATACAGAGTATTGTGACCTGATGAAAGTCACCACTATTTCCGTGCTGAGACCTGTCACCACAGAGTGCTTGGCAATCTCTCAATAAAGGCGTAAGTCAGATATGGTGCCTTAGCCAAATCAACTGGACCTCACATTTGAACAACTATTGAATCATTCTTCACCATTTAGACAGAGATGACAACTTTCCTTGAGCTGCATTACCGGTGTGAGAGGAAGGGTCATGTCGAGTCGAAAATAACATTGATCGGTTATTAGATTAGTCAACTTCATTACAACCTTGTCAGGAAGAACTACTAATGGCAAACATATTCTTCAGCCAAGCCTCGGTGGATGCATATCTGATATACTTCAAACTTCGAACGGCTAAGCATTCGCTTTGGCTACCACTACCACGCATCGCAAGATGCGAGTATGTTCGAAGAAGATATACAAGAAGCTGATTTCGTATCACGCGGCACCGTTTTTAAGGTCGTAATTCAGTTTTATATGATACCTTGCCCGAGGCAAGAGCACGAGATGTGCAAAGTGTTTGTTGATCAGGAAGTAAATCCTTCATCTCTATGTACAGCTTAATTTGAGCAAGCAGATAGCTCCTTGAAGGCCAAGACGCGGGATGGGCAATCTAGGCTAACTTGATGGTATAGATACAAGGCATCATCTAGTTACGGAGTCAAACACACGTTGAGCTCATGGTCGGAGTGTGCATACTCCGACAGTTTAAGTGCAAGCATGGCGGAAGTCTACTCACAGAAAGGGCCCTCTTCGATGAAACTAAGCTGTAGATGATGAGGAGCGCCAAAGACGTTATGACGCACGCTGGAAGAGCACTGGACAAGACTTTTGCAGCTGGTTGGACGGATTCGAGTTGATGGTCAAATCCGGGGCTCAAGAGTCCACTGCAAGTTGAACTGAAGTTGGATGAATACTGTCAGAAATTTAGTATACACTATTCACTCGAATTCCACACGGCAACTGCAAGGTGCTGCAGCAAGATTGGCAGCCACTGAAGTTGCATTGCGGGTGGGACGGGTTTATAATCCTAAAAGGCACGTGGGCAAGTAGATGAGGCAAGCTGGAAGCATCGTGGTGTGTCATTATACAGTGAACAGTAAGCGAAGCAATAATTCGATAGCTGATTAATGAACATATATATACCAAACATTCACGCCATATTCAAAGCAGTGCGCTGGACTTGACTTTGTACTTCGCCAATCGTGAGCTCAAGGTACATTCCGTCGGGCTTCACTTATAATGTTACACAACCGCCACAAACATACATAATTGAGTGCCCAGGCATGTAGGAAGCAGGGATGGACACAAAGTAAGAGACAAAAGGACATCAACAGATCTACGGATTTCTCGCTGCAAATGCGACTGGATGGCGGGGGGGGAATTGGATGGATATTATCAATAGTCGATGCGTCGTTCCGAGCTCAACGGATGGCATTTTTCGAATGGGCATCCACCGGAATGCAGGTAAAGTTTCGGAGCTGTGTCAGGTCTAGACCGTTGCCCAGGACGGTTGAACCAGGATCAGCTGCGCTTAGTGTGCATGCTGACTCCTGAGGCTCTTATCGGCGTTCGCCAACATCGTGGCCCAAGCCGCCGATCGGGAAACTTGGCGACAGGAGCTCGAGGGATTTGACGGCACAGGCACTGAAGAATGATGTCACTCCCGCCAAACTAGCGGTGTCCCCCCCGGCCAGGAAGCTCCAGCCCGCCCTCCAGTCCCCATTCTCCAGTTGGCCTCCAGTGGTCTCCAGTGGTCTCTAGTGGTCTCCAGTACTTGATTCCCCGTACAATTCTCCGCACGATTCCCCGTCTCTGTACTTTGCACGTTCCAGTTGACCGGGGGTGGGTGATGAGAGAGCCATCCCACCAACTGCAGCACCCCCCACCACTGCACCACTGCACCACTGCGCACGACTGGATGCTGATGCTGAGCGCGCTTCTCATCCCGACCTTGCCCCTCCTCTACCCTCCCTGGCATCGTGTATCTGCTGCAGTCTGCAGTCGGCAGTCTGTCTAAGTTAGCCTGCAGCACCGTAGCATCGTTCCAAAGTAGCGGCGGGCACTTCGTTCGTCCTCGACTGTCTGCCCCGACGTTGCACACCTCACCGTCCTAGACGCCCTTTAGCTCCTCCCTGCTCGTCTTCGGCTTGCCAGAACTAGGTAGTGCCCCTCGCTCAGTAGCTCGCGTACCTGAATCTTCCTGCCACACCCATTTGTCACCACCACTACCTGCAAGCTTTTTTTTTTTCTTCCCTCTCCCGCTGGTGGCTTACTGACAGCTTCACTCCTGTGTTCCGTAAGCTCTTGTGTGAAGTTTGGGCCTCAATTGATCAAATCTTCGCGCTGATCCACGGCCTCGTCCTTTGTTGTCATCCACCCCCCATCGCTTCCCACCGGGTGTCATACTAGGGGCAGCAAGATGGTTGTCTTCGACGGCCACGAGTACCTGACCGCGGAAGAGAGGCGTCTGAAGGAGGATCGCGACCGCACCAAGTACTGGAAGAAATGGGGTCCCTACGTCGCCGAGCGGCAGTGGGCTACAGGCAAGCCGAGACTCAAAGCCGAGAGGCCTCTCACCACCGGACCCTCGGCCATACTAACCGTGCCCATCCAGTCCGCGAAGATTACAGTCCCGACGGTGACGCTTGGAGTCGTGAGTGCAGCTCTCCCATGCCGTGATGTGCGATGTGTTGTGATCTGTGATCCGTGGTTCGTCTCGTGTACTGTACTAATGTCTTGGTGCCCAAACTAGACTTCACCCACGACGATGCCCGCTCGAGAGCTTTCCGATGGGGTGAGGATGGTATAGCTGGTGTCTCTGATACCCACGGTCTGCAGAACATTGCCTTTGCTTTTTGGAACGAAGAAGAGTGCGTATAGCAGCGGCCATGGCTCTACCAAGTATATGTCGCTTACATGCCCCGTAGCCCGTTCCTCAAGGAGCGCCTCTTTGGCTTGTCGAATCCCCAGGGTAACCATGGCGAAAGTATCAAGGAAGCTCACTTCCACCTTGACAACACTCCTGTACGTCAGTCCCAACCCCAGTTATACATGGCCACTGCTAACGTGTACAACAGACAGTATGTTTCCTGCTGACCCTCCTCAAAGGCTTACCTTCGCTCACAATCATAGCACTCGTACATGAAATACCTCTACAAGTACCCCCAGAAGGCCTTCCCCTACGAAGATTTGCTCAAGGAGAATGCAAAGAGATCCAAGACCGAGAAGGAGTACCAAATCGTCGATACCGGCATCTTTGACGAGGACAGATACTGGGATATCGTGATCGAGACTGCCAAAGAAGATGACGACCCTGACGAGCTGTTGTTCCGTGTGACAGCCTGGAACAGAGGTCCCGACCCGGCTCCCATCCACATCATCCCTCACGTGTGGTTCCGGAACACCTGGGCGTGGGGTAGAGAGCCCGAGGACAAGAAACCCTCCATCAAGGCTCACGCCGAGAACATGGCAAAGTCGACACACCACAAGCTTGGCGAGCGCTATGTTCTAATGTCCCCATCGCCCGGAGTTGGCCCCAGCGGTGACGACGTTCAGCCGGAGCTGATGTTCACTGACAACGACACAAACTTTGATCTTTTGTATGGCCAAGAGAACAAGACCCCGTATGTCAAGGACGCATTCCACCAATACATTGTCGAGGGCAAGAAGGCCGCCGTCAACCCAGCAAAGTCGGGCACCAAGTGTGCATCTTGGTTTGCGTTCAACGAGTCTGGCGGTGTTGCACCCGGGGAGTGCGCAGGTACGTCCCCCCTAAAGCAACGAGTGCTGCGAATATACTTACCGTCTATCAGTTGTTCGTTTCCGTTTGAGCAAGAGAAACGAGACATATCTCGACGAAGAAGACTTCGATGAAATTGTTGAGAGGCGCCGAGACGAGGCAGACGACTTCTATTACCGCATCAGCCCCCTACCCATGAGCGACGACCTCCGCAATATTCAACGCCAGGCGTTCTCGGGCATGATGTGGTGCAAGCAGTATTACCAGTTCATATGGGATCAGTGGGCGAATGGAGATCCTGCTCAGCCTCCGCCCCCTGCCAGCAGGAAGGAGGTCCGGAACGCTCAATGGAAACACCTGCACATCGATGATATTCTGTCCATGCCAGACTCCTGGGAGTACCCGTTCTTTGCTGCTTGGGACAGTGCGTTCCACTGCATTCCTCTAGCCATGATCGACCCCGATTTTGCAAAGAAGCAAATAGACCTGTTCACGAGGGAGTGGTATCTACACCCCAACGGTCAACTGCCAGCGTGAGTGTGCAAGGTCAACTTCGTCGATACCCGCTAACTTGTCACGTAGGTACGAATGGAACTTCGGTGATGTGAACCCACCCGTTCACGCCTGGGCAACGTTCCGTGTCTTCAAAATCGAGCGAAAGCTGTATGGACGACAAGATTTGGATTTCTTGGAGCGCGTGTTCCAGAAATTGTTGCTCAACTTTACCTGGTGGGTAAACAGAAAAGACACGGACGGTAAGAATGTGTTTGAGGGAGGCTTCCTTGGTCTCGACAACATTGGTCTCTTCAACCGTTCCGAGCCTCTGCCAACTGGAGGTGTTCTCGAGCAAGCTGACAGTACTGGCTGGATGGCCTTTTACTGTCTTTCCATGCTCAACATTGCCCTAGAGCTCGCCAAGCACAGGCGTATCTACGAAGATATCGCCACGAAGTTCTTTGAACACTTCATCTTCATCAGTGATGCGATGACGTTCAAGACGGGCAAGGAAGAACAGTCGCTGTGGAACGAGGAAGATGGTTTCTACTATGATGCTATCTCCTGGGGCGGACCTTGGATCCAGCAGCTCCCTGTAAGATCCCTCGTAGGCCTGATTCCGCTCTACGGCACCTTGACCCTGGAGCCTGAATTGATCAACAAACTCCCCTCATTCAAGAAGAGGGTCGAATGGTTCATGGAACATCGATGCGATCTCGCGGAGAGGAACATGGCCAGTATCAGGAAAAGGGGCAAGGGCAACAGAATTCTTCTGGCCATGGTCAGCAAGGACCGCCTCGAGAAGATTCTTAAGAGGATGCTGGACGAGGACGAGTTCTTGAGCGAGCATGGAATCCGTTCATTGTCCAAGTATCACAGAGACCACCCCTACTCGATGGATGTTAACGGACAGAAATTCACCGTAGGGTACGTTCCTGGAGATTCCGACAGCGGCCTGTTTGGAGGCAACAGCAACTGGAGAGGACCTATCTGGCTGTGCGTCAACTTCCTGCTGGTCGAGTCTCTGCAAAGGTTCTATCTGTTCTACGGGCCTCAGTTCCAGGTCGAGTGCCCCACTGGCTCTGGCGACTTCATGCATCTTGGGCATGTTTCCGAGGAAATTCAGCATCGACTACAACACCTGTTTGCGCGCCGCGATGATGGACGTCGCAGTGTCAACGATGGGAACGACGTGCTCGACTTTGACCCCCATTGGAAAGATCACATGTGGTTTCATGAGTTCTTCGATGGCGACACAGGGCGTGGACTAGGCGCCACACATCAGTGTGGCTGGACTGGTCTTATTGCTCGCATGATCCACGACACTGGGTAAGTTACTTGCGAAAAACCGGTGATGGATCTTTCCGTTAACTGTTCTCTAGAATCAGCTGCCGCCTACCTCAGACACCACGGACTCCCTCCGTCGGTATGGCACACTATTTCGATGATGTCTTCCACCGTGCCGTGGGCTTGGGCAAAGACAAGCCACAGAAGCCGCACATGCGACGCTCTTCGACTGCGAGATCAATCGGCGCTCGCAGTGACTTTGATAACTCTGTCAACGGTGATGATGACGACGCTGCGTCTTTGAGCAACAGTGTTGGTCACCTGGACCCGGAGCTCATTAACCAGCGTCGGGAGGCGGATTCGCACATGCACCAGTACATTAGCGATCAGCTCGAGAGGGTCAAGACTGACGACGATCACGCTGGGTACGAGTTTGGCGACGAGTACGAGACGCACGCAGAGTAGCGTGAAAACGGCATTCGGTATTTGCATACAGGCGAGGCAACAAAGTTTACTACAGGAAGTCGTGATCGGACAGATTGACGAGTGCATGGTATCTGACTAGATAACCCTAGACACAAGCGATTAGAGCATGGGATTGTTTTGGAGAGGGGCGCGCAAGGATAGAAACGTCTGAACTGAAGATATCTACCATAAAGAATAGATTGAAGGTGCGATGAATTGTTAGACGTCATTCAATACAAGACAACCCCCATCTTCGTCGGGAATCTGGCTTGCTCGTGATCATCATCTATGGTGGCTTTGAAAGCAACGGGCGAACTGGATGCCAGCATGATTCGAAATACTACCTAATAAAATATCAGACGCTCACAATGCCCCAGAGGCTTTTGTTCTGTGACGTGATTATACTTGACCGAATCGCCCGATGTCCTTTCGGTGATCTTGCTAGCTTGTCACGGGGATTGATTTTTTAATGAACCCAATTCTAAAAGTAGCTAGAGAATGTTATACAAGCCTTGCTTCCGTGAAACCTGGGTCGTACGTCGTTTCTGATGATAAAACAGTCTTGAGCCCTGCGGGGTCGAGTAGTCGCTGTGATGGCGAGTGTGTGCATCGCGTTGCGCTAGGATGACCAGCCAGACCCCTGTAAACTCCCAAAAAGGCAACTAGCAAGACAGTATACTCGGCTGGCCCAGACCACCGCCATCTCCAAACCCGTTGGAACGCCTCTGGTAGGCGCCGCTGAGAACCCGACAGGCGCTCTAGAGGCACGCCGTATTGACCATTCATTTCACCGTATTCCGTTTGCTTGTTGCCCCGTGTGCTCCCCCCAATCAGGATAATCGATACACCCCCGTAAGGCATCTGTCACCTTTTCTTGCCATTCACTGGAAGAGCACCCGGGTAACCACAGGTGACCAGGAAAGCTTTGTCAACCCATCTTGCATGTTCAGCGATCCGTTCTCGTTCTTGTGACCTCACTTCAGTCACATTAGTTGCTCACCAACTCGTGAACGTATTGAGACCCGACGACATCAACAATACTGCTCCTTCATTCTGCAAACACATAACCGCGTACAACTCTTTCAGAGATCGGCGATAATTGCTCGGAATCCTGACAGCTTCTTGAGCCCTTCTCGAATCGGCTGCGAACTTCGGCGACTGACATTCATCACACAGTGAGTATTTTCCAACGTCGTCCTTGCCTTACACACGACGAGCGACCAGACGACGAGGACCTCCCATCACTGTAGTAACTGACAATTGAATGCGGCAGCAATCGTCGGCCGACCAAGGTGGTTGTTACTGTTGTTGCATTTTGTTTATTGCATTGGCGCTCGGGGAACTGCTACTTGATCTTTCTTTCTACCGCGGTGCCAGCTTCCAAAGCTCTTACCCAACCTGAAGCGGTTGCCGCCTTCAATCGCGACTTCCGTTGCCATCGCGATGGACCAACAGCAGAACGCAGCTGCAACGCGGGTTCATGGCCCAGTCACAGAGAAGGTGAACGTCAACGTCAACGTCAACGTCAACGCGAACCAAACGGCCGCCACCAACCCACCTCGTCCATCCGCCGAGGACGCCTCCCGCCCCATCTGGGAGTACTCGCCGCTCGAGTCCAACGAAGCCATCCTCGAAGCCAACGCCGAGGGCAGCACCGAGGACATGGCTCCGCACCACGGCCGAGACCGCGGCGCCAGCCGGGGCGGCCAACCGCCCAAGCGCGCCGACCTCGACCTCACCGGCGTCCTGAGCCACGACCAGAAGACCCAGCTGGTCCAGTTGCTCAACAGCATCATGGACGCCATGCACAAGCAGATCAAGGACCTCTGGGACACGCTCGGCGACAACGTCGACGACTCCGAGGAGCGTGTCCGGCCCGAGGGCCTCGAGGTCCGCGCCATGTGCTGGACCATCCCTAACCCCCGAAGTGCCAAGTATGCCGCCCAGTTTGGCAATAAACCTGCAGGCTCTGAGCATACCGAGTCTTCCACTCCCTCGTCGGCTTCCACCACCACTCGACCCGGCCCCGTCCCTGGGCCTGGCGTTCCCCGGCCTGGCCCGGTTCTCGGTCCCGGCGTCCCGCCCATGAGAATGCCCAAGTCGCCCGAGGACGCAGCGCAGATGCAGGGCAAGACCACCAAGGCCGACATCTACAAGTCGCAGATGGTGGAGATGAAGCGTGACGTCTTGGCCAACTTTGGCAAGTGGCGCAGCAATTTCCAGAAGAAGCTTGCAGACATTACCATCAAGGGCGCCGGCAACGCTGGCAATGTCGTGTCCCAGGTTCCCCAGCCTGCTGGAGGTAGTGCCAAACGTGGTGGTGGTGGCACTCAGAGTGGACGAGGAAGACCTCCGCAGACAAGTGGTAAGTGCCTTTCCCTGCTCTTGTCGAACTTTTGCACAAGCATGATCTATTACCTTAGGTATCGTATCTGTCACCCGCCCCTTATCCTGTACAATGTTTCCCTCCGGAACAATGTAATGCTGTACCCATTTCGCACTTTGCCTACCAAAACTTCCTCTTTCATCAACACATCACCGTCACCAAAGCACAGTGTATCGCTGAACCTCTCGCCCCTTGTCTATAACAGATGGATGGGTGAATGTTGTCATCTTGGAGCTCAGGACTGCGTTTGCTGACTTGAGTTTACAGCCGCCATCGGCACGTCGGTTCATGAATTCAATGCCGTCTCTGCTCGAGCCTATCCACCTATTGCCAACACTCTCAATTCCGGCCCCAAGGAGAAGCGTGCCATGATTCTTCACGCTATCATGCTTATCCTGCTTGGCATGGAGAGTTACACGGCCCACTCTCGACGACTCTTGTGCCATCTCTGCAGCTCTCTGAACATCCCGCTGAATGTCCTCACCGAGGATGAGATTCGAGTTGCCAAGGCACTGTCCAAGATTGTCGAGGGCATCACGCCCGCGCAGATTGCCGCTCGCCGCGAGGTGGAAGGCCGCACCCGCCGCTGGAAACAGCCCAAGAAGGAGGCCGCTGTCGCTACGGCTGCGCTAAGCGAGGTTCATACAACGGCTCTCCATAATTCGACCAACAACGCCGCCAGCAATGGTGGTTTGGCCGCGCCCCTTGTCTCCGCCAGTCTTAGTACGGTATTCGGAGGACTCGGTCTCTCAACCACTGCGACGGCCGGGCTCCTCGGCCCCACGGCGGAAAGCTCAGTCGCTGTTGGTACCTTGTTCGGTCTGTATGGCTCCCGAGCAACCATTAAGATGACCGATAACTACCCAAAGGACATCCAGGAGTTTGCCCTGATGCCCGTCCACGGTTCGCAGCAGGACAGTCCCATGCTGGACCCCAAGGACGTCCACCCCGACGATCGACGCATGCGTGTCACCATTGGAATCAGCGGCTGGTTGACTGACGATCTGGGTGAGGATGGTTATAAGTACCCCTGGCAGGCGCTTGGTGACCAGACCGAGGTCTACACTGTCAGATGGGAACTTGAACATCTCAGCAAGCTAGGCGTTGCACTCGAGACCGTCATCGGAAGCGCTGCGTGGAGCCTGTCGAAGCAGGAAGCAGGTCTTTCTGGTACGTATCCAGCTATTCCCGTTCTTACCTCTCCCTACTCCCATGTATGTTGACTCACAGCAACTAACATTTCACCTTGCGTAGTCATCAACAGCCTCAACAAGCGCATCTTCCCGTACTCACTGACTCGCGCTTCGAAGCTCATCGACAACCCTTGGATCGTAGGCAGCGTACGTGCTGAGAAGCTAGGCCAGGTCCTCGGCGATGCGATTGTGAACAAGGTCGCAGGCGAGCGACCCGTCAGCCTCATCGGCTACGGCCTTGGAGCCCGTGCCATCTACGTCGCGCTCATGCACCTTGCAGAGAAGCGCTGCCATGGCTATGTCGAGAACGCCGTGCTCATGGGAGCACCTTGTCCCTCAATGGTCACAGCCTGGGCAAGCATGCGCGGCGTAGTCACTGGGCGACTGGTCAACGTCTACAGCAAGAACGACAGCCTCCTCGCCTTTGGCATGCGAGAGCTTAACTACACTGAGGGTCTGGCGGGTCTCGAGAAGATCGTCGGCGTTGCTGGCGTTGAGAATTTTGACGTCTCCAAGATTGTGTCCGCACATCTGCGATACCAGCATCTGGTCGGCCCAATTCTGAAGAAGATCGGCTGGGAGGATGTTGTCTCGTCCGAGGTTGTACGCAACGAGGCGTCACTAAACGCCATGATCCAGGCCGAGAATGCTCGGGACGTTCTTCGTCAGAAGCAGCCTCTCACCCGCCAGTACAAGGAGATCGAGGAGCTGGAGAAGATGGAGGGAATCACGGCCAAGACCACCAGTCTGACGCTTGAGCATATTGCTCCCACTACCACCACCAGCAGCGGCGGTGATACCAGGGGCAACAGGACCGCCCAGTCGGCCGGGTCGAAGGTCTAGGGGACTGATGGCAAGGGCCAGGGATCGGAGGCCATGAATGGTACAAGTGGTGATGGAAAGGGCAAAGGCAAGGACTTCAAACGACTTAACGGTCCTCCTCATGGTGGTGCTAGTGCTGCTGGTTTTGCCTCGAGCCAGGCCCCCAAGGGCAAGGAGAACGTCCACACCGACGGGAGCGTCGATGTTCAGGAGCAGGCTCCTGCTCAAGCCTCGAGCAGCGGCCGAGGTCGTAAGAGACGTGGCGGCAAGGGCCGAAAGAAGCACTAGGTTGGCATGCTTCAGCCCAACCTGGTTTGAAAGGTTTACCTCCTTATGGAGGTTGTCTGACAGGTTTCTCGGTGGTTGAGAGTTATTCGACGACCTCGTTGTATCCATCGTCCTTGCGACTTCCTTAATGGCGGTATAGAAGCCCGGGGGCTTGCACTGGGCACATTTGTACAGAAAGGAACTGTCAATGTTTGTTGTGGCATATTAGCTTGTCCGTGGCCAGTACGTAGAATTTGAGTAGGGTTTGGTAGCTTCAATGGACACACTCTGAACACATGGCTATACGTCAGCCGCGCTGCTCTCGTGCCAATTTTTTTTTTCTGTGCAGGTTGGCAGCCGACAGAGCCAGAGGTTCAACGTGCTCGGCGGATTTCCGTAAATTCCAAGAGGTTCCTCCATCCACTCCATCATGGCTCTTTCACGGCCTCTGCAGTTGATCCTCCCTTTGCAGCCGGACTGGCACTCCCACTCCCATTTCCACTCCTGACAACAAAGTACCGCCCGGCCGTCATAGTCGCCCCAGCCAGGACATCCCAATCCTCGACCCCGGCCACGGCTTCCCTCCTCGGCTTCTTCCCCTGCCCCGGTGCCCGTGTCCGCGCCGGGCCCGTGCCGGCGGCGGCGCCGTCCTCCCGCCTCCGCCGCGGCCGCCGGTTGTGGCCGACGACGTCCTCGCGGGCCAGGGCGCCGCGCAGGGCGGCCAGCCCGACCGTCTGCTCGGCGGCGACGCCGGCCGCCGTCTCGTCGCGCACCGCCACCAGCGGCCGCACCCCGCGCGTGTCGACGCCCTGCACCGCCCGCACGAACCGCAGCTGCGCCCGCAGCGTCGCCAGCAGCCCGGCCTCCTCGGCCGCCGACGCCGCCGGCGGCAGCGCCGACAGCCGCAACAGGTGGTGCAGCGTCTGCGGCGTTATCGAGTCCGAGTCGGCTTCGGGCTCGGCTGCGGGACTGCCGGTCGTGGTGGACGCCGCGCCTTTCGCGGGATTGGGGGCGAGCAGCGATCGGACGGACCAGGTGGGCTTGGAGAGGATGTCTCGCGGATTCGGCCGCGTGCTGGACGGTGGTGATGGTGGTAGATCTGGTGTTGCTGCCGAGCTCGATACGGAGCGGCGGCCTTCATGTGCGCGTCGTGGCTGCTGCTGCGGTCGCCATTGGCCGGCTTGCAGGCGTCGCCGGAGCGCGGTGCGGCATTGGGTGCATATCGCTGTGGGTGTTGTCGTCTTCATCGTGGCTGAGGGCGATTGTGTTGCTTGCCTGGAGTAGCTTGGCCGCGGGACCTAATGGGTGTCTTCCCTTGCGTTTCTAATGCTGGTGGTTCTGGGGGCTGCGCAAGGTGTGGCAAGGACAGCGTGTCGAGGAATTTTAGCTGTTGCAATACTTGGTTGCCTCGAGATTATTTGAGGCTTTCCCGAACGTATGGGCAGTATTGCGGATGGGTATTCCAGGAGTTTAACGGCAAATGTAAAAGGAACTTGCATGGGCACCAAAGATAATAGGAACCAAAAGTACTGCTACCTGGCGGGTCCCTGAAAACGGAATGGCATGGGCTGTGCAGGGGGACAGCTTTCCAAATGTTTGAGGCAAGGCGCGGCGTCATAGCTCGGCGACGAGCGACGAGGAGCACGTTTTAGATTCCAACACCACCATCACTTCACCCATTGCACCCTCCTCCTCTGTCTTTTGTCTGGACTCGCGACGATACGAACACGCTTCCATATTCCACCAACCTGAAAATCTACACACCACACGCACACGCGACGGCACCATGGCAGGAGATCCCCGCGCTCTGCTCCAGAAGGTCAGTCAGCCCGCCTGATGATGCCCCGCCAGCGGCTTCCCCCCACCTATCACACCCAGACACCGTTGGGTGAGTGAGGTCGCATACTGATGTCGCGCAACAGGCAGATAAGACGCTCGCCTCGGCGTCCGGCGGTTTCAGCTTCTTCGGAGGCAAGGAGGACAAGTACATGACGGCGGCCGACACATATATCGAGGCCGCCAATGCCTTCAGGGTGCAGAAGATGAGTACGTCTGCCGAGTCGCATGCCCTGCCGAGCCACAACCCACGGCCTGACAGCCTGCAACCACACCGCCGAACCATTGCTGACGCCCATAACCAGACAGAGAAGCCGGCCAGGCGTTCGAAAAGGCCGCCTCGGTGCAGATCAACAACCTGAAAGAGCCCGACGACGCCGCCAACACATACGTCGACGCCTTCAAGGTCTACCGGCAAGAGTCGCCCGAGGACGCCGTCCGCGTGCTCGAGTTCTCCATCCAGCAGTACTGCAAGAAGGGCAACTTCCGCCGCGCCGCTCAGCACAAGGAGAGCATGGGCGAGGTGCTCGAGACCCAGGTCGGCGACACCAAGAGGGCGCTGGAGTGCTACGAGCTGGCTGCCGGCTGGTACGAGGGCGACAATGCTTCCGCGTGAGTATTATGTCTTCAGATGGAAAAGCAAGGCTGGAAGGCTAACTTGCGGCTGCTTGCGCGCCCAAACAGTCTCGCCAACAAGCTCTGGCTCAAGGTGGCCGACATCGCCGCCCTCGAGGCCGACTATTACAAGGCCATCTCCAACTACGAGAAGGTCGCTGCCCAGTCGATCAACAACAACCTGATGCGCTACAGCGTCAAGGACTACTTCCTCAAGGCCGGCATCTGCCACCTGGCCTCGGCCGACATGGTCGCCACGGACCGCGCCCTCGAGAAGTACCGCGACATGGACCCGACCTTTGCCAGCAACCGCGAGCACCAGCTGCTGGTCGACCTGAGCGATGCCGTCAAGAATGGAAGCCAGGACGAGTTCACCGACCGCCTGTTCCAGTTCGACCAGATGAGCAAGCTCGATAAGTGGAAGACGACCATCCTGGTCAGGGTTAAGAATGCCATCCAGGCCGAGGAGGAGGATTTCTCGTAAGAAGGCTTGTGGGAGAGGGGGGAGAGTTGGCACAGGTGCACGGTTTGATTTGGTCTTTACTGGGTAATGCAGAGCATACGCTAGTACCCTCGAGCATGTGGTCAGTAGGAAAGGCGCGCAAGTTGCATATTCATTGTAGAGCATCCCGACAGTCGTCTTTGTAGCTCGGGTGGGATGAACAAGAAGTCTCGAGGCTAGTCGGGAAGACAGACAGCAGAGGGACCTCACTAGTCGGTTAGAGGGCCGAAATCAACAAGAAGAACAAACTATAGTATATGTGTCGCTGTTCGTGACCTGGACTGAAACCCGAAATACAGACAGAGTATGAACCACTCGTGGCTATATAAAACTCATCTCTCCATTAGAAGAAACAGCCAGTTCTTTGCATAGTACCAATGAGAAAACCGATCATGGTACAGAACTTTGCCAGATCATAAAGAGACGGGCAGGTTCTGAGCGCGAATGTCTGCGTCAGCGCCCGTTCCCATCTACATCGCGAAAACCTAGCTGCATGGGTCTTCAGATTTTGGGAAGGACGAGTCTAGCCGTCACAAAACCTCCAATCTCATGTTTCGAATGTCTCTGGCATACATGTAGTATACTATATTAGATATCAGATGAGCCTATAAACTGTAGTTACCTCAGACCTGCAGTAATCTTTAGTTTTGTTCTCGCAGCTGGCTGTCATTTGGCCACGCTGCTTCGACGATTAGTGGGGTTGATTGCGATAAGAGACTGATACCCAAAAATTTCCAAAACCCGGCCTTCGAACTTGCGGGTGCTTCGAGTCTTTGGCGGAAAGAAAACGATCCAGTGCTTTCAAAATGGCGACTTTGGAAGAGAAACTGGACAAGATCCGGTCGCCGAACCTTCAAAGTCAGCAACAGGTTCGTACCTCCTTCCCGACGCGCATTGCCAGGCTTGCGACGAGCTGTGCAGCTAACCTTGAAATTCAACCCGCAGACGGTTGTGATCTTGAAGGCGGTCGACGAGACTCTGAAGGAGCAGGGAGCCGAAGCGACACCCACGGGCTACTTCGCCGCCCTTCTAGGCCTCCTGAACCAGTCCATCACAGACGGCCAGATCAACAAGGAGTTGACCCCGTCCGTGGTCTACCTTCTCGATGTCGTGACGCCCTTCGCCCCCCAGTCGCTGCTCAGATCCAAGTTCACCCAGATCCTCACCCTCCTCGCTCCGGTTCTGCTGCTTTCCGACGCAGAGGCCCCGCTTCTGAAGCCATCCATCGGCTGTCTCGAGGCTCTCCTGCTTGCCCAGGACTCGGCAGCATGGAAACTCACCACTAACGAGATCAGCCCCCGCAGGGCCGTCGCCGGCCTGCTGAACCTCGCCCTGGACCACCGCCCCAAAGTGAGAAAGAGGGCTCAGGATGCCCTGCGAAAGGTGCTCAAGAACCCACCACCCAGCCCATCCCTCGACCACCCGGCCGCCGATCTATGCGCCGAAATCGCCATGAAGGGCCTTTCCGAGCTGGCGGCCAAGGCTCTGCAGTCCCGGAAGCAGAAGAAGTCGGCCGAGGGCGAGCACGACCCGGCTCTGATCCACGCTCTGCAGCTGGTCAAGACCGTCACTTCTGCCAGCGGCGGCTGGCCGAGCAAGAACATCGAGGCTCTGTGCGAGCTCCTGCTCAGCATTGCCAAGACCGGAAACGAGCACATGACCATGGCCGTCTTCGACATCTTCGAGATGATCTTCGAGGGCATGGCTGACGAGTTGGGCTCGGCCAAGCTGCCGCGCCTCCTCGAGATCATTGGGGAAATGCGGCCTTCTGCGAACGACACGCAGCTACTTCCGCCATGGATCGCCATCCTTTCCCGAGGCTACGACGTATCTGCTCAGATTGAGCCCGAAGACACCTTCCAGAAACTCCCCGAGCTCTTCAGTATGGTTTCCGAGTTTTTGGAGTCATCCTCGCACAACATCCGGGTTTCTGCATCGGAATGCCTGGTTTCATTTGCTGCCAACTGCATCCCCAGTCAGGTCATTATCGAGCCTTCGATATTCGACGAGAAGGTCCTCGAGAAGCTTTCCAAGATCGCAGAGGATCTCCTCACCGTGAGGTATCAAGCTGCGTGGATGGAGACGTTCAATGTGCTCGGCGGTCTATTCGACGCTCTCAGATGGCGTTCCCACCCGGTGCTGCTCAATGTTACAAAGAGTGTCGGAGACCTGCGCGGCAACGACTCGTTCATGGGCAAGAAGGAGGCAGATGAGGTGCTTGGAAAGGCCATCCGAGCTATGGGGCCGGAAGCAGTCCTCAGCGTTCTCCCCTTGAATCTGCTCAAGCCGGCCAAGGGCCAGCCCGGCCGAGCCTGGATGCTGCCCATCATGAGAGACTACACTAGCAACACCAACCTGCAGCATTTCAGGACCGAGCTGGTGCCTCTCAGTGAGGCCATGTTCCAGCGAGTTGTGGACAACGGTGACGCGCCGAAAACCATGGAAATCAAGATCTACGAGACTTTGGTGCAGCAGACCTGGTCGATTCTCCCAGGTTACTGCGATCTGCCACTGGATCTCACAGTTGCTTTCGATCAATCCTTCGCAGAAATGTTGGCCAATCTATTGTATCAGCAAGTTGGCCTGCGCCTCGATGTGTGTAAATCATTGAAGACTCTCGTGGAATCGAATCAAGCAGTTCTCTCGATAGAGGATGGCGAGGACTTGGCTCTGCAGAGCCGTGTGACGAAGGATGACGCCAAGAAGAACCTAGAATACCTGGGCACTTATGCGGGCAACCTTCTCGCTGTTCTGTTCAACGTCTACAGCCAAACCCTTGCTCAATCAAGAGGACCAATTCTGCAGACTATCAATGCCTACCTAAGTATCACCCCAGAGAAGGAGCTCGTGGAGACCTTTGATCGGGTCAGCAACATGCTGGCGACAGCAATTGCTGAAGCCGCTAGCGAAAAGGAGAAGACCAAGACTCAGAAGCCAAAGGACGATTCTTCATCGACGAGTCACACCTTGATGGATCTGGTTATTACCATGGCCGCCTACCTCCCTCGCCAGAGTTTTGCCGCTCTCTTCAACATTGCGTCTCTTATCATCGTCAAGGATGATGACCCTCAACTACAGAAGAAGGCCTACAAGCTCATCCCCCGTTTAGCAGCTTCAGAAATAGGAAAGGTGGCCTTGGAAGAGCGTTTCAACGAGCTACAGACTCTGTTGCTTTCCAACTCCGAAAAGGTCTCTGTGCCTGCTCGGAGGGAGCGCATCGCTGCGATCACGGCCATGATCCCCTTCGTCACCGAGGACTCGCTGCACTTCATCCCTTCGGTTCTCTCCGAAGTCGTGATCTGCTGCAAGGAGAACAACGAGAGAGCAAGAACCACCGCCTTCGATCTACTAATACTTATGGCACAGAAGCTTGAGGAGTCAAAGGGCCAGATGATCCAGAACAACAAGGTCCCACACATGCCAAGTGATGCCCCAGCCGTACCTGCAAGCATTGAAGAGTACGTCACAATGGTCAGCGCCGGTCTGGCAGGCAGCACTCCCCACATGATCTCTGCGTCTATCACTGCCATCACGCGAATTCTTTACGAATTCCGTGAGACCCTTCCAAAGGAGATGTTGAGCGATCTGGTGCAGACAATGGATCTGTTCCTCACATCGAACAACCGTGAGATTGTGAAGAGTGTTTTGGGTTTCGTCAAGGTCTGCATCATTAGCCTGCCGTCGGATATGATGCTTCCTCGATTGCCCACTTTGTTACCGAACCTGATGGTTTGGGGACACGAGCACAAGGGCCACTTCAGAGCCAAGGTCAAGCATATTCTGGAGAGAATGGTTCGCCGCTTTGGTTTCGAAATCGTCAACAAGCACTGCCCCGAAGCTGACCGCAAGCTGATCAACAACATCCGCAAGACCAAGGAGCGCAGCAAGAGAAAGAAGGAGGCTGCCAAGGCCGACGGCCAGGAAGGTGACGAGGACCAGGCAGATGGAAAGCGCCGAAGTCGCTTTGAGAGCGAGTACGACGAGGCTCTCTACTCAAGCGAAGAGTCCGACGCCTCTGAGGACTCGGACGACGAGATGCTCGGCAAACAGCGCAAGGGCAAGAAGGGAGGCAACACCTACATCATGGAAGACGAGGACGAGCCTCTCGATCTGCTCGACCGGAAGGCTCTGGCTAGCATCTCGTCCACCAAGCCGTCCAAGATGCGCAAGGCCGGCAAGACCAAGGCCAAGACCGACATGGACGGCAAGCTAATCCTGGGCGACGATGACGGAGCCGACGACGACGCCATGGTTCTCGACACACCTGCCGACGGCGCACAAGAAAGCGGCGTTGGCGCCTACGTTGCCGCACTCCGGGGCAAGGACGTCGCACGCCGCGGTCAGCGCGGCCGCCTAAAGTTCTCCAACAAGCACAGGAACCAGGGCGACGAGGACGACGAGATGGACGTCGACGAGAAGGACATGGCGACCATCAAGAACACGTTCAACCGGGGCCGGGGTAGCCCCCGCTCGCGCGGCGGCGACTTTAGAGGCGGGAGGGGCGGCGGCGGAAGAGGTGATAGAGGCGGAAGGGGGGGACGGAGCGGCCGTGGTTCGTTCTCCGGTGGCCGCAGGGGCCTGGGCGAGGGCAAGAGACACGGCGAGTCCGTCTTTGGCGGCGGCAAGGTCGGCAAGCCGGATTTCCAGAACCAGAGGAAGGGTGGGCGCAGATGAGGTGTTGATACCCAGACTGGCGATTTTCTGTGTGTTGCTGCTGCTGCTGCTCCTGCTTCTATTGCTTCCATGGGGTAGATAGTTATTCAGACACTTTTTGTTCTCTTCTGCGCATGGCATTTTACGGCGTATTGGGGAAAACAGGGGAGGGGTAAAAAGGAGAGAAATCGAGTCTAGATAGATAAATGTCATGAAATTTATTTTGTCATCTCAGAACCTGTTCCTCGCTTGATCTTGCGTGCTTGAGTCATTTGTAATTACCATAAGTATGTACGCGGGATGAAAATCTTCTGGATGAATGACAGTCGCATTCGCCCATGCACCTCAAAGCCTGGCTCTTCTAGCCAGGCCAGGTCTCATATCTCTCTCGCTCTCTTCTCGTCGAGATATACCAACGGCATAGGGGACCAGACCCGCCTGTACAACGACAAAATAGATAAATAAAACCCCCCGTTTCCTGAACGCCGTTTGATCGAAAGTTTGCTCCCCCTGAATCTCGTACAAAGCGAGTAAATGAGTATACTCTTCTCCGGAGTTGTAGCTATTCCACTCGTCGCCCCAAAATTACGGTCACTCGTCAAAGTCGTCGTGGTCGTCGTCATCTATTTGAACTTGCTGTAGATGACAGCAAAGATCAGCAGCACCAGCACCGTGATGATGGCGATGGTGATCACCCGATTCGTAGCCATCCTGTGTTCGGACGCCGCACGTTAGCCATAAGTCCTCTTTCTCCAGATTACGAACAACCTCTCCAATACAACAGGAAAGAAAACTCTAAGGGGGGTTCTCGGGGGAAAGCCATTACCTACGCGCCATCCCCCTCAGCGTCTTGACGCTGCGGTCGACGTAGCCCTCGCTCTCGCCCAGCATGTCGCCCGTGTGCAGGATGCGCTCGCGCTGGCCGTGCAGGTCGGCCAGGGTGCTGGCGCCGATGGCCTCGGTCTCGTTGGCCAGGGCCTGCGAGTTGCGCAGGCGCTGGGTGCTGCGGTCGAGGCGGTCGGTGCCGGCCAGCAGCTGCTGCCGCTGCTCGAGCTGCACGTCGCCGCCCGCCGAGCTGCCGTTGGGGTTGTCCGTGTACCGGCTGCCGAACAGGGCCGCGCGGTCCGACGCCTGCGCCGTCAGCTTGCGCCGGTACTGGTCGATGGACGTCTCGAAGTTGCGGAACCGCTGGTTGATCTTGGACCGCGCGGCCGAGGGGATGTTGGACTTTTCGAGGCGCATCTGGCCGAGCTGTGGGGCGGCGGGTGTCAGTTCCATCTCGTGATGGACGGGTTTCAAACGGGGTCGCTCTCCTCCCGCTGCTGAAGTTGCAGCAGATGGGAGGTCGGGAGAGAGGGGAGGAGAGCGCATACCAGTTCATCTGCCTCCTCCAACGCGCGCTCGGCCGACGAGATGGCGGCTTTCCGGGGCTCGCCGCTGAGCTCGGGAATCTGGTCCAGCTTCTGGGTCAGGTCGGCCTGGACGAGCTTGAACTCGGCCTCGTAGCTGCTGAACAGCTCGGAGCCGGCGTCGGTGTCGAGGGGGTTGGCCATGGTGGATGGATAAGATGGATGGGTGGATGGGGGGTTTGCCGTCGGTTCAGGGGCCTTGGGCGATGTATGTGACGCTCGAAAGTCGGGAAGATGCCTGGGCCGGATGGGGAGATCGCTGGCGTTGGGTCTAGGCGGAAGAAGAGATGGTCGTCGTCGCAGCAGGTGATGTCAGGAAGGTCGCAGCTTGCGATCCACGTCCGGGAACCTGGCCTACGGGTACGCAGGTATGTACGGAGTACGTACTTGGTGCAAGCAGTCTGGCAGGCACCGGCATTTCGGGTCACCCGCGCGCTAAGGCCGTTCCTGGCAAGGGGGCGCCACAGCTTCTGGTTTCTGGTCTTTGCTGGCGGGGGCTGGCAACTGGGGCTGGCAACTGGGCTGGTGGCTGGCTGGGTCTCGAGGTCATTGATTGACATTTCGTTCACTATCTATTGCGCCACACCATAAGTTACACACTTCCAGGCCATGCCTGCCAGGCAAGCCATGCACCGTGGCACACAAGCCCCGTGTCCGTGCGCGGCAAATTTGTGGAGGGGGGAGCATATAAAGAAACACTGCAAATTTCGCCAGCTGGCCCTTCTCCTTCCTTCCTCTCCATGAAAGTTGAACCCCCGGAAGCAGATATATAGGCTCCGCGTCCTCATTTTCTCTACGGACTTGGAGTTGTATTAGCCGGGCAGACTGAAACATGGAGCTTCTAAGAATTGGATATTAGACGGAGCGTCTTTGTGCGCTCCGCCTATGAGTATTCGGTCCCGTTGAGTTTCGACATTTTTGCCTTCCCACCAAGCGGACATGACATGTACTATACTGTACTGTGCCTGCGCTGCATGTATGCTCGAAATGAATGTGCCAATGCACCGAATGAAACATGCTTGGACCCCCGACGAGAGCTACGACCAGCGCCTGGCAGGTTCAAACAACCTTGAGATGCAATGCCGCCTTGACTGCTGCATGCGTCGTCATCTTTGCTTGTCTTGAGCAGCAGTAATGCCGTCCTCGCAGTCGAGGGTTCCTGGACTGGACCTCGACCCATCAGCGAAGATCCACGGTGCTGACCGATGTGTCAGCAGGCGGCTGCATGTTTCGATAAGCATGTGATATTTGCAAGTTACGTACTCGAATTCAAAGCTCGACGCGATGGAACCCGTAGCTTCTGGTCATGGTGAGCAGGACAATGGGCTCCTGGAGTGCCTGCGGCGTGCTAGAGTACGCTGTACATTCTTTGCTCAACCAGCCAGCCAGCCAAGCTGTCAACGCCTCGTAGCAGAAACCCCTACCTAGTTAACTAGCTGGCGGTGCTTTGCTAGGTGCTGCGTTCCCCCCCGCTGGATTCAGTGGATTCTATCAAGCAGAGTGCAGTGCTCCGATGACAACGGAGATTCTATAGCTTACTGTAGCTACTGGACACAGGCCACAGGCGCCCGCATCACAAAGGATCGCCTTGTCACGAGGTCACGGGCCTGCTGTAAGCGCAGCTCGCTTGTTGGGCCCTGTCGGACAATGGTTTCAAGCCGCCAGTTCCCAGCGGCAGGCGTGCGTGAGGTCCACGGGTGGGACTCAACAAAGATGTGGGACCTCGGATAGAGCGCCCTGGGGCTACAGTACTAACGGCATTCGATTCGAGGACGTCAACATCGTGGGCATGCGACAGTCCTGACTCTCTCTCTCTCCCTCTCTGTCTACCCCGTTTAATACACAAAAACTCAACTTCAGGTAGACGCAGAGCTGCCGTGAGGGTGCAAATCCAAGATGCCAGCGAGGCAGGAACTGTAAGTTTATCCTCTTGCCTTGCATGCACCGTTTCCCGTTGAACGGCGGAGGACCATTGGTGCCTGTGTCAGCCGCTTTAGCACCAATTCACTGCACTTCCCCCCCCAAATGTCAATGTGCGACCTTCACGTAACCCATACGCAAGGCCTACGCAAGGCCGCTTATAGCGTCTAAGCTACAAACTCTCAACTCAACCTCGACTCAGCCTGTGAGACAAGTTGGCCATGATGGCGCTGGGATGAGCAGTCTTCGATCCCGTCTCCGTGTTTGTCAAATAATTCGCCAGACTATCAATCCTTCTTGTCCCGTCCGGGTCCCCGTCCTGCCGCTGCCCCTCATTATTCTCACCACACAATGTTCCTACCGCAATCAATGACATCATTTGTTAACTCGGTCCCCAGGAAGAGAGTCGCCATTGTAGGCACCGGCAGCGCTGGTATCGGTGCCCTATGGGCTCTGAACCGCACCCACCACGATGTCTATGTCTATGAAGCTGCCGACCGCCTGGGGGGCCACACCAATACCGTGACATGGAAAAGCGGCAAGTATCAGGCCCTCGTCGACACTGGCTTCATCGTCCTCAACACGGCAACCTACCGTAAGCGCCGCCGCCCCTAGGGGGGGGACAACCTGTGCACTGAGACTAATACCACACAGCGAACTTCCTGAACTTCTTGAGCCAGATCAATGTCAAGGTAGTGCCGACCGACATGACGTTCGGCGTCTCTCGGGATCATGGGAAATTTGAGTGGGCGGGCACCAGCCTGGACGCCGTCTTCTGCCAGCGCAAGAACATATTCTCTCCGAGGATGTGGAGGCTGCTCTTTGACATCATCCGCTTCAACCAGTTTGCTCTCGACCTGTTGAGGGACGAGTTCGCCGGCGCGAATGAGACGGAAACCATCGGACAGTACCTAGAGCGGGAGGGCTACTCGGAGACGTTCAAGAACGACTACCTTATCCCAATGACGGCCGCTGTTTGGAGTACAAGTCCACACAAGTGCAGTCTGGAGTTCCCTGCCGTCACACTGGTGCGCTTCATGTAAGTCGTAGCACTTGGATTTCTCAGGCGAAACGCACTAATATGTTTATTTTCAGGTGGAATCATCACCTCCTGAGCACAATAGCCAAGCGGCCAGATTGGTTGACCGTGGAGGGAGGAGCCAAGTCCTATATCGACGCCGTGATGAAGGGATTCCCGCCAAACCATATTTTCATGAAGTCCCCCGTCAAGCACATCACGAACGACCAAGACGGACGAGTAAGACTACACCTAGGAAATGGCAAGTCCGACGTTTATGACCACGTCATCCTCGCAACCCACGGGGACCAAGCCTATCACATCATCGAGCCGTCCGCCACCGATGAGGAGAAGGCCATCATGTCGTCGTTCAAGACGTCGGAGAACACGGCTATTCTTCACTCGGATTTGATGCACATGCCGGTTCGAAAGAACTCGTGGTCGGCCTGGAATTACCTCACACTCTCAGATCCATGGACGGGCCGCGATATCGACAAGGTGTCACTGACATACAACATGAACATCCTGCAGCATATCCCCCGAGAGCCATTCGGAGACGTGCTGGTGACTCTGAACCCAATACACGAGCCCAAGGCCGACACGGTTCAGGGACGATACTCGTATTCCCACCCCCTATACAACCCGGTGGCAATCCGCGCGCAGAACCAACTACACCGGATACAAAACAAGCGCGGTATCAGCTACGCTGGGGCGTGGACCAAGTATGGCTTCCACGAGGACGGCTTCAGCAGCGGACTGCACGTGGCGCAGGCCCACCTCGGCGCGAAGCTGCCCTTCGAGTTTGTGGATTCCACCTACAGCCGCGGGAGGCAGCCAGAGCTGGGTCTCAAGGACCGGCTGGCGCGGGTCATCATCTTGTTGATCCAGGTCTTCTTGATTGGCGTCATCGAGCTTGTCTTCAGCCGATTCCAAGCTAAGCTCCCGCCGAGGAAGGTCAACGGTGTCTGGAGGGGGGGTGCAAGGGGTTACCGGAGGCTGTCGTGATGATACCCAAGATTTCTTTCAGGGATGTACATGTAAGATGGAGGAGCACGGGGATAGATGTTCTGATCGTGTGGCATTCTCGTCTGGATCAGAGTCGCCCACTGTTTTCATGAGATTGGCAAGGCACGGTGCTTTTACATAAGGAAGTACATTAGGTCTAGCCACGCATAGGCATAGCTGCGGCGTTTGGGGTCCTATAATTGTCTAATTGATTATATCTGCATTATGACTTTGTCTAACCATGTTTTCGAAAAGTTTGTTACTGTCCCTTGATCCGGTTCTTCGTTCACGATGTAACCAGCCTTCTCGTCCGCACAACTTGTAATTCGAATCTCTCATTCAACTATCACGCGTCTCACATATTCCTTATGTTAATTACAGTTGAAGTACAAAATTTTGAATGTCTAATTAAATGATGTCCCAAGTCTTTCCCTCGTGTTTCTCCTATCATAAGCAACGTCTCAAAAAGCTCACACTGGCAGGACGCTGAAGTTATCCACGAGCAGATCGGCCGTGGACTGTACTTGGCAAGTGATACTGACGATGATGGTCTCCGTGGTGTCGGACGCCACGAAGTCGAGCGTGAAGGTGCTGTAGCCCGGCACCATGGGGTTGGCGATGAAGGCCGCCGGCATCGGGTTGGGCAAGAGGAAGAGCCGCGTGTTGCAGAGCGTCGTCCCCACGTACGAGAACTGGAACGTGAGCTGGTACATGGCCCCCGGCACCAGCGCCACCGTCTGCATGAGCTCGCCCACGGCGCCGTTTATTGAGAAGCTACCCGTGCGCTGCACCAACAGCCGCGCCGCGTTGGCCGAATCGCTGCCCGGCTGGAACAGCGTCACGCTCGACGAATCGCCCGTCTGCTCTGTCGCCGTGAACGTCGTCCACGGCGGCAGCGAGCCGCCGCCGTCTTCGAAGCCCGGGTTCTGCACCGCGTTTGTGGCGGCGGGTCTACGGCGTAGGTTGGCGTGTTAGCCGTGGGCTGCGCCGCGGGAGTGGGTAGGAGTCACTGATGCAGGGGCAGGGAGCAGGGAGGAGAACTTACGTTCCGGTTGAAGACGTGCTGGAGCTTGTGGACGTGGTGCTCGTTGACGAGCTGGTTGTCGACGTGCTGGTTGAAGACGAGCTGCTAGAGGTCAACGTCTCTGTTGAGGTGATGGTGGAGAGACTGGTGGACGTGCTAGTCCCACTTGTCGACAGAGACGTAGATACAGAAGTGATTGTTGTCACGGGCTCGGTGCTAGAGGTTGATGACGAGCTACTCGTAGACTCGGTGCTAGAAGTCAAGGTCTCTGTCGAGATGACCGTGGAGAGACTGGTGGAGGTGCTAGTGTCACTTGTCGACAAGGATGTAGATGTCGAACTGACTACTGTTGTAGGCTGGATGCTAGAAGTCGATGTCTCGGTTGAGCTGATCGTAGATAGGCTGGTAGAGGTGCTACTTTCGCTTGTCGACAGGGATGTAGATACTGAAGTAGCTACCGTGGTAGACTCGGTGGTGGAGGTCGGGGACTCTGTTGAGCTCACCGTAGATAGAGAGGTAAAGGTACTGGTCTCGCTGGTCGACAGAGACGTAGAGACCGAAGTAGATATCGAGGTCTCAGTAGAAGACTCCGTGCTGGAGGTTGATGTCTCAGTTGAGCTGGTCGTGGACAGCGTTGTGAAGGTGCTCGTTTCGCTGGTTGATAAGGAGGTAGATACTGAAGTGGATACCGATGTCTCAGTCGAGGACTCGATGCTAGAAGTTGACGTCGTTGTGGAAACGCTGGTGGGCAGAGTAATCTCAGTACTGGTTTCACTGGTTGTCGACGAGGTCGGTGCTGACGTAGTTATCGATGTCTCCGTAGTGACCTCAGTAGTACTAGAAGTCGGCAGTACTGTCGAACTGATCGTAGACAGTGTGGTCGAGGTGCTGGTCTCACCAGTTGAAATAGATGTTACGGTCGTGATGGGTGCTACGCTCGAAGTGCTAGTGTCTATCGAAACGGTAGATGTAGACAACGAGGTTGAGGTGCTCGTGTCACTAGTTGAGAGCGATGTGACGGTTGTGATGGGTGCCACGCTCGACGTGCTGGTATCTGTCGACACGGTCGACGTAGACAGCGAGGTCGAGGTGCTAGTCTCACTGGTTGAGAGAGATGTTATGGTCGTGATGGGTGCTACGCTCGAAGTGCTGGTATCTGTCTGAATAGTAGACGTAGACAACGAGGTCGAGGTACTTGTCTCACTCGTCGAGACTGACGTAGATACCGTTGTAGATTCCGTGACCGAAGTGCTACTCTCCACAGTGGACGTTGAAAGTGACGTGGATGTGCTGGTTTCACTGGTGGAGAGTGAAGTCGAGACTGTCGTCGTCGGCGCCACAGAAGATGTACTGGTCTCAGAGGTGGAAAATGTGATCGTAGAGAGAGTGGTTGAAGTATTCGTCCCATTAGTCGAGATGGAGGTTGTTACCGAAGTGAAAGTAGGCGCAGAAGACAACGTGCTGGACTCAGATGTGGAGACGGTTGTCGTGGTCAGCGTCGTCGAGTTATTAGTTGGGAGTGTTGACGAGGTAGTCTCCGAAGTAACTGGTACTGTCCCTGTGGGGTAGGGGGTGAAAGTGATCGTGGAGAGCGTGGTTGAAGTACTGGTACCATTGATGGACAACGACGTCACCGTCGTTGCTGCTACGGACGAGGCACTGGCCTCGCTGGTCGGGATGGGGGTGATCGTTGGGTAGACCACGAAGGTTGAGCTGACTGCTGACGAATCCGGAGCCAGGGAGCTTGTTGAGCTGGATTCAGATATTACGGAGCTGGGGTAAGGAGATGGAGGCAGATCAGAAGTGGGTTTCTCCGTAGGAGTGTAAGTGAATGTCAAATGAGAGGAAACCGTCAAGGTGGTGGTCGTAGTGGGCTCGACCGACGCGGAAGAAAGACCTGTGGAAGGCGGACAAGACTGAGTATCCCATGTTGAGATGGATTGACTCTGCGGGTACGTAGGATGCAAATCTGTAGGCTTAAGGGTTGGCCAATAGCTTCTGGCCGACGTTGGTAGCTGACCGTCTGGCTGCTGACCATCCGGGTGATGATGATCTGGCTGCTGACCGTCCGACTTGTATTCATCTGGCAGGTAATTATTCCCCTGGGGATAATCTGGCTGATGACCATCAGGTTGAACATGGGAGTCGTACGGGCCCTTGGCCCCAGCAGGACCTGGGGGTGCAATGATGGTTGGGGCTGAAGGCTGGACAATTCCGTGGCTTGGTTCTATTTTATACCCAGGTGGTGAACCAGTGGGGTGGTGGCCGCCATAGGACGGGACCAGAACGTTGCTGCAAAATCATGTGCGTTAGTGTTATACAGACCTATCAAGTTCCGCCCCCGGCTTCTTTCTTACGGAGTCTTTCTTGGGCAGTGTCGTGTGTAAGTCTTGGGTCTGCAGGTGGGATTGCCACTATAGACGGTCGTCCATGGCGTGGCGGCAACGAGTGTAAGCCAGAAGGCAATAATAACGAGCGACGCTTGCATTTTCAAATACATTATTTAAGGAAAGGCAGGTATAGAGAACGACCACAGCCCGAGATACAAAACCTGAGGAGGAAAGAAGTAAACGCCTTTGGCTAAGATTTTGAAGCGTTGGTAACATATTATAATCATTTTGATAGGGGTGAGCGATTCCTCCGCTTCCCTCTTTTCTTTTTGTCCCCAGCAAGCGGTTCCGTATTCAAGACATTCTAGTAAAGTCTATCAAAATGAACTCAAGCCGACACAGAAGCCACAATGATAGTTCTCCACTAGAAGCCACACGCAGTCCATGCACCAGTCCAAGGTCCTGCTTGGCGTGGATATGAGTCTCACTTCTGGTCATGACCGATAGGTGAAGCACATGGCTGAAAATGCCAAACGAGCCGGCCGGGCCTGTCTTAGCATGACATTGCCTGCCGCCATGCACACTCCAACCCCCGTCCAAAACCCGTTAGATTCCCAGGCAGAACTCAGCTACTGCATCTTGTTTACTTTTTGGGATGATGTTGTGGCATTGACCATTATATGGTTGACAGGGAGTTATCCGCCCAGCCTAAGAGAGCTCATGTATATACCTTAATCAGACGCAGCTGCAGGGCGCAACGACCCGACACCGGAGGATTCCGCTGCTGGCCACTTGATTGCCATGGAGCTGCCGTATGCCGTATGCCGGTACTCAGACATCATATCACATACGTAACGTCCGACCATACAAGGTCGATACGAGAACTAGACTAGCCTGAGACAGAGCAGAGAATAGTCCTGATGCAGGCCGGGCTAGAAGCCACCGTAAGATGAACAACACAAGAAGCATGGATGGATAATAGTGTATCGTTCGGGACAGAGAGATACCGGCGGGGTGAATAAAAACATTCTTCGTATTCGAATGCGCTCCAACTTCGTCGTTCTAAGAGATGGAGTATAGAAAACGCATCGATTTAGGGGTCACTATGGTATGCTGTAAGCGCTGAAGGCTAGCGCGGCGTTACAGCAGCATGCACCCTTGCCCCTGCCCCTGCCCGCCCGCAGCGCAGGGGGCCGGGGGTCCCAAAATTCAGCAGCTCCAATTGAATGAAGCTCCAACATGTCGACATCATTCGATCTCCGGCGTGTACCACCACGACGCCCTACACACCGCACCGCGCCCCCAGAGCTCGACAAGTCGACGGCAGCGCGAACCTCGCCATGAACTCCCTCCCGAGGATATCTCTGCGTGCGCTGCGGCCGTCCGCGACCCCGGGCCCGCAATGGGCCTGCTCGTCGTGCCGCCGCGCTGCCCTGCGCCAGAATGCGCCCTCGCCCGCAGCACGCCGGCCCATCTCGAGCACTGCGCCCAAGAGGGCCACGACACCGGAGCAGCACGCCCGGCAGCGGGCGGCGGCGGCGCCGTCAATGGAGAAGCTGAATGCGTACTACCGGTACAAGAACCATACTGGCCTGTACGTTGCTCCCCGAGTGTTTCGTTACCTTGTCGATGAGGCCCGGCAGAGGCGGCTTTGGAGGTGGCATGACGGAACGGGCAAGGCTTGTGAATAGACGAGGCGACTCGAAGCCGGAGGAGGACGAAGTGGAAATACTGCAGGCATGTCGAGGGCTAAATGCTAACTTGCGAGGCAGCAACTACATCCTCAGTATCATTCTCGGCACCGTCGCTTTCAGCTATGGGAGTGTGCCCATGTATAAGATGGTATGACACATTGCCTCTCTGCCTACATACATCCCAGACATCCCACCTACCTCCAGGACATAAGGCTGACCATTGTGCCTTTTTTCCAATCAACAGATCTGCCAGACGACAGGCTGGGGCGGCCAGCCGGTGCGGGCGCCGGGCCACGGACCGTCGGGCGACGACTCGGTCGACCCGTCGACGCGGATGGTGCCGGTGGAGGGCGCGAAGCGGATCCGGGTGACATTCAACGCGTCCGTGTCGGACATCCTGCCGTGGAAGTTCACGCCGCAGCAGCGCGAGGTGCGGGTGCTGCCCGGGGAGACGGCGCTGGCCTTCTACACGGCGACCAACACGTCGGACAAGGATATCATCGGCGTGGCCACGTACAGCGTGACGCCCGGCCAGACGGCCCCCTACTTCAGCAAGATCCAGTGCTTCTGCTTCGAGGAGCAGCGCCTCAACGCCGGCGAGACCGTCGACATGCCCGTCTTCTTCTACCTCGACCCGGATCTGCTCAACGACCTCAACATGCGCGGCGTCGAGACCGTGACGCTGAGCTATACCTTCTTCAGTGAGATTTTGGCACACTATATCGCAATCAAGACGGACGACTAACTGTTTCACAGAAGCGAGATATGACGACAACGGAAACTTCAAGAACATCGCTCCCGCGGCGACATAAGCGCATACACACACTCATTCTTGTCGTGATGCCATGTATAAAAGGGGAACTGTAAAATATTGGAAAGATCTCAAAATGCATCATAGACGGGAAACCCTGGGCCATAAGACATAAGACATAATACCAATATGAGCTCGTGAGAGCAGCGCCCGCGGTGGCCTGTACAATATCCATGTCTGATAATATGACTGCAACTACCTGCGAGGAGGCCTGCTTTCCCTCCTATTGCAATCACCGGCGGTGAAGTGGCATGGATCCCATGAGCCGAACCGAATTGTCCTAATGCCACGTTCAGCTGTCGAAAGGTCGCTCGCCCCAGATGACGTCCCTGGTGGATGTCAGTAGTTGTTATCAAGTGAGATAGGAGACTCGAGAGACTCGAGAGGTGTGTGCCACTATGACCTCACGACATTGTACTTACAACGGCATGCAAGGATGAATCTGTAAATTTTTGTGTCAGTTCAGTTTCCACTAGATGATCACGAGGGCGCCTTACCGCAGGATCCATCAAGTCGGCTTTACAACTCTCCAGAAACGCATCGACCTCGGCCTCGGTCCCCTCGCCCATCATGACGAATAGCTTCTTGCTGATGCCCTCGATGCCCTCGTACAGGTCCTTCCTGCCCATCCAGCCCAGCTTCTTCTGGCGCTGGCCCTTGGCCCAGGGGCCCAGCGGGCAGCGCAGGTGCCTCTCCTGGACGTCGACGAAGCCACGCCGCCGGAGCCGGTCCGGGTGGTGCAGCGAGCCCATCGAGTCGATGCCCAGCTTCCCGCACACGCGGTGGATCTTCTGGCCCCAGTTCCAGAGGGCGGAGCCTTCCTTGATCGAGTCGTCGGGCGACTCGAGCGGGATGTGGAACTCCTGCAGCTCCAGAAAGCCGCCCGGCTGCAGGAACTGGTAGGCCTGGTCGATCAGCTTGTCCCAGTCCGCAATGCCCATGGTCAGGGCGCGGACGTGGATGTAGTCGAAGCGCTGATGGAAGGACCACTCGTGCGTGGCGTCGTCGATGTAGAACGTGCAGTTCATGGGAATATAGTCAGGCTGGATGGGAGACAAGTCCGTGCCGACCACTTGCACGTGCGGGTGCAGGTTGGCAAACTCGATAGCCCAGTCTAGAGGTTCACGTGAGACATGATGATTCCACGATGACGCTCAGGATGCGTGTCTTACTGCCAGTTCCACAGCCGATATCGAGGGCATGGGCGACGTTGATCCGCTCGATGGGGGCTAGGTGATAACGACCGCCGCAGAGCTCTAGCCATATGAGGTGTTGTAGCTCAAGTCGGTCCATTTCTTGCTGTAAAGCGGGTCAGGACCATTAGAGTTCAGATCATATACAAAGCGCGTGGCAGGCGTACGATGTCATTTGGCAGATGATATTTGTCATTCGAGCTCTGGTATCTTCTTCCGTGATCAAATCTGAACTCGTAGTCGGCGCTCCTCATGGAGGTTGACATGCTATTGAGGGGCCGCTGTAAGTAAGTCCTGGCCGATGCCCCCGCCGAGAACCGTACGAGGTACTCACGAGCTTATTTCGGACCCGAGCGAGGAATCATTGTCTGAACGACCCGAGTCTACCTCGAGTTGACTAATGATCTCATTCTGATGCGCGAATAGACCAGAGCCCTGGGCAGCCGGCTGGCCATGGTAAGCGAGCGGTTCCTCGGGCTGGCTTGGGTGCGCCGAGGCATGCGGCTCTGTCTCGTCGATATCCATATGTCTGGAGTGCTCGGCCATGGCGCGAGGATCCGCAAGGACGGCCAGCCGAATACACGCTACGAGCAGCACGGACGAGGCGACAAAGAAGGAAATAGCAAATATCGATATACGACTAGGGAAGAAGGAGACAGCGGATCAGTTTATGTCTCGCCGGTGGAAACGACGTCCTTCATCAAGTCGACCACCGGATGATCCCTGTCTCACTAGTTGGCATCCGACGGCTTGAACGTTGATGGGTTCGCAATAGCGCTGTACTTGGCAAGCGAGGCCGATGTCCAAACAGGCAAGCCTAGGGCGTCCAGCTGGACCCTTTTTGGCCATGGGGCAAGACGATAGGAGGCGCCATATACGGCAAAGTAAAGTCAACAGCCAGACTATCCAAAGATCTGGCTGATTTCCGAGCTTTTGTGCATGAGCCTCAACCTGGCGACAGATTTACAACGAGGGTCTGGCGGAGCAGTCTGCCCGAAGCGTACGGCACGAGTTCCCACCCGTGCCGGATCGGATGGAACCTTTAATGGTACCTTCTCCGTACCGACCTGTTTGAGACGCCTACAACACTTCCGGGTTGCTGACGGTCCCGACACGACGAAGGCCTAGAGACAGTCATGCCACGGTTCGATCAGATCCCGCACCGGATGACTTCATTGCCGGAGAGAGCCTTTTGGGGGATCGAAATGCTCATCCCGTGTAAGCTAGCTGTGGGTGTTGAAGGGTGGTCTGCATGATCCTTCGGAAAGGGTCGACCAAGAACTGGACGTTCAAGGAGGTGGGGAGGTGGGGATAGGAACAAGAGGGGTCCCAATTCCCACCCACGGGCGCCACCACTTGACTGTAGGTACTGCATAGACTGGGCCGCTGGGCCGCTGGGCCAGTCCACGCAGGCAAAAGTAGGTGCAAGGTAATAAAAGGCCCGTGCGGTCACTGTAGGCGGCTACAGTACTTGGGCAAGAGGCACCAGCCACACACACACACACACACACACGCGGGCCAATCAGACGCACAGCCACATTTTCTATCGTATCCGCCAAGCCTAGGGCCACCGATTTTCCCCCATCGAATTTTTACGCCCACAGCTCGTCGAAATTTCGTGCCACTCTCTGAATTGCAACCCGGGCCGCTCGTGAATTTTCTCTCCTACGTTGCCAGCCAATTCCGACCCTCACCTCTTCGACGACAACCCATCGCCAACTAACCCCCCCAACAGCCAAAATGTCGAAGCACTCCGCCTCCGGTATGCATGATCAGCAATTTGTCCATGATCGCCCTGCCCTTGCTGACCTGATGTCCCACAGGTATCGCCAGCTCCCGACGCAAGTCGAGGAAGGCTCACTTCAGCGCTCCCTCCAGCATCCGCCGCAACATCATGAGCGCCCCCCTCAGCAAGGAGCTCCGTGAGAAGTACAACGTAAGCGCCATCCCTTTCGTACTGTTCCTTGCCGGTCGAGCGACTAGCATGAGGAAAAGAATTAAGGAAACCAGCCCGCTAACACTCGGTTGCCCTACAGGTCCGCAGCATCCCCGTTCGCAAGGACGACGAGGTCACCATCGTCCGTGGCAGCAACAAGGGCCGCGAGGGCAAGGTCACCTCCGTCTACCGTCTCAAGTACGTCATCCACGTCGAGCGTGTCACCCGCGACAAGGCTTCCGGCCAGAGCGTGCCTCTGGGCATCCACCCCTCCAAGGTCGTCATCACCAAGCTCAAGCTTGACAAGGACCGTGAGAACATCTTGGAGCGCATCAAGGCCGGCCGTGAGCTGCGCGCCAAGCAGCAGAAGGCTTAAGCCGCCTTCTCCCCTGCTTTTCGTCGCTCTCCCCAGGGACACACATCACATACATCCACACGGTATCTGAAGCGGATGGTCACGAAACAAAAAACCAAACACACAAACCCCCCAACTTGGTGGACGAGGGGCATGATACGACATCACGGCTTCCTCTGAACATCGAGGCAACGAAACGGAAACGGCATGGCATTTACTGAGCTGAAATGGGATCTGGCGTCTTGCGAAGCATCCCAAAACCCCCCCAAACGGTTTTTGGGGCGGGGCTCAAGGGAAAAAAGGGACATTTGGTTTTCAGCATTTAGATGCACGACACACCAAAAGAGAACAATTACACGCATACAATGGCCGTTTCACCCGCTTCTCCAAAGCCCGTGAAATGCTCCATGGGAGGTACATCCCGAAGACTGCTTGACTTGTTCCATCTCTTCCCCATCCTCCCCCCCCTGTGACTCCTACCCAATTCATCCCCAGCTCACTTCTATCCAACACTTGCCAGGTCTGCAGCTCTTCACTTCCCTCAGGATATCTGCTGAGAGGGCGCTGTCTTGATCGCGCGCTCAAGGTAAGAAAGGCATGCGGACCTACTCGCTCGGTCTCATCTTGTAGAGCCCCCATCTACATACCCGTTTCCCTTCTTCACCTACCACCTCCAAAAACCGCTAGGATATCTCCGCGTCAACCACAAGACTCATGGTTTTCGAGGTATACGACTGGCGAAGAGCAAACCAAGTGGGGGAGCAAATTTGAATCACCGCTCCTTTGCTCTCGCCTGCAGACTTTCGCGGAATAATCAATGATGTCTGAAAGTTTGATGGTGAGGCACATCATATCTTAATCCTTCTGTGTAATTCGTAAGCTACGTACCTTGTTAATCTCTCGTACTACGTCAAAAGGCGTGGGCGTTCTCTCGTCACAATCATTCATGAAAACCTCGTAGATCTAAACACGGCTCGGCTTTATTCATTTCTCATGATGGACTGAACAGTTCGCCACCGTCAGTGGACATATCAAATACTCGGCGGCACTGCCCAATCATTGTCAATCGACTCTATTAGCACTATCTAGCTATGAAACAACCTGTCAAAAACAATTCTCCATCATGCAAGTGACCTAATCCACAGCTCGACATCTCTCAGTGTGTCGATAAGATGCTATGTTTTCATCTCGGTACTCCCGCCTCGGTACCATTGGTCAGGCAGTATTACAATCCGGCCATGCGCCTTCACGCACACTAGTATCTGCAGCGCAGAATATCTCAATATCATTGGCCCTTGGTCCATGTTTTCCTGGGTCGTACAGATGAAGCTAATAGTACGAACAATGATGAAGTATCCGATGAAAAGGCCTGGTGGTGTCACAAGGGTAAGAAATGATGAGGTATGCTGGCCAATCCTCTTCGTCGGATGATAATGATGTAGATGAGCCGTGGAAAATCGCCTCACCATCACTGCCAGCCGGGGCCAATAACGCCGCGTCGTTCGGCATCGCGAAGCATTCGCTGGTGCAGATCAGCGATGATGTCGGCGTGGGAAGAGAGCTCGCGCGGAGGGCGGTTCTCTCCCATCTTCTCAGTCGGGCAGTGCTGGGCCACAATGTCCTGGTTGGCCTTGCCACCCGATGCAGCTCGGGGCGAGCCGTTGACGTTGGTTACGGCAGGCGAGAGAGAAGCTGCGGCATTGCCAAGTGCCTGTGGGAGGTATCCGGTGGCTGTAGTAGAGGAGATCTCACTCGGAACAGCACTGCCACTTGTCGACCCCTTTTTCATCATACTCTGCCAAAGATCGTTGCTTGATCCCTTGCTATCATTTATTGTTAGTTACATTAGTATATTTTGTTATAGAGGGGCTTCATACCTTGATCGATTCAGAGTACGACGACTGGCCGCGGAAAGCTTCTTCTCGCTGGTAGGAACGACTGCAGTCTCAGCCGGGGACGACTGAGTATCCCGAGGAGGCATGCGTAAGTCCCCAGAGCCAGCTGTGGCTGGAGAGCCGGTGCGCTTAGTAGTCCTGATTGCCGTGTTGATCTCTTCGCGGGCGCCAGTATCGGGGTTGATAATCGGCACCGCACGGCTCAGCTTCCTGGAGCTCTTCGTTGAACGGATACTCTCTGCATCACGGTATGAGCGGAAAGGGTCATCCGACTTCTTGAGCACCTCCTGGTCATATTCTACTTCTGCATTGCCAGTCGGGATTGGGTCGGGCTTCCACTTCGATGCCACATGGATCTTGCTATCTCCCTTGGCTTGCGCCTTCATAGGCGAAGCTGGGTAGAAATCTTTGCCATCGAACTTTGGCAGACCTGAACCTTGGCTTGAGACGCCACCCCAGTACACGTGTCGGGCACGTTTCTCCTCCTCGGTGAGCTCTCGAGAATACACGTAGTCATTTGCACGAGCAGAGGAAGGGTTGACTCCTTGAGGCAGCTTACCGACTAGGTACGGCGTCGAAAGCTTACTGACGGCCGTGCGAGGTGCGTGGCTGGGGAGTACTGCGCTGGCGTTGTTCGTGCCAGTCCACAATCCCGACGGGCTGAGGGACGGCATTCTGGAGTGCTCCCACAGAGAGTTGCTGGTTTGGCGGGCGTCCATGACCGAACCCAAATCGCCGGGTGCATTGGAGGGCAAAGTGGGTGCCGTACCGCTCGGCTCAAACACGGGAGCCATGGCAGCACGAGTAGGCAGCGTAGGCTTCTTGGACGGGTCTGCCAAGCGTTTCTGCTGGATGTGCGCTTCAAGTGCGCCCAGGGCCGAGGTGGTATCATTCCCCTTAGAAGAGTTGATACCAGCTCGTTGACGCAAATCTTTGACGGTCTTGTGTCGAATCTGGTCCATGGACTGCGTGTGGTTCAGCGCTGGGTAGCTGCGCTTGGCAGACTTGATCGAACCCGTCTGCGATTTGCCATCATCGTCCTTCAGCGTAGGGGTGGATGGGGTTTTGCAGTGAGTTGACTCCAACCCAGCTGTGGCCGGTCGTCCAGTCTCACCGTTCGGGTACAAGGTCTTCTCGACGTTGATCTGCGCCTGGTAGTTGTTTTCGAACTGCGCAATCAGTCTGCTGATAGTCTGCATCTGATCCAGTGTTGCCTTCTCGTCAATTTGGTGCTTGTTGTACTGCATCTGATCATCATAGTACTTTAGCTGTGACCGAAGCGAAGACAATTGGCTCTTCGTGATGTCGCTTGGCTTGATTGAAGTGATAGGCGGCTTGGGCGCGGTTGAGGTCGCCATCACCCCAGCCGGTTTGAGAGTGGGCTGGGTGGACTGCAGCAACGGGTGCGGTGCTCCAGCCATGAGTGAGGACGAGAAAGCTGGAGATGCCAGACCATTGGGGCTTGACAGGGGCAGCATGGGAGACGGCTGTCCAAACCCGCCAAAGCGAGCAATGGCTGGGTTGACGAAGCCACCAAGGTATGGGCTTGGAGTGAGTGGCGTCGCTTGACTTTGTATCGGCAAAGGAGAGCAGCCAGGGTAGAAGACGTTGCCGTTGAAGAAGTAAGGGCGTGAATGGTCGAACTGGTCAGGAGGCGAGATCTTGAGAGGGGCTGGCTTTGTCTTGGTGGCCTCCTGTGTAGCCTCCGGCTGCATCGCCTTTGCGTTCTCATCCTGCTTATCCTGAGATACTGGGTTTTGGACCGCAGCACTCATGCCAGAAATAGGCTGAGGATTAGGCTGAGGCACGCCGTACGGTATAGGCATGCCGTGAGGAATAGGAAAGAAGGGCATTGGCGCACCCAAGGGTGGCAGCATCGGATGGAAACCGGGATACATGGCTGGGGTCATCGGTGGCATCATCATTGAAGGAAAGGGAGGGACTGTCGGCTGGCCATTGGAAGCCGCAGTGTTCTCGGAAGAAGCTGGCTTGGCGGTCCTGACATTGTCGCTCTCGACTGTAGACCGTTCCTTGTCCCACTTCGCGGTCGGAGATGTGGCACTTCGTGTGTTGGGAACGATTCGACCGCCGGCAGTGACTCGAACGTGTGTAGGGGAGACTACTGCCTTGAAGAATCGCTGGAACCCCTCATTCTGCTGCGCATCGAGACCCGTAGGAGCGGCAACGGGCTCGTTGGAAGTACGCTCCGAAGCAGAACGAGCCATGTACTTCCACTCGGTCTGGCCGTCCGAATTGCCGATGGGCTGACGGCCTTGCTTCTTGCCTTGGAACACGATATGCTCCTCGCTGTCAGTTGAAGACATCGCCTCATCCTTTGCTTTTTTCAGGCGGCGCGGCTGAACGGTGTGTATGGTGTGTTGCTTGAGGACATCTTCGAGGAGCGTCAGCAGCACGTCAGCCACTGAGCAAAAGATGGATAGATTGGCTAGCCACTTGAAACGAGGTAGGAGCTTACCAAGATCGGGATTGAGTTTCACTCTGTCCAACAAGACTTGCGATGGCTGGGAGCACCTGAGCTGGAGAAGCTCGTCCGCTGTGTACTTGTAGCGAGCCATCTCTGTGGTGAGGTAGGCAAACAGACAGTAGCTGCGTCGCGTGTCCTGGCCTTTCCAATGGAACAGTGTCGGATAGAAGCCAGTCTTGGTGGGCACTCGTGCCAGATGCTGGGAGGCGAAATGGAGGATCGCAGAAAGCTGGACAGAAGGTCTAGAGTCGTCAGCAATAGCTTTTTGTGCTTGGACCTGTGAAGTGAGGAAAAGTGGTATATCTGAAGATAGTGTTGTGGCAGTTGATATGTGGAGAGGCTCTGGCGTGCCCTCAACCAGCACATGAGCACATCGGGAATGGTTTTTGAGATATGACTTGATCTCAACGCATCCTGGTGCCGTCAAGGGAATGTCAAGAATTTGACGCTCCCGAAGGCGGCGGTAGAGCCTTTTGGTGATCTTGCTGCGTGGTGCCATGAGGGGGTGCTTGTCTATATGTCGTTCGCTGAGGGATACGGTGATAGAGTGATGAAAATCGAGGGTGAAAGGTTGAGGGAGCGGACTGGCGAGGGGTGTGAGGGTGCTCGAGGGTGATCTTCAACTGACTGGATGGCTCGATGGCCAGTAGAGCTGAGGAGGATGTTGTAGAGTCGGCGAGGGGCGGCGGCCACAATCACCACGAGTATGATGATGCTGGGATGAACAGGGGACGAATGGTAGGGATTATGGAGGATGAGGAGGGGTTCCGTATTGCTAACGTGATCACGATGGACGATGTATCTCATCGGCGACAGCATAAGACTTACCCAAAACAACGAGCGTACACAGGCGAGCAGCAAGCGTATGCATACAAGACCTACAGCCAGATCTGTGACGACTCGCGTGCAAAATTGAGTGGTGGAGGAGGTTCGTGGCTTGATGGAGTTGGCGGGTGAGGAGAAAAGGTGTTTGTAGATGGCAGAGGACAGCGAGGTGAACCTTGGTGAATGAAGAGCCTTTTAATGGGGCAAGCGCCTGGTGAATGAAAAGAAGGAATCGACAACGGCTGTCAATCGCTCCGCTAGAGCAGTGAATGAATATCTGCAGGCTGTCGTGTGAATGGAAGAATCCGTCGTGCCTTGCCCCTGGTGAATCAGGGACAAAACCGCGCCTTCCTAGGTTTTGGCCGGCGGCGATTGTCTCTCTGAAGTTGTCAAATGATGGCAGGTGCATACTCAGTGAGGGGCCAGCGATCCTTTCTGGCCAAGTAACACGCCTTCTCATCGGATAGTATCGCTTCAGGGAGGTCAGTCAGTACCCATGGCTCCTATTCACTTGGGTACATTTTTTAGTTCAATCGATCAGTTACTTGAGTTTGCATTGGTGAGGTGAATAAACAAAATTCCAGTAGCTGTGATACGCACATGCTGCAAGGCTTATGATATAGAACATATGGTTCCCTTTTGTGGATGACTTCTACTCAAATCATTAAGTGGTGTCCGATACACATCAGGGTTAGCCAAACGATACTAGGAAATATGTTCATGTCTTCCACGCTATAGTAATTTGCATTGTGCAAGTGAGCTTTGAGCATAGAGAACTCTGGCGGATGAAGACCACGATCAGTATTCACTATTTCGTGTTGAGAAACCCTATGCCGTGGCTTGCTATCAGAGCTCGTGAAGCGCGGGTGATTGACTGATCAAGGCTCACAGTTGAGACTTCTCAAGCGTTTGCAGAGAAGAATGCATTGTACAATGCATCCGCGTGACTGGTTGAATGAGATGAATCACAAGCCGGCTTTCTTTGTCTGCGTCAGTGCGAAACGGTATCACTAAGCTACCAACCAACCAACTGCGCATAGCTACCACAACCGTGACTTCCAAGCTACAACATTGGCTCGATAGTAAAACCTCTCGAAGAAAGCACTTCAGTGACCAGACCAAGGTGGTCTTGGTTCAAAGGCGGTTTCTAGAGCTTCCTGACCTCGGCCAACCTGGCTCAAACATCCGCCATGGCTACACCGGAACATGACGCTTCCAACATCAGGTCTAGAGGCATCTTCATAATCGATGAAGCCAGTATCCAGGAGAATTTCGACACGTTCTGGGGTCCCGATTGGGCCGACCTAGCTGCAACGGATGTTGCGGCCTACGCAAACAACCTCCAGTGGCACGTCTTCCAGAACAAAAAACAACACCAAGCGAAAGAACCGGCCCGAACTGTCCAGAATGATGGTCCCAATTTTCGGAAATGGCCCGAGAGGTCACCGGTGCTGCCAAACCCTAAGGACAAGGAATTTCCGGGCAGTAATAATGAGTTCAAATTGGTTGCCAACATGTCCTCCTTTGACGTAGCTCAATACCCGGACAGCCCGCAACGGGCAGGCATGTCGTTCATCCACGTCTTGGGGGTTCCCATGGCCCGGATTTTCAACGGCGTCGCGCTCAACAAGTCCAACGTCAGAATCCTACAGGACATCATTGACGCGTTCACGGCTCAATGGCAGACGTCAAAGTTCCGGGAAGAAGTAATACAGTACCAGAAGGTCGTGATTGAGAATACGCACCGGAGACAGCTGGAATGCCTGGGTCCAGAAGAGGAGACCAAAAAGAAGCGGATCGAGGAGAATTACCATAAGGCGCTGGGTCACTTCGAGGAACTCGAGCCCAAGGCCTATAAACTCGAAGCCGGTGACTTCAGCTTCGGCCTTCATCTCTATCCCGACCATAGTGTCAATCATCTGCATCTCCACATCATCGCGGGGCCGCCTGAGTTCCGGGCATACTCAACCCGAATGCACGAGGAGAAAACAATGGACGTCCGAGCAGTGCAACAATTCATCATGAGCGACGGATTTCCCGATTACCAGCCATCAAACCGTTCCGTCTAGACCGTCGCATGAGGTTCAACCGTGAAAGAAGAGCAGTACAAGGGTCCGTGGAGTAGGCTGCTCAACATTCAGCTTCGTGGAAAGGCGGACTGACAAAGATAGGCCGATACTAGAAAATCATCAACAGAATATTACTAATCGTAAGTCACAGCAGTCATGGTCAGTGTGGCTTTTATGCACCTCACTGAGTGGTAAACAAGGGGTATATTGATATTTGGTACAGACTGAACTCATTCTATATGAATTTTATAATGCTTCCACCTCTCAATAGCTGCACAATGATGGTACAATGACGTGATGATTCGGATTGTTCTTGGCTGAGCGACAGTGTGGTGAATATCAGTACGGGTGCGAGGGCTCGACCGGAATCATATTATAGTCTTGGCAACAACCCGCGAAATATGCGCTGAGGGGTTGGAGTTTAATCTGTGGACACAAGTTTTAGCCTCCGATCTGCTCATCCATAGAGGAATGTGATGCTTACTATAAAATTGAAGCCTTGCCTGCAGACCCTTAAATCGAGAGACGCGCGCACAATTGAGAATAAAGTCGAGCTCGGAGCGATCTAACCTCACGGGAGAGCAGTACGTCGAGGTGGTGGCGGGCGAGGCGTAGGTGGGTCTGGGTGAGGTGGTGGTTTCGGGTTACGACCCTTCTCAGTGTCGATCAACGCTGATCCAGAGGCATTGCTAGAATGAAACGCATGGGCCATTGAACCCTCAAGACTAGCCATTACGTGACTGGCTCCTATACCAACTAGTTGATGGTGAGCATTAAAAACGAGGGCCGGTATGGTAGGATAGCTGTAGGTGAGGCACGGGAGGTGAGGTGAGTAGACAGCATTTCTTCAGAATCCAGAAAGACTCCCATCACGGTTTTATCTGAATTGGGAGCACCATCAAAAACCCCCACCCCCGAAACCAGGAGGCTTGAGCTTGATTCTACCTGCGGACCAAGGAGCCAAGATAACGTTGACCTCTCCCGTTTATGGCGACATGCGCGAGGGAGTGGATGGCCGAATATGCGACCCTATGGGGTTGTATACCGATCCTTCCACGTGGTCGATCAGCATGAAACCTGTTGAAGGTTTGATCCCTGATATGGAGGGTAACAACGGCGGAGGAATGCTGATTCACTTTTGACGATGCCCGACGGTGAGCCCTGAATGCGGTCTTGAGGGACACAATTGCCATCCCGAGGGTCAACGCTCAGGCTCTTGCGTGTGACAGCTGAGAGGCAACCAGATTCTGCAGCCCTCTGTGACGCCACCAAGGACAGGGATATAAAACAGACTTTGGGCCATGCAACCAAAGGATCTACTATAATCAGAGACGACGTGTCCGCCAAAAGCATCCAAGATAATGCTGTGACCGTCGTTCGTCGTGTGCCGTGCGCACGAGCCTCTGTTTATGACTCCGTCCAGCCCCAAACGGCCACATTCTCGGATAGCTGCCGTCTTGTGGTCGTATGAGTGCGCTGGGATATGTGCAGATCGAGACGGAAAGGCAAAACAGGCACACATTCGATGACGGCATGCAGTTGAACCAAATGTAGCAGACGGACGGGGCGGGGCGCCTAAGTCGAGATTGGATCACCGTCCCCAGCGTGGGTTTGGGGCCGACTATACTGTACTTGGGCGTGTCTCTTATCAGACAGTCAGTTTGGGGAAATAAATAATTGCTCGCTTATAGGGGACGTCTGGTCGGACTACCTGAATGCGGCCCAGACGAGGGACTGGATCGATAGCGATTGGCGAAGAGATGCATCCATCCCGTTCCATAAATCCTATCATATTGTCATGTGGTCTTTGAAATCGCGGCTTTCCAAGCATCGAAAGGAGTGAATCAACATCAACGAGATACACCCATCATGTGTGCCAGCCAGGGGAAAGCTGCCGCCAGGGCCTACCTGAGGAAGAGTGCGATACTGGCGCGGCAATGTGCCGGCGGCGACGATCCATTCTCGTCACGTCGCACAAAGTCTATCCGAAGTCGTGCTCGGAGGTCAGGCAGCCTTTGGGGAACATAGCCGCTTCGCAGCGGCCATCGCGAACGTTTCATGTACAAATGTCAGGACTGCTGTGGCTTCAGAGCGACGGGCGCTTGGAGGCTTTTCCCGTGCGGCGCCCGCAATCCCTGGACTGGCCAGGGTCCAGCATCGTCCGAGCGCAAAGCAAGACTCGGGAAATCGACAGCGCTCCTGCACGTCGAATCTTTCTCGAACACTTGGAGCTTTGGATTGTCGCATTCTGATCTGCAACGGTGCTACAGAAGGTCGCAATGGAATTTCCTCTTGCTTCTCCGCGACTTGGATGTAGCGGATCCAGGTCGCGGGGCACACGGCCTAGGGGCCACGATCAGCTGAGCCCGAACTTGAGATGACAGGGCAGGCCGCGGCTGGAGACCATGCCCTTTCTGGGCGCAGACGGGCTTTGCCTTTCCCCCCTCCCTCCATGCGCTGCACATGTGCAACATCTGCAGGTTCTTGCCGAAGTGGGTGACAAGGCAGGTTGTGATAGGCCAGCATCTGCAGTCTAGGCCGTCTCTTCAGCGGCCTCTGACGCTGTACCTTGGCCCAACCTATCGTCTACCCCGCAAGCTTCCCCAAGCTGTGCGCGAGTTAGTTATGGGTCCATCACAAGGAACATGCCGACGGGATACAGGTCAAAGGCCGCCTTTGTACCGGTCACCACCACGGCAGAAACTCCTCCCTCTCGGTGAGCCAATTTTTCAGCTTTTGTCATCAAGAGACGCCAGACCATTCAGGCCGCCTCATTAGGGTATCACCACCTGTTTCCAGAACTCACGTTACACCCAACGCCTTTCACTGAAACATGTTAGTCACCAGTGCCACTATCACACCCCGGGCCTTGACAACCGTGCCGAACCTTACAACTGACCATATGACAGCATCCCACAATGGCTCCTCTCACACCTCATTGGAAGCAACCCTCGCACCCGGACATCCAGGACGTGGTGATCAACGAGCAGGAGTTCACCTCCAAGAGCTTATCCAAGGTCTCATTGCCGCCTTTCGGCTTATATGCCAAGATGGACTTCCCTCCGTGCACACTGGCCGACAAGCCCACATATGCCACTGTCCAAATTGACCAGGACAAGCATTTGAACCTGAACAGCGATCTGCTTTACATCAACCATTCGTGTGAACCGTCATTAGTCAGTCTCCGTTGGTGATTGCCTGGTTCAATCCTCAGAAACCCGGTTACGGACCCTGGCCCACCGAGAACTGACACGTCCCACAGATATTTGACACCGCAAACCTCAACATCTTGGCAGGGCCCAATGGCCTCAAGGCCGGAGAAGAGTTGACTGTCCGTTCTCTGGCCTAGGCTTCTGACTCCGTGAATGGCGTGCTTACATTCTTGCAGTTCTTCTATCCTTCCAGTGAATGGTCCATGGATCAACCCTTCGACTGTCTATGCGGCAAGCCCACTTGCCGCGGTCGGATCGCAGGCGCTAAGGACATGTCGAAGGAACAGCTCGAGGGCCTCTGGATCAATGGCCATATCCACAAGCTCTTGGAGCTCAAAGCTGCCGAGGACGCAAAGTTGTCTGGAAATGGCAACCATTTCGTCAAGGCGGACCGGCGAGCTACAGAGGATCCAACCGCTCAGGCGCTGAGAGATGCCCTGAAGCATGCGGAAAAGGTCGTAGAGGCTGCCCAGCTTGCTCTGCACTCTTACATTGAGTCATCTGGCTCAGGGTACAATGGAGCGTCGGCCTCACGACGTGGACCAACATCCAGGGAACTCAGTGGTGAGATGGGTGGCGATACGGTTCTTGCTTAAAGCAAGAGGATCAGCCTTCTCGGGTATTGGCTTTTAATTGCCATCGTGGTTCTCTTCCCAAGTATGCGGTGATTTTTTTCTTTAAAAACTTTTACTTCTTAAGGCTCTCATTCAACAAGCCAGATCATCACGCACCTTCAACAGGCCAGTGTATAGAAACAATCATTGAAATTGAATTCATATTTTGCTACCAGTAGTGTTACTGGTAAATCAAGACTCTTCAGTGGCAACCGACTGAAATATCTGTATCGTGGATTACTCTACGCAGAACGCATTGGTCTGTGTCAATGAGCTGTCGTTCCAGGTATGTAATTAGGATATACCTTCTCGGTTTAACCTCCGCATCCTTGCGTGTGTATATGTGTGTGTGCGCGCGTGAGGCTTACCTGGGTGCTTGTTGCGCATTGGGCGGTCGGCGCGGACTCTGGCTGCTTGCCGTGTAACGGATTCATCCCAAGTTCCTGCGGCACAGCTGTTGAAATGGACTGAATGCTGACAGCAGCTGGTTCAGGCCATTCAAGTTCAAAATGCCAGATGTTGCCCTGCAGAGCCGGAGGCTTGTACTACTACCCTGGATCATAACGCAAGCTGCTCCATCAAGAGCATTCTGTAAGCACCCAACAGAACGACTTGCCTTAGTCAGCTGCCCACCACTGTGGGTTTTGCTCCAACAGAAGCCCATTCACCCTCTCCATATACTACCATGCAGTACTCTGATACCCAGGCGACTGAGGCCAGATTCCCTGCCAACACGTGGTTCCAGATTGACATCGGGTGAGTTGGCTCTTGGGATGCTATAATAAGTAACGACCTATAAGTAGGCGGAGGCTCACCCTGCAGTAACACGTATTGGGGAGGACCCCTACGAGTTACTGTGTAATAAGTTGTCGAGTACCTAGGTACGGACCGGCAGCGCCAGCCAAGCCGCCCAACGGCCTGACTACAGCCCTGTAGGGACCGGAATTGGCAGGTGGCTGGCCCAAGCGCTGCGACTAGGAGGTACGCGCGCCCCCTGCGCCCCGCGCGAACGCCGAAAGGAAAGGCGATGCGGCTAAGTTGCGCGTTCACGCCCGTTGGACTTTTCCTCTCCAAGCCGATGGAATAGGGGACCATTCCGAATGCCACGGCGCCTCAGCATATCTTCTCTTCTCGACGGCTGAACACGTGCAGCTGTTCGCCGGAGCCTGTGCCGACTGGGAGCATCAGTCTGCCACAGCATTTCTATTCTCTCCTTCCAATTGATTGATCGCTCTATCTGTTTCTCAGCTTGGACGCAGTCCACCACCAGTCTCGGCTGCCGCCGTCTCGAGCAGCCTGTATCTACGAGTTCCTCTGCCTCTATATCGACATATTGGACATTCGTTACACCTCAGGATGCCGAAGCAGCACACCTTGTTCGGCCGGCCGGTCCGACTCTCGCCGCGCCGTATATCCTTGCTGCTCGTCGGTCTCGGCCTCTTCGCCTTCTTCACCTTGTTCATCACGCTGCCCAGCTCCATACCTCAGGGCCCGAGCCTGTCCAAGACGCTCGCCGACCACAAGATCCCAGTGCCCAAAGTCCCGAAGATTCACAACCCGTTCTCGTCGAGCATCCTCAACCCCTTCAGACCGGCAGTCCATGCGCCTCCCGAGCAGAAGAACTCGACATACGGTGGAAGCTCGTGGTACGCAAACTGGAACTGGCGCAGCCCGTTCTCTTCTTCCGTGACGCTCGATGAGAACCGGTCACTGTTGCCTCCCTTGAAAGACCGGCCGCCGATCTATTGCTACTATGACACCACGGTTCAACGGGAAAAGGCAACCCAGGAGGCCGAGAGCGACCTGCTGCTGACATGGAGACGTGCCTGGTGGGCGCAGGGTTTCAAACCCATCATTCTCAGTGCCCCTGAGGCTATCAACAACCCGCTCTACGATGAGCTGCAGAGGCTGAATCTGGAGCCGACCTTCAAGACGGACATGATGCGCTGGCTGGCATGGGAAAACATGGGAGGCGGGCTTCTTGCGCACCATCTGCTCTTTCCAATGGCTCCCCGCGACGACGCCGTCCTCTCCTACCTTCGAAGAGGTGAATATCCCGTCTTGTCTCGGTGGGAGGGCATGGATAATGCCTTGTTTGCCGGAACCAAGACCGCCATCACCGAAGCCGTTACGAAAGCACTTCGGCATCCGGAGCGGAAGGATGCAAAGGACTTCATCTCGGCTGTTTCTGCCGACACCTTCCTGGTTGATCCCAAGCACGAGGGCCTCGCTTCCTACGACCCTAGGACTATCGAGACAAAGTTCGCCAAGGTCGGTGAGCAATTGGGCGCCAACCGTGCCACGGGTCTTCAGAGCTTGAACTATTTGATCAATGCTCATCTGCACCTGTCATGGTTGGGCTCATTCCCAAAGGGCATCGCCGTCGTGAAGCCTCTACCTGAGCACACGACTACTATGGTCCAGCCCGCCTTGGACCTTGCTACATGGCTGACTTCGTGTCCTGACACCCCCATGCCAGCGACGTGTCCACCGAATCTTCCCAAATGCTCACCATGTGTGGCAACTCATCCGATGAAGATATCAACCCCCGCTCGTTACCGAAACACGACTGGCTTATATACTATTGGCACCGTGCCTCACCCCTACACTTTTGCGGCTCTCAATACCCTGAAGAGCGATATTGACATCCCCTGGGTTCGCCGGAAGATGAACCGTGACTTGTGGCTGGCGGAACTCACTAAGGAGCACCTCGGCACCGGCGTATCGGGAAGCGCCAGAGTTATCACCTTCAAAGAGGCCGTAGCTGGTGACTGGGCAACGGCTCACTCGATCTGGCTGACTGCAGAGCGAGAAACACTCCCCCACGACCTGGACTGGTATTTTGGCTTCGCCATCCCCGTAAACGCGACGGACAGTGGAAAGTCGGAAACACCTGTTCCAGGCCCTGAACGTCGGCCGAAGCCTTACCATGATCCTGGTGATGGCCCTCTCCCTACAGCTGAGGACCTGATGCTAGAGCCTGAGCTGATGCAGAAGGCACGGGACATTGGCAAGAGCAAGGAGAAGAAGGACATCGACGTCCGCAACGCCATTGAGGCATGGAACCTGGCCGACGTCGAAGCCTGGAAGTTCGCGCGCGCCTTCCTGGCACGTTCCCGCGTGGAGCGGTTGAAGTGGGAGGAGGAGGAACGAAAATACGCTGGTGGCGCTGGCAGCGACAAGGAGGACAAGCGCAGTGGCGGCTGGAGCAGGTGGACAGAGTAATATTTGGAGCGGATGTCCTAAGATATTAGAGCGAGGGATATATGGTGTATGGCATTGGATGTAGGTTACTAGATTTGGGTCACGTAGCCTCGTTGTCCTGGCTTGGCTTTCTGCTTAGGTGGCATGGAGTTCACGGAGTTGGTTTACAACTATAGACATTCTGAAATATTCAAAAAGCAGTCAAAGTTCAACGCCAAGTCTTAAATATGTACGTGCGGAACAGCGACAAAATTTGCGTCGGGGGCTGCAAAAGGTTTCAAGTCCCATCGAAGTCCCTGGATATTGTGTGAAGACCAAGGTATCAGGAAATCAACCGACGCGCCGTTTATCCCAGAGTGCCCGGCCACTTCCATGGCTGAAGCATTCATTGGTGCGTGTAGCCACCACAGTAGACCTTACCTTCTCTGACTCGGAGAAAACAACATCCGAGGAGGGGCATTGTATGATATCGTCGAAGTAGCCTCAGAGGCGGGCTCTGCCTGGAATGCGCAGCTCGCATGACGTGCTAGCGTCCTCATTACCTTTCTCCGCAAAGTCAAACGGTCAGAGAATCACCGTTCGTCGATTCTGGGATGAAGACGAGTGTGTCTACTACCTAGTCTTGAGATGCGACCACAAAGCCATACCTTGGGGATGCCACAACCTCTCAGTTGGGCACCTCATCCTGAAGCAACTTCGACTGGTTGTAACGAATGGATGCCTTAGCTGAACACACCATGTCTGTAAGTAATTATGGTCTGACGCGGCCGCAGGTACTCTTGTACTCAATAATGAATTTCCTGTGCGATCCTTCAGAGTCGCTTAAAACATCTTCATAGCCAGGGGAGGCAATGGTGGGGTGACACGTACTCGAGGCAGAGAGAAGGCTGCCATGCAGCCTGACCAGCTGGGGTGGTTTGTTCCCAATGGAGGGAGTGTCAAGGTTGGGGATCGCTCACCGAAAATACATAGTTTTCCATAGGCTGAGTGTAAGCCTTTCAATCAAGCAATGCTGCCCAACTAACTTGACAAAGCTGAGTTGCAGAATGATAAGACTTCCATACCAATATGGCGGGCTCGACTATATAACACACTGGCATTCAAAGCTCTTTCATTCTTTTCTTCTGTTTTCCCCGTTGGAAAAAACAGCACTCTCGATCCCATCTACCCAATCTCACCAATAAAATCCCCTCTCCGGTATTAACCGCACAACAACCAACTATGCCGGACCCAGCCTCAATCGCAATTGCTAGCACTGGTGTCGCAGTGGCGGCTGGAACTCTGGGATACACCTACTATCACAACCAGTCCCAGACCCAAGCTTCCTCCCAAGCTGCTCCATCCAGCAATGTTAGTGAATTATCTTTCTACTTGGGTGTACAACCCTGCATCTTTAAAGACTAACATTCGTGCGTTTACGTAGAACAACAACTCGGATGATATCGAGCTACGCCGCCATAAAAACAAGGCAATTGATGCCACCAATGTAGACCCAATCCCGCCTCCAGACCGCTACAAGGCGAACCCTCTCACTCCTTATCTGGGGTATAAGAAGGACTAAACAGTGTGAAAATGGCTGGGAGTGTGGGCGCAAGGTGCAATATCTGGTGGCTGTCGATTGTATACGATGCCTTCGACACGCTGATCGCGCTTGATCCTGGATGCCATGATAAGGATTGATTATGAGATAAAACACGCTCGTTTCTATCGTTGCCTAGCTTTCGTGCTCCTACCAATGCCGAAAGATCACAATCGCTATCATAGTCAAATTCTTGGGTGTAGATTTCACGACAGAAACTTCAATTTGTAGACCCACTCACTGATCTATAATAAACAAAACTCTCTTAGTTAAACACCGTTTTCCCCCAGACTAAATATACTCTTCAACCAGCTGTTGGTGCGGTGAAAAAAAAAATCGTTTTTGTCAGAATGAATCCACATGCTCAATTGCCAATAAAAGCGATATGACCCCTCAAACAAAAGGATTAAGAGTACAACCCGCTACGAGGGTTCGAAAACTATGGTCAGAAATTAAGGGTTAAATATGCGCTGTAAGTTAGCTAAGAGGATATCTCAAAAGGATCTGCTGCTGTCGAATTTTGTGGTGGCTCCAGAAGAATCGACCTCCACAGCTCCTTGATGTTAGCGCCATCTTCTTCCTCTGCATCATCGTAATATGAGGCGTTCCTGCGCAAAATACAAGGCATTACCTCATCCAATAGCCTTCCCAGATCAGGACGCTGGGTCTTATCACGGGCCATCATGAGGCTTACGAGCCTCTTCAGGTCCGGGTCTGTGCTTGCTGGCCAAGGATCGGGGCTGCCGTTCATCGAGTACAAAGGCGTTGCCCTGGTTTGTATTGGGGTTTCCCCATCTCTAGGTACGAAATTTACCCGTCTGGTGGCTGCGCTAGGCCATATTTCACGCCATCGTTTCCTTAGTATAATGCCACACATAATCTGCCCCACATCAGCACAACACTTATCTTTGGCACTCGAATTATATGAATACTTACGAAACCAACGTCCATCAAATTGCTCCGGACCCCGTAGAGAGGGTCCCCGTCAAGTCTACGGCAAGTCAGTCGACGGGCCATCTATACAACCAGTACGCCTCTGGAAAGCCACAATGAATGCTTACGATGGGAGTTCAACAGCTGAGCCAAAATCAATCAGCTTCAGAATCGGGGTGATATTGTGTTCCATGTCGGCTATATCATTAATGCTGAGTAAGACTTCTCATGGTTAGCTGCAACCGGAACCGTTTCAAGAATATGTGACGTACTATTACTATCATGGAGGTCATTGTGCTGTAACAAAGACGGCCTCGCAGCCTCACCGACCCTGATATAGTTGAGCGCTTCGCTTCTCTGGCTGCTCCCTACTGGTGGCGGTCTATCGGGAGGATAAGCCATCGCTATAACTATTCGTACCACTACAGAGCTTTTAGTTCCCATGCACCTGATAACAGCGGATATGACTTACAACAGCCCAGGAATCTCCACAAGAGACGGTTTGGCAGTGGTTTAGGGCGCGTTCTAATTCGAGTAATAAAATCTCCCAATGTCCCGTGCTCCAACCACTCCATCAGAATGGTTCTATCCGCTATCGGCACCTCCACTTCGTCCTCGGAGTCTTCCTGATCACCGCCTCCCGAAGGGTCGTCACCCTGAGAACCGTCTCCCTGGGAACCGTCTCCCTGAAGATCGTCTCCATGAGGATCGTCTCTGTCGTCTGACGGCTCCCCGAGAGGGTTGTCAGGGAGATCTGCGACCAAGTTGACAATGTGACGTGCGTGGGCAAGTTTCTAATATCTGGTGAGGGAAGCTCGAGGTAACCGCTCGCTTGGAACTGACCTTCAACCATCTCTTCTCCTTTTTGAGCTCCCTGATGTCATGGCGATTACTCCTCCGCACCTGCTTGACGACAAATCTCTTATACTTGCCCGACTGAGGGTCTTTATAACCCACCCTGGAGGTTAGGGCATGCAGCCCATTCCCAATGAGTGTCTCGAGGGTAAATATTGACTCCGGCGTAAAATAAGTCAGAAGAGCGTTATGAAGTCGTCGAATTTCTGCCATCTTTTGACCTGGCACATGTGGTTGTGCGCGTTCACATGTGGATCTTGATGCGCGAGAAAAGATATATATATACAGGTACGTTTGGAAATTTTTAGAGAAAGTTCGCGATGTACCAGAACATGTTTCTTTGATAATTCCGTTTTCAGCTTCCCGGCCCTGTAAAGTTGAGACAATGACCGACACAATCACCAATGTGAATAGTTAATGGTCACCACTAAATACTAGTAATGTCGAAACACGATCTATAAAGTATACTCATGATTGGCCCCAGACCGCACGTATTCGATTAGGATCAACGCCTGAATTTACACGAACGCAGGCGATTTTGCGTAAAAGTGTGCTGTACTATGAAACACATCAATATTCTCTGCCATAGGAATGCCCGTGTTAACGTGTTGTTCCATGCACTGTTCAATACCGTAAGAAATAAGACTTCGCTTTTCTGCTTCTTGTATACTCCTCTATCGCGCCCATATACAAACATATTTCGCAATTCCAAGGCGTAACGGAAAATAGACAACATACATCAGCTCCCTACAATTCACAGTTCCGGCTCTAATGTCAATCCAAAAAAGGGGAAAGGGGAGCATCTGCCCCTGCACTGCGTGCGAGCTAATGAATCCTCAGAGAAGCGAGTGATTGCAGTGTGCCTGTAGATACGTAACTTGCGTAGGCAATTCAACTGAGAGTGCAAACCTCTAGCTGTTGCTCGCATCCGAAAGACAAATGACCGACCCACTGCGCTTCCGTTGAAAGCAACCAAACATGCAACGTGACGGTGTTCTGACGTGACTGGGCCGCCGGTCGCTCCTCCGCCGTACCGTTGTGGGTCCGATTGGCAACTTCCTGCCCGGATTCTGAGGCGTGGCGCACCCCCGCCATACCTGAGAGACCGGGTGGCAAAATACGGACCACTCGCCGACCTTGGTTGTATAACACCAACCCGTCTGCCTTTCTCTGCCGTGGATCGTTCCCTCAGTGGCTTTAAAGAACAGCCGACTACCCACGAGGTCTTGGAACACACCGGACATCATCTCCACATTGACGCTAGCCAGACTGAACGCTATCTAGTGACCGGGCTTGGTTGCTGGCATCCAGACACCGAACGCAGGACACGCAATTGTCTATAACACGCAGGAGCCATCTACAAACGCCAGACACCGCGCTGACAACTTGGGACAAGTCGTACTCTGATTCAAGAGCAGTGGCATGAGCGGACTGGCTATGGTCTGAGAGTCGCATCAAACTTCATCACCGCTCATCCTCACCACCACGGGGATTCCTGTTTGGTGTACCTGATTCGGTGTATCAATCTACGATGGGGACCCCGTTCATCTCGCTCCTCGAGCCCACCAAGCTCGATGGCTACGACCGTGGCAAGCCGCACGACCAGCAGCCGGCGTCGATCCCGCGCGTCTTCATGGACGCCATGGAGGTGCGCGAGTCGGTCTTTGTGCGCGAGCAGGGCGTGCCGCTCGAGTTCGAGCACGACGGCGACGACGCCCGCTCGCTACACTGGGTCGTCTACGCCTCGGTGAACCAGGTCGTGGCCCAGGAGCGGCGCGACGCCGCCGGCAACGTGGTGCAGCCGCGCCGCTCCTCGACCCGCACCCAGCCCATCGGCACCGTGCGCCTGGTGCCGTTCCCACACCCGCCGCACCCGGAGCGCGGCGGCCGCTACGTCGACAACCTGCTGCAGAACGAGGCCGAGCTCGCCTCGTCGCTGACGGCGTCCCAGGAGGCCCGCGTCTCGGCCGCGACCGCCCCACCACGCTCCACGACGGCCTGGAGCCCTACGTCAAGATCGGCCGCCTGGCCGTCGTCAAGGAGTTCCGCGGCCACCGGATCGCGGGCCAGCTGTGGGCCGCCGCGCGGGCCTGGCTCGAGAACAACCAGGACTACTTCAACCCGAGCGTGCAGGAGTTGGGGCTTGATGCGCTCAAGGCTGGCGTTAACGACGTCCCGCGCTGGAACGGCCTTGTGGGTGTGCACGCGCAGGAGGACGTTGTCCCTGTCTGGGAGCGCTGGGGCTTTCAGGTCGACGAGGGCATGGGCCGGTGGTGGGAGGAGGGCATCCCCCACGTGGGCATGTTCCTGAGGCTGAAGCTGAAGGACAAGCCGATCACGATCTCGTAGGAAATACGCGGGAGAGGAGACGACTTATGAACGTGGGGCTCGAGCATTGTGAGGGATAGACGGATAGGGTTCATCTGGTATGGCTTTGCTTTGAGGGAGTTCAGGGGCCAAGGGGGATACAGGGACACGAAAGGTTGGTAAAGTGGACTGCATGGACTCCTATGGTTAGCATTTAGACGAGATGGCACCAAGAAGAACCGCATCTGACACTTCATCGAGTTGGCACTGCTCCCTAGGGCGAAGCAGTAATAACATCAGTACAAGTCATCGTGAACTCACAACAGTGCTCCATGCTGAAGTTGGGTATCATGAAGTGTTGCCGTTGTTGCATGAGCTTGGTATACTGGTCTAGTTCGGCGGATATGAAGGTCCAAGGTATTGATGTTGTGTACGTCACTTGCAAAGGTGGGTGAAGTCCAACGAATTGGTCATATCTGAGCTGCATTACTAGCATGTATCTGGGCATCATTCATACACGTTTGTGTCCTCGTCATTGCTTTTCACCATTTATCAACACAGTTCGACGTAGCCTCGAGGAGAGTCCTTGATGGTTCAGAACGATTTTTTGCTCATCCCAGAGCAGAGCTTTTCATTTAAGAGCCCTATGTGACATGAATGCCGTAAATCCACATCCCGCCCTGGACCAGAACGCACAAATGCAAGTGATGTGTAATAAAGCCCAGATTCTCCACGCCTGTGAACCCCCAACCAAAGAAAACACTTTATCGGTTGCTCTTGGCGACACGCTCCAACTCGTCCTTCTTCTTGATGGCGTACGAGTTGCTGCTACCCTTGGCAGCGTTGATCAGCTCCTCAGCCAGGCACTCGGCAATCGACTTGATGTTGCGGAACGAGGCCTCACGGGCACCAGTGGTGAGCAGGGCAATGGCCTGGTTGACTCTGCGGAGAGGCGAGACATCGACGGCCTGGCGACGGACGGTACCGGCGGAACCGATTCTGGTGGAGTCCTCACGGGGACCGCAGTTGACAATGGCGTCAACGGCAACCTGGATGGGGTTCTGGTCGGTCATGAGGTGGATCTGTGTCTCCGAGTTAGCCATCGTCGGTGCCTGAGGGCTGGAACGTCTTGTGTGCGCGTCCGGGTGTGCTTACGATCTCGAAAGAGTGGGCAACAATGCGGACAGCCTTGAGCTTCTTGCCGTTGTTGCGGCCGTGCATCATGAGCGAGTTGGTGAGACGCTCAATGATGGGGCAGTTGGCCTTGCGGAAGCGCTTGACAGCGTACTTGCCGGCGGAGTGGGGGATGTAGACGGGAGATCGGATCTGGATGTAGTCGCTGTAGCAGAGAAAGAGTCATGGTTAGCCTGGGGTTCGTCTTTGCAGGCAGCAATTGGTAGGTCTTATGCTCGGCCGCCGCTGGACCAAGGTGATTCTGGCTTTTTTGCGGTATACGCAAGAGATATCGCTCAAAACCCAGTCTCCCATCCAGCCAGCCAGCGAACCGAGCAAGACCCTCCCGTGCGTTCGCGAACTGCACACAACAATCGATCTGGGCGGGCGTCCTTACGTCAGGGAGATGTCGCGGATCTCGACATCCTCGTAGGACCAGCGGTTGAAGAGCTTGATGGTGCCAATCTCGGAGGTGACATCCTTGGGGAGGACCTGGTGGGAGGCGGTCTCGACCTCGATCTCGCCGTTGTCAGACATCTTGGGCTGTGACTTGCGCGCGACGGTGACCTGACTTGAGTGTTAGGGGGCGCGGGGTGAAGACGTTGCTGTCGGGTTAGTAGAGAATCGTCAGGTGAAGATGGACCACTTGGAAAATGGCAGCCCTGGAATTTTTGGTGGTGATGAGAGGCCCGCAGAATAGCCGGCCACGCGCAAAAAACCCGTGCGACGCTGGCCGGCGAAAATACCCCACTCCGCCCGCCGCTGATTGGCCCGCCGCCGCCAGACCTTAGGGCTTGCCTCGCGAAATTTACTGACACAACCACCTGCCGCCCCAACCCCGAGCCTGGTCTGGCCATCTGAAGACGACCTCTCCCTCTTGACTGACCTCACCGAGACGATCCGACCAACACCACATCAACCCCAGAGCAATCGTCAACATGGCTCCCGCGTCAACCGGTGCAAAGAAGCAGAAGAAGAAGTGGTCCAAGGGCAAGGGTGAGTGCGCCATGCATGCCATTCCCCCGTCGTGAATTTTCCTTGGAAGGCGGGCGCGCGGGCGAGCGACGATACGACGGATGGATATATCACATCACCCATTGCAAGGCGACGTCTGCGCCGAGGAAAAAACTCGCGACCCGGCGGAAGATGGATGCAACAGTCTATCTACAGGACCACATTGCTGATACTTTTTGTCTTCTCTCCCTGTAGTCAAGGACAAGGCCCAGCACGCCGTCCTGCTCGACAAGAACACCTCCGAGAAGCTCTACAAGGATGTCCAGTCCTACCGCCTTGTCACAGTCGCCACTCTCGTCGACAGACTAAAGATCAACGGCTCGCTGGCACGCAAGTGCCTGCAGGACTTGGAGGAGAAGGGTCAGATCAAGCCTGTCGTCACCCACAGCAAGATGAAGATCTACAGTACGTTTTTGAGTCCCTGCCTGGATCATGTCCGCATCAGAAGTCGCTGACACCAGACGTAGCCCGTGCCGTCGGCGCTACCGACTAAATTACTTCCCATCTCACGATACCATGAACGAATGTGACGTCGATCTTCAGAAAAATGGTTTGACGGAGCAGATGGATCAGGGGACATGGAACTTGATGGTTCAGGGCATTTGATCTCCGGCGTAGCATTGGGACTGGTTATGGTTTTCAGTCAAGGCTGCTGTTGTTTCGACAGGTTGAGGTCAATCAAAATGAAAAGTTGACCCTTCTGCATCCCACGTCGTCGGTCCCATGATACCCGAGAAGCCATTGCTCTGCCGTGCGTGTGACATTGTAGATTGGTTACAGCGCCCCGAATTTGCATAGTGACCTGTGACCCTACTCGTTTTATCAAACCAAGATGTCAGCAACCAAATACTGTCTAGCCCCATCACTGACGCAACTTGGATTAGGGAAAGATGGTGTCAGCGTGGGGTAATAGACCCGGATAAAAAAAATATGCAGTCGAGTATAATGCACATTGCACTCGATAACTAACGCGGCTAGGCCAGTTCATGAGGCTGTTCACTCGACTGGCCAGCCTTCTCTGATTACCTGCTCATGTACTACGTACTTCTCTCGTGTTGCATAAGGATATTCTATTGTATGCACTGTCCAGGTCTTGGGGGCGAGAGCGACAACCTACATTATGGATGGTAGATGCACGACCACCCTGACCATCGTTCTGTAGAGGTGTATTTTATTCATGACCTACGCCTCGACTCAAGTCTAACTCTTGGCTGCTGCATCGCACTGACGCAGACGTAGTTATGCTATCACTGTGATGCGCCTGGCCCCTTGGATCCTCGCCTCGAGCCTACCTATGTCAGTGGTCGGCCATGGCCCATCCTAGTTCCCTACGTAATGGAAGCAGTCTAGGCACGGAGTGTGTGTGTACCATCAGCCATTCTACGGGATATGGAGTAGGCGGGGGGCCGATATGCGACCTGCTGGAATTGTTGCAGGTATCCGCTATCCGCAATCCCCAGAAGCCGGGTGCTGGGCCAAAATAATTTTTTTCTCTCTCCTGCAAAAGGAGATCGCCGAGAAGGGCTAGCCGATGGGATGGGAAAATCTTGACTCGGGGGAGAGGGACCCCTGAAACAGATAAGCGCTGCGCGCGGAGCTCCCGTTCGTTGGTGGGCGATGGGTGGCTAATAAGTTACTGTAGTTAGCAGGTAAATCCTGCCGGAGCCCGCTCAGGAGGAACCTATCGGCAACTCGGAGATTTTCAGCAGAATGGCACTGCTGCCGCGAGCAAACAGCGAAGGGCTTGGGGATACACTTGTAGAGTACAGCAGAAGAAGCGCAAGCCAATGGAAATGCACGCGTGCCATAGCGATGATGGAGATGTCTGGATCCAGCTTGAGAAGGATTGGGATTGCAATGTTGCAATGTGCTCGCAAATGTTGACGCCCCAGCCGAATGGGGGGCGACTCAAGTGCATATACCCGAACCTGCATCTCACTCAACAGGTACCGTGGTACTTTTAGTACTGACGGGTTAACTGCACAGAACACAGAGCCTCTCTCAGCTTGTGATGCAATGTTTCTGCACCCATGACAAGGTAGCAAGAGCTGCCACTGGCACAGGGGAGGAGAGGGAAAAAAAAGTCTCGGATCAATTATTCAGTGTCTGCGCAAGGATTGGGCAGCGGATGCTACTGGCTGGATAGGCACCCTGGGCTCGCTGCGCAGCGCTGGCTGGCTGGAGGCATCTTTTTCTTACGGGTCCCGGTTGCCAGGTGGTTCCTGTGGCCCAGGTAGCTCCCCCGGGTTTGTCCGGCTTCCAGCCTCTAAAAAGTTTTTAGCGCATAAGCTCGGGCCCATTTCTGCGCTCAAAACGCCGGCTGTCCTCTTGAAATTTCGCTCCTGCAACTTTTTCTTCCAGTCGCGACATCTCTGGACGTTCACCACCACAACGTCTATCTCCTCTCCTTCATCAACCTCTCCACTCACAGTCACCGGGTCATCCTCGTGATATCGTCACAATGTCTGGCGAGAAGCCTACCGTTCTGGGCATGCCGGTACGTTGTCGCTCCCATTAAATCCCGCTCACCCAGTTCCAGCCGCGCCGTGACCAGCCCGCGACGTCTCGATAAGCATCACCCGCAACCCTCGGGCGCCTCAATTGGCCTGAGACATGCTCCCTGCGAGCTGTCCGAGCTGTTGCGAGATGTAGAGGCCGTCGTCGTGAGCTGGCTCGATGCGAATGCTGCGGGAAAATTTTTCCCTCAATCTCCAACCTCGCCCTATCTATCCCCGATCGCGATCTTCATGCTGACGAGTCTTTCCCCTACAGCCCTTCGTGGCCGACTTCTTGATGGGTGGTGTCTCCGCCGCCGTCTCGAAGACCGCCGCTGCCCCCATTGAGCGTGTCAAGCTCTTGATCCAGAACCAGGTAAGCACACCCAGACAAGTCCTTCACGTGCCCCAGTGACCCATGCTCACAATCTCCGCAGGATGAGATGTTGAAGGTCGGCCGTCTGGACCGCAAGTACGATGGTATCGCAGAGTGCTTCAGCAGAACCGCTAAGCAAGAGGGTGTCATGTCCCTGTGGCGTGGTAACACTGCCAACGTCATCCGATACTTCCCTACTCAGGCCCTGAACTTCGCCTTCCGTGACAAGTTCAAGGCCATGTTCGGCTACAAGAAGGAGAGAGATGGTTACGCCAAGTGGATGGCTGGTAACCTGGCCTCCGGTGGTGTAAGTTCACAATTCATCTTGGACTGTCGATTACAAAGTTGCTAATTCGTGTTCTCAGGCTGCTGGTGCCACCTCGCTCCTGTTCGTCTACTCCCTCGACTACGCCCGTACCCGTCTGGCCAACGATGCCAAGAACGCCAAGAAGGGTGGTGACCGTCAGTTCAACGGCCTGGTCGATGTCTACCGCAAGACTCTTGCTTCTGACGGTATTGCTGGTCTGTACCGTGGTTTCGCTCCCTCCGTCGCTGGTATTGTTGTCTACCGTGGTCTGTACTTCGGTATGTACGACTCCATCAAGCCCGTCGTCCTGGTCGGTCCCCTCGCAAACAACTTCCTGGCCTCTTTCGCCCTTGGTTGGTGCGTCACCACCGGTGCCGGTATCGCCTCGTACCCTCTCGACACCATCCGTCGTCGTATGATGATGACCTCCGGTGAGGCCGTCAAGTACAACGGTACCATGGACGCTGCCCGCCAGATCGTCGCCAAGGAGGGTGTCAAGTCGCTCTTCAAGGGTGCTGGTGCCAACATCCTGCGTGGTGTCGCCGGTGCTGGTGTCCTGTCCATCTACGATCAGCTCCAGGTCATCCTCTTCGGCAAGGCCTTCAAGGGCGGTTCCGGTTAAATACCTTTATACCCATATAGACACGACGCTGGTGGGCGTGAAGGTGTAATGATGTGTGGTGGTGAGGGGTCGATAAAAAGGGGTCATCATTGGTGATGGACGTTGCGACGGAAGGTTGTTACAGGCATCACATTGTCCGTGGCGTTCTGGAACGACTTCGACCTTTGCGGTATCATGCACTTTTTGAGTGTTTTCGGCCGCTGTAATTTAGAACCTAAGGCAATTCCCTTGACTGTATTCTTTCTGCTCGCAACCTGCACATCTCTCGCGGATTCGTTTTTCACCTCGGTCGGTTTCATTTGGTTGCATACAACTCATAGACTCTTTGCAATCTGAATGCTAGTGGTTTTCTCCGGATTATCCCCCTGATTTGTGTGACTCTGCCCGAGTGTGACGGTCCTGATACCGTATCCAAATGTCCTGGCGCCGATTTGTGAGGTGACGTCGCGCCCAAAACTGTTGGCACATCGAGGGTGGGTGTGGTATTTGTGCCTGTCAACTGACGCCAGCTGGGATGCACCAGGCAGAGGTGCAATTAAACGCGCCTCGACGCGTCCCCAACAATGAGGCACGCGGTCCATGAATTCAAATCAAGATTGACAACTGTAATATTCGTTGGCCGTTCCCTTGTCCGCCGATCTACTTGCCGCAGCTTCGTGCGATGCCTCCGAAGCAAAACAACGCGGCGCCCCGTCCAGGCGGGCGTCCTGCCGGCTCGACCAACAAGTCAAAGGGCAACACACCCAAAGCCCAAACCTCAGGCTTCTCTCGTCCTTCCGTCGGCTCGTCTTCACGCAACGCCCAAGCCCGGCGTTCCGAGACCGACCTAGACCCCTTTGCAGATTCTCAGGATGCTATGGAGGATGTGGTGACCTCGCAGTCGGCCCACGAGGTCGAGGAAGACGAAGAGGAGGCAGTTGACGAGGACGACGACGAGCAGCCCCAGCAGACGATACCGCCCGAGCTGCTGACCCGGCTGCTGCACGAGTTCTTCGAGAAGGACGGCACGCGCATCAGCAAAGGTGCCAACGAGGCCGTCGCCAAGTACATGGACGTCTTCGTCCGCGAGGCCATCGCCCGCGCCGCCGTCGAGAAAGAGGGCGGGTTTCTTGAGGTCGAGGACCTGGAGAAGATTGCACCGCAGCTGCTATTGGATCTGTGAGGTGAAGGGGAAGAAGACAAGAAAATTAAACCCTCGAAGACAGACTCAAGAATATGGCCGCCTGCGGTTGGGACATGGAGCCCGACTCACAGGACCACCGAGCTCAGCTGTGGCCACCCGCTCTCCATGATATTGCGACACCTAGCATTCTCTCAAAGATACCATAGAAGTTCCAGAGAGATATGTTCGTCTGGATCGCCCATCACTGGTCGCACTGACAGCAGTCGTCAGATACATGGCGTGTTCTGTTCGATGGATCGAGGCACTGAATGTTCATGATCAATCATTCTGGCAGTGGCTTTACCAAACGGTTGCCTTACGTCCTGTGTTGCCAGGATCATGCCACAAGAACGAGGTGTAATGGACCGCTTTCGCGTACACCTGAGGAGTCGGTCTAGACCTGACAAGGTTGGACCTACGATGGCCACCCCCCAGCAGATTGCAGCGACGGATTATACAGCATTCATGTACGGCGGACATTAGTGGCTAATTGGTCTAGAGCTGCGCATGAGATGGCCGATTGAGCAGTGCATTCTGTTCTACTCGTGCTTATACCAAGTAGTAAGCACTGTTCGGGTATGGAAGCGCGGAGCACAAAGGAGCTGTTGACCAGATCTACAGATCCGTCTTGGCATGAGGATCAGCCGGCGATATATCGTGCGGCGGCAGTAGATCATGCCGAACCACTGTCGTACGTAGACGTCAACAACATCAAGGATTCTCGGAGAATCCTGACGGGGATCCGGCAACTGAGGATGAACTCATCATCTGCTATGCCTCGAGGCAATGTGCACTACCGCATGTCAACATAGAATTTCAGGGCGGTTATGTGAGCACACCAATCCATCAAGACTGGCTTTGGCCACGCGGTGGCAATAGTCCATGGAAACAAGGCGACATGGTTGGATTGGTGTCACACCACATTATTTCAGCTTGAACCTAGAAACGTCTGGAGTATTAAGAACGCCGCATGCGTCCGTTCACACCGTCAAAGATCAGATGACCTCAGAATAGCGGCTCTGATGTCGAACCAAACTATACAGGATTGTCTTGACACCGACCCATTGTGACGAGTTGTGTCATTGTTTCAGGCTTGGCATATGTTGAATACATTGGATCTCCAACTGATCAGACAAAATTTGTTGCCTCAATCCCTATCGCCAAGCGAAGAGGTGTAATCGACCAAGCATACTACCGTTTTGTGATGAATCAAATGTTTCCTCGGGTCCTTCGAGCCCCATCTTGGCCTTACCCAAGCCCCCCAGGGAGCTCGAAACTCCGTGCTTCGTGCGGCCTCGAATGATTTGCAGGATCTAAGCAGGCAAAGGAGTCGTCTCAAGCCCAGTACAAGTCATTGATCCTTGAGCCAAACTCAGATCCGGAAATCCGGGGATGAGTGCCAAGCCTCGCCCTAGGTCTTGCCAGCAGATTCAAGCACTGCAAAATGACACCACGCGCAGCCGAGTATCCGCTGAAGAAGCTTCACCCCACGGGTGACTACCCTGTAATGGCTAGCGGGTCTGACTATAGACCTTGAGTGCGGCGGGCCTGTGTAGAAAAGTCGTGCTATGTGATGGCCGTTGTCAAGGTTGTGACTGAGCATAACCCCAGCCAGTGCCCTGTAGGCCTTGGCTACGGGCGGACGTCCTTGCCAATTGCAGACTGCGACGGTCGCGCCCTGGCAACGGGGGGGCCAGGAGCTGCGAGTCTGCGACTGCTTAACGTCGAGGATCTCGGAGGCTCTTGTCGCTTAACGGCCCCGAAGCGGCCAAGCGGCTGCGATGCAAGGCTTTTGGAGATGGGATGGAAACCAGCCGGGTTTCAGAGTGGTGCAGATGTGACAAAGCTGAGGCAATCCGTGCGGCTCCCAACCCCTGTCGCTTAACGCACAACTCTAATTGAACGAACCCCGGGGAGCATCCGACTTCCGAGCAGCTGTCAAAAGACTCAACGCTGGCGATGACCACCGCCGTGCAAAGAGGCAGCCGGCCGTTGAGGCGCTTCCTTGGCCTCCAGCGCTTCTGACAAGACGGCTCTTTCGGCATCGTGAGGCTGTGTTCGAGCGACAGAGAGCATTGAGGAATTGCGATGGCTCTTATCCAGGGCGCGCAGTGCAAGTCAAGCTCGCATCATCTTTGAATATGATCGTGCATGTTCGTCCAGTCGCCGCCGAGTTGACATATACTCGAGTTTGAGTTCCGTGGGGCATATAGCTATGCGACACTATACTACTACTGCCACTGAATCGCATTCCATCACAGCACCCTAGCCAAGTCACGTTCATTGCACCCTTCATCTTCTATTACGTTTCGTTGCTACAATCCCGAGTGGCTATGCCACTGTCATTTGACCTTCCCCAGGAAGCCCTGGCCGAAAGCTGACAGGCAGTCAGACGTGCCGAGAGCATGGCGGGACAAAGAGGCAATCTCGGACGGGCAAGTGTCCGTCTAATAGTCGCAGGAGGTTTGTTCGTGTTTCAATACCGCTGGTCGGGCTTGACGGTCAAAACGTGTTTCAAGGCCATCTTGTATCTTGGGTCTCTTTCGCACAGCAGGCACCCCTGCCCAGTCTCCAGCCCTTCAGACGTTGCGCGCAAGGGTGTGGTTCACCAGTGGGTGATCCTTCATCGTCCCGGTTTATCGCCTTCCGGGCTCTTAAAACCAATGCTGTCGTCTCGCCCTCCTCTGCGGGATTCTCGTTTCTCTTTTCTCCTCCTCAGTTCCTTTCAGCAGTACTCGAGACGGTTCTTCCTGTCCGGCTTTTCTTTCTTTCCCATTCTTCTGTACATCTCTACAGCTTAATATTCTCTACTCAAGGCCAGTCCTTCGACCAAAAGCGCTAGTCGCTCTTATTCTATCAACGACACTCTCTTGAATACCCAACTATTTTACTATTTGGAACATCGTTCTTTTATTACGACTCTTCGACAGAAAAAGAAATCAAAATGCAGTTCTCAACAGTCGCCCTCTCCGCCTTGCTAGGCCTCGCTTCGGCCCAGACCGTCCACGTCGTGTCCGTCGCGACAGCAAACAACTCGCTCATCTTCACCCCCGACAACATCAAGGCGCCCGCTGGTGACATGATCCAGTTCCAGTTCCGCGCCGGCAACCACAGCGTCGCCCAGTCCACCTTCGACGCGCCCTGCTCGCCCATCTCCCAGCACACCAACCAGACCGGTGTCTTCAGCGGCTTCCAGCCCGTCGCTGCTAGCCAGGCAATGGGTATGGTCCCGACCTGGACCATCATGGTCCAGAACACCAACCCCATGTGGTTCTACTGCGCTACTGGCAAGCATTGCCAGGCTGGTATGGTCATGGTCGTCAACGAGAAGTAGGTCTTTCCTCAACACGTATCCCTCCCAAGGCGTTCCGTAAAACTAACACTGCTCAGCACTGGCGCAAATGCCACCCGATCCCTGGCTGAGTTCAAGAAGCTCGCCTCGGCCGCTACTGCCAACGTTGCCCCCAGCTCCGGGACCAACGGAGGCACCAACGGAGGCTCTGGCACTGGCACCGGCACCAACGGCGGCAACACCGGCACTGGCACCGGCACCGGCTCCACCACCAGCTCGTCTGCCGTCACCGCCGGTGCCTTCTCCCTGTCCGCATCGACGTCGCTCAGCCTGCTCCTCGGTGCCGCCGCTGGCCTGTTCATGCTATGAACATGGTAGCTGGGGGTACCCACTGGGTCACGGAGTTCAGGATCATCACTCGTCAAACCTTTCAACGACAACAAAAAGTCTGGTCGCCCCCCAGGGGGTGGGGGACCACGATCTAATAGCGTCTATGCCGAAACGTCTAACGCAGAAAAAGGGGCTGGGCCAGCGCCCGCCGTCACCGGGCAGAAGTAGGCTGATCAAGATGAGCTCGCTGGGCGATGGTTCGGTTCAGGGGAAAGGGAGAGAGAGTGTGTCTCTCGGGTTGGAGTACGCTTCTGTATATGTGCCGTCCAGTAGTTGGCACGTGTCTGCATCCTGCAAATGCATTTTAGAATCTGGTTGTCGAGTTCTTTTAGCCTTTTATGTTTGAAAAAGATAATATATACCCAATTTCAGACATGTCTTCTCACGTGTGCGTCGGCGTTTATGATTCGATTGTTGAGGTAAACTGAAAACATGGTACGGAGCAGCCGTCTAGCTGCCAAGTGTGTGTAAATCGCCCGTATTAGTCGGACAGACGCCTCTCCCAATCCTACTACATATGTCTTGCAGTGCTGTTCAACGCGGCTCGTTATGGACTTGGATCAATCGTTTTGCGATCCTATGAACGCTTGCTGTGCTTGGTTTTTGTGTGCCAAATTATACAGCCTACAGAAAAGCTGCCTAGTTTTCCATTACGAGGCCCGGTCCATTGGCCTCCTCCGACATATCTCCTGCGATCCATTACTCCTGCCCCGGGGCCTTCCTCTTGGGGCGGCCCTTCTCGGCCTGGTCGCAGAGCTTGCGGCGGGGCTCCTTCTCGAGCCAGCCCTTCTCGCGCTTGACGAAGCCGACGCGCGGGTACTTTGGGTTCTTCTCGAAGAAGCGCACCCAGTGGGCCAGCTGGTCGTGGACCTTCTGGCGGGCGTCGCCGAGCTCCTTCTCGCGCAGCTCGGCCAGCTGCGCCGCCGTGTACTGGGCGTCGATCTCCGGGTCGTCGCGCGGCAGGTGCATCTCCTCGATGCCGCGCAGGTCCGCCGTCCGGTCGTCCGCGAAGCACCCCGTCACGAACCCCCGCGCCGCGTCCGCCCCCGCGAACACGTGGTACGACCCGCCCGGCCCGTACGTCCGCCGGTTCGCCGTCACGTCGTAGATGGTCCCGTTGATGGCCAGGTAGATGGGCTTCTCGGGGTCGGTGCCGTCGTACTGGGCGAGCTCCTCGATGGGGATGCTGAGAGGCGATTTCTGTTTCACGGAGGTGTAGGGTCAGTCTCGGTCCGGCGACTTGCTACTAGGGGGGCAGTGTTATCTGGAATGTAACCTACAAACTGTTCTTCCCACCATGTCCGCCGCAGGTATTTGGGCGGGTGCTTCAGACCCCAGGTGAAAGAGTCGCCGCCCGAGATCAGGTAGCTCAGGCCGGCCGAGGCGACCAGCAGGAAGGTCAACACGCGGGCGATGTCGAGCCACGGGCTGTACTCATCCTCGGACTCGGCGCGGGCCTTGGGCGTCGGTTTGGGCTTAGGCTCCTCTTGCAGCTTCTCCTCGGCCTCGTCGTCGGACGAGTTGAGCTCGGTCACGCGGGCATTCAGGGGCGGGAGCCCGTCGGCCTTGGTGGTCGCTTTGCCCTTGCGCTGGCGGACGGAGCCGCGGGTTTCGGCAGGCATTGTGGAGGCGCAGGCCGGCGGAGTTGATGGGTTGAAAAGGAGTGTAGGGTGAAGAGAAGAAGAAATGAGGAATTGCTACTATACAACAATCATTGGGGACAGATATAGATCGGCCAAGGGGAAATTCGGCTGCTACGGGAAGTGTAGCCATGCACTTCATTAACATGATGCGTGGTCTCTCGACTGGCAGCTGGCAGTGCTGGATTCGGCAAGTGGTCAGGTTGAACTCCCTGTCGTCTTATTTAGGGCGGCGCTGATTGGCTACTGTGTCTCCAACGAGGCATAACAATGGGGCATTCCACAATACGACAGTCTCCCTATTACCTACTCGTACTTATTGTTTGTTTCAGCTTTCGCTTCAGACTTCCTCTATAAGTCTTTCCATTGCACAATTTGAGAGTACATTGTCGCGTTATGCAGCAACGGGTGTGTAATGAGGAAGACCGCTTCAATCAATTAGGTCCATACTTCACTAGTTCTATACACTTGTGGCAGGAGTTAGCGCGTACGTCTTGAATAATTCACAAAAATTGTTGAAAAGTTTTCTAGTAGCTCGAAGAGTTCCGGCGCTGGAGGGTCATATGCACATCCTAACGTGATAGGTCATCTGATTGAGATATTTATCCATATAAGAGGAAGCAGAGTTTTACCCTGTGGCATGTCTTCTGTGTTGGTGGAGGCATACAGTTCCTACTTGCACCAGCTTGCAAGAATGGCGAAAGCGGTGTCTCGTTTCTTCAGTCCACCTGTCAAGCGTATCATGAGAGACATATATATTTGGATATAGAAGAGGACAGAATCGGAATTACCAGCAACAGGACGCCCTGCGATCGGAAGGCTGAGAGGAGCATGCATCTAAACTGAGCCTTGTTATTCGTCTCCATATAAGACTATGACAAAAAGATATTATTAAGACTGATAAAAGTAGCTTTTATCGTTGTTCGCGTAGGTTATATTAACATGCGTTGTGTTTCGTTTACAGAAGCAAAGAACGAGGTTTCTCACGTGAGTGTCATATATTTAAGTAGAAACAGATACCTTCACAAGGCTACAATATATGGTCTGGGAGGTGCTGTTTACCCATAGAGGGATGTTTTCCTCATTGAATATATTACAGCAACATTATATGCGACTCAGCTGCCAGCCGGTAGCTCCTTGCCCGCGGGAGACGCCGGTGCTTCCATCAACGCAGTACTACCCGCCTCTGGCCCATTATGCCCGGGAAGCTCTGCCGGCGGCACTATCTCTCGGTTTTACACCTCCTGCGGCTCCGGCATGCCGTATAACTCATGCGGCCCGGAATACGGGAGAGAGTCTCCGTGTAGTTGTGCCTTCTCCGCCGGCCCATCGTCAACTGCGGTTGCTGAGGTGCCGTTAGCGTGCTTGTGTCTTCTTCTCCACCATAACCAGGAGCAAATGGAGATCAGGCAGACTCCTCCAATGGAACCAATAACTGGGCCAGCTATCCACTCTGGGTTTCGAGAAGGCTGCGTGATGATTGTGGGAATCGAGGATGTCGTCGGAAGTGGTGACGTGGTTGATTGGGCTATTATGCGTATTAGCAGAGGAGAAGGTCAGCAAGATGTGCTTCTTACAAGACGGATTTATCGAAGACGTGTTTGAGGGCAAAAGTGACGTAGAAGTCGCTGGTCGTGCGTTGATTGTGATATTCTCCAAGGCATAGATTAACACACTTGAAATCGATGTTGTCGAAGACCCGGCGCCCAAATCGATCGTTGTAGCCCGTAAAACAGTGGATATGGGTGTCCGAGAAGATGATGAGCCGCTACTACAGAAGTCTAACCACTGTTGGAAGACAGGGGTGATGAATTGATCTTGTAGAAGCTGTTGCTCAGGTTCAGGCGCGTTGACTTGGATGCACCGGTGGCAAGTCTCGACTAGAAGCTTGAAGGAGGATCCATCCTGGCAAATAGCGCTATTCGGGCCACCCGCTGCTTGGGCTTCAATATATGCATTATCTATAATCAATGAGTTATCGCTGCACACAATTCTCAAGTGTCTTCTTACTACAGATATCATAGCACACTGCCGGTAAAGTTACAGACTGACGAATCTCGAGCATATTAGAACGTCTACTTGCGTAAGATTCTGGGTGTATGAATAAGATTAAGAAAATAAGCCTCGAAACATCTTTGGGAGAGGGCCTTCTCCCACTATTTCAGCAGGCTGCCCCAGATGATCTGCCATGCGAGCTTCCTATTTGCGGAGTTCTCGCTTCTATTAAAGTGCATTGTGCATAACGTGGTAATCCAATCAGAAGGACTGAGAGGGACGCATTTCCGCTGGGATGCTGATGGAGCGTTACACATGTTACGGGAGACACCGAAGCGGGGTTTAGAATTTGCATTGCCAGGTCAAGAAACAGTGTATATGTCACGGCACCACAGGTGAATAGATGTTCTGCTGCAAGTCTCATGCTGCTTCAGCTGATAAGTATGGATTCAAGAGCATGGTGACCTGAAGGAAAGGGAGAGGCTGGGCTCCGTGGCAAATGTGAGTCGTTGCTGCATCAAAGCCAAGAGACTGCGAAGTCCTAACTAGTTCCTGAAATAGCCTTACGGTAGCACGTTGCGAAGGTAGCCAGAAGACAGTTTGGCCCCAGGTTGTGTATCAGAATTTCCGGGGAGCTCTGGTAGGCTTCTTAATCAAAACGATGTCTGTAATTGGAAGAGGAGAAGGCAGTCAAAGGGCGAATTGGACACAAATTAGCCTCGCGAGGGAATACAGCAGATGCCTCGAGCCAGTCCAAGTCAGCTAGCCTATGGCCAGCTAAACTGGGAGGCACCGCCGCAGTTGACGCACATTCATTTGCGTTCCGCCTTCTGAGCAGCCACAGCTGGGTCGGGTGGTTAGCAGCTGCAGTGAGTGCAGGTATTATTGGGGTTTGTGTTACACAAGATTTGAGGTCGTACTTCTGTGGGTGAGTGTACTCCTAAATGCACACAGCTCTTGAACCGTTTGTTTATTGCAATCTGATGTGTAAAGTACTCTTCGCCTTCTTTCGTTTCTGTTTTGTTTCAGTCAAACCCGCCGAGAAGGAGAGAAAAGTTCCGAGGAATACCATCGGGGAGTAGGATGCAAAGAATCACAGGATACAAGCTTGGACCCAATGTGCGGAATACACCGTTAATTCAATTAGACTAGGATGTTCCTAGAACCATGTTTTCTGGTCTATGTGCAGCAACAATATACAGTGAATGGGCCCCGTGTTGCGTGACGACGCCCATCGAATTCCCGGGCAAGCCGGCCCCCTATCTCTACACATCTGCGGCAAACGAGCACGAGTGCGCTGGAAGCTGCTGGTTTAGACCCTGTTTCCGGATCGCAGGGTTTTGCTTGCGCGCTCGGGCTCCTAGCCTCTGACTCGTCTCCTCTTGGCCACGCTGGGCGCGTCGGCGTCGCCAGGCTGCTCATCAGCCGCATCGTCCTCGACGGTGCTCATGTCGCCCGCCGCCACGCTCATGCTGCGGCTGGGGCCGCCAGCGGGAGGCGCAGCGTTGCGCTCGATCTCGCTGCGGAGGTCGCTCATCAGCTTCTCGACCTCCATGAACATGTTGCGGGTCTCCTTGACGATGCCGTTCTCATCGACCTCATAGCCGATGGCATCCTCGTTGTCGTCTTCCGAGCTCTGTACAAATGACGGCCCGACGCCTCGATCAGGGTCCTGATTGTACATGATCGAGTTTGCAAACATGTGTACGAGTTCGCGCTCCAGCTGAGCGATGTTGATGATGCCCTTGGGAGGTATGAGGTCCACAGAAATGGGCAGCCAAACATTCATGGCGTTTGGATCAGAATCTGGTAGGTTCTTCTCTGCCGCCTGGGCCGCCCTTTGCCCTTGATTTATAGCAGCACGGATGCGCTTGAGATCTTGGGGCTGAAGAATGATCTCAGGGTATCCTGGGGCATCTCGAGCTTTGATAGGATGTGCGAACATGTTGGCATGCCGATGACTCGTAACCTGCTCCAGAGCCTGGGCACTGACCTTGTGAAAAGATCGGGTCCAAAGTACATGCGTGGGAGGAGCTGGAGGTGCGCGATTGACGGGCGATTCGTGTCGCTTGCGTTTTGTGCCCTTGGCTGCTGCACCAGTTCGCTTGCCTTGTACACTCTCATCTGCAGTCGTGTCTCCAGCATCTTCGAAAGGCTTGGGCGTGGCCTCTTCGGCCTTAATCTTACGGCCGCCATCCGAGTCTTCAATAGTCTCCTTCAGATGAGAGGACCTAGATGCCGCCTTCTGAGCACTCTGTGACAATTTGCTTGGCGGATGAGGACTGGAAGTGTCGATCTTCTGGACGTTCCTGCGTGATTCCTTCTTCCCTGACTGTTGTGGCGACGTCTTTTGAAGCTGAGCCGGCCGGATAGGAGGACTCAATGGTTCAAAAGCAGGGCTTTGCGCGTCGAAGTACCCCGTCAATTCTTGTCTGGGCGTCGCTGGTGTTGGCGTTGACGTCCACTTGGTACCATGTCCCCGGATCACATGAGAAGAGACACTGGCGGCTGACGGGGTTTGTGGTTGCGAAGATGGATGGATCGGCGGAAGGTTTGTCACTAGGGGCCTGCTTGCTTGGCTCATGGGCCGCTGAGGCTGTTCTGCAGGACCTGCCGAAGGAGCCTGACTAGGTTTTGGTTGGACTTGGGGTCGAGCACTTAGCTGCTGAGAGACTGGTGTAGATGGCAAGGATGCCGCGGCTTGCTTGTGAACCGGGGGGAGGTGATGGGCCGTCTGGCCAGGAGCGGCCAGAGGAGGCCGATGGCCCGCTGGTGGAGGGCCGGACCCACGTACAGGCGTTTGCAGATTGTGAGCAGCAACCGGAGGACGCACGGGAGTTTGACCGCTATGAGGCTGTGGTTGTTGGTTCGGATAAGAGGGCACAGGTACGGCTGTACTCGGTGGGCCTGTCGCAGGAACAGCCGGTGGCCGATAGGGCTGGTGCTGTTGTGGTTGCTGTTGCTGTGGCCCAGGCCGCTCTGGGGTTTTGAGTGGCAACGCCGGTGAAAACTGGCCAACATTCTGGGGTGGGACTAGAACAGAATGAGGAGGATGTGTGCTGCCTGGGGTGGGCGTTCGGTTCGGCTGTGCAATGGCATGAGGCTGGCCGCCAATATGAGCCTGGGAGGGCTGGGGTTGATGATGTTGTTGCGCCTGATGATGTTGTGGCGTCCTAGCGGCCGCTTGGTCAGGATGTGCAAGCGGCCGAGAAATGGGGGTGTTGTAGGGATGTCGAGGGGATGGGATAGGCGTTGTTTGAGATGGGTGAGGTTGATATGGAGGCTCCCACTTGAATGGTCCAGAGCCTTGATCCTGCTGAGGTTGCGGCGACGGTCTGGGCGCCGGGCTCTGACTCTTTGACAGCCCGTCCGGTCGTTGCAAGCCATCCGTAGTAGGGCCTTGCGATGGCACAGAGCCGGGAGGATGGCCATATGCTTGAGCTGCTTGAGGTGGCTGCAGGACAGACGCAGGGCCTGTCGGCGGTCTCGCGGCATCGCCAGGCCTCCCACCAGGCGTGGCTTGCCGTATCTCGCTCGGAGGCCGTACAGTCGACGGTACTGGAGATGGAGAGGGCTGCGGCGGCTTGCGATCTAGCGAAGGCGCAGGAACTGGACTTGGCGCGATCGCAACCCCCGGCTTGCTGATGCCCTGAGCCTGAGGAGTTGGCACAGGTATTGGAGTTTGGCTGACGTGACCATTTGGCCTGGCGGACTTAACGACCTTGCCATCTTGGACAGCAGCAGTCCCATTGGTGCTAGGGAGCTTGGGCTGTGGAGGAGGAGCGGCCTTGCTCGCGGCTTCGGCTGCTTCAAGCTCGGCGATGTCCCTCTGTAACGTGTCTATCTTCTTCTCATCCTCGCGGATCTGACGCACTATATCATCTCGGTAACGCGCGTACAGCCTCTCGACGAGGAAGGGTAGCTTGTCACCGTGCGACTGCAGTTCCTTGATCGATGGCAGCGGCGGGCTTGGGAGCTTCCGCTTCCTCGACGTCGGCGAGAGGCCGGCGCCATTGACGGCCTTCTCGGCGGCGTCAGCCTCACGAGCCTGCTCGTCGCGCAGGAGGTGGCGCGCGAGCTGCTCGAGCAACTCCGGGCTCAGGCGAGCAGCATTGTAGGCGGCCTGTTCGCGGATGAGTGGGTGTTGGTTGAGCTCTTCGGAGATGCGATGGAAGGCGCCGGTCGCAAAGCCGTGTTTGGCCAAGGATTGGAACAGAAACAGCGATTCGAGTGGGGTGTAGGCCGTCGTATTATTCATGCCCCGATTTGCGCCTCGCGAATGGTCGGGAGGACCGTCGCGTCGAGGCAGAAGGTGAACCGGCGCCAGGTCTACGTGTCACGGTCAGTCAGTGCCCGGCGAGACAAGACACACGAGGGTTGGGGACGGTCCCGGGCCGTCAGGCCATCGAACGGCCATCAGACGCGGGGGAGGGCACGCACTGAGCGGGGATGGGGTGTTCTCGGAGGTCTATTAAGACTGATCCGACGACTTGCGCGACAAAATCGCGTCGCTTCGGGGCCAGCGGCGATGAGGTTCGCGATGATGATTCGTGTCGTGGCAGGAAGCGTCACGTGATTGCTGGCAGGCCGACGATGAAGTCGTGAAAAGATTTTCGGGCCTCTCTGGCGGCCGTGTTTCGCAGGCAGATTAGTGGCTTGTCCTCTTTGGGATACGCTCCGACCGCAGGTTATGGTGGACTGACATTGGATGGCCGAGATGACGACCTTTTTTTTTTTTTTGACGCCCAGCCCAAGAAAAGACAGAATCAGGGGAGCATGGCCCGTGCTTCTCCAACTGTTATTTACGCGATATGTACTCTTATGGGTGCGCATGCAGGTATTGTCTGCGTGCAGATTGATTCTGCATGTAAAGAATCTTTATTGAAGGCAGCTAGTGTAGGACAACAACTTGCGCAACGGTTCTGCCGCCACGAGCAGTTGTTCCTAATCTACGTGTACATGGTTACGAAGAGGAAGCTGTTTCTGGACCAACACAGATCATCTGGTCGAAAGGCAATCGCAGATCGAGTACCCACGACCCAAGATAGACGTTGAATACTTGAAGCAAGTCCTGGAAATCAACAGGGGCAACTGCTCGGGCGAACGATTGTTCGAGAATCCCCAGTTTCCTCGGCCTCTCTCGCTCGACTGTCGGGTCGGCGAGTGTCGATAGCGCGGGGAAACTCTATTTCGGATTGAAGGCGCTGATGCCTCGCTCGAGTGGTCATCGCTTTGGGCTCCATCTTTTCGGATCAGTAACTACCTACAGGCTAACAGCACGCACTTTTGAGCCTCTGATACACAGCACATCTCGAGCGCTTGACTCGCGGTGCCTGAAAGTCTATAAATACTAGGTTTGTCTGATCCCCCATGTGAACACGAGCCTGCTGGGGCGGGATCATCCCAGGCTCGGAGCTCTCCAACCCACGACATGGGCGCTACCAAGGCTACCTACCCGGCCGAGCCTTACCCCCCGGGTCCAACCCAGCCGCATAACATGCCCAGGTCACATCCATCTCAGGACGCCCGGCAGCCTGGCGGAATTGGACAATGCAGTCGTGACCAGGCCTGTGACGTTGATGTCATTTGTCCCTTGACACGAGCCCCTCCAACGACGTTGCGGCCAAGCGCATTTACCCAGCTGGCCAGGAGTGTACCGAGTGGCCGCAGCCTTCGCCATGCGTGTGACACCAGTCATGCGCGATCGTGTCTCTGCCAGCCGGGCGACGTCAACTCCGCCGTCTGGAGCCTCCTTCGTTGTCCTGTGAACACCCGGCAGCGATCAGCAGCAAGTGTGGATTGGCAGGCTTTCTTGAGAGTTATCCCAAGTAAGAAAAACAAAAAGAAGAAAAACTACGAGTACAGTCACGCTTCAGCACAATCCGCACGGAGGAGGCACTGGCCCTGGCTTGCTTGCAAGTTGCCAGGAAGGAGTACAAATTATTAGGGGTTCTCCAACCTGGAGCGGGGCACTGATTCAAGGTACAGTACGCAACACGATTATATCTAATCAAACCTCCTTTTATGCGCGGATTCCTTTCGCAAATGACGGCATTGGTGTGAAACCGAGGCACCTCGAGACTCTCATGCCCGACATGGGCTCCCCCCTTTTTTGCTTTTTTGCTTTTTGTTCTTGGAATCGGGGTCCCTCAGGTTCATGCAGCTGCAAATGACAGAAGGCATTGGCACGTCAAAGCAAGTCGGATAGCGGAACGCGCAGAACACTAAGCGGTGCCAGACGCTATTGGAGGCGCCGCTCTTTGATTTGGATCAACCCTGGCTAGCTTTCATTTTTGAAAGGTTTCCCGTTCTGGCACCGCATTGTGACGGGGACCCTTTGAATTGCCAGGTTGGCTAGCTTCTTTCCTCGAGATGATGGAGTCCACCCGTTGCCCACTCCACATTGCTGCTTTGGGCAGATACGAGTGCATACCGTACAGTGCCTTGCATGTGGGAGCTTGTGCAAGCTCTATGTGCTCCAGAACATCACGGTACCAGACCTGCCAGCGGCCCAGACGCCCACAGTAGATACCTGACTACAGCAGGGACCCCGTAGCTTAGGCATGTACCTCGGAGGCTAAGTTGCAGTAGTTCGCGGTAAGGGAGATCAGATCCCCATCCAAGAGAGAGAGAAAGACAAGAGAGGTCGACCGAAAAAGGAGACGACCGTCAGTCATCGACATCAAGCTTTCCAGCCAACGTCAACCCGCATCTTGCCCTTTCCTCGCCAGAATCCTGGCCTCGTGTGTGTGTGTCGAGACCGACTTACTCAGGCACGTACATACACAAGTTACCTAGGTACATAAGTTACATACTCTCGACAGACTCACTCGACTTGCGGTCGGGGGTCTCTTGGTCCGTCCGTCCTCCCAGTACCTACATACACACCAAACCCTCGAGGCCCAAATTGTTTCAGACATCGCTGGCCTGAAATTGCCTGTTCCCAAGTCAGGACAAGACTCGAGTTCCACATTATCTACTACGGGCGGCTTGCTGGGGTGCCACTATTGGCAGCTCAACGCCTGACCCCCCTTTTCCCCAGGGCCCAGGGTCTGGTGTGTCGGTCAGCTGCAAAGGACGCCGACGCTGGCGGATTGATTGATTGATTGATTGATCGACTTTCGCTCGGCTCAGTCCCGTCTTTCGACTCTTTCTCGTCCTCCATTCTACTACATAACCAAATCCCGCCACGCACATCCCGCCAGCTCTTCCGCCCGTTATCTCTTTTGCATTGTCTTCTCTTGGAGAGTATCCATTTGCTCTTTTTGTCATCCGCTTTTGTTGTCCCAAGCGCGCAGCGAATCCACCGCCAAAATGAACCGCACCGACGCCGAGCTCGACAGCGACTGGAAGCCAAATGGCCGCCGCCCCCAATCGTGAGTGTTTCCCCCCTCCCCCTTTACCGGCCCAGCTCGAGATGCCCACGTCAGCAACGTCTCCGAGGCGATGCGGCAGAGGAGAAGCTCAGAAGTATGAAGCGTGACTAACACCTCGTTGCTCGAAACAGCACTATCGCCCGCACCTTTAGTGCAGAGCTGGAGGATCTTTTCCGGATTGATAACAGCGTAGCTGATCTCGACGCCAACGTAAACAAGAAGTAAGCCAAGCCCGTTCCCCTGGCAGCCACGGTGCGCGGCGTTGCTGACCAGGCCTTTCCCCAACCGCAGGAAGCAAGAGGTGACGACACAGACCTCCGAGCTCGAGGCTCTCGAGCGCCGCATTCGCGAGATGGAGGAGCGCCTGAAGCGAGGCGGCCAGGCCCCTGGGGCCGCAACCGGCTCGAGCCCGCGAGCCCAGCGCTCGCCACTCGGCGACACCTTCAGCCAGCAGCAGGCCCCCGCTACCGGCACCCAGAAGGAACTCCCCCAGAGGCCATCCCGCCCCGGCACGGCCAAGGCCCAACAGCAGTCGCAACAGCAGATGCACGGAGGGGCCATGCCGCCAACTCCCACAGCCAGCGAAGGTGAATACGAACTCGTCCCCGAACCACACTATGCCAGCAAGATGTCCTCATCTTCACACACGTGCAATGACTCTGAGAGTGGCCTCGAGACCCGAAGTTTTGCTGACTTGGTGGTTGTTTCTAAAGATGGTGATCACGACTCATAATCTCTTCCCTTCGCGTGGCATTGTGACCACTGCAATTTTTCAGATCATGGAGTTCTCAGGGGCACACTTCTCCAATCAGGCTCTGCTCTCCTTAATCCTGGCTCCGGGCGGCCCAGCCATGTAACCGGGACACCTCCTGGCTATAGCAAGGGCGGGGCCGCTCCGCAACCCACATTGGATGATCAAGTTTGGCAACCTTGGAACACACATCATCTGGATACGGCAGACCACAAAAACTCCCTCGACGAAAAGGACGCACCACGGAGGCTCTTCCCTTGGACAAGTTCCGGCAGGTGCGAAAGGAGCACGAATCACTCCCACAACACGGCTACCAGCCACTCAATATACCCTCGTTTAGAAATATCAAGAAGTCAGGACGGCCCCGTCCTGCACTTCCGGCGTTTACGGCGTCCACAGCCCCCCATTTATTTCTCGACGACTCGCTCTGGGACTCGATACGCCGGCTCCAAATTTTTGGTTATATCATCATATGGACTGTTTTGTGAATTTTCGACGAACGGGCGCGGGGGGCGGACGGCGGAAGAGTAATTGCATACAATCCTCAGTTTTTCCGGCATTGGCATCGACATTGGGGGCTAGAGACAAGACAGGAAGACAGGCATGCAGGACTACCCGCGCTCATGTTCAGGGGGGAAAGAAGGCGACGAGGTGGACAGGGCGCAATTGACGGCAGTCAGGGCTGATGATGACTTGAGAAGCAAGTACAGCAGTTGTAAATACCATACCATTGATCAGTTTCAGAGAAGGAACGGTAATGATATTCCTGGATAGCACGAATCATCCAACAGCCTTGATGGCGCCTGCTCATGCTTACTACGCCGTGAAAGGGGGATTGAGAATTGGGTTGGTCAACGAATTGAGACGAGTGCACCTCGGTGGTTGCATGACACGCACAGGAAAGTGCTACAATCCTATTACAAAGCCTCACCATGTGCAAGATAAGCATTAGCTTGCTAGTCGACTTATGATCTACCGCCCTTCGTCCTCGGCAATGTATCTATCTGCATGACTTGGAAAGTTGAACAACTCAACTGTAACGAACGCGTCGCAATAAGCCGTCCCCAAGCGAATGGCGAACTCGACTCCATCTAGACGGAATGGATCTCAAGGTATTTGCCCGTTGGCGTTTCAACTAGGACATCAGGACTTGTCGTCTGGCTGGCAGAGAAAGGGAGAGAAAACACGGGCCGGGAACGCCAGATCAGTAGAGCATGATCTTTTCCTTAGGCATCTCGACAGCCCTCTTCGCACCCTCGGAGTGCGCCTCGGCGTCGTCGTCGTCGCCGCCGCCACGGGGATCCGGGTGCTGGATGCCGGGCAGGGCCTTGGGCGCGAAGCCGACGCGCTTGCGGGCGACGTCAAAGACCTGGAAGCCGGCCTTGAGGAAGACGTCGCCGAAGATGCCCTCGAGCGAGGTGAAGCCGCCGAGGGTCTGGAGGCCCGAGTAGCAGTAGTCGGGCGGGGCGCCGGGGCTCAGGGTCGCGTTGAGGCGCGAGTAGACCAGGTAGTCGCCGGGCAGCTCGCCCTGGACCACGGTGCCGTTGGCGTCCGCCAGCTCCCACAGGAAGCTGGGCGGCGTCGCGTTGCACGGGATGATCCAGCCGTACTCCTCGTACGAGAAGTTGGCCCCCGGCACGGTCTTGTAGTACTGCTTGACCGCCTGGTCCGGCGCGTAGAACAGCGTCGAGCCCGTGTCGAGGATGACGGCCGGCGGCGCCGCGAACTCGTACGAGATGGCCGAGCCCTGCGTGGCGAAGCCCTTCATCTGCACGCTCCAGAAGCCATCCGAGCTGTCGACGTTGATGTACTCCAAGTCACCAGTGTGGAGGGAATCGTCGATGAAACCGAAGTTGTAGGACCCGTCGCTGCTGTTGTGTCGCAAATCCACGGTGAAGACGGGGTTCTTCAGGACGTCGGGCAGGAAGTCCAGAAAGGCCTTCTGGACGGGCGTGGTCTGGATGATGCTGCCGAAGGCAAGTCCGACCAGGCCCGACATGGCCTTCTGTTTGCTGAGCTGCTGCGAGACGCTCTGGGCAGACTCGATCGTCATGTTGGGGATAGACAGGTCGCCGAGTGTGAAGGTGTCACGGTACACAAGTCCTGACGAGCTCGAGAAGTCGCCGTAGATGATGCTCCATGTGCAGTTGGGGATTTGCTGGGCCGTCGTCGACTTGCTGAGATCCAGGATCTCCTGGCCCTTGACTGCCTTGGCCTGAGTGTCATTGGAGAAAACCCAGCTGCAATTTCATATCAGTTCAGCTTGTCCCATCATGGCTCACACGTGAGAGGATGACTTACGTATCTGCAGAGCCAGTGTCAAAGTCGAGGCTCAGAATCTGGGCTGGTGTGCCAATGCCCACAGGAGCGACGAACTCAAGGTCGCCCTCTATCGATGTTGCCGGAACACTTCCAGCTAAGGGGGAGTCGTCAGTTATGTCCTGGGGTCATCGTTATTTTGGGAGCTTGTCAGAAAGTACATACTTTGGTCTGCGGGTACCTCCTCAAGGTAGCGGTTGACAGCATTGTGCAGGTTCTCGTGGATGGGGATGTTGTACTTGTTGAAGGTACGTCGCATCTCCGATGGACCATGGCGTCTGCCTCTGAAGACGCCGTCAGCAGCGCGGATGGAAGCAGTCTTCTGCTGGTCACCAGTGTTGGAGACGGTGGTGGAAGCGACCGGAACAGAGACGACGGTATTGACCAGAGCGCAGGCCCAGACGACCAGGAGGCCGAGGCTGAAGTGGCCGAGCATCTTGTCTCCGAGGAATGAAAGGAAGAGTGTTGGATTGCACCAGTGCGTGTAATGAGTGGAATGAGTGATAATGTTGGCCTGCAGAAGGAGAAAAATCTCACACGGGGCACAAAAGGTGTCGTGTCAGAGAAGAAGGTACTGTTGGTGTACCTTCTCAGTCTTCTTTCGAAAATTGGCCACCCAAGCCGGTGTTTGTGACTGCGTTTGCAGCTCAAAGGCGAAAAGGCGTTTGTTTGAAATGGACTGAGCGGATGTAGACCCACGACGCAGGTTTTATTAAAATGTCTCGGCTGTGGAGTAAAGACTTGATGGAAGGCCCCGAAAAGGGGATATCTCATTGACGAAGACAAGATGGACCGAGTTCTGGACTCCTGCCAAGTCGGATGCTGGCATTGGCTTGGGATGGAAAGGGGTAGAGTGGTTGTTGAGATCTCGTATGACGACAGATACTTGACTTTACTACCGCGTGGGTAGGAGTTTTCTAGATAGACCCTTCGCTCAGGGCTTTTGGGATAGATCCCCATTTCATGCAGACAAAGGACAGGGGCGGGTGAGGAGATCTCATCATCCAAGGTTAAGGTTGCTTCCATGAGAGGGGTTGATAGTAATCGACTGACGTCGGACGTCGCTTCCAAAGTCGCATTCCCATACAATTTCCGCATTCATCTGCTGTGTGGAATTGCATCCTACAGCTCGAGAAGACGGGGTAAACTTAAAAAAAGCTGGGTATTATGACAGCTGTCCACCTTGGTTGTGCTCATGCCCTTGAGTGACCGGCCTCGCGCCCGATTGGCGGCGTTGGGACAACACGGATGATATTTTACATTCGGTCTCCTGCAGGTCCCAGGCTACCTGCAGGTCATACAAACGCGGCCCTTTGGTCCGGGTTTCAAATTGACGGTAAGAGCGTCGACCACAGCCCAAGGCAAACGGCCGGGCTGTGTCGTGTGAGATATTGATCTGGCGTGCCTCGCCTTGTTGCACAGCGATTGCGACACTCCAGCATGAGAGGCTCGATACACGAGCCGTGACACCCGACAGAGGGTAAAATTACCGAATGGGCCCTTGAGCAACATGGTTCACAAGATTGTCGTCTATAGGGGGTGCCTAGGCAAGGGGGTACACGCATTGTGACAGGCATTAGCATGCCAAGAAGTCATTGGGTATTGTGCTTCTTAATTATTCATCAGATGTCTAACATTTATCATTGTATCACAGCTCACAGCTCATCGCGGGTGTGTTGCTTCTCTTCTTTTTCTTCTCGCTCCTTGGTAAGCTTGCGAATCATCTCCTCCAGCTCCTCTGAGGTGGGCTGTTTGCCGTCTCCTCCGAATTTGATGTAGCCAGCATCGTCCTTGAGGTCGATGGTGTGCTCGGGGTTAGCACTGTCAGTCTTTGTCTTGGCCGACTTCTTCTTGGTTTTCGTGCTCTTCTTCGAGTTACTCTTCTTCTTGCCCTTCGGGTCGAAGTTGTTGACAGCCTTCATGGCCAGGTCCATGCCAGCCTTCTCCAACTTCTTGGTCTTCTCCGCGATGTCCTTGGCAAGCAAGACAGGGTCTGCATTCTCGGGCAGCTTAGCCTGCTTGGCCAGCTTCTCGTCCAGCCATTTCAAAGTCGACTCAGAGAGCTCCGTGATCTCCTTCAGGTCACCCACGGTGTAAAGGGGCGGCACAGGGCCAACATTCTCAGAGGCAGTAGTAGTGGTCGATCTGGTGAAGTCGTCGTCTTCGAGACCGTCAAAATCGCCCGAAGCTGAAGAAGGTGCCTCGGTGATCGTTGAGCTGGACTCAGTTGAAGTTGCACTGGCGCTCGCCGAAGACTTGAAAGCCTCGGCTTCAGCAATCTTCTGCTTGATCGTGTCAATGAATGTTGCCGTTTGCTCCAGAGAACTTCTCAAGGCCTTGACCAGATCCGGTCGTTCCTGAGTTTCCTTGATTCTCTTCTCAACAGGTGCGACAGAATCCTTCAGCTCCTTGAGCTTAGCCTTGAGCTCGTCCCGTAGTGCGTCAGCGCCATCCTCGTAGAGCCAGTCACTCGCAGCACTGGCTTTCTTCTCCAAGGCGGCTCGCTCCTTATCCGTGGAGGCTGCGATGAAAGAATCGCTCTCCAACAGATCGCGGATCTTGTAGGTGAATCCTTCTAGTTGGTTGAGAGTGTCTTCACGCAGTCGGCGGGCCTTATCAGAGGCCTCAAAAGCCTTGATGCGATCTTTCGATTTGGCCGAGTCGGCTTTGGGCAGAGCAGGAACACCGGCTTTCTCTACAACGTATTCAACGGGTATGACGACGAGCTGCTTCTTCTTTGGCCCCGGGCTTGCCTCGGCGGCCTCCGCGGACGATGCAGTGCTTGTCGTTTCACTGGTAGTGCTCGACTCAGACTCAACTGCCGAGGTGGTGGCGGTGTCAGTTGATGCCGTGGTGGATTCAGTGGTGGATGACGATTCGCTGCTAGTTGCGTTCTCCTCGCCATCTCCCAAAGGTTGTTGGTCCTTCTTGCCAAAGCCAAACAGGTTCTTGACTCCATCCATGACTGAGCCCTCCTTTTCAGCTTCTTCTGCTTCACATTCAACACTAATCTTTGCCACGTCCACCTCGCCATCCTCAGTGGCAAGGCGAACGTTGAGCTTAAGGTGAATGTCAGCATCAGCGCAGCCATGGGTGGTCTTGAGCTGAGCAACGGACGCAGTAAGGTTCTTGGTCGTTACAGCCTTGGTGTCCTTGTCTACAGTGCCGTCGGCGGTGGGAACCTGCTGGTAAAACTGAACAGAGAAATCCTCAAGGTTGTTCAGAGTGATCTCCTTGGGCGCCGCGCCAAGCAGTGATCTTTCGGTCCAAAGGCGTTGCTGCTTCGTCTTGCCTTGAACGTCCGTCCACTTCATACCCGCTGGGTAGTTGGAGCCGTCCGAGATTCTGATTTCCTTGACTCTGAAGCTGGGGCTGATCTCTGCACCTCGGAAGGCAGCACCAAACACGGCGGCCTCATCTGAGTTGACGTTGCTGCGCAGCTTGTCGGCGCCAGCAATCTTCTCCAGGGCCTTCTGAACAAAAGGTGTGCGGGATGCTCCACCGTGAAGAATGATAGAGTCAAGCTGGGAGATATCCAGCTCTGCGACCTCCAGAGCTTTTTGTACCGCGGCACCGACTCTAGCAGCATGTTCCTGAGCCAGCGCCTCGAAATCTGCCCGTGTGATTTTGTACCTGAAATCGACATCCTCGTACAGACCCTCAAAGCTGGTTTGCGTCTCCTGGTTGGCACTGAGTACATGTCGCACCTTCTCCGCGTCCTTCAGGAGCTTGGCGATGGCTTTGCCATGGCCTCGGACGCTCTCGGTTGTGGCGGAGACCTTCTTGGCCGCTGGTGTCCCAACAAATTTGGAGATCATGTCGTCGACGATGAGGTAGTTGAAAGAGTCTCCACCAAGGGATCTGTCCCAGCCGCTTCCCAGAACCTGTACTTCCTGAATGGTCTTGTTGAACTTGCCGACGTCCTTAACCGACCGGCCTTGGAACTTCATGACGGTAGCACTTGTAGAGCCAGCACCCATGTCGAAGACCATGTGGTGCTCTGGCTTGCCTCCCTCGTTGATGACCGGGAACTGCCGGCTGGTCGCAAAGTTCAGGCCTACGGCCAGCCCGTCGCTAATCAGCGACAAAACCTTTAGCCCAACCAGCTCGGCGGCAGTCTGCACTGCGCGCTTCTCCTCGATAGTGTAGAAGGGTGGCACCGTGATCACAACGGACCGAATGGAAGTATCGGGACCGGCCAATGCCTCAGCGTTGCGCTGGATGCTCTGTAGCTCCATGGCCAGCAGCTCCTCGACCATCCAAGCATCCTCCTCTTCGGCAAATGTCTTGCTCTTGAATGCGGCCGTGTTTCGAAGCTTGTGTGGTTCCAATTGCAGGGCGGGGTGTCTGGCAAGGTATTCCTGCACCGAGGCATCGCCTACGGGTAGGCCCAGGAGGGTCTTCAGATTCGGGTAGACATCACTAGGAAACCTAGCTGCGACAGCCATAGCGTCGGAGCCATAGAGGCGCTCAGGGTACGAGCCCGCCTTGGGAGCGTTGGAAGCCGGCTTGAAAGCGACGGCAGAGGTCTCCTTTCTTCTCGAGTCTTTCGTCAGGACGATTTCGAGAGGGATACCCGGCTTCACGAGGGCAGCCTTGATGTATTCGGTGCCGAGATCGACGCCGAGGACGGCAGACATGGCAAAGACATTCGTCGAGAAGAGAAGCACCGCGCAGGCGACGACCCATCGCGGGGAGAGGAAGTGCGCCATGGCGATGAATGTTGCTGGCGAAGGTCGCCTGTGTATCGTGCGAGGGAACCAGTCGGCGCGAAGATGCACGAAGTGATGCAACGGTTTGTTGGTATGGATATGAGAAATGAGTATGTAGAGCAAGCAAGCCCAGAGGGAACCAGCCAGCAATGAGGTTGTGAACTCGTGTACTGGAACTGACAGGAATAAATCTGGCCTCAACGAGGAAGTGCCAGCTTGCCAAAGTTATCAGGAGCTCATCGTGGGTAATTCGTTAGCGGTTCAACGTCAGAGGACAGATCTTTGACGGTGAATTTAGCCCCCCTGTCAGACCTCTGGAAAAGCCACTCTGGCCCCGGAGCAACGCCACCTGATTGGTCGCTAACCCTAGAGCTAACCCCCCAAGCCAAGACCCCACCAGAGGGCAGCCATGCAGAACACGTTTTCCTACAAGGCTGATATATGTCGACGATTTATCTCACGGTTCCGTACCTTTGTCTCCTAAAATGTAGCCATGGACCATGACGTTTAATTAGTAAGATATGATGGATACCTGGATCTCAAGTGAAAGTGCCAGCATAGACTACCTCGCTGGTTATGATTCTGACTTGCGGCTCACCCTCGAGATGAATACGTATCTTCCAGTTTAGAATGGCGTTCATGACAATCCTCAGATTCTGCCTTCTGAAAAAGAAAACAGGTAGTCAGCTAACATGAGATATGCACCTGGACACTCGAAATGTTGTTTTTCATTCGGTGACGATATGTCAACTGCTACTTGGTCCTATTCTCCCCGTGTGGTCTCATGTAGCCAGTACGTCTTGGGCAGGGCGTTCTATGAGACACCACATCCACGATCAAGAGAGCCTACCTCCAGGTCCCACAGAAGCTGTTCCTGGACATCTATGTTGAACAATGGGAGATACTGCTGAGACCCATGCACATCATTTTCCATGAAGCCACCCGCAGCGACGACTTGGCCATTCCGGATTCTCGGAATGGTGACCTTGAAAGCCAGCGCTGGGTCGAAGAACCCACACCAGATGATCTTGTCTTCCGCCAAACCGAAGGCATCTGCTATCGCCTTCGGTTTCAACACACCAGATCCCTTGACCTTGGAGTACACACCAGTTGAGTCAAAGATGACGTCAAATGTAATCTCGTACGGCCCAGCATTCTTCGACCGTAGCACGCGTGCCAGGTCGCCGAGTTTAGTACTCGCAGGCCGTTCTTCCACTGGCGGACCTTTCACTTGGGATGATATGGGACTTTCATCAATCATCTCCCCATTCTTCCCTTGTTGTGTTGGTAAATGAAATGGCTCCATGGCTGAGAGGGGCTTTCCGCTCCCAATGAAGGAGACGCTATGCCTTATGTCCAGTCTGAGTTTCTGGCCGTCGCCCATGTCTGGTGATAGTGAGCTGGGCACGGCGCAAAGGCCCTCTTCACCATCATCAAGGTCCATGAGGTGATACATTGAAAATTGTGAGCATGGCCCCATCTCAACCTCGAGCTTGCCCCCAAGACCAAATGCGAAGTTCCCCGAAGTTGCCTTCTGGCCGGCATAAGGCCCGTGCTAGTTACGGTTAGTGGATCAATTATCGCGAGAGTTCATGTTGAAAAGCAACGCACTATTGTTGCAACTCTGGCAGTGGAAGCAATGGATGTAGCTAGGCTTTGTGATTCTGCGAGTGCTTCTCCAACAAGGAAGACTTCCTCAGTATTCTTCCCGTGGATGTGGAAATCAAGCTCCCACTTGCCAGAGGTGCCGGCATGTTGAGATGCTACGTAGCTTTTGATAAGTTGGAGAATATTATCCAGTTGGTTGATTAGTATGGCTAACAAAGAATTAGCGTTTCTGTCTTCATACTGGTGCGCAATGTCTTACGGTCTCTGATGCTTCCCATATACATTGTCCGATATCCCACGACTTTGGCGGCTTCGAGTTTGAGAGTGTAAGGCCGGTCTTCATCTCTTGAAAATATGAAGGAGCTTCCGGATACCCTGACGGTCCGGTCGTCCCCAAGTTGTGTGTAGATTGATTTCGTCAAGTCCAAGTGGCCCCCAGGTCCATAGAGGAGGTCGGGTCTTGTTTTCTCGTACAACGTGTGCGCAGCCACCGACAAAGGCGTACAGCATGCTTTGGGGTCTATCGGCGAGATGTCGAACTCTCCATTGGTGTATAAAGTACCTATGGCACCGGCACTCTTTGGCTTGGCACATTGTCCACCGCATTCCAGTATCTTACCCATGTGAGTAAAAGCGCCAAACATAAGTTTCTTGTGCTCGTGGATCGGAGCTTCCGAGTGGGACTGATGCAGAAATGCAGCATATGCGACGTAAGGCGATGGATCGTATGCCCTGCCTCCGACGATGATGTCGAAGTCTGGATTGGCTGTCATAGCATCAATGAAAGGCTCTGGACCCAGCTGAGCCATGATGGTGGATGATTGTTCAATATCCTCCTCTGCTAGTTGGGGTACAAACTTTCCGCATCCCGCAATCGCCCCTTTATTCAATCGGTCCTTCACCAGCGATTTGTCGATGCCGGCGAATACTGCTATAACCTTGAGCTGAATATCACTGTATGATAACGGCGGGTCAGTGGCCAGTGATGGACTGTTCAATAAGGTCTGCGGACCTGAACTCATCTTTCGCTGCGATTTCTCCAATAATGTCAAGCATCTCCTGTACATGCGCATCGGATCCATCTCCACCGGCAGAGCTGAAGATCAAAGGAACTCGAAACGTTGTAACCAGTTTCATGAGCTTTACCAAGTCTCTGAGATATGATGAACGCGGGCACGTCATAATTCCTAAAGCGAGCTTCTCTGGCCCGCTGTCTGTCGAGCCAGAGTCCAGGATGATGGCAGTCGGTGTACCAGTATGCACAAGCCTCGAAAGGACTGGGGTAATCTGTCTTTCGTCGAAGCCATAACCCAGCATTCCAATGGGAGTTACAACATGGCATAGAGTATTGGACATATCATGCTTCTGTATAAGTGATGAAGACATGTTCTCGAAGAGTTTACAACAACAACAATTTGAGCGACGTGATTAGATGAGTTCAGGTGTTGATGCTGAAATTGTGATTTTCACTGGTGCAGATTGCCAAGCAATCTCTTTCTCTATAAATGTTTGCCTAGGGGTGAACAAGAGCTTGAAATAATAGTTCGGGATTTTTGATAGTGGCCGTAAAGACCGGAGTATTTCATACATCCCGGGGCCCGTCAGCACAGCCTCCTGAGCCAAGTCCCCTGCTGTATACTAAATCCCCACCTTTTCGACACAGCCAAGGCGCCCAGCCAACCACGAGCCACTAATATGCTCGACAAGTCCCGGCCTCGTAAGTCCCACCCCATCCGTAAAAAGAAGGAGTGAGTGTAAAGAAGTCGTGAGGCGTCTCCGTGTAATGCCTGGCCGCAAAGTCCTTCTGAGGATGATCAGATATCTACTAATAACTGTCTCGGGCAGGTACACACGCAAAATATTGGGCTGTGCAGATTTGGGATATGCAGCTCTATATATACGTAGATACATCTGTTGTTTTTCCAATTCATTCACTGAAATTCCCATACTTCTTCAACGCAGTGTGATCAGACCATCCATTTTACTTCACATTCTTCCGTCTGACACGTGTGTAAACCAGCATTCTGTCATCCCACTTTCCTCAAGTTCCCAAAATGGGCAACTCCATGGAGCTTCAGGAGCACGTCAAGATGTTGGATGAGAACAGCCTCGCCGACTCAACCCAAGAGTTTGATCGTCAAAAGGAAAGGCGCGTAAGATGGAAGACTGATCTCATCGTTTTGCCACTCTTGGTGTCGATTCATCTGCTTGCACAAATGGTAAGGAGCAGACTGGCTGTTGCAACAGAGCTCTCGGGATGACGCTGATTGTATTAAGGGTCGATCCGATCTACCTAATGCCAAACTCGCCGGCATGTGGCACGATCTCAAGTTGACTGATTCAGACTACAGTATGATCAGCAGTATATTCTTGGTTGGCTATCTTATCTGTCAACTGCCTGCAATGTTGATTATGCGGAAAGTTGGACCACCCGTCGAGGTTGGTAGAACACATACCCATGCGGTCTTATGATCGGGGGTCGAGCTAGCTAACGCTTGTAGTTCGCCTGTGCAATGCTCGCATGGGGAGTCGTAACCATATGTACCATGAAGGCAACCGGCAAAGTACACCTCATGATCCTGCGAGCTCTGGTTGGTGTCTCCGAGGCATTCATTCAGGGTGCTGTGCTCTACCTCTCGTTCTGGTACCCTTACAATGAGTTAGCTACGCGTGGTGCCATCCTTTACTCCACCGTAGCTCTCGCCGGGTCGTTCAACGGTCTGCTAGGCTATCTGATCGAACGCACCCTAGGCGGTGTGAATGGCTGGACTTCATGGCAGTGGTAAGTGTTTTCTCCTCTTGCTGCAGAGTGGCATTCGACGCGAGAGAAATTTCTAACGAATTATTTCCGGCAGGATATTCTTCATTGAGGGCTGTATTCCGCTCCTGTGGGCATTTGTCATCTTCTTCCTACTCCCATCGACACCCGAGACGGTCAAATGGTTCTTCAAGCAAGACGAGAAAGAGATTATAATTCGGCGCAGTCGCGCCGCTCACAATACCGGCGAGAGCAAGATTATCCCCAGACTCATCCTGAAGGTTGTGACCCAGCCTCAATTCTGGGGGGTCTTTCTCATAGACTGTGGCTCACACTTTTGCGCGACTTCTCTCTCAAACTTTATTCCATCTATCATGCAAGGGTTAGGCTTCGACCGCATTCAGACTCAGCTGATGACGGTTATTGTCTACGGATCCGCATTCGTCGGAATTATTACTGCCGCCGTCATTGCTGATAAGATCCAAAAGAGGGGCGTCCTGATCTGTATTTGTGCTTCTTTTGCCGCCACTGGATACATTGTGCTGCTTTTCGCCCCAAACAACACAGTCCGTCTTGCAGCCACTTGTGTAGTTGCTGCAGGAGTTTACCCGATCAACGTCCTTAGCATGGTGTGGATGGCCACAAACAATGTCGGATATACTTTCCGTGCAAGTACAGCAGGACTTATCAACATCGTCTCTCAGCTGGTGGCAATTACGAGCAACTTCGCCTTCGATGAAGCACCATATCGGATGGGCCTGACCATATCGTTGGCCCTGATATGCATGTCGGGAGTATCGGCGGGCGGGCAATGGGCATACTTCAAATTTATGAACAAGAAGAAGCTGCAGCAGCAACATTCCGCGCATGCTGCGCGCACAAGGCTCATGAGTATCGATGAGATTGGGAATGCCCACCCCGACTTCTTCTATTCTTACTAAGCTGGCTGGCGGATCCAGAACCCATGGGCAAGAATGGAAGCCTTCCGATAGTTCTATTGAGAGTTAAGTAGGAATTTCCAATGGTATCATTAGTAGGACGATGATGAAGCACCCCGGATTCGCAGAGTCGCAGCATTGGTAAAGATGCAAGCAATGGACTTTTGGCAGTTTCAGAGCCTTTATCGGTTTTTATCTTGCTTTATAATACATTTCATGGTAGAAAAAAAAAATCAAGCAAACTATTCCGTAACATCGTATTTCATTCATGCAGTTCGTAGGAGCTTTTCCAACCATTCGGTTCGATTGCGTTCTACTTGCAATCGCAAGGAATAAAGCCGGCCCGTTGCGGGCCGGCAGGCTGCGTTGCTCCCTTCAGTGGGCTTTTTTGACTCAGATCTGATGACTTTAACTCAGCCATTTACTCGCATACCTAGGCTGAACGTAACAATTTTCAGACACCATATCCATTGCCTATTGCGTTTCAAATTACGACCATTTACTAGGAAGGCCCAGAGAAGTCCATGAACGCGACAGCTAGCGTGTTATGGCAACGCCACCGGAAGACTCCTCATCTCATGATGCCCAACAACTACTCAGCTGCGCGAAGCAGCTCATGTCTGAGGTCTTGACTTTTTCAGACCATTTTGCCGACATGGCACAGACTTCAAGTGGCGACGGATCACACGTTGCGGCCGGAGCTTTGAACTACCTCAAACAACAGCTGAAAAGCGAAATCCAAGGACTCGAAGGGGTACTAAAAAAACACCAATCGAATGATCCGATGGCTCCACACTGCACATCGTCGACCAATCTACCATTCTATGAAGCGCTTTGGAATGTTGCTAAAGAGTCACGAGACATAGTAGCTCTCCGAAAGTGGGTGTCCTGCGGGCAGTACCAGGGCAAGGATCTTTTATCTCCGGGAAACCACATCATTCACCACCCTGGCGATTCCATTCCATCCAAACATACAACAACCCTGGTCGACATAATATCAGATGGGGGTCAGACTTGGGTGAAAATTGCTGCTATAACAGGCAAACGAGTACTATGGGATATGACTAAACTCGGCTGGGCAGTGGGTGCCGACGACAGCGATGATGAGGACGACGAGGACGACTTCGATGATATTCCTCTGTTCAAAGTTGCAAAGTCACTGGCTGATTCTGCGAGTGTGCACCGGATACGGGGCCGTCGACCCAAAGTTCAACTGGTTCTGCCTCGCATTGCGAGCGGAGAATCGAGGGACATTGACCTTGTCCTCAATCGAATCCGCAAGCTGGGCATCCAGGTGCAATGCAGCAATGAAGTGTCTCCGTTACAGTCGAAACCACTCACAACAAGTACATTACTCCGGATGGCACCAAGTCCCTTCGCTCGATTCTCCGGCACCCTGAATATGGACACCTCTGTACTCATCGCTTTAATATCCGACTTTTCCCACGGGCCAGTAGCACAGCAGTCGTGGTTTAGTTCCATGCAAAAAGGTCATCTTGCTAATGAAGCAAAACACAAAATCGCGAGCACATGGATTTATCCTGCACTATCTGGACATAAACTTATATGCACGGAGGAAGCCGCCAAAACGTGCCGCGAAATCGTCAGTACCATTGGCACGGAAACAGAACTTGCCCGGCTAAATCTTGTACTATATGAAAATCCCAGCATGACTCCTGATATAATTCGTCGAGAATTCAGAGTTTTGTCAAAGTACGATATGTCAGAGAACATTCAACTGCCCGTACAAATCATGAGAGATACTGCGAGCACAGTCGCAGAAATACCCTCGGAGGCGTTGGAGGCTCTACAAGATACAACTGAACCGACGAAATCCGTATTTGCGTATGGATGGGCTTCGCAGCTAACCACTATCACGTCTAACGGAGTGGGCGTCAACAACCTTACTCGACAGCTCGAGGACCGGTCTTACCAAGGCACTTGGCCTTCAATTTGGCTATGCCCTTTCAGTCGCTCTTTGGTCGGTGTTCCGAAACATGTCCGGGAGGCTGCGTCCTGAAATAGCGAATAGGTGCATAGATGAAATTAGAGGAAAGATTCATGTCCCCATCTGGACAGAAGCGCTTCATTTTAATGATATATATCACATGTATATTATACACCACGGCTTCTACCGTCGACGTGAATATTGAGGCCAGATCAATTACAGCGATGCAGGTACACGCTGCTACACTATGGCGAGAGGTTCCTCATGATTGGAATCTTTATTAATATGATACAGTGTCTTGAAGCAGTCTGAATGAGCCCAATTGTCTACGAGCTCCCCGTGCATTCGACTTCTACCTCCTTGCAACGTATTGGTCAGTCAGGTTTTGGAAGAAACAAAATTAGAACGGGAAACTTACTGATTGAGATTCATATTGGCACTTCTGACCCCAAAGGAGCAGCATTATCTCCCAGGACAAGTGCATTTACACTTGGGATCATCTATATGCATCCATGCTCAAATAGGGCTTGTTATGCGGCTGTCGCGTTCAGCTTCATTAGGTGCGGGCTACCATGGGAAACGTATGTCCTGCTAGGTATGCAATTGGGTCTCCCTAAAAATGCATCCTCAGATGTGGACCAAGAATAGGGGTCGAGTTCCTAATACAGGCTTTTCGTTTTATCAAAGTGGTGCATGGAATACGCTCGCGTCTGTCGTCGGCTACTTCGGTGCTCATTTCGACGCAAACCAATCGTCCTTGACCACAGTTACCACAAACATTGTAGCGGCGACTGCACCGGCTAGAAACGCAAGAACAGCAAAGATGACTCCGGGTTGCACCGCTACTCGCAGGGCAGTCCGCACCTTGCTGGTTGGTCTGGGTTCTACCTCTTGCTGCTTGAGGCTAATAACAGACGAGAGTGTGCTATCTGAGCGGCGGGTGTCTCTGACTTGCCGAGCAGCCTCAAGATCGGCTTCAAAGTATTTCGGCTGATCCATGGCGAAAGCCAAAAACCCAGGAATAGTTTACTGTCGACGGTCGCGCGGGATAGTTCAATACTTTGAGTCGCAGCTGAAGCGAAGTAAGTCGAACTCTGAGAAAACAGGTGGTTTTGTTTTGAGTTTGTACATTGTCGCCTCGACTGCGCCGTCCATCAGGCTGAATCCAAAGATATGAGGTTACGAATCACTCGTGCGAAGTGGATGGCTGATTTGATACCAGGCGGAAGGCCATCCTTGCTATTGAGGGGGTTTATCATTCCGAGACACCATCTGACGAAGATGAGACGGAACAACATCGCCTCAAAACACAGTATTTCATTTCAAATCCAAGAAGGATGTGAATAAGGAGTGGCTGTTTGCGTGATCTACTGCGTTTCGGAAGTTTCGCGCGAATGACGAGTGTGCTGTCAGCTCCCTCAATCTGATTTTCGAACGCGCTGCCCGAGCCTGACGCAAATGTTGTGGCTACGCTCATCCCCCTGATCTTCCAAACCGCCCCCAAACATGCAACCAGTAAAACATCGTATCTCGGACCCTCTGACTACGGAAATATCTTCATATATTTTGCACATACGTGAACCAGACCATTTTGACCACCGGTGCATATTATCTTCTCACAAAAATATATACCAAAGGCCTGGGTTTCAGATGCAAAGCGATGCAACGTAGACTAGCACAAGTCTATACTGTTTTTTAAATTTCAATTCTACCTAATGTGTCTGTCAGAGGTAGCCCGAGGTCAGGTATAATCAGAAGTCCAATGTATGGTTCAATTCATAGAAAGACTGAATCTTGTCCTCTTTCAAGTAAGAGGGACAAGACGGGTATCATATAGCGGACACTGCACGATGTTCCACCGAATCCTCTGTAAACTTAATACACTGCCGTGACAGTGCCAAATGCCTGCGAGATCATTAGATCTCATACGGAAGATGCCCTTGTCTTAAGGGCGTGCCTGATTTAGCCATTCGCCTTCAAGTGACATGTGTCATAGTGATGATATCTGACCATGTCTCGTAATCGTATTTCTTGTGGATAAGGGAGCACTCGAAAACTCAAATCAAGACCTGGTTGGCATCGAAATAAGCAAAGTGCAAGAATCCAAGACAATATTTCAAATAAAGTTCTGAGGACAATGCAGCTAACTCCGGCTAAAGACTCACATCAACCAATGAAAATCGTCTATCTTGAATTTTGTATCATTATTTCTTAGTAAGAACAAAATAATCAACCCATCTCATCTTGGTGGGCCTTCCGGATAGCACAAGCTCCCAGCCTGATGAGCTCTGCAACAAAGTCCTCTATCATCTTAATATGCATGACCTCATTCAACGTCAGCCGGCGGAATCTAATACCCCTGATAAGCTCTGGGGTGCTGTTAAGTAGTTCTAGGTCACCTTCAGCCCGAGGGCAGAGCGGGTTGAGCAAAATGTTGCAAAAAATGGTCAGGATAGCTGACATCGGATAGAATACGACCATCCTGAAAGACTAAAGTAAGCGAGGGAATGTGAGGCTCAACCGCTGGGTGACTCACCAAAATGATTCTCCTACCATCTCTTGCACCGCAACGCGGAGGTATACCAACGTTGATCGACTGGCTTCTACCGACAATGCCAGGCTGGAACTGACCCCATCCATCTCCCCACTGGCACCGTTCGCCCAGGCACGGCACCGGCTTGTGGCTTGGTGTATTGTTGCCATCAAGTAGTGGTATTCGAAGTTCGTCACGATGTGATGCATCTTCTGTGTTATGTTTGCTGTTGGTTCCACGTCGAAGTCATCCTCGCGACAAGATAGTGTAGGACGAAACCTCGGATCAATCGTCATGCGCCAACTCTCTAATTCGTCATCCAGCTCGCGGATAGCCCTCAAGAGCTCCGCGTCAGACTTCCTCAGCGCTTCTGTTGAGTAGAGGAGTTTGATTGCTTTGGACTTGATCATACTCAGAAATAAGTCGCCCGGGAGAAACGGCGTCCCATCGTCATCGACACGCATCTTTCCAATCTGGCCGGCATGGTAGCCCCTAGGAAGGTTAAGATCGCAATGTTCGTCTTCAATAGCCGGGGGGTGGCCAGTTCGTAGGGCTAGATCCTTGTCGAAGGTGTAGCACAGCCAGAAGTATTTACGCAGATGGTTCCTGATTCTCCATTCCATCTCTGTCCCATCGGTTGGTGGCTTTGTCGAGGCAAGGTCATTAACTTGAGTGTGTGCGCCTAGCATGTATAGCAACCGACAGGCGACAGAATGGAACATTGATGCCATTTGAAACTTGCCGGAGAATAGGTGGTACATACACTAGACTTAGTTAGCGAAGGCTTGTCGTCTTTCAGAGCTGGTTACTTACCTGCATGAACATTATTTGAAGGGCCGTCACGCTCGGGTCCAGCATGGCCTGTGGGAAAAGGTATTGTGCCTTTACAGCACAAGCTTCGGAGTCGATGGGGGTGGCATCAAGCTTGCCTGACATCAGACTGGCGACGGCCAGGAAGGAGAAGATGCATGACTTGCTCTTGGTGGTCTCCAAAAATGACACATTGCCGCTCGTACTATACGCTGCATCGATCGTATGCCTGAATAGCACAGCATCTACAATAGGAAACACGTAACGGATATGAGAGGAGCTGAAAATGGACAAATACTCTTCCGTGACCTGCCTATCGGGCAGGTCGAAGTGTGTTAACGGCAAGATGATATCCTGGTGTGTGCGATGTTGGTTGTGCCACAGAGGTGCAGCCAGGACCGGAAAGGCAGCCCTCTCCCCGGTCCGGGACTGGAGCCATTTTTGTCCATCCGCCGAAAATAGGGGGATCCCGACCTGCGAGCTGATTTCGCCAAGATGATGACCGGCAAAGTGAAGCTTGCCAAAGTTGCCCGTGGCTAGTTGATCACTCGGTGCGGCCTCGGAAGCAGAACCCGGCGTGCTGCCAGCATGACTAAGCGGCAGCGACAGGTCGTCCTGAAAATCAGATGCCTGTTCCGATGGCTCCGGGGATAGATTGGTGACTTTCTCTGCAAGGAGTTGCTCCAGCCGTCCTATTCGTTCTGAAAGATTGTTTTCCTCGCCACCCCTGCCGCTGTTCGTTAGTAATTAGTGAGCAGGGCACCGGCTGCGCGGTTCTGTCGATGGATCTAGATACGCACTTTTTGCTTTTCTTTGCGGCCTTCTTCACCCTGGCCGGCCGGTTGAAGGTGCAGGCCAGTCCATGGTGTTTACACCAATTACACTGCGGTTCATCTCTGTCACATTGAATCTAGTGCTGACAATGAGAATTGCTGATCACCGAAGCGTGGTTCGATTTGCCAACTACTGACCTTCCGCTTATAACACGAGTCACAGGCGCGTTTTCTCGGGTTTGCTCTCTTATCCATGTTGTCCCGAGTGGGGCAAAAGAGAACTTGTGTGGTGTTTGTGTATACAGATCGCGGCCAACTCTGGGCTGAGGATAGGTGCGACCGTCGCAGCCGTTGAGTGATGGAGAAGCGCAGTAGGAGAAAAAGAAGGGGGAGATGGGAAACACCCGCTGAGTCAGCGGCTGAGTTTATATGGTGAAACAAAGGGAGGCAACTCCCTCTGGATCTCCCGGCAGTTGGGGGTGGAAGTCTCGGATGGTGCCGTCGTCGTAATGCCTAACAGCAAAGTATAACCTAGTGGCCAATGAGAGGGAGCGCTAGAGATGTTCGGGGCATAGTCCCAATGCGAACCCTTAAAAAAGGAGTCGAGAAGGCATTGTCCCGCTGACTAAGCGGAGATGAAATGCAGCGAGCGGACCAATCACGAGGGGGACAACACAGACACTCATCTCGGTCCATCCAAGCATCGTGCCCGACTTCAACCCCGAGCCTTCTTCACGACACCGTCGAGTCGCCCGACTCCGACCCCACTGCCTGCCACGTTGGGAGCCCGGTTGTGTGAGCCCTGCGGGTCGGAATTGATAAGCTGTCGCCTTGTCTTTTAGCTGCTAACTCGGCGTCAGCGGCATCTAAGCCTCAGCCTCTCCGTCACTAGCTTGAAGATATACTCTCGATAGATGTGATTGTCTCCACAAGGCCCGCCTCGGCCGGCGCGCTCGCTCGCCTAAGCACTCCGTGTTACCGACTATGATGACAAGCAAGCGAAGATGGCGAATCGCCATGGATGCCGTGAAATGTGTATTAAAGACGTCCTTCCCTGGTTAACATGGCTCGTCAAGAGCTTAATTCAGACTCCTGGGTGGTAGCAGTCACTATTGATCCTTTATACGCCTGAGGATTTATACAGATCTAGCCCAGCCATGGAGTCCGAAGGAACTCTAACCGACAGTGCGACCTCGCAGTACGATGAGAAGACAACTGAGTCTTGGGCCTTGAAGCCGAGAGTCGAAGACGTCCGACAGCGCGATCAAGAATCAGGATTCACTCCCCGCGAACTGGGTATTACATGGAAGAACCTCACAGTAAAAGCCATCAGTGCTGATGCCGCGATTCACGAGAGTGTTGCCTCTCAGTTCAACATACCAAAACTTATTCAGGAATCCCGACACAAACCGCCGTTGAAGACAATTCTTGATGACAGTCATGGCTGTGTCAAACCGGGAGAGATGCTGCTTGTCCTTGGGCGGCCCGGTAGCGGATGTACCACACTGCTCAGTCTCTTAGCCAATCGACGCCATGGATACTCGTCCGTCTCCGGCGATGTTCATTACGGATCAATGGATGCAAAGCAAGCGGAGCATTATTGCGGGCAGATTGTTATGAACACCGAGGAAGAGTTGTTTTACCCAACTTTAACGGTCGGCCAAACCATGGATTTCGCGACCAGGCTCAAGATTCCGTATCAGCTTCCACAGGGTGTTACGTCCAATGAGGCTTTACGAACCGAGACGCGTGATTTTCTTTTGCAGTCTATGGGAATCGAACATACACGGGACACCAAAGTTGGCAATGAGTTCATGCGTGGAGTGTCGGGAGGCGAGCGTAAGCGAGTTTCGATCATAGAAACCTTGGCAACTCGTGGGTCCATATACTGCTGGGACAATAGTACAAGAGGTCTCGACGCAAGCAGGTGAGTACTCCCTCCGATATGCGCAAGAGGTGAATTTTGTTTACAAAAGCTTACTGGTGCCAGTGCTTTGGATTACGCAAAAGCCATACGTGCAATGACCGATGTATTGGGACTTGCATCAATCGTCACTCTGTATCAAGCTGGCAATGGAATCTACAATTTGTTCGACAAAGTCCTGGTTCTCGACGCTGGCAAAGAGGTATACTACGGCCCTATGAAGGAGGCCCGGCCGTTCATGGAAAACCTCGGATTTGTGTGCCAACATGGTGCCAACGTCGCGGATTACTTGACCGGCGTGACCGTGCCTACGGAGCGTCATATCCGGTCCGGCTGCGAAGCCACCTTCCCCCGAAATGCTGAGGCCCTGAAGGCAGAGTACGAGAAGTCAAGCATATTCGCCAAAGCCACCTTGGAGTACGACTACCCTACAACTGAGGAAGCCAAAGAGAAGACAAAGCTATTCCAGCACGGCGTCTCTGGGGAAAAACACAAGCAGCTTCCGGCCCATAGCCCGCTGACCGTGAGCTTCCCGACCCAGGTCAAGGCTTGTGTCATTCGACAATATCAAATTATCTGGGGAGACAAGGCAACCTTTTTCATCAAGCAGATCTCAGTTTTTGCGCAAGCACTAATTGCTGGGTCCTTGTTTTACAATGCTCCTGACAACTCCTCAGGACTTTTCTCGAAATCCGGCGCTCTTTTCTTCTCTCTGATGTACAACTCGCTTCTCTCTATGTCCGAGGTTATTTCGTCATTCCAAGGCCGACCTGTACTTTTGAAGCACAAGCATTTCGCGTACTTCCATCCGGCTGCTTTCTGCATTTCCGAAATAGCGTCGGATATTCCGCTCATTCTATTCCAAATCTCCATTTTCGGCATTGTTCTGTACTTCATGGTGGGATTGACGATGACGGCGGGTGCGTTTTTCACTTACTGGATAATTTTAATTGCAACGACAGTGGTAGGTCGGCCTCTTGATGATCCCAACTCTGGCACGGTATGCTGATAATCATTATAGTGTATGGCGGCTATGTTCCGATGCATTGGCGCAGCTTTCAAGAACTTCGACGGCGCCTCCAAAGTGTCTGGTCTGATAATCACTATTGCAATCATGTAAGTATTTGTATTCTGAATGGTTGAAATGAACCTGGGAATTGACTTTCCAATGCAAGGTACACTGGGTACATGATCCAGAAACCCCAAATGCACCCATGGTTCGTATGGTTCTTCTGGATCGACCCATTGGCATATGCGTTTGATGCACTACTGTCCAACGAGTTTCACGGCAAGGTTATTGACTGCGTCGGAACCAACATTGTTCCTTCAGGGTCTGGCTATAATGATCCACTCCACATGTCCTGTGCTGGAGTTGGGGGAGCCATACAGGGAGAGACTTCAGTAACTGGCGACGCATATTTAGCCTCTCTTTCCTACAGCCACGACCATATGTGGCGTAATTTCGGCATTGTTTGGGCTTGGTGGGCGCTTTTCGTTGCGATTACTATCTTCTACACCTGCCGATGGCGGTCCGCTTCGGAGGCAGGGCCGTCGCTCCTTATTCCGCGAGAGAAGGCACACGTTGCTCGTGCCCTGAAACCCGACGTGGAGGCTCAGGCTGTGGACGAGAAGGTTGGGACGACCGGAGGTGACTATCGTAGCGGCGATGAGACAGCAGTTCCTACCCCGGACAGTGACTCGGCCGACGAACAGCTCATCCGCAACACTTCGATTTTCACCTGGAAAAACCTAACTTACACTGTCAAAACCCCGACTGGTGATCGAGTTCTGCTGGATAACGTCCAGGGTTGGGTGAAACCCGGCATGCTTGGTGCCTTGATGGGCTCTTCTGGTAAGAGCTCCTCGAGAATGAACTGCGTGCTCAAGTACTGACTACCCAATAGGCGCCGGGAAAACCACCCTTCTTGATGTTCTGGCTCAGAGGAAAACCGAGGGCACCATCCGTGGGTCTGTTATGGTAGATGGCCGACCACTCCCTGTGTCATTCCAGCGGTCAGCTGGCTACTGTGAACAGCTCGATGTCCATGAGCCGTACGCAACCGTGCGAGAAGCGTTGGAGTTTTCAGCGCTCCTTAGACAGGGGCGGGATGTGTCACGAGAGGAGAAGCTGAGATACGTCGACACTATTGTTGACCTCCTAGAGCTCCATGACCTCGCTGATACCATTATCGGCAAGGTCGGTGCCGGCCTGACGGTTGAGCAGCGAAAGCGGGTTACGATCGGTGTCGAGCTCGTGTCGAAGCCTAGCATCCTGATCTTTTTGGACGAGCCAACATCGGGTCTGGATGGCCAGTCTGCATACAATACCGTGCGCTTCTTGCGCAAGCTTGCGGATGTTGGCCAGGCTATCTTGGTAACGATCCATCAGCCGTCGGCTCAACTCTTCGCCCAATTCGATACTCTCCTGCTCCTGGCAAGGGGAGGAAAGACGGTCTACTTCGGCGATATTGGTGATCACGCTGCCACCGTTAAGGACTATTTTGGTAGATACGGGGTCCCTTGTCCTGAAGAGGCCAACCCTGCTGAGCACATGATCGACGTCGTCTCTGGTCACTTGTCGCAGGGTCGCGATTGGAATAAGGTCTGGCTCGAGTCGCCAGAGCATGAAGCGGTGTCTAAGGAGCTCGACCGTGTGATCGCGGAGGCCGCCGCCAAGCCGCCTGGCACAACAGATGATGGGCACGAGTTTGCGATGCCTCTTTGGGAGCAGGTAAAGATCGTGACGCATCGGATGAACGTTTCCCTGTTCCGAAACACCGACTACATCAACAACAAGATTTGGCTGCATTTCTCGTCGGCATTCGTCAATGGCTTCTCATTCTGGATGATTGGAGATACCGTCGGTGACCTGCAGATGCACCTCTTTACCGTTTTCAACTTCATCTTCGTCGCACCAGGTGTGATCAACCAACTGCAGCCTCTCTTTCTCGAGCGTCGGGATATCTTTGAGACCCGTGAGAAGAAATCCAAGATGTACTCATGGGTTTCCTTCGTCACCGGACTCATCGTTTCAGAGTTCCCGTACCTTTGCATCTGCGCCGTGCTGTATTTCGTCACCTGGTATTATACCGTCGGCTTCTCTGGCGACTCGGACCGCGCAGGGGCTACGTTCTTCGTCATGCTTATGTACGAGTTCGTCTACACTGGTATCGGACAGTTTGTTGCAGCCTACGCCCCGAACGCGTTATTTGCCTCGCTGGTAAATCCTTTCCTCATCGGACTCATGGTCAGTTTCTGCGGAGTCCTCGTCCCCTACGCGCAAATCCAGGCGTTTTGGAAGTACTGGATGTACTATCTCAACCCTTTCAACTATTTGATGGGCAGCATGCTCGTTTTCGATGTATGGGATACCCCGGTCAACTGCGCGGAGAGCGAGTTTGCCCTGTTTGATCCGCCCAACGGTACGACCTGCGGCCAGTATCTCGCCGACTATCTGATGGGGGCTGGGTCAGCCAGCAACCTGATCAATGCTGATGCGACAGCCGGATGCAAGGTGTGCCAGTATCGGGATGGCACCGATTATCTCCACACTCTGAACCTGCTGGAGTACTCATATGGTTGGAGGGATGCTGGAATCGTGGTGTTGTTCGCTTTCAGCTCATACGCTCTCGTCTACGCGTTGATGAAGTTGAGAACCAAGACGTCGAAGAAGGCGGAGTAATGAAGAGTAGGAAGAACACGAGTTGTTCTTCATTGGAGTAATGCATAATGGCGCATATATAGACAGGGCATGCTTTTCACACATTATAGAATGGCACGGTGCGAATGGGCAAACGGGCCAGGTAGGTAGATTAGATAGAGTAGACATCCACATAGCGCCACAGTGCAATCAATATTTCTTAATAGTTTGAAGAAAAATTCTGATCTTGGTTCGACAGCTATTCGGCATCCAGATAATCGCCTAGAGTGGTCAATGGAACTCCGATTCCATCAGCAGACTTGCCCGTGTTGAACTTGTTTTCCAATCCAGCATACTACATGCTTGCCTTGGTGAAAGCCTGCACTGCAACTCTTTATACATGAGATGTCGGGACTTCCAGTCAAGCCTATTTGTACACTGTTGATGATCCAGTATTGAAGCCGGAAGAAGAAAAAAGATCACAACCACCTAAATCATTTCCAACCCGTCCAACCTCGGCCACGAAGTCACTATTTGACGAGACTCAAAGGCGTGCAAGCCAAGTTCAATCGCTTACACGTGATTGGTCAGAAGTGTATCACGGAATCTTGGCACGTGCGCCGAAGACTGATGCTTGACCTCGATTTACGGACAATTGCGCCAAAATTCCACCGTTTCCTCGTTCGAGAGAGCTGCGACACATAGAGAACCATTCAGAAAATAACCGGTACTGCTGTTCTCATTTCGCATGCATTATCGACGTTAACCATGGATCCGGCCGGGCCCCAAGACCCGCCGCCGTACATCTTGGTAGAGGTGCCGCAGGGCACTGCCCCTGAGCGCTACCTGGACGAATCTGAGAAACTCGGGCCGCCTTCGCTGCCTCCCAGGCCACTGTCCGCTCCTCCTGCTCCAGTGCCGGTAGTAGATCCATCAACTAGCAAAGCCGCAGCAGTGCCGGCCGTGACGGAAACACAGCAACACCACGAAGCTGCGGAGAAGGCGGCGGCGGAGGCGGAGGCGGAGGCAGAGGCGGCGCACGATGAGAAGCAGAGCGGCTTCGCCAAGCGCTTCATGGGCAACATGCTGGTCGCGCGCCTGGGCCGCGCGGGGGTGCAGTCGGTGAGCTCGACGGTCAAGCTGCCGCTGTACCTGTCGCCGTGGGGCGACAACAACCCGTTCGTGGCGCCGAACCTGCGGAAGCGCGACCTGGCGCTCGCGGGCGTCATGCACTTCGGGGCCGACGCGCTGATCGGCAGCTCGCTGACGGCCGCCGAGGCAGTCGTCCAGCATGGCGCCGCCTGGACCGCCGAGCAGGGCGTCGACCACGGCTACGACCGCTTCCGCGGCGCCCGCCCCCACAGCGTCCGCCGCGCCCCCGGCCTCACCAGCGTCGAGGTCCGCATCGCCCACAAGCTCATCGGCGAGGAGGCCGAGCTGCGCTTCTTCGAGTCCCGCGATGCCAGGAACATGCTCGCCTGCGCCAAGGGCTGGTTCTGCCCCTATCTGTACTGCTCGAGCCGCGTCTCGCAGCTGTCAAGGAGGAAGGAGTTCACGGTGGCGGAGGTGATGGGACCGGGATTGAAGGGTATACTATGCTTTCCGATATCTCTGTATAAGTCTCTCGTGACTAACGATAAAGTATAGCCGACGCAGCCTTGGCGCCAACTCTGCTCTCATGCATCACCCAGGAAGACGCCCCCGTGTGTCGGCTGGACGCGGGCGAAGACGCCGGGGAGAAGAGCACCAACTACAAGCGCTTTGCCATATTCTTCATGGGGATCTCGCCGTACCGAACGGCGTCGGCCTGGTCCCAGGCCAAAGTGCCCGGCGAGGCCAGACTCCGGTTTCACCTCCTCACCCACATCCCGGGCGTCGTTGTGCCTATCAAGTCGACGGCGCCGGTCTGCGCGTGGAGCCCGTGGACGCTGGATCAGATCCTGCATGGCAAGGACGGCTACAGCGCCGAGAAACACCGGGACGAGATTCTGCGGTATCTGGACTCTGTCGTGGACGAGTCGCATGTCAGGCAGCAGAGCAGGGAGTCGTGGCGACAAGAGCTATCGGCCGCTATCGATCAGATCCTGGTTGGCCTCAAGAATATCTCATCGACTTTGGGGTCCATTGCGGACGCCTTTGAAGACGAGCATGGGGGAGTTGTCATGTTTAGGTTCTGAAAGACATAATAGAATAGATACCCTGCGCTTCGAGTCCAACGAGATTCCGAGTTACCCGCAGAGTGAATGTGAGGACGAAACACATATACTTGACCTAGGTCTGCTGTCTTCAATAGGGGGTATAGCGCGCATGCACTTTCATTTCACCGCTTCTATTGAGGCGGTCTCTCTGTATACACTGTTATGCTACACGATCCAGGTTATACCGCGCAATCCTGAATGCCAGAGTCTCTGGAAACATCCTAGAGGCTCAGGTTACCTGCGCGGGCCACTCGAGGGTATCTGTCCAATGCCCTTATGCTATTGGATTTTAATTCTCACTTCTCCAAAATCAAAATTCTTATCATTATTCAGCCCTCGTCTACGGCCAAATCGGGATCCACCGCCGTGCCTAGATCTCTGTCTTCCAGGAACGTCCTGCCGAGAAGGTCGTCCGGGAGGTAGTCCTGGCGGACCTTGCCGTCCTTGTAGTTTGGGTTGTATTTGTACTCGGCTCCATAGCCCAATTCCCTCATCAGCCGCGTGGGCGCGTTTCTCAAGTGGATTGGCACTGGGAGTCCTGCGACACCTGGCTCTTTCAGGGCCGCGTAGGCGTTGTTCAGGCCCCTGTAGGCCCTTGTGCTCTTGGGGGCCAGAGACAGCGCCACGGCGCAGTGCGCGAGAGGTATTCGCGCTTCCGGCATGCCGATCTGCTGTGTAGCTGTGTATGTTGCTGTGGCTAGCGGGAGTAGAGTGTTGTCTGCGAGCCCGACATCCTCAGATGCGATGACCACCATGCGACGAGCCACGAAGAGCGGGTCTTCACCAGACTGCAGCATGCGTGCCAGGTAGTATAGCGCTGCGTCGGCATCTGAGCCGCGGACAGACTTGTGAAAGGCCGAGATGGTGTCGTAGTGTTGGTCGCCTGCCCGGTCATAGACCAAAGTCTTGGTCAACGCAGCTTTGATGCCGTCTTTCGTTATGTCGTCCCGGTTAGATAGGGATATGGCCAGCTCGAGAAGGTTGAGCGCCGTCCGGGCGTCTCCGTCGGCGAAATTGGCCAAGTATGTGAGGAGTTCTGCGTCTAGCAGATTTGAAGGGGTGTTTGGAGACTCGGACTGCACGAGCTGCAGGGCCCGTTGGAGAATATTGTTGATATCCTCTGTGGTGAGCTTCTGTAGAGTGAATGTGCGACAGCGCGATAAGAGTGCAGAAACGACCTTGAAGCTCGGGTTCTCGGTGGTTGCTCCGATCAATGTGATGGTGCCTGCTTCTACGGGTTTCAGGAAGACATCTTGCTGAGACTTGCTGAAGCGATGTATCTCGTCGCAAAAGATGATGGTCTTGCGCCCCGTGAGCTTTAACTCGTTTTCCGCCTCGGCAAATATTTTTTTGCACTCAGCGACGCCCGAGCTCGTCGCATTCAGCTCGATGAAGCGAGAGCCCACCATCTGAGCGATACATCGCGCAATGGTCGTCTTGCCGGTCCCCGAGCCTCCCCATAGTATCATGGACGGCATGGACTCCGACTCGATCAGCGACCGCAAGACGCCATGCGGTCCGACCAGATCCTGCCCGTACACGTCGCCGAAATTCTTGGGCCGCATACGCTCCGCCAGCGGTGCCGCCTTGTTCGTCTTGGTGCGCTTGATGACCCTTGCCTCCTCGGCCGGCGTTACGCTCACCGACCGCCCGTTGACATCCATCATGGGCGAGTCTTCACCCTGGCCGGGGCCCTCATCGAATGATCGCTTCATGGCGCCGTTGAGCTTGACGGCCGCGGTGCCGTTCACCATCGGTGTAAGCACCTTGGACGAGGTGGCCTGCTTCTTGGAAGAGGGAGTCTGGAAAAAGCTCGAGGCCGGCCGTTTTTGGGAGGCGAAGAAGCCATTCTGGGTCGAGGGCGCCGGGGCGGCGGGCGAGGAGGAGACGGGCGGGGCCGCCGAGGTGTCAATGATGAAGTCGTTGCATTGTGAATCGAGGTGGGCGTTGATGTTCACCGACTGCACCTGTCTGCTACAGATGGGGCACTCGACCATGTTGGCATTGGCAGCGGGCTTTCATTCGGCGAGGCAGGAGGCATAGATATTTGCTGCGTATCTGGCGTGGCTAGGAAGGACAGCAAGCATAAATTGCTGTGGTCGCTGATGCTCATGCGAATGTCAAGATAAAAAAAAAAATCTATGGATGCAGGACGCGGTTCTGGCGGAGCTTGAGTACGCGCCGCGGCCGATTCCAATTAACGGGGATCAACTGCCGGCCGGGTGCTGGCGTCATGGGGGTTAGTTAGTGTGGTCCTGTCTGATTCGCTGAGGCACAACAGTTCTATACTGCAGTACAACAAGCCATCCATGTCAATCTATTGCGCTTCAATATTCTCACTTTGAAATAGCTTGTTATCAGGAGGTAATCTTTCCAAGTTCGTAACAACTTGACCCGGCGTGGGTGGATGTTAAAACAGTAGACTACAAACATGGTGCTACGCTGTTTCTTGGGGTATGGATAGAACACTTACTTACACACACGCATATAAATATATATATATATATACAAGTTTTACCCACACATTGTCTAAATTGCGTATTGTGACTTGACTAATACGTTACACAAGCTGTGCGGCTTCTCCGTTCCGTGGACTGTCTACCCGGGTTTGCACGCCTCGACGCATTCGAACCATTCAGCAAGTCGATGCGGATAACCTCAGTATATACTCCTAGTAATGATTATAGCACATCGAAGTGGCGCGAAAAGCCCAACACATCATGTGGCTTGATAGCTACGGGTATCGCTTGATGTAGGACATCTACTCAACACAGCTCTTTTGTCTTTTCTCCCTCCCCCACGCTCTCACCTGCGTCCTCTCTTGGCTGGCGGCGCTGCTTCGACGTCACTGTCCTCGTCCTCTCCCAGCGACTCGATGTCAGAGTGGTTAACTTCATTCTCATCCAGGGGCTCTTCCGCTCCAACCAACTCCTCGTCGTCATCATCCTCGCTGTAGTCGTCGTCGTCTTCCGAAGCTTCGTCGTCGATGAAGCCATTCGTGGCCGGCAAGTCCTCGTCGTCGAGATCCATGTCGCCATTGGCCATCTCGGCATCGCTCTCTTCTCCCTCCACGTAGACAATGCCTTCCTCCCCGTCGCCATCCGAGTCCGAGTCCGAGTCTCCGTGATGTTGCATACTCCGCCGCAGCTGCATCTGAGCCTCCAGCATGTCCAGCTTGCCCTTCAGCGCCAAGAGCGAGCCCAAGCCCCTTGAGCGCTCCTCCAACACTCGGTTTAATTCGCTCAGCTTCTTCACCAGGCCGGGCTGTGTCGCGAGCGCGCCACCATGAGCGACCAAGGTCCATTGCACCCATGTCATGAGGCTGCCAGCCCTGCCGGGCCGTCTGTGCATCCGCGAAGCCAGCTTGGTGAGCAGGGTTCCTGCTAGAGAGGAGTCTAGACGTTGGATCGTGTTGCGGATGGTTGTGAAATCGGTCGTGTGGAGACAGGATTCAAGCAGGTCGGCGTCGTCAGTCCGAAGAGCTTGGGAGAGTACAGTGCCGAGAGATGCGAGGCTCGGAGGGGCTAATTGCCTGCCAGGCGCAGTCAGTGCGGACGGCTGTTGCGCCGAGAGGGCCGAGGGGACATCGATGGTCTCGTTTGCGCGGACGAGATCACCAAAGGTGGGGGCTGCAAGTTCTTGGTCCGACTCGGCGCCATCGCCGTCGTTCTGAGGCGCATCGGGCGAGGCCATGTCTGTGTCAAGACCGCCATTGCCGGCCGGTTTGGAGCTGGCGTCTTTTGGCTTGTGTGCTTTTTGGGCTCCAGCGGTGTCTTCGCCATCGGAGAGCTCGTATTCGCTGCTGGCGGCGTCGCTGGAGATTTCTATCACGTCCTCGGCGACACCATTGGCATCCGACTTGAGGGCGTCGATGCCAGAGACGGCCGTATCGGCTTCATTGACGTTCGCCTTGAGCGTCTGTTTTGCGCTCTGTCTGACCAGGGGTTGGGCGATCTTGGCCGGCGCCTTTCGCTTAGGCGCCATCGTATGTATGAGGGTACCGAGGAGGGTACGTGGGGTGGTAGGTGGGATTGTGTCGTGCGAATAGACGTTGGGATCCGCCGAGAAGATGTGCAAGGCCTGGTTGCAATCCAATGGGAACAGAGCAGGACCGCGAGACCTGGCGGCGCAAATATGTCAGTCGGGACCGATGCCGTGCGCAATGGCTGTTGGGTCGCTGCTTTGCTAATTCGGCTCGACTGGGCCAAAATATCACGGTCTGCAATGCACCTGGAATTTTTTTCTGGTCCAGAGCATCAACGCAGCACAGGCCTGGGGAACTTTTCTAACTGATAAGACATGGTTGTTCCGCGATAAGGCTCGCCCCACGCAGAGTTTTTCCGCCTGGACGGAGCCTGGCGCGCTACAGCGTCGTGCTGCATGAGAGTTAGTCCGAGCCAACTGGCTGGTGAGACTGGCAGCTGGAGCTGAGAAATGCCTAGTCATGAGCTACCTAGGTACACACACGCCATCCAGTCCAGGCTAGGCTTCCGACATTCACATCCTGGAACGCGATAACTTTGACTCCATGCTCACGATTCAACCAGTCGCATTCAAAGACGTCATTTACCAACCTCACATGTTCACAGACCACGCGCTCGCCAGAAACACATGTGCGCCTCCCTGAGCCTCACCACTTGGAAGAGAACAGTGTTGTCGCGGTGAAGTCTATTTCGCGTCGTCTTTTCAAGCACGTTGCCGTGGCTGTGGTTTTCTTTACCCCCCCTGGATGAGCCACGCGAGGGTCAATGGCTGGCCGTGCCTTGCCTTGCCTTCGCTTGGCTTGTTGCTGTGAAAAGACGCGGCTGGGATTCGACTTGGCTGGTGCACCCGCTGTCCTGCAATAGCGAGGGTGAGGACACGAGGAAAGCGACATCTCGAGCTACACCACCGTCCTCCGGCTGGCGCAGGTTTGTAGGCTGCAGCCTGGCCTGGCCTGGGATGGCATGGCACACAGCAAACACGCATGCGACGCGGCCAGACTTGAATAGATAGATGGATGGATGGCACGAGGCATAGAAAGACTAAGAGAGCACTATATTATTTGTGATGCTGCCCTGCCAGCCTACCAAAAGTCGAGCTTCGTGGCGCCAGTCCCAATCGGGCCAGTCTCCCTCACTCTCTCCAGCCCAGCCCGTCCGTGTCGTGCAGTCGTCTCTGCCTGCCTTGCCTAACTACCAGCCTGCCTGTGTTGCGTCCAGGTGTGTATGTGTGTGTGTGTGTCTGTGTGTGTGGTGCAGCACTGGACCACTGGTGCGTGTCCCCCATCCGCGCCGTCGGGTGATCCCTGTCGGCCTTCCCACACCCACCCTTGTCTCAAAGCGCCCCGCCGCCAGGCGTCTTTGAGCGATCCCATTGGCCATTGAGCCCTGGGTTGCAACCACTCACAACGGTGGCGTCGAGGTCATCCTTGTCGCCAGAAAAAAAGGCTCTGAGGTGAAGGGGCTCTGGGGCTCTGATTTGCCCGGCGCGGTCTGGCGCGCTTTTTTACAAATAAGAAGTCGCGACGTCTGTTCCGCCCGATTTTCAATCGAGACCTTGCGCTCTCTTCCTGACTTTTTTTATTCCTTCGCCTCGTCATTTTGTCTCTCCCTCCCCAAAACCTCTCCCACCAACCACCCCCTCCCCTCCTCCCAAAAACCCCGACATCACCGACCGCCCGCAAATCTCGGCCAGAAACAAAACTTTTCTCCTGGACTGGCCACACACACACAAGTACCTAGGTACCTTTCCCCCCCAGTCCAGGCCCTTATTCTTTTTTTCTTTTTTTCTGCGACTCGACTTGGGAGCCCATTTTTAATTCCAGTCGTCTCTCAAGCCCGCGCAAGCACAGCCACCGCCGTGCATCTGTCCTTTTCGAGATTAATTCCCGCCATCCTTCGCCCAAACAGGCATTTTGTTCACCCATCACTGCGCGCACTCGCCCCGTTAAACACCATCGTGACACCTGCTGCCACCGGTCGCGCATCACCCCCCAAACCAGCACCATCATCATCATCACCACACCTACTACTTCTTGTTTGGTCGGATCCGCTTCACTGCGCCAAGCACGCGCATCAACACCTGCATCCTGGTGTCCCAATCGCATTTCTGCAAACGCGCATCGTCACCACGCTTTTCTCTTCTCTTGCGCATCTGCTGAGTACTCCACGCGCTGCACTTGGTCGCGCCGGGTTTCACGACCTCGAAAAGGTAAATATACATACTTTTCTTGTGTCGCATTCTGTTTTCCTCTCGTCTGCACTTCCCCGATCCTACATCCGGGCGAGGCGTGCACTCGCGCGCAGTATCGCCATACTCCCCCCAACTCGTCGTCGCATGCGCCCTGCGCCCTGCGCCCTCCGCCCATGTGTGCAGAGGAAGGAAGGAAGCGTCGCGTTCGTCCTCGATGCTCCCCAGCAAGCGCAAACAGCGGCCTGGAGCTGTCCTAGCCCCAGCCGGCGGCGGCGCAAGCTTGGAGGCCAACACCGGCAGTCCAGCCCCGTCCTGAGGACCCACGCCAGCCCGTCTGCCGACCGCAATCTTGGGAGGAGTGCTCCCATTCGCCAGCACGCCGCCAGACCACCGCCCATGTCGTCGATCGCGCACCGACCAGCTCTTCCCCAGTCTCGACCCTAGCTCTTAATTTCGCGATAAGAGCATGGTGCAGATTTTAAGCCGGGCGGGATGTCGACCAGTCAAATAAATAGGTTGGCTCTTGTCTCGCGCTTTCTGCACCGAGACACGTCCCCTTGCGACCCGAAGCTCCAGAGCTCGAGCTTTCCCCCCCCAGCCTCCCTCCCATTGGCCAACCACCGACCAGACTGTCGCATTTCCGCAAGGCTGGCAGGAGCGCAATTCCACGGCAGCATCCATTTCGACCTCGTCCTTGTCGCCATCATCGTCGCCGTCGCTCACATCAGCGTCACAGTAGTCAGTACATCTCGGCGTCGCTTTTTTTCTTGGATCCTGGTCGCCTGTCCCCAGCGACCACTGGATCGACATTGCGCAAGCGCGTCGCCTTCCTCTGCATTTGACTCGCATCTTTATATGTTGTTGCATTTCATCTGCATGTCAAAAGAAGACCAGAAATACTAACGCCGTCCAATAGCCACAGGCACACCCTGCATGTCGAGCCGCCTTGCTTGCGTCTAAGCAGTAGCCTCGGTGCACTTTCTCGCCTATAGGTCGAGTGAATGGCAGTAATGGCAACGGAGCAGCCGCAGAGTACACCTGCAGACCTGAAGGTCGGCGGTGTCGCGCCTGAGAAGGACAAGATGGCTGTCGATGAACCTGCCGCAGAGACGGTCAACGGGTGAGTAGCCTTGCTCTCTATCTTGCATCTGCCTGTCGGTTGGCTAAACGCAACTCGCTTCAGGCACAACATGTCAGATGATGCTCCCATCACCAACGGAAAGTCGCCGTCGCCCGATCCTGCGTTGAATCAGCAAGCGTTTGCGGCAAATGGCGCTCTTTCCGCACAGTCGCCGCCGCCGAAGCCTGCCACGGAGGACACCGAGATGGCCGACGTCAACGGAGTCAAGGAACCCGAGTCAAACGTAGAGCAAAAGTCGGAACAAGCGAAAGATGCGAGTGAGGTGCAGGCACCAGCAAGCCCACCGAAATCAGTCACGCCAAAACCCCCGGCAGTCGACGAATCTATGGAGATTGACACATCCACTGACAGGCCCGATGTGTCGTCCAGCGCAGAGCACGCCGAGAGCACACAAGACACATCTGCACTTGGCGACAGCGCTGTCGTCGCTTCGCCGCAGGAGCTGAGCCAGCCAGCCGACATCTCTTCAAAGCTCGATGGTCAGTCGCCTCCTGTCGAGTCGCAGCCGGATGTTCCCATGTCAGACCGTGCAGCCTCCCCGACTAAGGTGTCTAGAGAGCGCGACGACGATGCGACAGAAGAGCCATCGGCGAAGAGAACAAAGCTGGAGTCGGAGGATGATGCAAAATCAGAGGCACAAGCTGAAAAGGCGGGGGATAGTATCGGCGTCGCTTCGGGACTCTCACCAGCACCAGCAGGCTCGGTAAATGAGCACGCCGATGATGTACCGGATGATCAAGTCGTCAATTCTTTCCAGAGCAGGGAAGTCCGAAAAGAGCTGGCGCGGGTGAAGAAGACAAAGAACGGTATGAATTTCCGTGCCTCGGTTGAAAAATTGTGGCCGGCTATTTGGGAGAACTATAAGGCGGTCATTATCAACCCCGTTGACTTGTCCTTGTTCGAAGCAAAGTTCCGCGACGGAAAGTACACAACCTTTGGCGAGTTCAAGGCTGATCTGGAGCTACTCTACAACAACTCGATGAAGTTCAATGGCCCTGAAAATGTGGTTACTGTAGCAGCGTCTCGTGTACGAAGCGATCTCTTGGGCAAGCTGAGCGAGATCTCCAAATTGCAGGAGCCAGCCAAGCTTGAGAAGGGCAAGGCGCAGCCGACTCGTCATACTGAGCCCCGGGCTGCTACCCACCCCCGGCGCCCTTCCGAGTCGCAACCACGCGTAACCGCTTCGAGTCCGAAACCGAAGCCTGAAGTTGTTGCGGCCGCCTCGGTCACGTCTACTCCCGTGACCTCGTCAGCACCCGCATTTGCGCTTCCGCCAAACGGAGTACCGCAGATTCGGCGCGACTCCACACGTGACGATGGCAATAGGCCCAAGCGTCCCATCAAGGCCCCGCCGAACCGTGACCCGGACTACTCGCAAAACGCTCGCAAGAAGAAGCTGGAGCCGGAGATGAAATTCTACGCTGAGATCCTGACCGAGATAAAGAAACCAAAATACTGGGCACAGAATCAGTGGTTTATGGAACCTGTCGACCCTGTGGCACTCAACATCCCAACTTATTTTAGCGTTGTCAAGAAGCCTATGGACTTGAAGACTATCACCGACAAACTCGACAGCGGAGAGTATCGCAACGGCAAGGAGATCGAGAAGGACGTGAAGCAGATCGTCCTCAACTCTGAACTCTTCAACGGTGAAGGAGCGGTCACCGCACAGGCTCGGGATCTCGAGAACGTCTTCAAGGAGAAGCTTGCCGATAAGGAGACATGGATGGCGCGCAACTATCCTCCACAGGCACGATCAGTAACAACTTCAGTACACAGTCCCGAGGCTAGTGACCAGGAGTCTGATGTGGAAACCGATGCTGAAGCCGACGCCAACTCGGAGTCCATCCGCAACGTGACATCTAGGCTCACCGAGGAGCAAGAGAAGCTCAACAACATGATCTTTGGGGCTAAGAGTCCGGATAAAACCATGGTTGAGATACAGCAGAATGTTGTGAATATGCTGCAGCTGAAACTGGTCGACGAGAAGTGCAAAGCTGGTACCACCAAGAAAGCCAAGCCCTCCAAGAAGGCCTCAGCAAAGGCAAAGTCCAAGCCTTCAACATCCACGGGAGGGGCCAGCAGTAAGAAGGGGGCCAGTGGTGCTGCTGCACCGTCGAGTAAGAATCGACCGGCGACTAATAAGAAGTCCTCGAGTAAGAAGAAGACGATTGGCCAGCTAGAGAAAACCGTCATCACCGATGGTATCTCTGAGCTCGATGGGCCCACACTCGACAAGGCCGTGGACATTATCAAGAAGGACACACACCAAAAGGAAGATGACGACGGTCAGCTCGAGCTCGATATCGAAGTGCTCTCGCAAGATGCGTTGCTCAAGCTGTTTGAGTTGATCAACAGAGCCTACCCCAACATCTACGAGGGCGTGGCGAGGCGACCCGAGTACAGCAATCGTACCGAGCCAACGGAGCACACTTCGAAATCATCCGGAATTGCCAAGCCGAAGAAGAACAAGCCCATGAACAAACATGAACAGGAACGCAACATTGAAAAGTTGCGAGAACTTAAGGCTCAGTTCCAGCGCCAGGGTAGCGGAAGTCAAGAACCCGTACCCGAGGAGGATGAGCAGCGTGCAGGTAACTCGAGCGAGGAGGAAAGTGACTCCGAGGAAGAATAAGCTCCTAGGCTTATCCTAGATCCTCATTCGTTCTCCTTTTCAGCAGGCTCTTGCGTCCGTTCTTCACATCAATTCCTGGCCAAAACAACCTCATAGCATTTCGAGAACGGCATGATTGTGGCGTTGGGTTTCCAATACCTTTGTGGTTGAGACCCTCATGAGCACACGTACACGTGGCCGAAGCATGGATCGATCATGGCTACTACTGCCGGATGAGTATCGCCACAACTTCCGCAGGCTCAAGCCGCGGCCTTGGTATTAGTGCAATATATCGCGCGGGGCATCACGGTTTGTTAGTGGTTCTGTAGCATTGTCGAGGGAATGCGACGAGCAACGATGACTCTCGCAAGCGTCTGAAAGACGCTAGGTGTGGTGGGTGAGATGGAACTGAATGAAATGAAATATCTTCACTCCGATGTGCACTCGACTTGTGATCCTTGAATCGTTTGCTAACTCGCTTGAGCATGCATGTTCCCCTTAAGCAGTGCCACTCGTTTCAGGGGTTGCATCCAGAGCCTAAGATAGGTGGAGCCTTTGTCGAGGCAATTTAGCCCGTCGTAGCTATATTCTCAGTTGTAGAATGCATTTATTACATAGGTATATTGGGCCTACGTCGCTTGTGATATCCTACTTCCGACATAAGGGGTTACTTGATGTGGTGATGCCGACAAATGTCGTAGCCTCAACTATGGAATACGGCTATGCCCTGGGAATTCTTGCCCGCAACGCCTGTCAGTTGAAAATGCTGAACAAGTTTCGCTTCCTCTGCACCGCCTTTGACATCCACAACCGAAATAGCAGCACTAGTCGTCCCGTTGCCGGGCGAAAGGGCATACACAAAACTACCCGACGACGTCAGATCAATCAGCCCTGGGTCACCAGTGGCGGAGAGATCAACTTCCCCGAGGACGCTGGCGTTCTCTACACTCATCTCTACTAGACGGTTGATGCCCACGTCGGTCACGAACGCCGTCCCTGTAACGTCGTTCAGAGTCGCCCAGCAAGTGGCTTTCTGGTCCGCTAGGGTTCCCTTGCCCAGCACAGTGGCTTGCCCCTGTGAACCAGCTCCCAGGACAGCCGCGCCGAACGACGCATCCGTTGCAAAGATGCGGCTGCTGTTTCCAGCGCTGCCGTCGCCAGTGTCGGGCAGGGGTCTCGCGCCAAATAGGACCGCCGTCCCGGACGGGCTGGCCATCGACCCTTGGGCGGAGACCGAGACGCCGCAAGTACCGCCGTTCTGCCGCAGGACCGGAAAGCTCGCCAGAAAGCCGGTGTTGTTCTTGGCTGGGTCGCCCTTGACCGTCGCAAAGAGGGTGTCCTGCACGTCGTTGAAGAATACTTGGGAGACAGTGTTGGTCGGACCCACGGGCGGGTTGCTCTGGCCCAGGTCAAAGCCCCGGAGCGCGTCGAACTCCCCGATGCCGCCCTTGGCCGAGAACCGCGCGCACGACACGCCGGCGAGCGCCCCCGTGGTCCCGGCGCAGACCATACCGTGTTTGGCGGACGCCGCCACCGTGACGGGGAAGTCGCCGGGCAGGGCGGCCGGCCGGCCCATGGGTTTCAGGGACGTCGGGTCGGAGCGCGAGATGGCAAACATGCTGACCGTGTTGGACCCGGCATTCACGGCGAAGAGGTGCTGTTGTTGGGCGGGTCAGCCTCGGCCACTGAGCATTGCCCATCTCACTCTTCGACTTACATTTCCCGCTACTGTCAGCGCGGACTGGCTGAAAAGGGCATCTGGCACAGCAGGCTGGCCCGTTGAGCCGTCGATGCCATTGCTACCCGCACCACCTGTATCTGTACAGCTTCCTGCTGAGAGCGTCCCATCGGAGTTGATCTTCAGGGCTGCCACGGCGTTCTGGGCTTCGTTGGTCAGGAAGTATAGTGCATTGGCTGGGCTCTGGCTGCTGTTGCTCTTCTGTTGGGCTATACTCTTGCTCTCCTCGCCGCGAGGGAGACCGGCTGCCGGGCCAGCAGAGAGTATGAATGCCAATAGGAGACTAGAGGCAAGCCGTTTAGTTGAATACATAATGATAATTATTCGGTCTTCGTTAGAGCTCCGGGCTGTGAAATAAATGACAGGAATGATACAGCCCTGCTGTAGTATGATGCAGCGAGTGGCCCCTGGAACGAACGAAGCTAGTGGTGACCTTCTATTATATTAATTGCACGTATTCAATGCGGCAGTCGACGCATTTTATAAGTAACCCCTCCAACCAAGCCCTACTACTATTTGAGACCCTTCAGCTTTGTGCCGCAAACTGAGTAGGTCAACTATCATGAGAATGATTCCAAAGATTCTGTCTCACCAGTATGCACTTCGCACCCAAACTCGGGATCAAACTGGGGCAGAGTATGATATCCCTGTCATCATTCCCCCTGGTATTGCACTTTTCAGCTGGGTGCTAGCGTGTTAGTCTTGAGTTGTTCCTGAAGGATTGTCCCGGTATAAGGAGTGCAACCCTGTCAGCTGTCTCGGTGCGGGCTGCGATGAGGAATCATTCGAGACCAGAAGGCAGGGGGTGGGCAAGATCTGAAACGGGGCACTATAACCCCCACTTAAGCCACTTAATGTTTAAGTGTCACGGCACCACAGGTGAGATCGAGGCTGTGCTGCAAATCCTGTAGTATTGCAAAAAATCTAGAGCTGGGAGAGAAAAGAAAGAAGAGCTCTCTCCACAGCTGTGGCGTTTGCTATTTACAGGTGGGGTGGATCACCCCTCGTCCCCCACCACAACCACCACCTGCACTAGCCAGCCCGTAACATATTATATGCTTATATTGTACGCCGTTGTTCCTCGTATAATATACACTTCGCCCACTAACACTGTGCAGCTAATAACCATAGAGAAGGCAATCAAAGGCAGGTTAACGCGTGCGAAGTCCAATGATTTTATCGACACTTTTTGCCTTGCTAAATCCTCGCGCCAGCCGATACCTGCCAGTGATGCGCTGAACGTTAAAGAGAACGGTCCATAGTTGACACCGATTGCCATAGCGTATATAGCTGCCCAGAACGTCCTTTCAGAAATTGCAGTGCCATTGTTCAAATGTACAGCTTCCCATTGCTGGATGATTCGAGTGAGTAGAACGACAGCGCCAATATTAGTCCCTGAGAACTGGAGAAACCGAACAGTCAGTGGCCAGGGAGGAGACTAAGACACTTTCTCTACTTAGAATGAGAGCGAACTGGATTTAACTCACGTTGCAGAGAACAACAGAAACAAACCCCATCCCAGCTAAGGCGCCAACTGTCCCTGTTTTGTCTACCCATCCGCTCCAGGCTTGTGCAAAAACTGCAATCCAGCCTGTTGAGACAAGCGACTGGACCAAAATGAACGTGGGCAACGCGAAAGGAATGAGGGAAAAAGGCAGACGTGACATGATGTAAACAAAGGTCGGAAGACTATACCTAGTCCAGGATCTGGCTAATAGAAGTAACGACCAGGCTGTTGCTCTTGAAATCTCGCCACCGCGGAGATTAAACCCATATTTCACTTCCATAGCCTGCTTTGTTGTCTCCTCTCTGCAGGTTGCTTCGGTGCTCCCATTTGAGCGTGTAGAAGATATAGACTGAAGTTCAACTTTTTGGAGACTTTCTTGGGAATGGCATGGTGCTTGTGGTTGAGAATGTGAACTCCGTTCTCCAATATCTTGATCATATATAATAGATTCAGGGTCTTCGAGATTACCATCGTTGAGGTCAATGGAGGGTTCGATTTTAGGGGTTTCTTGGCTCATCGGTGGTCGAAGTGGAATGCTGATTCCAATTGCAGACCCTGGCTCCGAGATTGTCTTCTCCCCGGTACCATTCTGAGCCCTTATAACCGGGTCAATGTCTGGTGTCGTTTTTGAATTATAACTGTGAAACAGCCCTCCTTGAGAAATCATGCAGTCAAAAGATGATTCAAGCGACCTGCATTCGGAAGATAAATGACTGCTTAGGTCGTTTGAGGCAGCCATCTCTAGTCTCCGTGCGATCTGTTGTGTTTCGTGCCGGTGTAACCATCCAAACCCAAGGTTCCAGCAGAACATAATGAATGAAGCAGGGAGGGTCACCCAGAAAACAGGGATGTTAATATTCGCGGCGCTAAGCGCAAGAAGAACAACAAGGGAGCCGAATGCCAACGTGACGGCAAGCACAGATGTACCTTTGTCCAAGAAGGGGTTCAATATCCCTTCTAAGTTAGCCTTACGGCTTTGCTCATTATCATAGTGAGCATTGACCCCTACGCGACCTTGTGCATATGGGATGTTGGGATTGACCGGCTTCTGTGCTTTTACTTCTTCGCTCAGTTCATGGATTTCCAGACGAGAGGGAATAAATTTCTCTTCATTAAATACCACGTACATCAAAAAAGGGAAAAGGAGCAAAACCGTGACAAGAACCGGGACGACCATGTTAGCCGTATATTCAATAAAACTGATATTGAATGCTTGGGCAATGACGACATTGGTTGTGTTAGAAGAAACAAAGATAGCGGATGCGATGTTGGCCAGCGCGAACTGAGTGTGGATCCATGCTCGAGGATGTACAACGTTGCTCGATACTGTTGTTATATAGATAAGGACCAGCATACCCATTTGAATGACTGCATCATTCCCAAAGAAGCAGCCGAGCAGGAAAATGACGACATAAACCACGAGAAATAGCATATGACCGTTGTCGTATTTTCGTATCGCCTTGAAAGCCAAGAATTTGAGGAAACCTGAGGCATCAACTGAGTTGGTAATGTACCCAAGTGTAAACGCGTAAGCGACGATGTCAATAGGCGAAAGATTATCAACACCGATCGTTCCATCATAAATTTCTTGCCGACTAATTGCGCCGATAACAAGTAAGAACAAAACGGCCAGTAAAGGCACTGTGGTTGCGGATAAGGGGAACTCAAAGCGCAAGAAGGTCCTGGTTTCTCCTTTCTCTGGTCGATAGTGGCGCGACGGCATGATTTGAAGCCTTTCAGCTACGTCATAGATGACATATAAGAGTGGGCGATATATGTAGATCGGGATGTAAAGTGGGAATAGAACAACAAGATCTGGTGTCAGTTAGCTCACTGTTGCCGTTTTCAACGGCTGCTTTCACTAATGTATTAGGTAGACACACTGGCAAGAATGAAGACAACAAGGGTGACGACCGAGCGCCACTCTCCAATATCGCAAGCTTTGAGGTCGTTATTGTCAGTCATGGTGTCGGAAATGGGGACAGGTCACATTGGCAGCCCCCAATGGCGCCGCCGTGCCTGCGAACAAGCGTGCTCTTATAACAGCTTGGGTGATTTGATAAGGCGGCTTTATCTTTACTTGAATGAGCTGTTCCGTGGCGACCCTGTCGGCGCACAGCCAGGGTCAGCATTGCAGCAGCTGGTGACATCGCCACAGTCACAGCCTTCCTGCACATAAGAATTAAGACCCATTACTCGCTAGAAAGCTCTAGGCTTATCTTAGAGGCGTTGAGCGAGGACCTGCCGCCCAGCCAACAGTCATGCTTCAGCTGCCGATTTCAAATCATTGGGAAAGATTCTGGGTGTTGCGCCTCACTCGCGCAGTGCATGCAGGCTGCAGGACAGTCGCCTGGGTCTCCAGACAGCCAAGAGCGTCAGGTTACCAATCGGGCTTAAACCTTATAGTTGAATCCAAAAGCCCATTCAGGGCTTTAAATTGGGGAACTTCGCTCGTCTCAGCCCCAATTTTCGACAAGCTGAAATCCGAAGGCAAAGCCTTTGAATCGTGAACCGATGGATTTCTTGGAACGTTTCTTCGCGTACTTTGGAGTCTCGCAGATCTGTATACAAGTGTGCGACGAAGCTTCCACTGATGCATCAACCTGGGCATCTCATCGAGCAGCTATGTACGTCAAAGGTGCGCATAAATATCTGTCGCACCAAAATATACCTAATTAGGCGCTAGGCCAAGTGGAGTTTCATGGATCTTCATTTTGGCACTGCTAGCGCAGTGGTTATTTTGTGACAGTATCAAAGCCGTGCTATTCATCTCTAAGTTCAGATTTCCTTCTTTTCCTAGGTGGATATACTTCACATTGGCCAAAGATCTGCTCTAGTAAGTGCGAAACCAAGCTCCTGGGACACACCGGGTACTCAACATGAAGATCTAGGAATGGCACAACGCTCTTTCCGAGGGTATTCAACCCTTTTCTTGCCAGCGAGCCGAGTACTGGTTTGAAGAAGGCACCTTGGAAGGCCACTGACGCGAATACTGCTTTTCATTACCAGTCGTTTGCCGCCCAGCTACTTGGCGTTTTTGTCTTATAACCAAACCCATGTAGGACCTCTGCAGCCCTTTTCCCTTGATACTCCGCTGCTACAGGTAGCCCTGTTGAGGTTGAGTCAGCTTCCGCCGAAAATGGAGTGGTGGAGGCAAACATTGTCAATCTGCCTTGTGCAGGCAAACATGCTACAGCGCCAAGTCTCCGCTTTTAGATGGATACAACCTCGCGAAGCACAGGAAACTAATCAGTCGCAGCATTTTGACCTTTCGCCAAGAGTGAAGACATCATCGATACTTGGGGCCCTGGAAAACTGGTCGTGGAAATAGATAGTCCTCTGACGCTCAGTGTTCTTCTAGATGGTGGTATTATTTACCTGCGGCCGCCGAGGACAATACTCTTTTCCACTGGAGCCCGTCCGGTGCGGAACGATATAATATATGCAAGTCTTTCGATCCACGTAGATCACATTCTGGTTGGAGCCACGGTCTCTATAAATGCGAGATATTCTAGCAATGAAGACGAATGGTACATGAAATTATGTAGGTCCCTGAAGAATTTGAGACTTTGTCCACAATACTGGGTTCCAAAAGAGCGACAAATCGCGATGCAGACAGGAAATATTGTGCTTGTTCAGCCTAAAGTGACATGGTGGAAATGGCAAGCGCTTACACTGAAGCAACTCAAGCTTGCATCAGCGGATGAGTATCCGGTTGCGTTCCTCGAAGATCCCTGGGGTCTCTAAGTCAGCTTCTGTACGGGTTCGTCCAGACGGGTCGCCCTTCGAGTGAAGATAGCAGATCTGCTTCCCGTATTTGCCATGGCAGCTGTCGATAGAAAATATTGTTGTATCTGGAGTGAGCTGGAAACGACGAACGGGTCTTTGACTTCTTCAAGAAGGATGGGAAGAGCATAATAAATTCGCTCCTCACTCTTCTTGATGACCATGGTCAACACATCATGCAGCTGATCCGCCAGATATTGGGAATACTCCAGGGCATTGGGGTAGGCCGCGAGAGCAAACAACTTACAGTAGCCTGGCCGCATGAAATCGATCTGCAGAAGTGCTTCCAGATCCCGTGCCGAAGAGAGAGCTCGTGGGTTGGCTTTCTAGCCGACTTCGAAGACTGCGCCAAGTTTGCCTATATGGCGACAAGGTGTCTGGAAATAGACCGCATCAAGTGCAAGGGACCGAATACGCGTTGGCCAAAGGCTGTACCCCTGCTAGAGACAGCGGTATTCCGCTTCCAGGCCGTGCTGACCAGCCAGGCATCCACAACCGTTGCGCTGCAACATAAGGAGATGTACTATCTGAAAAAGATGGATAGGCTGTTTTATGTCAAAGCACAGCGACCGGTTGTCCCAACTGGAACCATGGAGCTGGTGGTGTGGCCCAGCATCAGTCCACAGAACATACAGACAAGAGTTGTGTCGCTGCTCCGTGTTCGCAACGATTGGAAGCAACGCGAACCTCGAGAACGGACGGCCCTGGAGCTTGCATGGGCAGAGGAGGTTGACGTCTACACCCCTATTTAGCCTGGCTAATGCTTTATGGTCTTCGCCGTCATGGTTCTCATCTGTTTATGTTGTCTACCAGAAACGAGCAACTAAGGACGGGATGTTTCAACTCATACCCTCAGGGGGGTCTGCCCTGGAAATTTTGGTGAAGTTGATCAGACTGACAATAAAAGAGCTTTGACGGCTATCGAGAGCGTTGATGCCTGATTCTGGCCTTAACGTAGCCATTGGTATTTATGAAGGACCTGAATGGTTGCGTCAGGAAATGACCTAGATACGAGCAACCAAGCTCACGACTAAATTGCGTGTTCCTATTGGTCATCACAAGAACCATTCACTCTTGCGCCGAGTCCGCCTGAATATATTTACGCGGGATCGTCCGGCCCTCTTCCCACGTCTCTTGGTAAAACTCTTTTCCGCGCTCGCTGGGTTGAAGTTCGCTTAAATCTAGAACGAGAATTATCGATTTTAGCAAATGTTACCAACAACTGGGCTCCATCTGGTGAGCCAATCAGTGACTACTGTTCATCCGCAAATGGCATTGTTCATGGCACGAGTTAGCACGAACCTTAACTGTACGAGTAGATTGATTTACAAATAGCGTCGACATCTCAATATATGCAGGCATGGATGCACGCATATCATAAGGCATGAGATTAGCAGGCGGCTGAGGGTTTTCAAGGCCGGCGAAGTCCGGTCCGGAAACAACGGTCCAGCTCCATTCTCTGCCAGGTAGCGGACGCCAAACCTCACGTAAATCAGCTTCTAAATCATGTCAACGTTACCTGTTGTTGCATAATGGACACGCTGCCATCGTTGTATTGTGTACTTAAGGTAATTGCAGCAGGACTACCGCGGCGGAGACTAGCCCTCGGATTGAGATCCGATGGTCGGCTCTGAGCCGCTTGCCGTAATTTTGATAAAATATATACTGAACAAGATAAAGAAGACTAATAGACATCACTGAAGCGCCCGATTTTTGAGAATCACGGTGGCCTGCAAGTTATGTTCAATTGATAAAACCCATTCAGCAATGGCAGTCGGATATTTTGCATCGGTTGAAAGGGTCCCAAACGACGCAATCTTCGCGCTCACAGCTCATTTCAATGATGACCCATTTCCACGGAAGGTCAACCTTGGACAAGGAGTTTACCGAGATGAGCAAGGCAAGCCATGGGTTTTGAATTCGGTATCTTTAGCTCGGCAGCGTCTTGCAGACAAAGGCCTGTTTCATGAATACTTTCCAATCCTCGGGTTATCGCAGTTCCAAAAAGCCACAGCAGGGCTCGGTCTTGGTCAGGAGGCAATGAAAAAGAGGGAACACCGCGTAAGTTTACCGTCGTACTTGAAACAAAGCCCACAGGCCTTACTCAAAGCCATAGATCGCCACTTGTCAAGCCCTTTCAGGGACGGGGTCTCTTCACCTGGCCGCACTGCTTTTGGCCCGGCGCAAGTTACCAGGACCCGAGATCTTCATACCTGATCCCACTTGGCCGGTACACACGCAACTCTTCTCAATAGCTGGCTTCAATTGTAGAAGCTTCCCATACATCGATGCAAGCAGTGGCGTAATGGATTTTGAATCCTACCTCAATACCTTGCGCGCGTTGGGGTGAGCATCTTGCAATCCGCGTCATGTACTCGTCGTACGACGTACTGTCAGGGTTTGCTTTGCACTTATACCATCTTGACTTGTCTTGTGTATTGACTTTATTCAACGTCTAAATTAGAGGTATCGCCCAGGTACCAGGTGAAAATGATGGAATAATTTGCCCACAAAGTTACACAACCTCTGACATGTATACCATCGCCTTTTGAGGTGCATCGCTACTGATGGTATAGCGATTCGGGTGACCCATCTGAGTCCGCGATGCGCTTCCGCACAAGTAAGTAGCTTCGGCGGTCGCTCCGCAAGGCTCCGCGAGGCGGGACGCGGCGACAGTATACTATGGGCCTACATTAACTTCGGGTCACCAGCGATTGGTCGCAGCGCAACCCCCTGCAACGCCTCTGCCCGCCTGTTCGGGTCACGAGCGAGCACCGTCGGTACGGCCAGCTCTAATTCGAGAACACATTTGCGCCCGGACTAAGTGAATCATGAACTGGACGAGTCCGTGTGTCCATCTGCTTGAAGCTTGCGCTACAGTAGCAGACCCCGGGCACCTCGGCAAACACTGCGGACGCTTCTTTACCGTCTATTCTCGTCTGTTTCCCGTTTGTCTGAAGTTGCAAGACAGCCACGTTGACTTGGTGTGAACGTAAGGCATTAATCCGGGTCCGCTAGGGTGTACTGCGTTGTTCGACTTCTGAAGTCGATGCTTTCTCACACTCAATGACATGAATTGCAGTTGAAAGAGCCTGGGTCAAAATATATGGCTCTTCTGGTATCTCGTCCGGTGCGTGTTCTGGTTATCTACGTTATCCGTTGTCAAAGTAACGAGGGCCGAAGCATAGTTGCAAAGTCATATTAAGCACGCATAGACGTGTTCGAGATTCATGAAAGCGAGCCTCCTTCAACATTCATGCCCATGCTATATTTGTACTCTATCTGATTGATTCAGTTTGTCACAGTGAGAAGGCGAACGTCATGGGTTTCAAGTTGAAATGTCTGTCAGAAACATCGTGCCCTGGTATTAATGATGAATGAGGTTGAAGAGGTAGTCCTCTGAGCCGTGGTTTTATTTCAAGGGCGAGTCAAGGATAACCTAGCTAATCTTGCAGGCGAATCGACAATAGACTGGGCACCAAAGGGCTAGCTATGCGGGTCTAAGAATATACCTCAAAGACCACACGTTCTTCCATATCTTATTGATGCGCTGGGTAGGCCAAACGGTTTATTCGTTGCAGTGTCCTTGCTGCATAGCTATACAATTATGAATGCTTGTCACCCGAAGCATCGGTGAATATTCTACTAGCAGATGAAACGACAACCGTATACCGTTCTAGAAGTACTCTGCCAAACACAAGCCTCTCCTCCTTGATACAGCTACACGCCGCATTGTAGAGCAATCGATGGTAAACAGAAACACTGGTTGACAGCGTCTGTCCATCTCGGATTGGATAACGCATGTCACCCCGACAAGACCGCGCATCATACACGTGTTTGTGGCAGACAGGAAGACTTAAATCATCGGGTTGAAGAAGTATTGCTGGAGAAAACTGTTAAGGACGATAGCGTAGGACAACCGGACTGCCGGCAAAACAAAGGAGCACTCTCGTCTGTGGAGCACGGGAAGACAGACAGCAGACTCGCAAGCAATGCTTCGATCTGGAATCTAATAAAAGTACTGCTGCTTTCTCATGAGATGTCCAAGGGTGACATACTATCTGTACGTAAGTACATAGTCTTCTGCGCGACCAGTACAATTAGAGTATATAGGTAGAACTATTTTCCTAATATCGATGTAAGACACCGCTTTCCTGTCAGTTGCCGTGCACCTTATTTCATGCCTGGTATAATTGCAAATTGGCGACTGGCGTAAACCATGAAATACTATCCTTCAAAGGTCAGATATACTAACGCTTGCCATGTGCGACGTGTAATGGTACTGTAGTCAGGTTAGTTGGCTGATGTCTAAACCCACCGGTGACAATATCTTAAACAAAAGGCTATGGCCACATTTAGGGCTTTTCAAATGTCTTGCAGGTATACGATCCCTTAGACGTACGAGGCACATATAATTGAGCCATTAAAAGGCTCCGCCATCATCGATGCATCGTTGCTACTGCCTACTGAGACGAATTACTGGATCATTGGCGCACGTTCGCGCCGAATAGAAAGGCGCACGCACAAACTTTGCGTGTTGACGAAACTAATTTCTTGACAAGCCTCAAAGGATGCAAAGTCGTGCTCCTTCTGGTCTCACGCGAGAGAGCCAAGCTCACTTGAGTTGTGGAACTCCAAGCGCCCCACGGCGATCGCTGGGCAGTAACTCAAGGCAGGCAACAGTAAAGAGTCTCATGGCTCACAAGGTTAAAGAGCCCGGCTTGGCTCTTTAACTGAGGCCAAGCGTTTCTCGACACTCAATCGCTACGTGTCGGCCAGATCTGCTGTAGGCGCCAGGGGGTTTCGCTAATCTGAGCGCTCTAGAAGAAAAAAAAAAAAAAAAAAAAAAAACTGTTTGTTCTGTGGAGTGTGCTCCGGATACTCGGCGGTTTTAATCTTAACTACACAGCTAGCCAAGAATGCGCATTGCCCCCGAATACGACAATCTGCAACCCGAGAGGTCTTGGCTTTGGGGACTCCGTTCAAAAGAATACCATAGTAGATACCAGACCAGATTGACAATGACTTGGTAGGAGATGAAGCAGGTGGTATCTTTCAAATTGACCGTGGCGGCGAAGACGGGTATCCGGCAATTGAGCGGATTGTTCCAGGTGTTGTTAGAGCCGACAACCAGCATGGAGGTAGAGAGTGCTGTCCAGCAGCCAGCAGCCCGCCCGGATTGCGGCTCGTCAGCCAGTGGTTTCACTTGCGGGACTGGGCGGGTGCACGACCGGGATCTTGGACAGATCGACACGCCAGCGGGGAGTTGTGCCCCTATCACAATTCGTCGTCATCATGCAGCCTTCAGGGTGGTCGCGTGCTTCACCGGCTGGGTGGATGGCCAAGGAAGAAATGCCAAATCCTTCGGAGGCCGAGTCCCGGGTCTCTTCAGCAATCCTACGAGTAGGTACAAGTAAGAGCAAACTAGTTAGTTACCTCAAGGCTGCCAATTGCACAGGCCGTGGCTGTTGCGTCTGGTGCGTGATAGCACTTCCCATGCAAGCTTGGATTTTGCTACAACCTTGAGCACACCTGCAGCTTAAGACCATCCCGCATCATGCAAAAAGCCCACCCCAATTGTTCGCTCGACCTTAGGCGTGGGACTACCGTCCTGGTAGGCTGTGAGGACGCGTGGATGTATCAAAATCGTCGTCAGTGGAAACGAGGCTGCTGCTGTCCCTCCCCACAACGGCTGATTGCGCAGTCGACCAGGCCTGGGTGGACGTAAAATCCACCACGCCGGTGCTTGCTTGACAGCTCGACTGGCGTGTTGCAGTGAAGCTCCTAGTTCCACCCGCTGACGACGAACTCCGGCACAACGCTCAATCGCTCCGTGAACCTTGCCAGAGCCTTCGTGGCCTGCCACCAAGCCCTGTCGAACCCTGCCTCTTCCACTCCGGGGTCTCGTGCACTAATGGCCGGAGGCCCAGAGGCCCCAGGGCTCCTGACAAGAAAGCTACGCACTCCCATTTCCCAGGCTCTGCCCAGGTGGTGGTGTGTGGAACCCGCCAAAATGAGCGCCAAAGGTGATAACTCTCCGCTATTCCCCATGCCATGTTTTCAATACTGATCCCCATTTCTTTCCTCTCCTGCATGCTGCCTGTGCCAGTTCTCTATTTTGTTTCCTATCGAACCTCCATCGGTGTTTCTGGTTTTCAATATCAAGTCTTCGGCCAATCTGTATAAATCCACGCTCGAGGCGATCAAACCCGAACGCTCGCGGCCTGTGACGTGAACAGCCAGCCGTTTCGGCACCTGGAAGCCCGTTGCTGGGCGCGCCGCAGATCCCAGTCCGCCACCCGTCTTGGCACCCGGCATCACGACGTATTATCGGACTCATCGGAGGAGCTCAATTCGTCGTGCTTTGCGGGTTTGCATTACTCCAGCAGCGCCATTTCTTCGATCGGCCGGCGTGTCTTCAAGCACCGCAATCGACGTGACTGGGACCAAAACCGACCTACGCGGAACATCGCCGTAGGAATCGATCCCGTACTACTCGGACGCCGGAGGTTGCATTGCTTCAAAGCACTGCGCGAGAACAGGATTTCAATCAACACGCCTTAGAGGGTTGGTACACGGCTGGAAGAAGTGCAACATGCTTGCAAAACACCATTTCCAGTCCTACCGGACCGAGGGCCTCATCGATGGGCTGGGCCTAAAGACGCTGTTCGCCTTTTTTTCCGCCAAAGCGATCCGCGGAGGGCCCCGACTACTACCCCAGCTCGCCATTTGTGTCGTCATTCTGATAATACTGACTCGACTCCTGCCAAATCACTTCACCGATATTGCGTTTGGGTCAAACTACACCAAGATGTTAAAGTGGAGGCCAAGTGCAGATAAACATGAAGATGGCAGTGCACCCGGAGGACTCAGGATAGTCGTTTTCGGCGGTGGTGACATTGCGAGTCCAAATAAGATGCCGGGAAACCCGGAGTTGCCGGACCAGTCGTGGACAGAGATCCTGTGCGAACAGGTAACGATGGCAAAACCTTCGAATGACCTGCACAAGCTGCTAACCTGTGATGCCAGTTGGAAACCTGCTCTTCCCACCTCTCGTACATGCCACAGACTGATATCCAGGGCGGATCCGTCATCTCAAAGGCTCTGTATGGGATGGCATTGGACAAGGTGGTTTCCTCACCAAACGCGAGCCAGGGGCCCGGGTACGACTATAGGTGGATGCAGGAGCAATACCCTGTTCCATCCCACCTGCCCGATCTCGAGGAGCAAGTCAATACTTTTCTCGCCACTCCTCCACCCAGCCACCCTCCAAAAGAGACGCTGTGGGTGTTCAATTTTGGCTACTGGGACATCTGGCGGATGGCGTCTCTCCCGAGTGAATTGGCTATGGATATGATTGAGGTTCAGGTGAACCACCTTTTCGAACAGATTGAACTACTATACCAGAAAGCTCGGTCGGAGGACTCAATTGCCTATTCTGACTGGTATAATGTTCTGGACGACTCGACTGCGCCAGACAGCGAGAACAGCACAGCCGTTTTCTTGGATGTCCCCGCCGAACCATTTCGCATCTTCATTGCGTCACCTTTCGACGTCTCACTGGCTCCGGGCTTTGAGACGCTCCGCTTCAAGCCGCCGCACCCGCACTCTCGAGCAGAAGAGATGCGCAACGCTGTGCGCCTCACTGACCGGTGGGAAAAGCTCACGACCGAGATGATCGATGCGTGGCTGGCGACACCTGACCCTGTTGTCAACGGTACTAGAAGCGAAGTAGCACTTCTGGAGAAGCGAGATGCATCCGGAAACGCCGTTCTGGTGCCGAACGCACGCCGTGAAGCAATCACGCATGACACACCCAAATACATCAGGGAATCCCTTGTGGATCGCCAACTCCGCAATGCCGAAATACAGGACAGCAACGGGCTGGGTACGAGACCTATCGACGAGGGATATCTTGACGTGTCAGAGCCATGCATGCCGCGCGATGTTCCTTCCAACACCACCACGGCTGCTCACCCCAAGAGAACGCTCTACAACCAGATGGTGGATGGCGTATGCTCTCTGCCGAACGAGCATCTCTTCTGGACCGAGTTCACCGTTGGCCAGCGAGCCGTCAACGACATCGGAAAATCGGCCGCAAGCCGCTTCAACTTGCATGTGCAGAGGGGAGTCCAGTGGTTGAAGAAGTGGCAAGAGCTGCCCCCATTGACTGCCCGAGAGTTTAGTGGTTGATAACTAGATTGCAAGATGGTAGTAGCCCAAAGCTCTCCCCATCCTTTCGGCCAGCCACCCAGCGCCGAGAAATCGACAGCGGCTAGCATCCTCAACGCCTGTGTGGGTGTGTAGGCTTGCAAAGGGCCAAATGCCGATTCGTGCCCCGCCGCTACATTTCGCGGGAGAATCAGATCTTCCAACGACCATTTACGCGCTCGAAGTCACTAGAGACTCGATAAGTTTGAGAGTGGCGCTGTTGAATGCCCTCTGCCCCCTTTGACCTGAAACGGCCATCGGCTTTGTGGATGTTGTCTCTAAGGGACAAAATATCGTCCCTGGTCACAGACTTTACGAACATCATCGGCACTATGTATGAAAAGTGTTGGCCTCACGGTCTAAAGAATGAAAAGAATGATCCGAACTTAGCTGCCTTTTATTGAAGTTAGGCTTATGATACCCCATTATATAGCAATCATGAGATCTTATGCAAAATGTATCAACTCGTCAGCGTCACAAGTGGTCCCTGGTGCTCCCTTGTAAACATTACTGCTAGCAGCCGCCTGCACCAAGCGTTGTCGCCTCTCGTTTTGATTTGGCCGATTTGGTAATCAATCGATGTAAATGATAAAAAGTACTTCAGTTGCTGATATTAGGTAAACCTACATAATTATATTTCGGTCTGGATGCTTATAGTGGGGCTGCTAAATTATCTACCAGCTGTAGATCAATGTGGTCATTGACTACTACTTATCTCCGTTGCTTCACCCCGAGCTTGCCACCTTTACACACACTCGACAAGCTCTGCTTGTCGCCGGGTTGACGCCTGCAGCGGTGCACAGCAACACCATGGAAATTACCTGAAATGATGCCAGGCATAGCAAGGTCTCCCTACATCTGCTCCAGATGCGTTGGTCCTCTAGCGCGACGCTGGCTGCACGAAGCGGGCAGCCAAGCCTTGGGCCTGCGCTGCTCCTCGTCCAATGCACAATCCTCCCCCGACAAACACCATTCGAGCGAACCCGATAGCAAGCATGAAGCTTCCGCCCAGTCTGACACGAAGCCTGAGCCGGGCCCTATGGCACGCCGCCTCGAAGAAGCCACGGAAGAAGCCCTGTTTTCTGGCGGGCGTGCCGGGCGCCGAGCCGTCGAGGATGCGGGCTTCTCGGAGGAGCTGAAAGAACGCCTGTTGGCCAAGGTCAAGGACGCCCAGTTCCGGTCCGAGCATGCTGCTGCCTTCGCCGAAGCTGGTATGCCGAGTTCAGCCGGCCAAGGGACGCGGCTCAATGCTGCCAGCCAAGCGTGGACGGGCGAAGAGTCGACAGAAGATGCCGTCCTGCGGATGCTCAACGACGCCCGCAAGCCTCTCAGCCCGAGTCTACGGGGCAAACCGAAGCTGCCCGACCTCAAGCCGATCGACATGCGACTCAGCCCGAAAAACAATGCCAGCGCGGGACAGCGCGCCGCGGGAGCGAGAGACAAAGCGGCTATATACACTGGCATGGGCATGAAAAATGCTGACAAGGGCCTCAGCGATGAGGAGAGGGAAAAGTTACGAGAACAGTTACGAGACCGATTCAGACCAGCGGCCAGAGCGCTCCCGAACACCCTCACGGGCCTGGCATCGCTAGCCAATGAGCGGATCGAGGACGCAATAGCCAGGGGCCAGTTCAAGAACATCCCTCGCGGCAAAGGCGTGGAGCGCGATACGAGATCGGACAACCCATTCGTCGATACGACAGAGTACATCATGAACAAGATGATCAAGCGGCAGGACATTGTCCCTCCGTGGATTGAGAAACAGCAAGAAGTGGTGAAGACGGCGCACACATTCAGAACCAGGCTGCGTAACGACTGGAAGCGCTATGCCGCACGTATGATTGCGAGTAAAGGCGGTTCACTGGAGGCCCAGATGAAAAGGGCGAGACGCTATGCCGAGGCTGAGCAGCTGCACAACCCCCGAAAACGGAATCCGGAACAGATCTCTGTGCCGACCAACTCTACGGAAGACCCGGTCATGGTCAAGATCCGGGAGCAGCTCGGCACCGAGCTGACGGACGAGCTCGCGGGAGTTGAGACTGCCACCCAACGTACGCTGGCGGAGCCATCTTCACCCGAAAAGACCGACGTGCCGCCCGTGCCGGAGCCGCCCCTCCCGCCGCCGTTCCGAGACCCGGACTGGCTGCGGACCGAGCAGTCCTACATGAATCTGGCCATCACCAACCTGAACAGCCTGACGCGGTCCTACAACCTGATGGCGCCCGAGCTGGCCAAGAAGCCGTACTTCACGCTGGAGAGGGAGCTGAACGCGTGCTACGCCGACGTGGCGCCGCAGCTGGCGGAGGCCATCAAGGACCGTGCCGCGCGGCCGTCCAAGCCGCCGCCCGAGGCCGGTGGGCTCCGGCCCGGCGGGATCCTGGACCGGTTCAACGGCGAGACGCACAGGTCCAAGATCTACGAGTCCAAGACGCCTCACTACGGCCTCCGGGAGATGTGGCGGGATCTATTCAACCGCGACGCTAGGTGAGGGAGGCTCATCGGAGTTGTACGCCAGGGTGGGTATATGTGGAAAAAGCTGAGACATGATGTTGTTATATGTAGCTGTAAGATGGCAACCTGTTGCAATAGTTTTTGAGTGCCGCAAGAGCACTAACATAAAAAAACAAATATGCTCCAAAAATATTCCGTGTTCACCACGTTATACGTGCCAACTGCGATGGAGCAGAGCACGCTCGCATTGTATCAGCACTTTGTTTGACTTTGGCAGGTTCCTTCAGAGAGCTAGCCATTCAGTGTGGTAGGGGTAGTTTTATTAGCTAGGATGGCGTGCACGATTTGCTCATGGGGTACGAAGAGCCTACCATGTCGATTACGGTACACCTGGTTACTGAATCGACCAGTCCGGAGATCCGGAAGACTGCTCTTCAGGGGCTCAAGTCCCAGAAGGGCCGGCGGTTCGCTATCGTGACTGGGCTTTGCGAGAGAGTCATGATTGCATCCAGTGATCGTCGATCAAAGCCAGGAGCTCATTATATATGTGTAATAGCAGCCTCAGAGCCTCAGGAGTGCCAGAGCCTCCAAATTACCCAGGATTCTTTGGCATGTCCCTGCGCCGGACGAAAGGAAGCGCAGCCAGCTGCTCGGGCCGAGAAAGCTTGTTCGGTGGAGCCTCATGAGCTGCCACCGTTTCGAGCTTCAAAGCTACCCCTGTCTTTTTTGTGAGGTCATCCCACGCTGCCGCCGTGGGATGAATGAGAGGGGGACGAACGTGCAGGCAAGCGACAGGTTCGGGCGTAGTATTTTCATGTCCAGCTGCCGTTCCTATATAAACCATCGCTAACCTCCTCCCCGGACTCCCGGACCTACCATACCAGTTGTTCCTGCTCTCCCTTCCGGACCGTGTGATTGTCCAGTCTGGTGACCCTCGCTGCTGCTCGCGCGCCCCGGTATCGTCAGTGTAGCTGACTTGGCGCGCCCCCCGGTCCTTTAGGTAACTCCGTCATGCAGGTGGAGCCTCGAACCACTTTCGTGAATTGACTTTCGAGTGTTTCGACTCCGATCTAGCTCTCTTGTTTCTTTCCTTTCCTCCATTCTTCATCTTCAGCGGCATTGCGGATAGGACGGGAAAGGAGCCTCGAACCTCACCTCGTTTCCGCAATCCCTCTTGTCCAGTGTCCCTAGGGCCTCTCCTCTCCTTCTCCTTCCCTTATCTGTAGCTGCGGGTATCATGGCGTCCCCGGTGGCTTCGGCCGCCCTGAAGGCCCGAATTCGGCGTCCCTCGATGCTGAAGAAGCTATGCCAGCCTCAAGACCTCCTGCAGCACTTTCCCAATGGCGCTTACATTGGCTGGTCCGGCTTCACCGGCGTAGGATATCCCAAGTACGGCCCCGTGGCATTATCGATGGCCTGAAACTCGCCGCTGACAGCCTGTCACAGGAAAGTCCCGACGTACCTGGCGGACCACGTTGAGCAGCACAAGTTGCAGGGGCAGTTGAAGTACTCGCTCTTTGTGGGTGCTTCCTCCGGCTCCGAGACCGAGAACCGGTGGGCCGGCCTAGACATGATCGCACGCCGAAGCCCCCATCAAGTGGGTAAGGCAATCGCAAAGGGTATCAACGAGGGCCGCATCAACTTTTTCGATAAGCATCTATCTATGTTTCCCGTGGACCTGGTCTACGTAAGTTGTCAAATATTTGCCACCACGAGCTCCCTAGGAGCCGCCTTCTGGATTCCTGACTGATTGTACCAGGGATTTTACACCAAGGACCGCCCCAACAAGAACCTCGATGTTGTCGTGGTGGAGGCAACAGACATCAAGGAGGATGGAAGCATTGTCCCTGGGGCAAGTGTCGGCGCCACCCCAGAGCTCGTGCAGATGGCCGACAAGGTAAAGCACCTATCTTGCGGCTCATGATCTATCACTAACCCCGCTGCCCAAGATCATCATCGAGGTGAACACCTCGTTACCAAGCTTCGACGGACTGCACGATATCACCATGACGGACCTGCCGCCTCACCGCAAGCCATACCTCATCATGGGAGTCGAGGACAGGATCGGAAAGACCTCGATCCCCATCGATCCCGAAAAGGTTGTTGGAGTTGTCGAATCGGACTACCAGGACCAGACGTCACCAAACACACCAGCAGATGAGTCATCCGCGGCCATCGCGACCCATCTGATTGAGTTCTTTGAACACGAAGTGAAACACGGCCGCATGCCCAAGTCGCTGCTGCCCATCCAGTCCGGCATTGGCAACATTGCCAACGCCGTCATCGGCGGGCTCAGCGAGTCCAACTTCTGGAACCTGAAGGTGTGGACCGAAGTCATCCAGGACACCTTCCTGGACCTGTTCGACTCGGGCAGGCTGGACTTTGCCACGGCGACGTCGATCCGCTTCTCGCCCGAGGGTTTCAAGCGCTTCTACGACAACTGGGAGGCGTACCACAACAAGCTGCTGCTGCGGTCGCAGCAGGTGTCCAACTCGCCCGAGATCATCCGCCGCCTGGGCGTCATCGGCATGAACACGCCGGTCGAGGTCGACATCTACGCGCACGCCAACTCGACGTGCGTCATGGGCAGCCGCATGCTCAACGGGCTGGGCGGGTCGGCCGACTTCCTGCGCTCGGCCAAGTACTCCATCATGCACACGCCGTCGACGCGGCCGTCCAAGACGGACCCGCACGGCGTCAGCTGCATCGTGCCCATGTGCACCCACGTCGACCAGACCGAGCACGACCTCGACGTCATCGTCACCGAGGCCGGCCTGGCCGACGTCCGCGGCCTGTCGCCCAAGGAGCGCGCCCGCGTCATCATCGACAAGTGCGCCCACGAGCTGTACCGCCCCATCCTCAACGACTACTTCGAGAAGGCCGAGTTCGAGTGCATGCGCAAGGGCTGGGGCCACGAGCCGCACCTGCTGTTCAACAGCTTCGATCTCCACAAGGCCCTGCAGGAGCACGGCAGCATGAGGGAGATCAAGGGCTGGTAGGCAGACCCGATTGGCAAGGCATTATATAAGAGGTCCCTGTTAGAGTTTGCACATGGAGATCTCTTCACCAGATGATGGGTCTTAGACTGGAGATATGACCAGGATATAGTCACAAACAGTATATACTTAAAATTGCAAAACTCGAACAGTATTAGATATATGTATGTGTGTGTGTGTGTGTGTGTGTGTGTGTGTGTGTGTGTGTGTGTGATCGTGCGAGTGCTTGATGTCGTACTTCACTCTCTGCGCCGCGCCCATCAAATCACATCATCCCAGAAGCATGATAATGCCCGTGTCTACGCTTCTCGGGCCGCTTCACAACACACTAAGTCAGACTAGTACCATGGACCAGTATGCAGAAGCACAGGAGCGGCGCCCTGCCACACCTATCCTTTCACATTTATACTCACACCCCGTCGAAAGACCCAAGACACCATTGCTGCAACTTTCGTATGACTCTCCTGGCCCCACCGGAGCAAGAGCCCGCAGCTCGCCCCATCTTGGTGAGCAGGGGCGTCGGGCTTGAGGTCTGCTTCGGGACACCATCCGGCTGCTGATTGGCTGCGTCGACGCGAGCTAAGACTTACATGGCGCTATAGTCGAGATGGGTCTCAGCTGGCTAGGCAAGGGCGCTATGCTTGAATCGGTGAGGGCGGCCGGGGAGGCTTGTGTTGACTATAACACTCCTAGTTGTTGTCAGTATACCAATGTTAGAAGGTTGACAAAGACGGAGGTGAGAAGCTCGGAGTATAGACACCCAGAGTGCACTGCACCATGGGGAGTACACACGGCGATTGCCACTTTCATAGCGGCCATAGAAGAATTGTGTCCATAACAGCGACATTCATTATTAAACTTATGATCAATTACATCCGGACGTGGTATCGTATACGTCCGGTATAGCCATATTCGTTATTCGCAACAGGGGTCGTCGCCAAATGGCGGGCCTGTCGCTCATCGTCTCCCAATACCTTTTCGAAACGGTGCTCCGCAGCTCTCTCAGACCTCCTCCTTGGCAATTCCATGCGCATCCGCCTTCTTCTCCTCCAGTACAGCTTGCGGCGCCACGTCCTCGACCGTCTCGTCACTGAACTTGAGATCCTCCTCAATTGAAACCGTGTCGGGGATTCTGAGGAAAATGATAGGACCGGCAATCAGAAGAGCGCCGGCACAAACACCCCACTGCAAGCTTGATTAGTACTTCTGAGTCCATTACTATTTGAGAGAGACTTACTGTAGCTCCGAAGACGGTGTTGTACTCGACTCCGATGTTGTCCAACCGCCAAAAGATGGCGGCTCCAGCACTCTGGATGCCCTTGTAGAATCCAGCCAAGTTGGACAGGCGGCGACCTGAGTTGGAGAGCGCACCCATGTACCAGTAGATGCAAGTCTGCCACGCAGCATCGTAAAAGCCGTAGAACATGAACAAGAACATGGGACCAACAAACTCCTCGCCACCACCGCTCTCCCAGTCCCAGAGGGTAGCCGTGCCGGCTCGGGGCAGCTGCTTGACCTGCCAGGCCCAGCCGCCTCCCCAGATGATGAAGGTCAGGGCGAACAGGACAACCAGCGAGATCTTGGCGCGCATGGAGCGCCGCACCTTGGAGTAGTCCAAGGCATAACCGAAGATGACAGCCCCGAAGATCTGGGTCAGCCAGTAGAGCAGGTTGTTTAACGACGAACCGCGGGCGTTGAAGTGGGCGCCGTTGAAGATGTTCAGCTGGTATGTGTAGAAGATGTTGGAGGCGAAGAACATGGGGAACAGGCTGACGACCCAAGGGTCCTTGTACATGGTCTCCCACAGACCAATGAACTCGGACGACCAAGACGGGCTCTTCATCAGGATGATGCGCGAACCGTCCTCTCGCTGGACCTTGTCTGCATTGCAGAGGAAGAGGGCGAGGACAGCACCGATAAGCATGAGCACGATGAAGCCGACGAAAGTGCCGTCGGTTGCGTCGCCGCCGGTGTTGTTAATGTTCTGGCCTAGCGGGATCAGGGCGCCAATGACGGCACCGAGGTTAAAGATGATCCAGAACCAACTGATATACCTGCCCTTGGAGTGTTCGGGAGGGTACGACATCATGATGGCACCCTGGGCCGTCCACAGAAGACCAGCACAGAGACCCAGGAAACAGCCGGCGAAAATGACAAAGCCCATGTTCTCGGTGTGCTTGTAGCACAGAATACTAGCGGCATAGACAGAATAGCCCAGACCACCCAAGCCCAAGGTCACCCGGAGGCCAAGCTTGTTGGCGAAGGTGCCGGAGAAGAAACCGACGACGGCAAAGACCGAGTACAAGGAGACGGAGGCGTTGGTCTGGGCTGTCCGGTCCTTCAGACCCGAGCCTCCCAGGCCGCTGAGCGCGTTGTACATTCCCGGGCACAGGAAGCACACCATGGCGACCATGAACAGCTGGACCTTGGGCGAGGCATACCACAGCTCTCTCTTACCGATGTGGAAGCCCTTGTACATCCAGCCATTGGGGCGCGGGATGGGCTCCCCGGCGGTCGAGGCGTGGGGCTCGGTGTAAGTCTCGGCGGGCGCGGTAGTGGCACCGGGGTCCGCTTTGGAGTCGGCCATGATGAGCTGTGAGGTTTCGAGTAAACCTCGAGGCGTCTCAGTCAAATATCAAGCTCTGAAACTAGAAGCCAAGGCGCATTCCTGGGTTGCGGAGGTCAGCTCTGGATATACTCGTCTCGTCGCAGCGGTGGGTGCGAGAAGGCGGCGCAGGAGGCAGTGTGCCCAGCTAATCTCTAGGCCGGCAGGCCAACATGCAGACGCAGGGAGAGGATGAGCCGACTGACCTTGTTTCTTGTCTGCGCGCTGTGGTTCGCGATCCGGGTAAAGAAAGGGCGTCGTGAACCGGTCAATGCGGATGAAGGCAAGGGAGTAAGACAGCGGGCCAAGCTCGAGAGGTTCCACGCGACGAAAGGCGGGCAGGCCGTTGATTAAGAAGGTTTGGTTGCTTTGCCTGCCACAAGGGTTCGATGGGATTGTCGATCAGGGATTCGCGGCGCCGTGTGGTGTGGAGCTCTGCTAATCAGACGATCGACCCGAGGAGGGGATTGAAGAACGCCAAAACCAATCCCAGAGATAGGGAACAGGACCAGGGCCAAGCACCGAGTACGTACTGCACTCTGACAGACAGACAGACAGACAGCAGATTTAGTGGACACCCGCTGCTATGGTAGCAATCAGAGCCCCAAATGCCTGATGCCACCTCACAGCAGATGGCCTACCGCGTACGGGGCGGGTTACCGGCGACAACGTTTGATGGGTGGCTGACTGGCTGGCTGGCTGGCTGCCGTTCGCTATGTCGAGGTACAGCAGGCAAGGATGTATTAGGATGCCGGAGCTACGTGACACTGAAATGGATGCGATGAACACACACTGTCGACCATACGGGCATAGTAAGTATGTAACTTAGTTACAGTGGAAGCACCCGACCCCAGTGCCCTAGGGGCCATGGAACCAAGCCACTCCTGCTCCCTACCGCCCGCCCGCCCTCTCGCGCGCTGTAACGACACGAGGACATGCTCCTGAGCTGCTCCCAAGGACGATTAAGCATTGGGCCAAGGCCCAGCCGGGGTAGGTAGCGGCCGAAGGATTCAGAAACGCATGTGGCTTACTCCCGTCCCTGCAATACGATAGGTCAGGGAACAAAGTGCCATCCCCAGCTTCGAATGGCCTCATGATTCACATTTCGGTTTTCTTGACATCTGGGGCGCCGCTGAACTATCATTTCCGTGTCCTGACTTGGGGCAGCCTGCTTGTGCGCTGTCCAGCGTCGTACTATTACGGCACTCTGTCCCAAGCACCTTACTCACTCAATTTCAGGCCGAGCTCGATGACTCGGCAAGCTCGCGATCCATCTCATTACGAGTCGGCACGACATGCCCTCATGGCCTCATGCTCTCTTCTCTGCCTCCCTCCCCCCAAGAACTAGGACAGGTCCTCCCCCCAAGAAGAATTTCCAAAAGCAGGGATCGCACGCTGATTGCCGATAAGACATGCATGTCGCGGACCGACTCGCAGCGTCTGCAAGCCCCTATGATTCGCCCGCCGCCGCCCGTATCACAGGACCCCAGCCCGCCCCAATTAATACGCCCGCCGTCCCATTGGCCTGCCAGAAGCTGGGGAAGCAAGCTCCCCATCACCGATTGAGGAAGGCGGCCGCCGGGGCCCTCCCAGAGAAGCCAGAGAATCTCTGGAGGGGGGTTTGCTTTAGGCCCCTGGGGCCACCACCCACACAGCGCACCAGACAGGCTTGGATTTTTATTTTAGTGCGTGCGTGGGCAACGGGTCTTGGAGCTCCAGTCCCCATGTAACGTAGCAAACAAGACCGATAGCTATCGCGTGGTCGTCTGGTAGTTACAGTAGTTCGCGAAGGACCCTGGGTTATTTACCTGACTGTTGAGATATGAATAAGCCCCATTACATAGGTACTGTGTCTATGATTACACAGGGTCTCCCAACCTTGTGTCTGATTTGAGCCCTATTCGGACGACAGCAAAAACCGTGTCTCACGTGCCTCGGCCAAAGCCATGAAAGCTGGCAGAATACCAGAAAAGAAAATTGGTTAGGGGACCGATCTACTAAGTTAGTCAGTTAGTAGTAGTATGAACCGCCCACGGGAGACTACAGCGCCGAGCAGCTAGGCTCGTCGGCCGCCGCAGATACCCGTCGCCAGCGAACATTAGCACTCGCTCTCTGAGAAACTCTTAACGGGCTATTGACCCTGCCACAGCGTCGTCGCTTCGCTCGTGACTATATCAGTACGTAAAGGTTATGCGCCGTAACTCAAATGACCCCTATCTCGGCTATCTGTCGTCAGGCCTTCTTTCAATCTCCAGCGGCGCCGCACTCTCGCATGAATTGTCCGGTGCATGCCTGGGTGCCACAACACCACCGAGGCGAGGTTACATGACCCCCTTTCGGGCACGCCTCCAAACCGATCCAGATTGGGCCCTCCTCGGAGACTGGACGCTTGTGCGACCCCAAAATGAACCGGGGTCTCTACTACTGCATACACGCGCATACCTCCATTCTCCAACGTCTCCTCTGACGCTCGAGCAAGCTGACTAATCTGTGGTGTTCGCAAAACGAGCGATCGCGTCTGGATAGGCCTCACTGCTCATCCTCGAGTGACGCATATCAGCGGGTAGAAGCTCCATCTGCACACGGTAGAAGTAGGCTTCATGCCACGACTATAGAGTAAGGTGGGGCTGGAACAGACATATGCCTAACCACGTTCTTATCAACATCCTGTCCACCCATGCCGTTGGGATGCGGCTCTATAGCTAGCCTGCCTGGCCCGTCGCGTGCCATTCAGCATGCGCCTCGGAGATCAGTGGTTTGTTACCATTCCGGTGGGTAACGAAGTTGACTTGGTAGATCCCATGACCCTGCCCCAACGTTACTGAGGCTACCCTGCTATCGCGTACGTTTCTCCCGCAATCCTTAAAACGAACAGACCCACAGACGTGGGACGTTGGGTACATAAGTACATGTATAGTGTGAGTGTATAAGTGAATAGTATGTATTTATATATATACATATCAGAGCAACGTATTGCGAAAGGTAAAGCCAATGTCATTGCCTGCTGGGCTTGTACAAGAAATCCTATCAAAGTCTGATTTGATTGCGGCGTGGGCCTTTTATATCTGGCACTGCCGCCCCTTTTGTCTTCCTCTCCAGCGGGCCGGCCACGTAAGCCGGCCGGGCTGTTCTCATAAACCATGAAGGAGCCAGCGAGGTCTCCATGTAACAATTATACAATAGAAGCTGCCCAGACTCTCGAGGGCCTCGAAGCAAAATTACACCCCGAAGATGGATATTCCAATCATTCATGCGCCGTTCCCATGACCCGAAAGTCGTCACAATCATGAACTCCCACACCATGCCGAGCGATATCAGCAATGCAAGCAACTTTCCCCCTTGTGTGACCGGTTGCCATCCAGTAAACCCATCTTGGGCTCCTTTCGAGCCGTGTGCCCACCACCAGAAGCCCAGGATGCTGTGATTGACATTTGACGACGAAATGGTTAAAAACAATAAATACAGTTTGCTCAATAAGAACGTAAGAACGATGGGGTATCAATAGATTTAGGAAATGATCAGATAGACTGAGCGCTGGGCACAAGTTGAAGGGGGGTCAAGTGACAAGGGGGGTGCTTGCAGGTGTCCTGAAAGCAGTGAATTCAAATTGGCACGGGTGTGTTGTTGTGGTTGCCTCGATCCCTCGAGATCCAGGACAGAAGGTCGGCCTTTTGGTGGGCGCCAGCATTGGCTGCCGGGCCTTCGATGGGAGTACGGGCGGCATTCTCGCGCGGCTCAAGCAGCAGACTCTTGCGGTAGTAGCTGACCTGTACATTCCCCTTGTCCGATTCTTTGACTCGATCGATTTGAGCTTGCATCCATTCCTGGAGGTCGGGGACCTCGGTCAACCGATAGGGAATCTGGAATCGCTGCAGTTCCCCGATGATCTTGGCTGTACGGCTGTGCTTATCAAAGTTGACGACTGTCAATCCCTGATCTTCCGAAGACCCAGGAAGCTGCTTCGTCGCAGGGTTTCCTATGTCGACGAATGTCAAGTCTGTCAGAAACATACCCAGGAAGGGCAGACACGGTGGTACATGGCCTTGCAGACGAGCACGAAGCACCTTGTTGTTATTCGACGGCTCAACAATGGCTTGTAACGTCTTGAGCATCTCGCGCCTCTTTACGCTCACCACCTCCCACGTCTTCCGAAGGCGGCTGATGATGGAGCTGTTCAGGCTACAAATGATTGCCATGAGGCCATCGTAGTTGTTGAGCAGAAGGCACTGGTGGGCAATCTTGATCCATTGCTTGATGGTCGCTGCTCGTTTCTTGACATCGGGATACTGCAGGATAGTATCGGCAACCAGATTTGACAAGTCCGTCGAGAAACCGGACATTGCCTTTACGTTAGGAGACTCCATGCCTCCTTTCTTCATCCACTGCGAGCCAAGCAGTTCCTCTGGTAGAATAGAGCAAAAGACGTTCATTTGCTTCAGCGTCAACTGTCGCGCTATCTCCAGAGGATCAAAGTCAAGAACAGAGGGCATGCTCCCGCCAGACTTCCAGTTCTGAAGCAAGTGCTGCTGGCTCTTGGACAAAAGTGGATTGGGCAGGGGCGTCTCAGCTGGAACAAACTGAGAGATTGATGTGCCGGATTTACTCATGGACGAGACAAGGCGAGGGACCAAGGATCCATCGGTTGATGAGACTCGATCAGCGAGTTCTGCAAGTCGCTTGCCCGCCGACGGGAGCAAGGATCCAAGCTTGAATTCTGCGAAATGACGAATGGTTGGGAGAGCCTCATGGTCAGTCGACTCACGCCAGTGTGATTCGAGCCATCCTTTCATCACATTGTAAACCCTCAATCGCACAGGACTGGCCATATGAGGGGCTTCACCAACGTAGTCGAACCGTTCGGCCAGGGCCTCAGCCAGCTTGGTAGGCGTGCAGAATAATCTGAAGGTCAAGTAGAAGGCGGAAACGAACACTGCATCTGGAGTTGACTCGTGAGTTGTCAGACGCTCAACCAAGGCAGGTAGTGAACCTCCAGTAACCTGGCCCTCCTTGTTGAAGATAAGCTCATGAGCATAAGTCTTCTCAAGTAGCCTGGACTCTACGTCGTCGACTTCGTCCGAAGTGCTGACGCTTCCCGCAGTGCTCAAGTCTGATAGTGACGGCTGGTTCTTTGGAGCTATTGCCTGGTCCGGTGTTGTTGCCCTCGTGGATGTCTGAGAGACGATGCTCGACTCCGAGTCTCTGCTAGGGTATGTGATGTTGGTACCGGAACTGGATGCCGTTGACGTTTCGGAACGGAAGGAGCCCTGGTATTCGCTGTCATGTGAATGCTCAGTGGTTGGACTGTAAGAGTCATCGCGGAGGAGCGTGGTTGTCAATCTGGGTAACGGCGGTGGTGCGGGCCGCAGCGATGCCACCGATGATGCCACGCTGGAAGCAGTATCATCAATCTGGCCAGACTGTGGGCGTGATCCTGGCTCTGAGGAGTGCTCCGCTTCCTTTCTCTCTGAAGCCTCGGCGTCAGGCACGTCGGGCAACGGCTTATCCAAAGAGAGATGTCGTGGTTGAACTGGCGTAGGGGATGTCTCGGGTGACTTGATGCCTGGTCCGCTCACTTTCTCAGGCGTGCTTGGTCGACTCCCTGAAACCTTGTCGAGCACCTCGAAATCAATCCCAAGAGATCCATTCTCCAATTCAAATTCGAAATCACCTATCCTCTCAATCACCCACTTTGTCTTCTCAACACAGCCACCCGCTGCTTGAACACACCCCATTGCAGCTTGCAGGAGTTGGCTGTTGTCTTGCAGCATAATCATGTCCTCAATGTCGGGCTCCACGGTACTCAGGATGTCCCGCGCGGAGTAGACCAGGTCTCGAATTCGGTCGTACATAACAGCGCGAGCTTGGTCTAGTGACTCGGAGCCAAAGGGATTGTGCCTGCAAACTGTGTCTACCACGGCAAGGAGATCCCCGCCCAGGGTGGCGGACTGTTTGATGGCCAATGCTAATTCTGACCTCGACTGGGACTGCAGTTGCAGCCGACCGATAAAAGAACCAAGGTATGATAACAGGGTGTCATGGCTGGAGCTCAACCGCGATGAGACAAGATTTTGTGGTTGACTTGATGACGAAGCGCCGGCCATAGACACCCTGTGTGATATAGTTGCCGACAATCGATTGCCGCGAGGTTGATTGGCCTGAGACATGCGATGACTTGTCGTGTTTGATGGCGAACAAACGAAAGAGACACGATTAGTGGCCGGTGCGTTTGTTTGCGCGCCCTCGCTTGGTTCCGATGGCAGCAAATCGGCGGCTGTTCCCTCTTCGGCCGCGCGGGATCCCGCATCTGCTTCGCTGTTTTGCTCGTGCTCGAAGGCTGACGAGTCAGCTGGTGGGGTTGGCGGGATGTAAGATTCTTCAACAACGGTTGCCATAACTGTTACAGCCGCAGGTGCGCGTTGCCGTCGATCCTCTTCTTGCAAGTCGAGAAAGCGTACCCCCTTGACAACGATCTTAAAGGCTTTAAGTATCATCTCATCAATGATATCATTGACATCCTCCTCAACCGGTGGGCCATTTTTGAGAGCCTCCTGTAATCTTTTGGCGGTTTTGACAAGCATGGATAACTCCGAAAGCAACGATTTGCGGCCTCGTCGGAGGCCATCGTTACGTTGTATAATTGGCGATTCCCGCGTCAAGCAATTCGTGCACTCCTGCGAGATATGTTCAGTAGCAACTCTAGAAGGGGAGGGTATAATCCATACCAGGAGGTAGCGAACACCTGCAATGATCCCTTTCATGAACTCTTGGTTCCCAAAGATATCTCGCTCGTTCGTCGTCGTGCTTCGTAATAAGTCCCAGAAATTCAGCAACGCAGACAGAAGATTCCTCATTTCCTCCGGGTCATATGCCTCGCAGTAATTCGTAGGTAGCCAACCGCGAGCGCCAGATATCAACAATGTGCCGTCAGCCCATCCATTCGTGTGTATCGAGTGCACCAAAACCACATCACCCTCGTTCAGCGGCAGAGTGACCGTCGAGTCCGTCGCAATATAACTTGGATGAAATGGGTAAAAGGCCCTTAAGAAGTTATGAAAAACCGGGTGCGGCGCACACTGTTGTGCGACATCGTCGTCGTCGTCTTCGTCTTGGGAGCCATTGGGAGTCATCGGCGGCGTTATATGCGAGCTGGCCTGCGAGTCTGTCGTCGATTGAACCTCGTCGTGCGCATGGTCGTCTTGTCCATCACTCAAGGATCCGGATCGAACCCTCTGTAGGGCAAGGGGCGCAACTTGTAGACTCGCCCGCATCGATTGGTCGTCAAGCATTATGAATGCTGCGCGAATCCACGGCTGAAAACCATGGGCAGTAATGTGCGTCGTTTCCGTTTAAGTGTGGCGCTGTTACTGAGTATAGAGGCGCGTGCTTCTCTGCGCCGTTAAGCTCTCTTGCGCTGAAATCGTTGCTAATTCCCAAGTCCTTTCCTCGCTTCCAAAGGACGGTTTTCCGAGGCACAACTAGGAAAGTAAACCACAGCGGCTCGAGGTATAGCGCGCAACAGCCTGTCTGTCAGAGGCGATGCTCGGGGTTCCTATGGCATGGAGTGTGAGTATTGGTACGCGCATGAAGGGGCAAGTTTGTTGATTGTCTCAGGCGCAGACTAGTATCTCGGGATATGATGGAATGAAGGGAGACGGATGGCAATGACGAAGTAGAGACTGGACTGTATGGAGGGGCTCAATTTGGAATGTCAAGGTTCTCCAGTCGGTGCGGTCGACCGGCTACCTAGCTACTGAGCTCAATTCCAGGGGACGTCCTTGACGCAGAAGTTTCAAGCGCCAGTCCCATGACGAGACCCATAGACCATAATGCAATGCCAGACGGGGGGGATTGTGGAGGGCGGATATGGATGGTGCCACCTTTGTATTGGGAACGGGCGGTTCTTGCGTACCTTGGGGGTCGTGTGTCTTCTCGATGCAGAGATAGTTCTATTTTCGAGCGTCTTTTGCCGTATCTCTCTTCTTCTTTTTCCCCTTCTCTCCTAGTGGAAGTGCCGAGGGTAATTTGAGCCAACGGAAATTTGAGCAGATAGCTGCAAAAAGTAGCAGAAGCCTTCCTCAGACCAGATTCCTAGCTCCAGGCTACGGCCAACTAGGGGAAGACGGGAGCAACAATGTACTGGGTTGGCGGTGGCGTTGGTTATGGCGGAAAGACACGGTCCTGTCGATCCGTCTCTGCTGTTGTGTAAAGCTCGGGAAATCGACAGACAGATAGATAGCTTGCCCTCGAGATGGTCGATGACTGCAACGCTGCTCAGGCCAAGTCGAATGCGCCGAGCAATTGACCTTACAACGACAGATGGAGGGGGGGGCAGGTGGCTCTTGAGGCTCAACGAGCAGCACAAGTGAATTGACAGTGAAGGGGCCGGGCAAGTATCGTACACACGGACTCTAACTCTCTAACACTCTCCCGGACACGGGGGAAGTGATCTTTCGCAAAAACGGACGCAAAGTAGGGGACGAAAAGAATGTCTGGAATTCTGCTGCCCGCCCAAGACAAGACAAGACAAGACAAGACGTGAGAAGCAGGGCACAGAAGAGCTCGAGATGGAACCAGGAAACCGAGCGTCGCCAGGTGAGGTGCGCATCTGCACGCAATTATTCTAATTACCGTCGTCGATATTGCGACCCCATCCCACGCTCAGAAGGAGCATGGCGCGGAACTGGACGTCGGTCTGGTCACCGTCTGGACGACATCGGGGGAGGGGGAGGAGCGACCTGCGCTAGGGGCACGCACCCAGCGAATTGGGCGCTGCCCGGGGCAATGAACAGCCCTGGAGGTACCGCAGTACTATTTGGACGGTACTTTACCCTATCGACTACCTAGGCACGTACTGGACCGGCTGCATGGCGCCCCAATACAGACAGTCCCGACCCCCGGCTCGTCACAGCCAGCAACGTCGCCAACTCGGGAACCTTGGACTGGTCCAGGGTGCGTCGACAGCGGCACACAATGGCCCGTTATGGACGACTCGTTGCATGGTCACGTACCTGCCGCACGATTCATAACGGCACGCCCATTAGCGAGCTCGAGGACCCTGGGAACGAACTGCGAAAGATGCAACTGTGGTTCCGCAAGTCATGGAGCGGAACAGAAGCAGGGGGCAGGGGCTGCACGGCAGGGGGGGCAGGGGGGCAAGGGGACAGGGGGCCAGGGAGAGCTTCGAGTCTTGGACCGGGGCCCACCCTGGACCGCAGATGGCAGGGGGTCGACCATTCCATTGAATGCGGTGGGCAGGGGAGAGCCTTAGCCTTGGACGACACCGAGGAGCTTGCACCGCGCATTGTGCACCTGAACAACCGAGAGCTCTTTTGCCTGGCGATGCCCCAGGCCCCAGGGTCCTCGAGTGTCAAAGCTTCCCGCTCGTCTGCCCGTCTTCTGCTATAGTAGTCTCTCGCCTCGTGGGAGAACGCTGCCGACTGGGTGATTGCAGCGCAATGTTCCCTCGTTGGCCTTTTTGCCTGCCGGCTTGCCCCACCACCACCGGTAGATCCTGACGACTTCCAAAACGCATGCAAGAGTTTGAACGTCGCACGTCCGTCAGTCTGCCCGTCCTTTTGCCCGCCGTTTGTGACCCGACAGTGAGCACACAGTAAGTCGAGAGGTCTAGCGGGACTGAGTGGCCAGCTGAGATCGTCCATCGGGTGCCAGCTTCATCCACAACGCTTGCGCCACACGGTGATCAGACCGTGTCGAGCTGCCCTCGCGGCTCGCGGGAGATGGGACGGCATCTCTAGTCTATATTGGGTTTTCCGCAGTACAGGTCTGGAAAGACTATGTATGCCAGGCACGGACATGTGCCGGCAGAATTAGCTCAATACGAGGGAACACACATCTCTACACTCTACATCAGAGTCGGGACTTGGGGCCGGACCAAGCACACGCAGATGGAGCGCAAGCTCACGTAGTTGGCTGACACTGTCATGTACTTATTGGTCATCATTTTGCTGGTTCAACCCCGTGCTGCAATTCGACCATGGGCAGACGCAATGCACTACTATGGTACTGAGCATTGTCCACTTATACAACAAGAGTCGAGCTTCCGCAACAGGAACGCATGTGGCCGGGGTGATCTTCCCGTTGATCTACAAACGCAGCCCGTAATTAGGGCCTTTCAACCGCAGAGTAGAAACCGGGGATCAACGAGTTAAGCGCGCTGGAGGGAACACCTCCTCGGGGTAAATGACGAGAATAAGCAATATTGTCGGATGGCAGCAACAGGTTTCCAGCGTCGGTCGTTGATGCATGCCCGGATGGTGTTCCAGGTTGTCCACACGCAGCGGCAGAAACGAACGAGCCGTTATAGTGAACGGACCGCTATGCAGAAGTAGATATGCGATTGGAGAACGGCATGCCAACTGTCCCATCAACACGGCTTCGTTGGGCTCTGCTCCCGCACCAGCCTGATTGGACGAAAGACAGCCTGAGGAGAAAAGATTTGCTAGCAATGGCTGGTAAGCATGATATGCCAACCACGGTTCTGCAGAAGTTTGGGTATGATCAAGGATTTGAACCGTCAGGTACTATTTTGGCCGATGTTACGTCGGCTGTGGTTCCGCGGAAGGCTGACCGTTGACTTGGACAATCTCAGTCGGGCTGCGGAGGTGTTCTGTGCGCACACCCTCCGTCGAATGCCTCTCGCAATCTAAGCCTTTTGTCATTTCGATTAAGAAGAATATTCCGTTTTCCGTAGCCGAGTACCACTTGCAAGCGCATTCATCTTACACAACAGCAATATTGGGCTTCAAGGACACAACCTCGCTATTCGATATACCCATCAGGTGCCTTTCGTCACAGCAAGTTGCAGCTACACTGTTTCCATTGGCCAAGAACCGCCAATCAGCTCCACGGCGCGAAGCCCTGATGTCTATCTTTTCCTGATTACGAAGATCGTGTCAGCGCTCTCCACGCGCGGATAATACCGTAGTGCATCGCGACATGGATCAGCTTAACTTGCCTAGAATCAGCACTCTAAGCGGGCCTGAAGAGATGCAGGGATTATCTTGTGACAGGTCCAGTGCAGCTCGCTTCTTGACAAGACTTATGCACCGTCAACACGTGCAAGCTTCACTGCAGAAAACCGTTGTCGACAGCCAGTAGAGCTGGTTGCTTTTCTGGACAACAGTATAGCATGCTCGCAGAACACTTACCGCAATGGAGAAAACACTTGCCATATTGGCTTCGATCAACCAGCGGCTGCCACGCAGTGCCTTCACGAGACTCGCTTTCCCCAGTATCCAAAGTCCCAAAGGACCTCGGGACCCAAGACTTCAAAAACCCTGGGGTCAGATCATGACTCGAGCTTCCACAGCTTTAGAGTTACGGCGTTCCCTCGCTCAAATTGTTTTTCTCCACCTATTTTTTTTCTAGGAATTTTACTAAGCTGTGCCACACATCTGTCAGTTTGAAGCTGGGGCAAGGCAAGAAGTCCATCGGAAGATCTCCTTTTGGCCATCACACCGCGACAGTACAATGTCTCGAATAGCATCCGACGAAAAGGCTTGGCCTGCGATGCATCTCGAGTATTGATTGTCACAGGCGCTTGCTAGGTGATTGATCCTGTGGGGCGCGATTTATGATTGTGAGTGTCTGAACAATTTCCTGATCCGGTGCCTAATGTATCGAGCTGCACCGAGAGCCGACCACAGCATGCAGTTGGATGCGATCCCTGCCTGATCACATCATGTCATTCGGTCGAGATAACCTTTGCAGTTGAACGATGCACACAATCCAGGCCCCAACGGATCTGAAGATTGACACTGACAGCCTGCAACACTGTGGAGCGGGTTCCGATCTCAGGACGCGGTCAGTCAACTCAAGTTGGCAACAGCTAGTCCCCCGGTCCCCGAGGTCCCCGGCCCTACAGATTGTCACACATGTGACGCAACGCGACGCTCCTCACACCGGAACGTTGACGCATTGTGATCCGACGCCCACATAACAATACTGGTCCTTTTCAATTCCATCCGCGCGCCACCGGGTCGGGACGAGAAGTTGAGTTTCACGTGGCCGATGACCGCAGGCAAGTTTCACAACGCTGCTGTGCACGTCTGACCGCAGTTCGACATTCGAACGTCGCGCAAACGTCGCCCGAAATAACAAGCTTCGTCCAAACCTCATCTCAACTCGGGTGATGTGAATGCACGCGATATCCGACGAAGTCCCGATGGCGTCACCTAGCATTTCGTGGCGTTTGCTCCTTGCAGGTTGGTCTATCTGCAGCGCGCAAAGTACGCAACAGCAGAGCTTGAGTGCAGACCCGACACTCTGGTAAATGGTGTTGGTCCAGGGCCACGCCACCGACTCCCACTTCCCCTGTGGGCCTCAAATCTCGAGCACCCCCAACTTGACACACGATCACTCTCGCTTGCGCGGCTTGCGCGCGCTTTCCCGGGCCATGACGACGGAGTGTTTGTTGGATCTTGGGCTGGTACGATGCGCAGTTTTCTCACAGATAAACTCACCCCTCTGGACTGATGGACGCATTGGAGCTTTGTGCCGGGAATCTTTGACAACCCGACAACATGGACCGATAATCTCATTATCGAGCAAACATGCGAGCCGGAAAACTCTCACACATGTTCCGGACCCTGCCGATGGGTCGGCATCATTCTAGAGCAGGTTCCTACCGTAGACGAGTAGATACGTACGTCCATGTACAGCAGCAGAGTAGACCTAGTCTCTCTGGTCTCCCGGGATAAACCCAGCGTGAGCTACCATGCTGATCATCCGGCACTGACTTGAGGTACGTAGATGTTTTCCGAGTTTGCGTGCTTGGGTGTCTTCCTGTCAATCCGAGAAACCCCTGTAGAGCCGCGTCACGATTTGGTACGCCGTCTCCCTCCTACTGCCATTACGCTATGACTGCAGTAGTTACCAAGCTGCCGGCGCCAACTTTAAAAAGATAACTTACCGTTTGGCTAGATTCTTCTATACCCAGCCCTTTGCCTTTCCGAAAGACCTGCTTCAATTCACCAACACTGTACATGCCGACTGCCTCATGAAGTGATATAAACTTGATCAAGACCAAAAAGCAGCTGTACTTGTCAACGATCTGAACTGTGGCCCAACGAACCTGCCCAAATCATCTCAGAAGGTCCTCACAATCTGAATTGCGTCCCCACCATGGGTCAACCCAAGAGTCACCATTGCACAGACACCCGAGCTGTTGAGCTACCAGCTCCCAAGCTTCGCCCGCCGCTACTCCGTAGAGCGGCGAGTAGTCTGCCTGGCCAGAATCAACTCTATCTGAGTGGTCTACTAGGTAGGCCATCAACTACAGCTTGGCCCGCTTCGAAGATGTACTAATGAACAATGCCGCGAATGGCTCGTCGATCGTGAATTCAGGTGAGCCGCCAACTGCGAACAAAATCATTTTAGCCTCCGAGTAGTAATAAGCTACGGGGTATAGCCCGCTGCGACCCAATTTAGCTTGTGGGGTTACGACTAATCCGTGGTAACGAATTGCAGATGAGCATTTGTATTTGTGTTCCATTCAAGTGGATCGCATCCCTTGAGGCATTCGCGATCCGTTGAAAAAGACCAGTGCTGCAGCTTCGTCACCAGTAGATCTCCCGGAATTCCGGTGATCCAAGGTGAATTGAAGCAAACTCCCTGTAAATGTAGGAAGAAGCTCTAGTAAGACTTCTAGACGGACCAGAAGCTAAGAAAGATGGACCCCTATTTTTAGCGCCGAAGTCAGAATAGGCATATCCCAATGTGGCATAGCGAATGCGATCGACGCCAGGGGAACCAAGATTCTAGCCCCCAATCCTAGGGCGGATCTAGGGGTTGCCGCTGAGTCGGTGAGCTTCTCTGTGTGACTATTTGGTTGCTAGAGTGCGCTTTCGAGATGACGGTCAAGACGGTTTGCACATGACGTGCGTCTCTAAATGGAATGACATGCGCCCGTTGGGTGTCTCAGCCCGGTCCAGTATCGGCCTGGTGGCGTGGCGTGGCGTGGGGGAGATGTTGGGGACACAGTAACTTAGACCGTTCAACCAACTCGTACTTTTGGTGTCTGCTCTCACGTAGTCTGCCCGAGCTACATCACACAGGCTGCCCTGCATTAGACTCGTCTACGATTCCCCAGAGGGGCGAAGGAGCTGACGTTTACCAACAGGTTGGTCGTGCCGCATTGTGCAGTAGCTGCCTGCATAGCTCGGTCGACGGGGAAGCGGGAGAGCTTTGCTAGAGACTTGGCCGCTTCTCCAACGACCTGCATGTCTCACTTAGTTTCCCCTTTTGGGCTCGCATATAGCCCTTCCCTCGCCTCATTCGTCGCACCCATGTCGGCCAGACCTGATCGCCACCTGAGCGTCTGCCGTGCGCGTTGCAGTAGCTCCGGTTACCAGAAGGTCCGAACCTGCCCTGTCTACAGACATAAGTACGCATAACATTTGATCCACAAGTCTTAAGAGGTCCAATATATACATGTGTATTGTGTTATCATTACGGAATACAGCATCATGGTGCACGTCTTTCAGCCCTACTGAGGGGCATAGACAAACGCAAGTTGATCGATCTCGTCTCCATCCTGGCCCAGGTACCCAACAATCTGCCATCCGGTGGGCGCTGTGAAAGTCGTACAGTCCGATGTCGACGTCCCAGATTCCAGAGTCTTGCCCGCGCTGGTCGTCGCCTTGATGTAAAAGATGCGGGTCTGGCTGTCCTTTTGTCCCTGGCACAGCTGCGCGCTCGTCCAGTACTCGGTGCTGCCGAGTGTGAGGGTAGCTGCAGTGCCGCCGGTGCCTCCGTGCTTGAGCGCCGTGCCGTCGCTGAGGGTAAGGCCAACGCTGTCGAGACGGTTTGCGCCCGAAAAGCTCAGTGTGGCGGCCTTGCGACCAGTCTTGGCCCCGAGGGTCGTTACATCACTGAACCATGTGCCGTGTGGCCCTCCGAAGAAGTTGGATTGGCGCAAGGAAGACCCGGAGGACCAAGTGAAGTTCACCAGAATTGGGTTGTGATCCGAAAGAATGCTCCCGTTGGACTGAAGGAACTTCGGGCTTGCATACTCGAAGCTGGCCGCCTGCAGGTTGACGAGAGCACTGCCCCTGTAAAAGAGCTTGTCGACCGTCTCGCAGTAAGATGTGGCACTGGGGTTGTCGCAGAGCGTTTCTTCCGTCGGGACCACACCGTTGCGAACCAGCTGAAGCCAGGCATCAGTCAAGCCGTTCTGGGAAGAATAGATTGTGATGTTGTCGGCAGTGCGTGTGTATCGGCTGTTGGTGTCGCCGAAGACAAGAACAGCATTTCCGGTGCTCCAAGTGTCGATATAGTTAGCGACCTGGGCGAGGTTGGAATTGCGAGCAGTCTCATCGCCATCCTCAGTACCCGCATCAGTGTGCAGGTTATAACAGTCTACGTAGACACCATCGTCCACCTTGAGTCTCATAAAGGTAAAGCCCTTCGGTGTCAAGCAATCGTTCGAGGATGCATCGGAGCACGTGTCCCATTTCACCCGGGTGTAGTCAATCCAGTCGAAGTTGGCCAAGGTGTTGAGACCGGAGCCGAAGGGTACCCCACCGGAGGTTGCCGTGCGGTACTTGTGGTTGTCGGTCTCGTAGATGTTCGCATGGTAATTGAAGTCCTGTTTGGGCGGGAAACCCAAGTTAGTATCTCTTTTTGTTTCATTGAGATCGCCCCTTGCCGGATCCTAACTGAGGCTAGAATTTTGAAACTCGGGGTCTGCCTACTTCTTGAACGTGTATGATATCATACCCATACTCGGCGAACTTCGAGCCGATAGTGCGGGCGTTCGTTGCCTTGTCGCCGGGGACTTCGTTGCCGTTGAAAATGGCTGGCAGCCCGGCGACATTCATAGCCAAGGCATTGAAATCACCGCTGGTCGCAGCCAGCGATTTGCCCACCAGCGCCGTGGACAGGACGACGTTTACAGCGGAAGACTTCATGGCGATGGATCTAGGGTTACAGATGCACTGGTTGCGACGAAGAGCCGGTGAAGCGCAACACTCTCTCGTTGACGACCTTCGAGGCCGGCTTCCTATTTAAACGCTGCAGACCTTGGGTCCCATCACGATGTCATTTCGGCGCAGTCCCTGTTTGCGCACATCACCTTGCACATTGATGGAGCTGAACCTGCGGAAACTTTCAATGGGGCCGGCAGCTATCACCTATCGGTAACACTCCCCAGCCTATTTGGTGGGCGACTTCCATAAACGTCTAAGAATAATGTAACCCGACAGAGGCTTGGTGTGGGCGAAGCTTGCCAGTCCACCACGATGATCTTCCAAGAATTGGGCGAAGCGAGAGGTCATGCTCGCAGTGATCTTCATTATTGGCCCGCGCTCACCATACCACAATAGAGTCTTCATGCGCCATCCCGGCTCGCTTATCTAGCGGGGACTTGCCCGCCAGGGGCCGTTGAGATTGTCATCATGGCGTTCCCCAACCGTCGCCAGCACGTGGCATTCCGAAAAGGAAATCGCACGCAGCTACCGCGAAAGACCCGGGGCTCGGAGTCTAGTTGAAGTCATCTGCCTCCAAAAACGGACTCTTCTGGCGTGCGCACGCCGAGGCCCAGTGTCAACATCCACGTGTACGCGGCCATCGTGAAGGGCTTCTGGATGTCTTCAACCCCGCGCAACCACATTAGGGAAGTGTCTCCGATCGGTTGTGATGAACTATCGAATCTGATAAAGTTCGTTGACAGACTATGGTAGAAGATACTACTGGTGGAAACCCAGGGCAGTGCATCATGGCATACAGACCTAAGCTTCCCAGTTCTATTTAGGGTCACATCCCCAGTACGAACTTCCGGAAAGGTCACATTTCTCCTCACTGGCCGCGTTGCCTTGCCATGTGAAAGCCGAATATCAAAGCAGAGAGTAGGATAGGCATCTTACCCCAGAAATTCACTCCAACAATATATTCTCTCTAGCTGGTACATACCCTGGGGATTCCACGTAGGCAACGGCGCATGCTATTCATAGTAAACGATACAGATAGATACACAGTGCATGCTTCATCATCGGGAGGACATTCAGTTGTGATCTGACTCGCTTCGTACAATGCAGCCCCTGCTCTCACCAAGACTTTGCGGGCGATCAAAAGTAAATCTAGAGCATTGGAATAACTGCGAATTTAGGAAATCGGTCGGAGACAAAAAAGCAAGTCATCACCGGATAGCGCCTCGGTGTGTCGGGGCAGCAGACGTTTTAAAAGAGCAGAGCTCGAGAATTTACTCCAATCGCGCACATCAGACGGTTGACGTTTCAAGCCTCACCCGCAATGCCACGTGCGTACATCGTTCTGCACCGCAAATCAGGTAAATAAGCGGCGAAACCGCCCTCCGGGTATCACAATGGCAATCATGAGCCTCAAGTCAAACGGGACGGACCACGGGCCAACAGCTTTTGGTCTTGGTCACTATGGCAGCTTGAAACGGTCACAAGGAACTATCCGATACACAGTCACGTACTATTGTATAAACACTCCGCACCTGCGAACAAATACAGAGCAGCATTACGCCGCGCGCATCTAAGTGCAACGTCGGCATAGAGTTATACCTATCGGAGGGCAATCGTATAGTAATTGAGGCCTATAAGGCTTTGCTAAGATGCTACATGCATTCCATCCAACTGCATGGGGCCTGTCGCCGGTGAATTAGGTAGGCACCGTATGCAGTATCGTCACCTCGGCTGTGCATGCTTAGGCATGAATGTGGCGAGACGGTCCTCAAGCTGTATGTCCCGTCACACGCTTGGCCTTCTCGGTGTGCGTAACAGAATCATCTTTTCGTTTCTGAGGATTCCGTCATGACAAGGAGGGCGGCTCGAAAACTCCGCGTCTGCAGCTTCCCGGCGGGCGGCTACGGAACTTGACCACGCGATTCCACGAAGCGAGCTGCCATAACAGATCCTACTATCGCATCATAGCGCTCTTAATTGAAACATTAAGTTTTAGTGACCCGTGGTGTTGGTGTTGGTGTTGAAAGAGATCGTCAAGTCCTACCGTGGGCGCCTTAGCTCGTCCCACGCCGAGAGGTAGTTTGGATAACTTCCGTAGTTTCTGCGGCTTTTCGCCGCAACTTTCTAGAACGTACAACCTGACACACTGACGGAAGTGGTGCCACATTATCTCTGTCATGAACATAAAGTTTTAATGCAGGACCAGGATTCCCGCTATTCAAAGGCCGCCTCGAGTAATGGTTTCTTTTTCCGTCGTCCAGATCAGCCCATGGCAAGATCCACGTCTCTGGGCGCAAGGCGGTGACCTGATGAATTAGACGAACCTCGGCACTCTCTTAGACTTTCGAGTTGCAGAGGCTTTGCTCTCTGCGAGTTTCGCCACTGCGTGCCTGCCGGGGCTGTCACAGCATGCACGCCGCATCACCCAAGGGTTTCACCAGAGACCCTTCACCGTCTGTGCACCAACGGAGACAAAAACCCGCCCTGTCCCTGCCTCCTTGTTGAGCAGTTGATGAGATTGGTCACTTGGGCTCGCAACAGGTGGTCGACCGGGGAAAGATGAACCTTGACGGTTATCATATCATGAACCTAGGCCCATGGTGACTGATGTTATGCAATACTGCATTTACAAGACTTCGCCACCAGTCTCAGCCTGGCGGGTACTCCGTCGCAATAGGCGATTCAAGTGATGATCTGGTGAACATTCTCTGATGGAATTGCGACCCTTGAATGAAGGGGTGCGATATCCGACAACACGGTTCATTCTGGATTTGGTGGCTTACGGCTCTCGCTCGTGTAATCGGAAGCAATGTGGGGGGCGATGCTATAACAAGACTTTTTACGTACCAACACAGCACCTTTCAAAAGTGTGGCAGCCCGGTCCCTGCCACTTGCCAGGTATCAAGCGTATAGAATTCCTACACTATAGTCTGGGGGCCCACAGGGATTACAAGACAGCTGGTCCTAGTCCACTATAGCCTCGAGTGGAGAGCTGTGGGGGTGAAAGGCGTGTCTCTAGACAGCGGGGCCGATGGAGGGGGCCTCGGTAAGGCGACCAGAGCTATAGCATTAATGATTTGAGGCTTCGGGCCATTTTTCCTGTGATATGTGCAGCAGTTCGTTATGCTTCGTGATGACTTTGTTTGCAAACAGTCGAAACGTTTGACTTGGAAGAGTGCGTGTGGATTCGGTTGATTCGCATTGCCGTGCTGGAATGCCGCCATGGAGGCTGCACGACAGATTCGAAAAACAAAAATGTTCACACTTGTTTGAATGACGATTTTGATCAATGCTTCTCTCTACTCCGGAGTGCCGTTGCCAGGGTTATTTTATGCGAAGAGAACAAAATGGCGAAGTCCCGTCTTGGTATCAAGAAGTGTCAAACCATTTCTGACCCTGACAGTTCCAGCTCTGGCATGATCACCATGCTGCACAACATAAATGCAAAACAGAAGAGCAACCGGGTATTCCTTGATAAGGCCCGCCGTATAGTGTTATGATCTGCCTGCGCAACGATAGTGCTTGTTTCTCAAGTGCCGTATCAAACGATGGCGAGCACGAGCCCATCGGTCACAACGCTACGAGCCGTCGTAGCGGCGATGGCAAGTTGAGTCATGCAAAAGTAAACGGGAAGATACGGTAATGCTAACGCTCAGATATGACGACTGCGCTAGGTATGTACGCTTTGTTTTATCGGAGAGCGAGGGCCAAAGCTAGTATGAGAGCGGACTTCTGCCCAATATCTATGACACCCTCGTCGTACGAGCACAAATCGCCAACCGCAGCTTAGTCTAGTCACGTGTGGGTTTGTGTGGGCCGATTGGTACTGTTCAGGTTACATTATGATGGTCATGATAATGGCATTGGTTATGAGCATGGGCTCTTATGTGACAGGTGACAGAGCGACGGCAGTCAACTTCCGGTGGCTGGAGGACAGGGGGACGAAGATATGGAATGTGGATGACATGACACTAGTGTGTTTTGTACATCGTCAAAGTCAAAGAGGATAACTGTTTTTCCCGTTGGTTATGTCCATGAGCCGAGGAACAAGTGGCCCTCCTCACTGGCTAAGGTAGCTGAATAACGGCGATTTTCTGTGTGGCCATTAGCACTGCGGAGTTAGCATCGATAGCAGCTGGTGATGAGATATGTTTGCACTGGATGTGTAGAACGGTCGAACATTGTATTCATAGGTTTCCTAGCCGAATTCGCTCCTTGTTCTAGGTCAACATAGGTTGGGTTGTTTCCAAATTGTCACTGTGGTGGTGTCTCTCCAGTCCGCTGCTTTTAAGTTGGCCGAGCTGCTAGGCCCAGTCGAAAGAGCAGATCTGTATTCAATAAACAACGAGGCCGTCACGGAGACAGCCACATACGGCCGGCGAGTGGTTTGGTACGTTTGGGTTTCGCCCGTCTACACAAGGGACAATTTCACTGAACCACCCATGACATGGAAACAAAGTTGTACGGGATGGTGTAATATATAATCTCCAATCTCGTCTTCATTCATCCCCATATCTCATTAAGCGCGTCACGTCGTGGCGCGGGTTATTACTCATCTATGTTCGTGTCCAGGTAGATAAATACAAATATGCCATCTGGTGACGGTGACCTGGACCTAAGTAGACCTGCTTTTGTGTACGCCGAAAGCCTTAACCTAATCTAAACCCGCAGCCCAATGATCAAGATAGCCAGATATCGTCACAAACGAGATATGGACCCGTTGAATTTTCAAGGCAGTATCACTAGATTCTGCCCCCCTCAACCACTTCGCGTCCTAATATCTCGACCTCCCCAGACTCAGCGGTACGCCTTCGTTCTAGGACCCAGCGTGTCTCTCCGCTGTCTTGCTCTTTCGTGTAGGATATGCTATCGGCGCTGCCTCTGTGACGGTGGCCCATGCCGGGTCGACGTTGGGAAGGCACGCCCACTGTAGGGCTTGCGGGCTCTGCGTTCAAAGGAGAGAGTACAGTCGGACTTGCCGTGCTCGCAGCGTCTGTGTCAGCCTCTTCGTCTTCGATCACCGGGGGGAAGGCCGCTGTCTGTTGGGGCGGCGGCGGCGGCGGCGGCGAATATAGGGGCGCGGCCAGAGGTGATGGAGCCAAGTTGGGGTTGGAATTAGACGTTCCATTCAAGGGTGGAATAACATTATTCGATAGGCCGGCGGTGGCCATAGTAAGAGTCGGGCTCCCAGAACTGCTTCCAGCCCCAGATTCCTGGCTCCAGATAGAAAAGGCCGAGTTCTTACGGCCATGTGTCGAACCAGGGCCAGGTGCATCCCGTAGGTCCTGGCCCATTGGACTCGAGGCGCCATTTCTATCACCAGGCGATCCTTCACGTGAGCTGACTAGGGAAGCCTGAGAGCCACCCCAGGCTTTTGATCGGAGACGCATCAAAGCTGAGAGTGACATGTTATCGTCATCCGCCATCATGACGAGCTGAGCTAGACCTGGACTCTGTAGTGCCGTGTCCCTGTTGGCACTGTTGGGCATCTGAAGGCTCATAATCGAGTTACGATTGGAGTACTCGGATCGTTCCGTAATCGGGGTAAGGTTGGGTTCTCTGGAGACCAAGTGCCCTGACTTGGACCGTGTCACCCCGCTGGGCCCAAAGAAGCCACCGTAGAAGCCACTCTCATCCCCATCGGGATTCGAGCTACGGTGTATAGGCAAGGGTGCCGAGTAGAAACCGAACTCTTGGCCATACCAACCATCATCATCGCTTGCCAAGGCACTTGCGTTCGCCTCAGCAATGATGGCATCGTCGTCCAACTCGTAGTCGTCCAACCCGTTACCAAAGCCATCATCGTAGTCGTAATCAGCGAGGGTATCATCGAGGTGTTGGTTCGACTCCTCAGATCCGCTCGTGGTAGGTGAGGTGATGGTCACGTCAGCCGGCGGAGGCGGAGATGAGTCTCTCCTGAACTTTCCTGAAGCAGCCGCTTTATGAGCAGCAGCTGCCAGAGCAGCTTGGTAGGCAGCCATATGTTCTTGCTCCGGGGTTGGGAGTTGTGGTACAGGCGCCTGCGGTTCATCCGGCGACGCTGCCTCTTCCTCGTGGGCTTCGAGTGCAGAGAGCTTCTGATGTAACCCTGCACTCAAAGACGTATGAGCAGTCGACTGGGATCCGCCAGACTGGGCCGAGAATCTCGAGGTCAAATCGTCAGAGGCTCGTTTCTCGGTATCCTGAGGGTTCATCCGTTGCGCTAATGCGTTCGCAAACATGCCTGGAATTGGCCTGCCGTATTGATCTGTGTCATCAAGGTCAAAAAGGGCCTCGTCTATCGCACTGCCGTCTCCTTCTCCTTCGAATTCGTGCCCTAGACCTCCAAAGTACAGTTCGTCGTCCTTATCTAGATGCCTCGGAGGAGCTTGGGGTATTGAGGTCTGCTCCTGAACCGACACTTGACCTTGCGCCGCAATGGCGGCGTCTAACCCCTGAATCCCAAGGCCTGTGGGGCTCTCATGAAGTAGCGTTTCGACCGGTTGCTTGCCCTCAAGCAGTGGTTCTTCTTCTTCTTCTTCTTCTTGTAGATGTGGTGGTGGTTCTAAGGAGGCTGAGGACAGTCGCTGGGTGTCTGGAGACTCTTTCGTCATGGCGAAACCGATTACGTTGCCATCTGCATCCCTAGGCGTGGGTAACAAACCGGCGCTGAGCGGGCTGGTCATAGACGAGACCGGGTTTGATCGCTGGAACACAAAGCCTGCAAAATTCTCCTGGTCGTCATCCGGATCCATCGTGGTGATTTCAGGGTCTTCGGGCGCGGGATAATCATCGTCGACGTAATCGACGTTGACACCCGGAATGGCTTCTTCGAAACCGTCATCATAGTCCATTGCATCATAATCGAAAGCATCCTCATCAAAGTCGTCATATCGTGAGTCGCGGTCGTTACTGCTCTCCACCTTCCTCTCTTGTTGCCTCTGCCGGTGTTTCTCTTCAAGCGCCTTCTCTGCCTTCGCCGCGCCGATCATATCAAAGCTGAATCTAGAGGATGTGCTTTTCATGTGCCTAGGAACAGACGAAAGGACATCTGCGTTTGAGACGCCGGAAGGATTCCTGGAAAGTGTAGATATTGACGATGGGATGGAGCTTTGTCTTCTCGTGCTGTCGTTACCCCTTTTGAAGCTGAAACTAGATAATTCATGGTGAGAGCCCTGTGTCGAACTAGAGGCGGCATCAGCTGAAGCAGCCCGTGAGTGGGTCGAGGACGACGTCCGGATGGACTGGACGCGAGCATCTTTTGGAGGCACCGGTGGTGCTGGCTGTGGAGGTGATTCGTTTTCCTGGATCGGAGGTGGGTGTGCATCCGGAAGTGGTTTATCGACCCCCAGGGAAGCTACATCTCCACTCGAAACGATTCTCCTAGGCCGAGGTGCACTGAAATCGTGAACCCTTGTGCCCCTGATGGGCTGGTAAGATGGTTCCTCACGGCCAGGTCGAATTGGCAACGATAAGTCCGGAAGTACGTTCTGGCTCGTTTTCCTTCTCAGTAGAAGGGTGGATATGGGGTTCTTGAGGAAGGGTAGGCCCCTCTTGTCCCTGGCTGGTTCTTGAGCTACGCTCTGGAGTATTGGCACCTGTGAATCGGTTGCCAGTCTTGCACCCGGCGGTCGCTTTCCGGTAACGCCTGGGGGATGGAGGTCCGTAGGCGAAACGAACGATGGGCCCGCCCTGTCCGTAGGGCTCGTGACTGCCGACGCCCCGGTCCTCCCGTAGCTGCTGGCCTTCTCGGACGGACCAGGTCGCAGGGACTCCTGCTGCTCCCGACGGTAATTCTGCAGTGCCAACCCTCCAAGAAACCCAGTTTCTTCGGTATATGGTGTTCTCTGCGCCGGCCTCTGCTCCTCACGCTGTCTGGCTTCTAAATCCCCCAAGTTAAGAGAGCCTTGCGACTCGGATGAAGTGACACGGGCGATCGGGGGCAGGCTAGGTGCGGCTTGGCTCGAAGAGGGCGGAGGAGGAGGCGGTTGCTGCGGTTGCTGAGGCGCCTGCGACGACTGCCCATATCCATGCCCATGCCCGTGGCCGTGGCCGTGGCCTGTCTGCGGCGGTCCATTCGATATCCGCGGTTCGATAGCAGGAGCCGGCACAGCACCGTCGTCCGGGACCAGCTGTTTCGGCTGCAGCGTAGCGCTGTCCCAGGGGCTGCTCTCGGGTATGGGCGAGGTGGGATTCGACCGGTCCCGGCGATGGAAGCGAAGATGCGACAGCATGCCGGAGGCTGGCAGCCCTTCCGCCGGGCGGGCGCGGTGAGCTACAGCAACGATACACGGATCTTCTCGGGGCGCCTGAGGCGCGTTCGTGCTGGGACGGTGGCTCGCGGGACCCAGAATGTCGCGGCTTCGGTGCGTGCGTGCGTGCAGGCTCAGAGCACGGTTGCGCGACGCCTCCCGTCGTCTGAAGTCGGTCGCGCGGCCGTCATCCGAAGAGAGCTCTCTGCTACAGCCGGGACACCGTCGACAAATATAGAACAGGTTCGAACAAAGGGAAAGCGGGTTCGCGCCAACGGCAATGAGTTGCTTTGCCTGGCTGCCTGCTTGCTTGCGTGAGGTGATGGAATTACACAGGATTAGGCTTGCGACGTCCGGAATCTAGGCCGTTGGATCTCGATAGAGTGCCCGCTAACCAGTGCGCTAGACAATACTTTTGTCCCAAGCTTTTCTTTGGCCTTTGGCCTTTGGCCCGGGCGTTGGGGTCGATCTCGCTTCCCGCGTCACAAACCCGCTGGCAAAAGGGCCCCAGGGCCCCAGGGCCAGGATCATCCATCCCAGCCAACACCTTCAGGGCTGCTGCGTGTGTGGTGTCTGGCCCGTGCCACCAATCCAATGTCAGCACTACTCGAGACGGATGCTGAAGCCTCCATGAGGGTTTCTCGTATTCTTAGCAAGACATTGTATGGAATGTCATTGCACGACTGGGCGGTCGAGTGTGGATGGCTTATAAGTCGTGAGAGGAGAGACCCCTTCGCGTGGTAAGGTCCGATTGTGCCGCTTCAGTCGGCTGACAAAAGTTACATTTTGGCCGCCTGCTTACTATCGAGCCCGGGAGACCAAACTCAGTGCTGGGTCAGTTCTCTATCTAATCCAGCCCACTTGCCAACATATTTTCAAATGGTCCATGAGAAAGTTGTGCCGTAGCTCTTTGTCCAATGCCATCACAGAGATGTGGATGGTTCGATTTCTTCCGCATCACTCTCCGGCCCCATCCCCCAAACTGCACACCAGCCAGTTGATATAAGCTGTATATCGACTCAGGTGGTCATTTTCGAAATCATATAACACAATCTTCATAGAGAAAGTGCGGATAACCCCCATCTGAAGATGTGGCCCACAGAATTGTTTAGCGAGTCTCGTGCGGTATGATATTAGCTATAATCTGAAAGGTATCCATCCGCCCAGTGCGTGATTCTATACCTCGGACGGACAGCATATAATTCCATCTGGTTGGTGTTGTCTCCTTGTACAGTCCCACTTGGGTTTCGTCAAGCTTCAGGTGAGCTTCAATGACAGCATGGTGGTCCCCGTCGTACCGCCTGATAGGTGCAGCAAATTACCGTGCCCTGTCGACCTGCTATAAAACAGTATGCAAATCCGAATGCCGACACGGCTTCCCCAATTGCCCTGCTTAGTCTAATATCACCATGTAAGAACATGGAAGGGGGGATAGACACCTTAGCCTCTCGTTCACCCCTGGTGGGCTAATCGAGAAACTCTTCGCATATCACCCTTGGCGCTTGAATCAGGACTGTCACACTATTCGATTAGAAAAATACTGTGACAGTCAGAGCAACAACCCTTGTGTCAATGGCTGAGTTAAAGTCAGCATCGTTCTTTGGTCTGTAATGGAGCAAAACATACGACAGGTGTGGAAATTGAGTGTTCGAAGCCATCGCCCGTTACGAAGCCTGGGTGTCTTTGGGCTTGATGGAATACAGACGGATCATCAAGAACGACCATCAAGAACGGCTCTAGGTGGATGTATTTTATTTCACTGACCAGCCCTCCACTCGCGGTTCGAGCCGATGTCTCTCAAACGCTCTTCGGGTCAGAGTTCAAACATGCAGAACACAAGAGCCCTTGGGTCATGGCAAGAGTACTCAGAAATAAAGAGAACTTCTTATAGCTTCTCCGTTCTTTGAGTCTCTTCCGGGCTCGCCGGGCACCCGCCCCGGCATACGTATCTAAAATGGTACTCGACCCTACCCAGCCGGCCATGCAGCCTACCCATCCGTCCGCCCACCCATCTGTTCATGCCCCCTTCACATTCATGGAATAGGAATGACGCCCTTCTTGAGGATCACGTTGCCATACTTGCGCGTCTCGCCCGTAGCCACGACGGCGAACGCCTTGCGGGCACGCTCGTAGAAGGCGAAGCGCTCGAGGCGCTCGACGGGGCCGGACTCGTACTGCAGCGCGGCGCGGAAGTCCCCCTCGACGCTGGCGTCCGCCGTGTCGCCGGGCACGACCTCCATCATGATGACCGGCACGACGCCGTACGTGTCCAGCTCGAAGAGCGGGGCGATGCCGGCCAGGAGGGCCGAGACCGTGATGCCTTTATTGTTCTCGCGTGTCAGCGCTGGCGGCCGGCCTGCCCAGGGGAAAGGTAGATGTCGTGCGGTGACGAGGGAAGGGGGGACGGCTGAGGCTAAGAAAGACGGGGCACCGTGTCGCCTCACTCACCATCGGCGCGGATCACGGGGATGTTGGGCGGGCAGATGGAGTGCGAGGGGAAGTGGGCGTCGGCCAGCACGATCTCATCGCCATGGCCCATTTCTGCCAGGATCTTCAGGAGATCGGGCGATATGACCGGGGAAATTCCTTTGAGGACCATTGTGAAAGGGAGCAAACGTTGCGATGGTAGCAGAGATATCCAGTCGCGACAGTTGTTGGGGCAGAAATGAATTTAGAACAGCTTCACGGAAAAGTGGGACTGGGATAGCACAAACTTAGCACCCAACGTTCTCGTCTCTTGGTGAAAGGTACCTTGTTTACTTACTTGCACTTAAGACTAGGTCATAGTTTTCGCAATGTCTTGGGTCTGTAGATCATTTGCAGTAAAGGAACTATCACTCGTCACACGGTGGGAACTGATATCAGATCAAGTATATGGAACTTTTTTTGTCCTTTTGTCCACTATGGAGTCTGATGTCAATTACATTAAGACACCTCATTCGTCTTTCTCCCTCATCACCCAATTCTCCTCGGCGCTCCTGGGACCAATGTTGAGTTCCAGGAACCGGAGACTGTGATCCATGGAGGACACAGCAAACTAAACCACCATCCGCCACCTGACAACTCCCCCCTCATTTCTTTCGTTTGAGTACAAGTATGATGTACAGTCCTGACTTTCGTACATCCAACTCTCCTGCTCAATCAGTCCAGGACGCTTGTAGGTAATAAGCTGGTAAACACTAATGATTACCGGTCTATTTTGTCCAGCCTTGGCCCTCTGATGCCGTCCGTCTACGTCGTAAAACTTTTTGTCCAACAATCGCTTCGCTATACACGGACAATTCCCAAATCTAGAAACCATCCAGACTCCTCGCCAGATGCAAAACCTCTGCTGGTACTGTGACGAGGGTGCTGCCGCCGTGTGGGTATCCACTGCATGCCTGAAACGCCAACCCAGAACGCTAGGAAATGTAGAGTGCCTCAATCCGAGGCAGATGCGTCGCGTGGCATATTTGACTATGCCAAGGACGAAATCTAAATATCCCAATAAACAGACAGTGGCATGACGAGGCTGTCCTCGTGACAGCTCCGTCATGCCACGTGATACCGCATCAATCCATGCGGTCGCGCGTAATGCCGTCGAGGCGTCATAATCGTGAAGATCGTGTAAATGAGTGACTGTAGGTGGGTATCTCACGCATAAAAGCAATCGCATCGTAATCATGGAATGAGTGTGTTTGACGCCGGAATCGTGATCGTCGTGACCCGACTGCCACGTTTCTGGGGCGTCCGGCTCAGCTTACTTTCGCAAGCCAACTCGACCTGCGAGATTGCGCCAGAAACTGCTGTTTTTCCTATCCATGGCCTCGCCGGGAACCAACATGGTTATCTCACGGACCATTGGACCGACGATATCTTCGTCGCCTCTTTCCGGGAACTTGCCCTCGGTGTCCATCTGTGGGACAGCAGTGAGAACATCCTCATCAAATTTCGCCACGGAGTCAGCAGCGCCGCTGCCGACGATAACATTTGCGGCTTCATCATGGTTCTTTCGCCAAATAGCCTTGGTCTCGGCCCATTTCGCCTCTGTGAGCGCATAGGTCTTAGACGTAACGCCATAATGCTCACCAGTGCGTGCCAAATGCTTTGTGTAGTTTACACGCGCTATGTCCCAATCTGCCCTCAGCTGGCGAAGGGCTGCGAGGTTGACAACCTCGATCTTATAGGGCAGTGGCTGGATAGTGAAGTTTGCATGGCCGAGGAGGTTCGACCACGTCTCATCCTCTTCCTGCATACCAGGAAGCTCACCGGACATGGCAATTCGGTGAAACGAGGAGACCGAGTGCTTCGTGCTCAGCGGTGGAGACATGACGAGAGGGGACACCGGCTCTGGCATTGCAGAGGCAGCAATCGTTGGAGACTCCAGGGGCGATGGCTGCGCGGTGACCAGGCTCACTGACGTGTCGTTCATGAACGGAGGCAAGAGCGGTGTCGTGGACATGGCGCGTTCGCGCTCAATAGCGGCGGCGTCAAGATTGTTGGCAGCTTCTACATCGATTGGTGCTGGCAGGACGATACTGTCACTGCTTTCGTAGAAAGAAAGCGCAGGCGTTGGTGGGAGGGGAGGCTCGTTGGTTCGGTCCAGACGAAATCGGCCCGACGCGGATATTGACGAGGATCGACTTGAAGCTGCGCGGGAAGATGGCAAGCCACGGTCGAAACCAAAATCAGAGACGGGCGACTGGGTAATACTGGCTTGGCGAGAACGACTTCGTTTCGTGATACCTGTGAACTTGGAGCCGATCCGTTGCGTAAGTCCGGCCAGTGGAAACTCGACGCCTCCGCGCGGTTTTCTCGAGGACCTCAAAGTCAGGTTCAAATCGCCGTCACTGAGGAAGCCCATGTCATAAGCTCCGTCCCTTCCGTGCGAATAGAATTCAGATGCGCTTCTGACCATCTCATGCTCCCTGTGAAAACACGCCTCAGCGCCTATACGAATGGATGTCAGCCGAGTCATTTTCACACGATCGTTGGGACTTACACAAGCAATCGTATAGATCGTCGAACTCTCCATGATCTAAAGAATCGAAGTCATCTTCCGAGTCCTGTGGCTCGAAGGGCTCCTCCTCAACATCAGGCAGGATGCGTTTGCCCGATTTGTGGGACGCCTGCGTTGGCGAGGAAGGCCCTTCAGAGCTTGCTGGTGTAGACAACTCGAAGGACGAGGTAGAACTTGAGTAGCGAAGATGGCCGCGGGCGGAAAAGGTTGGAGTTACAGGTGACGTCGCGTCTGAGACGGACGACTCCATGCCGAAAGAGGTGCGAACAGCATCAACGTCGGTCTCGCACTGCGCTTCTTCCAGCTTCCTCCTCTGCTCGACCAGCAGCGGTAGCTGCAACGGCCGCAGCTTGGGAGACATGTCGGCGTCGAGTAGTTGTGCAGAACAACAACATGCGACGCGCTTCCTCAAGGCTCGATAAACGTTTGCCCAGGGGATTTCTTGGTGGGGTAGGTCGGGCAGGGTTAACGTCAGTTGCCCGGGGAGGTCTGCCTTTGTTTCGTTCGGTTGAAGATAGGGTTTGGCGGCGGAATGGGATGTCCCTGGTAAGCTACCTCTGCATCTTATTATAGAACCGTGCAATTAAGTCGGCCGTCGGGCGCTGTCCGTCTATCTATCTCTCTGTCTCTCTTTCTCCCTCTTGCACGCTTCCGTCACGGCGACTTGTTGGCAGCGCTCACACGTGTACAGGATGGGTTCTGCCTTGAAAGGTCCCTCGGTTGGCTGCACCGTCCACGTGTTCCCGGTTTTTATGCAGCTTTGAAGAGAAGGTCGTGGGGTTGTAGGTTGGGCGCTGGAGGACGCAGCGGTGCTGTGCTGTGCTGTGCTGTGCTGTTTACCAGGAGGGTGGTTGGGGGTCACCAATCAGGAGCCAGGCGGCGGCGCGGTCTTGCGGTAGCTCTTGCAGCTGTGTCGCCCAGTAGTATAGCACGTGAGGGCGTCGTCGTCCGGATGAGTTGTCAAGCGACAGGCCAGAGTTCAGCAACGCGGCACGGCAGCAATATATTGGGGTGTCAAGGTCGGCGTCAGGTTGCGCAGGATGCTGGTGAACGGTTGGCAAGCGACTGCTGGCAGCTCTCAGGAAAATCCGGTCGTGGTCACACAACACACGAGGAGCTGGAGGGCGGGAAAGAAAAGTCAGTGGTGGGAAGCTCTGGGTTGATGTGGACGGCGGCCTGGTTGGCCCAAGAGAGCAGCCGGATGGGCTGGGGTACGCGGGCACCATCGAACCTTACGGGTGGGCTGTTTCGTTTGGGCTTGGGGCGCGCGAGCCCACATCCACAACGTCGCCGGGGGTCAGGGTTGTTGACCACGGTGCCAAGTGCCACGGTCGACCGACTTGAGGGGGGGACGGGAACCTGGACATTCTTTGGATCTTTTCTCTGGGTGGGTGGACCGTGGGAACACCATCCCAAGCCGGTATAGCTCGTCGCTCACCAATGTATGGAGGTACTCCGGTACATGTGCTTGAGGCTTGGATGACGGCAACAGGGAGCGAGGGACACGGCTCTTCCACTGTATCTCTTTTTTTTTTTCTTACTACTCCTCCCGTTTCCTTTTCCTCCGGCAGCAGAAGGCTGGGAGGGGGGAGAATACGAAAGACAAGGTACTTATCACACCACCGCGTCGGAATCGTGCCACTGCCCTCCGCCCCTGTGGCGCTGCACCTGTCGCTTTCCAGTGCTTCGTAGGTTCTCGGCTCGTGGGGTTCTCCTCCCAGCGCGTTGTAGTTGCAGTCGACGGACTGGGCCTGCCCTCTCGTCGACCTGGGGACCACTGGCCCAAAGGCGAACTGAACCCGCGAGCAATCTAGTCATAGTCAAAGGCGCAATGGCCTGCCCATGTTGACACAACAAACCTAGCAAACAAACAAACAACCAAACGCAGGCCACAAGACGATCACCGAATAGCGCGGGCTACTCTGGTGCGTTCTCCGTCGTCATTCCTGGCTATGGTACACAACCCACCAGGTCAGGCCTGGTCCTGGGAGGATCTAGGATTGCACCACTCGGATCTGGATCTACCTTGGGCGACCTCGCACGCACGATGCTCCAGAGCGTAGCCGGGCCCAGAGAGTCTCGGCCCAGCGATCTCCAAAGAAATGGGTACCCACGGTGCAGGGCCACGGCACAACAGGGCAATTGCCTCACTGCTGGCCCCAGCACTGACCAACGTCCCGGGAGCTTGTCCTGGCACATCCCCGTCTAGCGGCTTTCCTCTCCCCACCCACCGACTTTTCCTTTCTGGGGCAACCGTTTGTTGTTTCTTTTCCAATCGACGCGAGCATGGAAGCATCCCTGTGCCTTTCCCACCCCTGCCACCGCACCAAGTCAGACCAAGCGGGTTCGTCGGGTTGCTGTCCCCGTCGAACTGGAGGACCCACGGTACCTGGCCGACCCAAACAACGGCATTACGTCGTGAAAAGTATTGGCATGGAAGAAGCCGTAAATGGGTAAAAAGGCTGTGGTCAGGGCCACTGCGTTTGCGATGGAGACCATAGCGAGCTGTTTCCGAGCCTCATTGGTGGTTGCAGCAACGTTTCGTTCTCTGGGTTGAGCCCGTCCTCGCCAGCTCGGCCGGAGGGATTCTGTTGAGACATGTGAAATGGGGAGAGCGAGCTGCACCTTGGCAGCTTCTAGGTAGGTACGAGTGAGTAGCTCCCCGGGAGCTGGGTTGAATGACGCCCCCCAAAAAATTCTACGCCCTGGGAAACACCCGAAGCACTATCTGCAGGCTTAATGTCGAACCGACCGAGGACTGCCTGAAGGTACTTTTGGGCGAGGGCTTCATGGCCCCAGCCGCTGACGTATAGAAGCGGTGCAAGGCATCTTTTTCTTTTAATTTGCTGTGGTCAGACCCGTCTGCCTCTGTTCGTCTACAATTGTCACTTCTTGCTCCCTGGCCAGGCAGCCAGCAAGCATAGAACGGGGAAGAATTGGGTCGATTCCAGAATGCCTTCTGCGAGCTCCACCCGATTGTCATGGCAGCCCAGGGTGGACGGTGGACGGAGTCTTGCCAGTCTGTGCAGGCCCTAAAGTCGGGACAGCCTACCTCAACAGGCTAGTTCTGTTCTCGCTATGAATCATTGCAGACGTTCCGCTGACGGCATTTCATCGAGACCGGCAGCGTGTCCTACTGGCCAGAGGAAGGTACTGTAGCCGTCGTGTGTGTACGGAAAACTCCGTGCCAAAGTCAATTGCTGTCCGATTGGACTCACCAAGGAGAAATAATTCGCGGTCGTACTACAAATTTAGCCATAGGGCTGCCTGCACAATGCAGCACCTTTCCACAGAATCAGGAGCATGGTCGCTGACTTCAATAAAGGCACGTGCCCGATGTACCTAGGTTTCGATACCATAGGAGCGACATTGGTCTCTGGGAGTTTGCGAGCCGATGAAAACCTTCTGGGTTACTTCGGCTGTTTGGGCTCCCGCACTTTGGGCAGATATGGGTGCGCTTGGATACAGGAGCAACGTAGGCATATCACAGTAGAACGCCAATCTCTTCTATTACTACGTACGGTACTGCACCATGTACCTGTGTCCCCGAACGGCCATCGCACCTATTCCGCACAATTCATACGACTTGTGTACGCCATGCTTTGCTATGCGTTCCCCGGTCCCAGCAGCTGCAATTGAGTTTCCGACGGCTACGGATCTGTACCGCTGGCCTGGGAGCGATTGAGTTGGTTTGGTTTGAACTTACTGCCAGTAGTACAGTACCACAGTCGACGTGGGAAACATCCCCGCAATCTCGGGGATCTTGCCATCCCAACTACCTGTGACACGACGTATCTGAGCGACCTCCCAATTTCTCCTCTGGACATTGCAAGTCGTCCCTGTCATCTCTCCTCTACTGTCAGCTTCTCGTGCAGTGTGCTGCGCTAATGTTCGTCCCCGAGCGTTCCGTTTCGACTTCCCGTGGGGCCCGTCTGCCGTGTTCGCAGCCTAGCCTGCCCAGGTGGTGTTGTTACATTGGTCGAAACCTGCTGTGCACGGCTTCCTTCCGCCGCTTCCAGGGCAGAGATCTCGGCTCACCCTGCTGACAGCTCACAAATCGTCTCTGGGTCACCCTCGTTATCGGAGATCGTGTACCAGGTCGCCCGCAGGGTCTTTGACCCCGTACGGAAATGGGATGCAGGCCTCGAGTCGAGGCTCGTGCGACGACGTGCTGCGAACACAGAGCGGCACACTGGTCACATCGCGCGTTTCCTGCCATGCTCCATTGATGGCACTCGAGCTGGGGCTACAGTCCACTATTCAATCGTAGCAAGGCCAGTGTGCGGCAAAGCCTTAGAAATCGCACCTGAAATGGCATCTTCCAGCTCCTTATTCTGTTTCTAGTGTTTCAAGGTCCAGAACCCTTCACGAGCGTGTAGTCTCGGGTCTACTTACCAGGTCTTTGGCCTTTACAGCCTTAGACTATATCTGTCAAGGCCCGCATGGTACAGCAACACACAGGCAATAGCGTTGAATATTTGCCCGAAGCCATAGTCTTGCTTTCGCAGAGAGTAGATGCATTGAACCGCCCGAGTTACCACAGGCATCTATTGTGCTTGTCAAGGGGCCCCGAGCTGACTGCTACCCGTACTCTTTCTAACTCTTTCACTCAGTACCACATTACTCTACATGATCGGCGCTGTTGTGAAGCCTGGGGCCTCGGGGAAAGATTGGCCAGATGGCTTGCCTTCCCAGAGCTACCCGCACAGGCTCAACTCCACCTGGATGTCGTATAACGGATCTTCGCTGTCAACTTTTGTCTCTACGTCCTGCATTCTTTGGGATTGGCAGCATCGAGCAATTCGTCCCGAGACCAACGCCCCATCCTACCAGGAGACATAATGCATATAGAGATCCCACAACATGCTGTCAAATTGTGGGGAGGCATAAACGGTCTCGGCGCCAGTCGTGTAGACCAAGGGGAGGCAAGTCTAGACTGCATCCTCTAGGCACAACGAACGATAGCGTATTAGGACAAAAGAGGCGGCAATTGGTGCCAACAATCAGAACATGCTTCGCAGAGTCTTCAGTCCTAATTGTGGACTTTGATCGTGGTCGGAGAACGGGAACTATAATCCCTCATACGGCAATGATGTACGGGTTCGGGATATTGACGTGCATCTGAAAACCCCCGAATAATTCACGAGGTCGTAGCTCAGCCTCCTCGCCTGCCTCGTCAGCTGCAGCCCGCCAGCACCTAGAGGGTTACATCGGGGTTCAGATGTCGAACAGCTCCGCACAGCCCGTTGGGAGCTGCATGAAGTCTCTTGTGCGGGCTAGCTGGAAACATCCAGGGTTTGCGAACCGATCTATCAGCATGCCGTAGGAGCCTGCCTAACAGAAAATTCTCTCCCAACAATC